TATGGGCATCCTTTTCATTGGAGCACAAAAACCATGTGTTTATTTGAAATGTCAGTTAGACCCTTACTTAATTTTAATCACTGCTTAGTCTTATTATCTCATCTGTTGAATTAGAAATATTTTTTTCTGTTTTTTGCATCATGTGCTCTTTTCATGCTTTAAAACTGTCACGTCTGTCTGTCTCCTACTCCTACCAAGCCCTGCCTTTGGCAAATTGATGGTTTATGTCTTGTTTCTAACTAGGCTTACAATCAACCCTCTTTACCCAATTTGACACGAACAGCATGCTTTTTTCCATTTCACCTTAGTAGACAAGCTAAATATGGTGTTCAAGATTCATGCTGTGTATTTTAGGGTTTTTGGTTTGCGGTGTGTAGAGTTGATAATATCTGTGAAGCGCCAGCAGGCAGATATGATCAGCTACTTCTGACGTACTTTACGGACAGAAAGCAGCACTGCAGAGGAAGTCATCATGCCATTGGTCACCACAAAGATGTTGTTAGACTGTAATGATGATGTTGTGGTCAACAAAGTTGCATCACAGCAAGAAGGAAGGGTACTTATCGTTTTTCAAAAAAAAGTAATCTGAAAATCTGATCAGCAGAGTTCAATTTCGCTTATTCTGATTCTGATTTGGCTGGTCAATTCTACTTCTATTTAAATTTGAATTTGATTCCATAACTTTTTGGGGAAAAAATGGAATGAAACACTGGATCTTCAAAGAACAAATATAACCTTGCCCATATTGTTAAGACATTTAAGTCCTCACAAGTGAATTGTGAAGTGAACAAAAACATGCTAGAATGTAACACAATATCAGAATATATCTGCTGTTAAGGCAGGGGGGTTACGCATAGCTGGAATGTCCATTCTTATGACTAGACCATGCCTCAAAAATAAACAAGCACAGCAAGGCAACATGTTTCAGTTGTAGCACTGACACCTCACAGCTAGCTGATTCTTAGTTCAAAATCCTGTGGAGCTGGTAAAATATGGCTTCATCCTACTGCAGAATGCCTTTGAACCATAATGTCAACAACAACAAAAAAAGTCAATAAACCCTAACAAGTAAGGGCTGATCAACAACACAGGCTGGGTGAAGCCACCACGAGAACAGCACCCTCTGGTGACGGGCTGCAGTATAGGCCATAAATTCCGCCTCCTCCAGCTATCCCTATGGAGCTGTGGACAAACTTTAGAAATTTATTATACAGAATATAAAGGTTTCTCCCCCTGGTTGTGATGTTGACATGTAGTTATTGTTAGACTGGTTTGTGCTCAAGTCCTCTTTTTTCTGTACAGCTCAATTTTTAAAAGTTATTAGGGGGCTCATGTTTTCTATGATTGAAACTTGATACAGCCTAGGGGCTTATGAAGATTGCGTCGGTCAGCCGGGGGATACACTGCATACGATGCTACTGCGCAAGTGGTGGTTCCAGGAAGTGGAGAAAACCCTGAAATACTGAGAGCAATTCGGCTTCAAATTCATATAACAACGGAAGGCAGAGCCAAGTTGTCCATAATATTTACAGTCCATGGTCAGACATTCCAAAAATATTAGATATGATTAAATTCTTTGTGCAGAACTGTTCCACAGCTTCTGTTGTGATGTTTACAATCTCAATGTTTAAAGTTAAAAAATACAAAAGTTTCCATTTCCCAAAATATGTAAACCTCATCATTTTAACAGCAGCAGTAATAGTAGAGGCAGAAACAGGGAGTGCAGAGTTGAATGTTCTCTGCTGCCAGCTCTCATACCAGTTTCACCTATTCTTGTATAAATTGACTCTACGTAACATTGACAGTCTTACTGACATCACCCTTTTTTCTTTTCTTTTTTCAAGCGCAGTTTAGAAACCCAACAATGGCACTCAAAATATTGGAAATTATTACTCAACCTGACTTTGGTTTTTGTTTTTTTGTATTTGGCTGTAAACGTGTCTGATGTAAAAATTGGCTTTTTAATGTTGGAGTTGACGGGCCTCCATGCCTTGAGTGGACTCTGCAGTGAGGGATGAAGCTTGGGTTTAAATCCTGAAATTTGACCTTGTCTTGGAACTGGATGCAAGAGGATGGTTGTCATCTTGAACTGTGTTCACAAACAATAAGTATCACAATTTTTGTGGCTACAGAAGTAATGTTTAAATTCTGCATAGAGTAAAGGATCTGGAGTAATTTGATTAAGTGTTTTTAGATATTCATAATCTTCAACTGGCAATGCTGTCAAATAATCTTAGTCACATTTCTAGACGTTGCTGTGATAGGGCAATATTTTTGTATAAAACTGCAGGTATGCCGAATGAGATTTTACTTTTATGTTGTCCATATGTTGTTGTTTAATATGGAGTGTATTGAATTTCCCTTCAGGGATTAATAAAGTTTTTCTTATTCTTATACTTACTTGTGCTGTCACTTGGTAAGGGAAGCTGAGGTTGTTTTGACCAATGTCATAAAGAAGAACTCCTGTTGTGTCTTTTTAAGCTATTTCTGTCCAAACTTGTCAAAAAAAATCTTGTGTTAAAAATGTGAGGAGGAACAAATGAGCACCCTTGTTTCCAACCCTAATTGACCACGCTTTTGGGCACAGTAAGATTTTCCCTGCAACACTGAAAAGTCCTGTTTACAAGGGGTCCTGTTCAAACATCCACACTATGTGTGACTGGGCAGAAGTCTGAGGTCACACCCTACTTTTCCTCATCCTTTTGTGGCCTTCCTGTCTACATTTATTCCATTTTAATAGAATTCATAAAAAAGTGCAGCATGGCATACTGAAAGAACAGAGTTGACACAAGAAATGACAAAGTAGGCGGAGTTTCATGTCAATTAAAAGGAGATTTCTCACCAATATTTTTCACTCAAGTGTTATAACGGTGTCTGCAAAACCACTCTGTTAGAATGAGGTGAGTTCGATAAGAGTGCAGAGCGTGATGATTTTATGTCATTGTCTCAGCTGGATTATGCATTAATAGCTATTATTTCCATAGGTTATGTGCTAATGAACCTGTTATACCAGGAAAAGTGAGGAGAGAAACGGCTGATGTATGCCAGGGATCAGTCATTAGCTAACTAGAGAACAATGAGCTCATCATAGAGTCAGTCCAATGGGAACTGAGTTCTGGACCAAAGTCAGGATGACCTCATAACTGAGCAGCTCATAGGCAACTTTATCTCTTTTCACTCTGTTCATGCCAGTGAGATACTCAGCTCATTGTGACTCATTATCTGCAGATCTCAGCTGTATCCACAAAATATCGTCAGAGTTTCAAACCCAGTAGAGACAATAAACGGGGAACTGGGAACACAAATTGTATCAGCAACAAACTATTTCAACTCTATTGTGTTCCTCGTGTTGAGTCATCTTACTGGAGTGGGTGCTGCACATTACAACACTACCATCAAGTGGTCGAATCGAGTAATTACATCTCTAAACAAGATAAACGAGCTGGTTTATTTGAGCCACAATATGAAGATATCATTTTTAATCATAACTATTTATCAGAGAAAGGCATATTGTTTCATTGTTTATCTTAAAAACATTAAATTTAAAAATCTGGCTTGGTGTTTAAGATAAGATAAGATATACCTTTATTTGTTCCACAGGGAGAAATTCCAAGTTTACAGCAGCATAAATACAAAAACTGAAATGAAAGGATGAAGAAACTTAAGGGTTTAAAAAGATACATACATGAATGTTATTTACTGCTGTTTATAAAGTTTTGGATATATTACAGTTTTTGATTCCTCATTGGCCCAGGGTATTTGAATATTAAAATATATACTATGCTATTTAACTACATCAAAGCTTTTCTTATGAAGAATTTGAACTTGATTTTAATAATCTACAATTAAATTAAACACTGTACTTTTATTTGTTGAGGACTGATTTTCACAGTGTCATTAAAATCTAACTTATCTGAACGTTAATACATTTTATCACAATCCGGTTCGATCATCTAGTCTTTTGATCTTAATCTCAAAAATTGGACTTTTAGACTTGTAACATTGTGTTTTTATTTTATGAATGATGGAAACCTAAAAGTCACTCACTGTTAAGGCTTAAAATTGGTTGCTCAGTGATGCTACGCTATCCATTCTCACTCGAGCGCTCTGCTTTTCTGCTACACATCTGATCCTCCTGCTCTTCGTCTGCTTTACAAGTGATTTTTTTTTTGTCTGCACTCAGTTCAAAATCATTAGTTAACAACCCTCGTCAACACGCTGCTGTGAATGAATCCTGAATAATATTTTCTAAACCATAACTTTTGCTATTAATGTTATATGAATGGCTTTATAAAATGAACAGTCAATGACTTTTGCCAAAAATTAAGACACGTACAGATGACGAACAAAGTATTGGCAAGACTGAAAAAGCCATCGTGAGAGATCTTCAGGCTAAGTGTTTGCATGTGTTTGAGTTGGAGAATATACAAAAAAATAAGTTTAGTCTGATATAAGTTGAATAGGATAATGCATTTTTTTGAATGCGGTTTGAAATTAAGCAATATAGACAATCAGATTACACCTGTGACACTAGAGTAACACTTATCTGGCTAAAATGACTCAGTTGGAAGTAATTGTGGTGTTATATTTTTCATTTTTTATAACATGCATTTAAACTTAATTAGTGGAGTCTTCATTACCTAGGCATGCTCCTTAGAGTCTTGTTTGAAGTTTTTTTTCATTCATGAACAGTTTATATGATGAAAATATTACGCAGACCTTCCTACTGGATAATCCTGTCTTCACTGTGTGATGAAACTGCTGAGAACATCTTTTTTTATCTTTACATGCTGAGATTGTTATCAGCGGCTTATGTGTCTTGGTAACAGAGAGACTAAAGTCATTATAAGTTTGATAACAAGTCACTGACCCCTGCTTGGTGTAGGTGTGGTTCCTCTGAGTTGACTTGATCATAGCTTTAAAACGACAGCTTCACATCAGATGATTTCGCCCTGTGCTACATGGTAATGTACTGTTCACATGAAAAAAATGACAAAGAGGGCCTTTAAATTAAATTTTTATTTTTTTATTTCATGTTAAATAAGTAAGCATGAAATGACGTTACAGATAAAATAGTTTGTGTTATCAATGTTTCATCCCTTTCTGTGGACTGGATTAAAAATAATTTAATCTGCTGCTGTATAAATAATCAGAATCTCAAAGATTATCTACAACAATCACAACAGCAACACCGACACTGTATTTATATGGTTAGCTGAGTAATGAAAAACAGTGGGACATAATGGTAGATATTGACTTACAACATATAATAAATTTTGTAGACTCCTAAAATACTGACAAGTAATACCAAAATCACAAAATAGTCTTTCAAATTAAGAATATTTCATGACAAATTCATAAAAAAATATTTCTTAACAATCAAATTGAACATTAAATTGTGCATCAAACAGAAGAATTTAGGTGTTTTAGTTTTTTTTTTTTTTTTTTTAATTAATGACAAAATGTAAATCTAACTCTTCTCAGAAGGGAAGTGAACCTAAAGACTTTCTGATTGTGTTGTTCTATGTTACACCGTAACAAGAAAAAGGTCATACACATGTCCAGAGGCTGCTACATTCATGATTGAGTTTGTGTGTGTATGTGATCTAAAACTTGGCCTCTTTGATGACAGTAGGTTCAGCCGTGGTTCCATTGGAAATATCCAAGGGTTCCTTAAATTCAAAACAGGCATGTAAATACAAACTTCATAGATCGTTCAGGACAGGAAAGATTGTCTTTTTCATATTAACACTAGTTTAAGTTTATATTTGAAACAGAGTTAAAAAAAGATTTAAATTAAATTTGATTAAATTAAATTAAAAAAACATTTCTAAACATTTCTAAAAGACAAACAAAAATCCATAAGCAGAAAATAATGAACATTGTTGAGGTTCAGCCTTTTGTCTCTCTAGAGTTCACTGTAACTTGTCAGTTTGAGTTAATTTTACATACAAACAACACTCAAGGTGACCTTCATGGCTGGTGATAGGAAAAGTAAATATTTGCATAGATTTTTTGGGGGGTTATCTTCCTTGTACTTTTGTCCTCATTTGAATATCGACGTATAGTCTTTATGTTCTATCCTGGTAAATAAAAGATATAGCTCAAGGCATTTTTTTTTTTAATCCAAAGATTACAAAAGAAAGATCAATCCAAAAGGATCAATTCGTGGATATAATTTAAGTTGTCTGCTGTGAGTAGTTCTTTCAACTTTCTTGTAATGGATTAAAGATATTTTCATTTCAAATGGAATAACGGTCTGAAGACTGGAAACAGGTGGAAACAAAAATGAAGTTACACTCAAGGACCCTTTCACAGCAGGTTTTACTAACAATGGCAGGCAGCAAGCCACAGCATGGACAACAGACAAGTTTCAACTTCACAATCCACCATGAACATCGATCTAGTACTTGTTACAATTTGGATTCAGAAATTAAGTGAATCCTTTGCAAAAAAGAAACATGTTTTTAGAAGTGGAATTCAAACTACACTGCAAAGGGGAAAAAAAAAATCAAATCTTTGCTAAAACTTCTATCACTTTTAAGATCTTGGGTATGGACTAGTTGAAGCTGATTACACCAAATGTCATTCAAACAGACCTAACAAGTCCAGGAATATCCCTTATTTTAAAATATTACAAAAATACTTACCAGTTTCTTTTTAATTTCAAACTCAAAAAATTTCCATCAGTAAGATTCTTGATTAAGTTGTTATATTTATCTCAAGAAACTTATCAAGGAACTTTTGCTGGATGTATTAACAGATCATGTTTTCTATTACACACAGTCCAGAACCTGTTTTTCTCTTGTAACCTTGTAAAAAGGAATAATCTCTGTGATAAATTTGAGTTTTTACAGTGTACAAAAGCCCCCTTAAATGTAAATGGACGCTAAAATTTAGCTGAATATGTCTATCATTCCTTTCGTACTCACACCTCTACATATCAAATTATCTTTATTGAGGGAGAGCCGGTAACAACACATGAAAACCCATAAATGAATGCTGGTGAAGCTGTAACTAAAGGGGAAGTTTGGAAATGCTGGGTCTATGATGTGTCCAATAAAGATGTTAAATCTAACAAAACACAAGCATTTACTGTTTAAATCAGTCACCAATCTACACCATAAACTGATTCATTTGGAGACTGTGATATTCCACTGTAAACAAGATACCGTGTCAAAGTGACAGTCTGTTCTTTTTATTGCTTTATGATTATCGTAAAATGAATCATGTTCATAATCTGTGATTGGTGTTATAACCTTCTCTTGGTTAAATTCATTTGAAAGAGACTTGAATGTAAATGAAAAGAAAATCACAAAGTGAGGTGTGTTTTATCTTTACATAAATGAAGGAATATTTTCCAGAGTAATCAGCAGAAACTGAGAGAGATTCAGGAAAGCAGGTGATTGGCAGCAGTGTGTGATGATTGCTCAGTGCTCCTACCTTTGTGCCTCTTCATGTTGAGCTAATATTTGAGAAGATTTTTTGCTCTTTTTGTGGAAGCAGAAAGGTTTATTGATCAGGCTTGAGAAGGAGGAGTCTGCGGCGTGGAAATTAGTGCTGTGGCTCCATAGTCTTGTCCAGAGATCTGCCCCTCCGCCTAAAACAACAGCTACTGATCATTTTTCATTCAGCATTTGTCGAGGTGAAGATCTCCAGTGCACAGTGAAGCTGCTCAAATGAATACCATCTCATTTGGTTCTATTTCTCTGATGATTTTGTATGGACAAAGTGGCACCTCCTATCTTGTGAGAAGAAAAAAATCTGCTTTCTTTTAACTATCAAATGTTTTACTTGGGAAAATGTTAAAAAAAAGAAGACTGTTTCTGCAGTGTGTCTATCACTTCCTCTGACACTTACCCTGCATCAGCACTTTTAGTCAGCAAAAAGGAACTACATGGACATCTACAAAATCCTCTTTTAACTGGCCTCTGTGCTTACTTCTGTAATAATTAAAGAGCTTAGTGCTGGTTTTAGTTTGTTTCACATCCAGCTAAAAACTCCTTATCAGAGCTTTACCTTGCATTGAACTGCATATTATTTCTTCTGTGCCTGAGTGCAGTTGATCTATTATGATAACTATTACTATCTAAAGCTATCCAGTGAAGTAAGACCCCTACGGTACAGAAAGGCTTTTTGCCCTTTTTCACTCCAATGCTTGGCTAAACAAATCATCTTCCAGCTCGTTCTTTTTCTGGATGAACAGATCTGAGAGTGTGGTACCAATATTTTTCTCAAACTCTCCAGAAAATAGCAAAAATCTGAACAAAACATCTGCTCTGTTGCTCCAAGTACACACTTGTAAAGAATATATCAAGTAATTTTTTGACAACACTCTACTAACTCCACCATATAGTGCTTGGAGACCCACCCAGGCATCTAAAACCACAATTTTGTCTGTGATAGCATCCAAAGTAATTGATTGGTCTGTCACATTTCATGACACATAAGAATATACATGCTTGGTTTCATACCATGCAGACACCTGCGATCAATAAAATCAGCTTAACAGGCAAAGAAGATGAGTTAGTAGTTTGTGTCTAATTTGATTTTCATGGAAAACTGGTGAAGGCAAGCAGTTGATTTAAACTGGCATCTAAATTCGACACAATAGAGAGCACATGGAAAAAAAAATTTCCAGGGCTGCACGAGACGCACATGTGACAGCAAACTTTCCATGCAGACTTGTGTCAAGAAAGTATGTACGACACGTTTCATGAAAGACAATTTGGTCATTATTTTAGGAGAAGTGCAGGTATTTCCTGTCGTATGACTCAATCTTAATAAAAAACTGTTGCTCCGCTGAGACATTTTTAGCATATCAGCACCTGAAACTGTGGTCGCTTGGATTTTTCAAACAAACAAACAAAAATATCTAGATTTATGAAGTTTTACTTACAGCTGCTTTGGCCAACATGTTTGCATTTTGTCTCCGCAGATCTGATTTTATTAATCCTACCAAGACATAAAGACAGAAAGGAAAAATATTGCATTGAAAAATGAGCACACCAGTTATCCTTTACACAGCTAGAAAAACAAAAAAAAAAAAGGTCAATCACATTAATCCCACTGATATAAATATGTTTAAAAGTCATGTTAGAGAAATATTAGAGAAAAATAGTTGAGGTTGAACAGCATGGTGTAATAAAGTGGACTCTCCACAAGATGGCTTCACTGTGCAGACACATTTCATTCACAACGGTGGCTCTGTTAGTGTTTGCTTTGTGTTTCCCAACAGCAAATCCCAAGAGAATAACAATGTGCCTAACCTTCAAACTTTGCACTCTCAAATTATATAAAGAAAAAGGTTTGTTGTAACTTATTCATTAAGCTCGACTCTAACCGAAGGTGTAATGTTTCCCAACTAAATTTCCACATATTACAAAAGGTGCCAAACTGTTGGTGTACCTCCAAGACTCAACAGTTTATCACAAATCAAAGAAGTGGGAGTTCAGTCGCAGTTTTTCCACAAAACTGTTTTTTTTTCCCTTTGAAAACTGGTATGATGAGACAACAACTGAGAAGACTTTCATATCTAAATGTCAAACAAACAAAAAAACACAGTGAGTCAGTGTGATGACCTTTGTGCGCAGACAAGCCTTCTTACTTATTCTTGCAGTGTTTTTTTTTCATGTGTGAACAAAGTTAAGCGCTTCAGTGGCTAAAGCATTTTTAATGAGTGATACTTAGCTCATAAACCCCTCAATGGACCATGAAAAATGGCTAAAGCAGCTTAACTTTGACCCCAGCTAGACAGCTCAAATTGAACATCTGAAAACAAGCTGTGTGGCAAGAAATGAAAACTATTTAAAGCATGATTACAAACATAACTTTTTTAATGAGAAAAACAAAATGATGAGGACAACAAAATGTTTATGGATGCTGCTTTTCTTTGTTCTACTCAGACCACATGATGAAAAACACGTTGAGTGAGGAGAGAACAAAGAGGTCTGCCTAAACTTCCATTTAAAAAAGCACAGCGACTTTGAACTCTTTTAAGGTTAAACTGTCAGGAAACACAATTACGTAGGTTCACAGTATATTAAAATAGGTTTCTCACTCTCCAGGAAACACTAAATGTGTATCAAAGTGCAGCCCTGCATCTGGATTCTTGAAATCAAGAATGCACTTGCTGTATCACAGAAACTCATGACAGAAATAATAACAGATGGAGACAGTTCTTCGTGGTTGCTATTTGTAATAATATTCATTTGTTATGACTATGCACATGTTTTGCTATCAGAAGGTCTTACCTGTCATTATCGTGCCAATTAGAAGAAAGACACAGAGGAAGATGTTTCCAGCTAGTGTGCCAAAGCTGTCGATGATCTTCCCCTGGCAGATTGTGAAAATGATGCCAAACACCTGTGCATGCAAAAAAAAAAAACAACTGCTAAGAAAAAAACTGGTGTTTTAAACAGACCAAACACAAACACATGCATACTAACACACCCTCCAGCTACAACCAACAACAAAAACAAAAACAGCACTTACTCTGACTTTAATTACTTAGCAAATAAACCCAAGAACAACTCTCCAGTAGTCAGCAATGGTGCATTCAAGAAAAGTATGCCATTTAAACAGCAAATTTATTGAAACTTATTTAAAATCAATTAGCAGGTAGCTTGTAAATGTACATTTAAATGAACCAGCAGCTTCTGAAGACTTGTTTAAGCTATTGTTTTCTTGATGAACTTTTCTGAGTTTGAGTGGTTAAGGGCCCACTTTACTTCTGCAAAGCCTGCAGAAACAAACATTTTCCTCTCAGGTGATGCACAGCTTTTCAAAAACATTTTTTAAAGTTATATTTCAAGTCATTGAGCTGTACCTGTGCAGAACAGTTAAGGAGTCCTGAAGAAGTTCCTTCTGACTCTGGGTACGTCAGCTCAACAGCAAATTCAAATCCCAGCGGCAGATAGCCTGTCATGAAGAACCTGGACATATACACACACACAAAGAGCACATAACCCCTCATTACATTAGCAAAAGTTTATTTTTTCTGTCAAAATATAATTTTTCTGGGGCAAGAAGGCAGGATTTTCCACCAATGGGATCCAATAGTTTGTCTCAATAACACTCTAAACTGACCAAACACTATCTTTAGACAAACACCCTTCTCTTAGATGTCATCGTGTTTTACAGGAACAACAGGTTTGAAAGAATGGATCAGACAGTCTCCTTCATCAACAGCAACACCCTGTCCTCCCACTTCAGTGACACCAAATGAAACTCAATGACGAAAGTGTTTATTGTATATTGTAAAACAATATTTAAGACTTATGACACTATTCTAATCTATTCTTTAGCTCCACTAGAGAAGAAATACATAAGAGAATAGATGAAAACATAATTGTAACCATAGAAAATACAAACAATTTAAAGCTGCAAACGGCAATGAATGGGCCCTCGCACCTTGGGGTTTGGAGTGCATTGAAATGTGACAAGCAGGTGTAGAGCAGCTGCAGAGCAACACACTCGCCCTCTATCCCAGAGTTCTTGCCATGATCAAATCTTAACTAATCTTAACTATTTCTGGTCTATCACACCAATAAAGCCGTAATACTGCTTAAATAGGAGACGATTTAAAGGAAAATAGGAAAACTAGAGGAGCAATGTACATGATATCAGCCTTAAGTGAGGTTGTAACTGACAAACTAGCCTCTCAGACTGAATGTCACTCAGAGAAAGGATACTGCAGGGATTCACACTTAATTAAAACTTAAAAAGAGCACCAGAGATAAATAACAGAGAAACATTAACCTCAAAGAGATGGAGTGGCTGGAAACAGATTGTAAACATACAGAGGCTTCTAAATGTTTACATTTGTAACTTACAGACATAAGTGGCTTCATGGCTAAAAATATCAAGTAACTACGTACATGAATCCTCTTTAAGATGAACTGCAGCATGTGACCGACTTTTTGACAATTGCACGTAGGTGGATGTAAATTGCCACAAACAAATACAAATAATGAAATAATCTACCTTCTTAAAAAATTTTCGAGACAACATATTAACAAATTCATGTACTAAATAATTAATAAATCTTTCTTTATTTTACTTAAGCCTACAATACAGCAACTATTTTAGCAAAATGCATATCAATAATAATCCCCGGGGTTCCAACAGGGGTCTCACACCCTTTGTGCTTGCCCCTCAATATACAACAGGTGTATTAACAGTAGGCCAGGAATTCCAGCAGAAATATTAAGCTAGCCAAACTCATTCAGAGGTTATGACTACAAGACACAAGATCTGTTTTTTTCTTCCTCTCTTTAAAGATAATTTTAGACAGATATGCACTGCAATACTTATCTAAAAGGAAAAGTCCTTCCTTAAATTCTATTTTTATAACTTTTTTTGATTACTTTTATTAATCCCACTTTTGGTATGTTTATTTTATTTGTTAATGTTATTTACCTATGCTTTAATAAAAAAAGATACAGAGAGAAATAAAAAATGAATGAACTTCTTTACTTTGTCACATGTGCTTTCCTCTCCATTGAACATGAGACCGTTTAACCTCTGCTCCACATATGACTACAATCCTGTGTTTCTATGTTAAAGGGCAGATCTTCATCCTAGGTCTCAGGGTGTGATGTGTAAATGCTAAACTTGAAAACCTCGAAGGCTCAGAGGGCTAAATAAACAAAGTTGTAAATTATTGGTGCATGTGTCAACAGAAATAGCTGACTTGCAAAAATGACAAAAAGAGAGATGAGTGAATTTAAATGGGAAAGAGTTGCACAACTTTATATTTGTGAGTCAATTAGGTTAGTTGAAGAAACACAGACATCTGACTTAGAATAAGCTCATTGTTAGAGCTACTGTGCTTGCATTTCAGTCTGTTTCTATTGACTTATACTGCCACAAGTCATGAGTGTTTGGTCTTGTTTTGGTATTAAATTTACTTGTAGAACATACAACACATATAGTACATTCAATATTATTAAATGTCAATGTCTACTCCTAAACAAACAACACACAAGGTAGAATTAATGCATTAAAAAGTACCCAAGAGCTCCAGCGGTGATGAAGACCACCCATAGGTGTCCCAGACTTAGTGTTGCAGCGTACACTATCATCCCCACAAGAGACATGAAGTAAACGACTAGAGTTGTCTGCCTGGAGAAACATGGAAGAGGCACAATATTCAACTCTTTCATCAACCATATCATGGTAAATTGCATTACAGTAGGCTGCTTGTTATGGAATTTATGAATCTACTGAGATTGCAGTAACAAGAAAACAGTATGCTCAGAAAAAGGATAGCTTTGCTATGCGTTCAATACATTTAGAAACTACACACAGCATAGGCTAATACTAAGAACAGATCTTCTTGGCTAATCTTGACTGTTGTGAAGGAAGGAACCGAAAAACAGTTTGATGTTGTTTCCATTACAGGGAGATCATAAGCGGTTATTACTAACCCTAACTTTAACTGTGATAAGTGCTTAAACTTGATTGGTCAACATACGATTATAAGGGGATTATTCCTAAAGAGCAAAACTGATGTTAGGAGCAGTTTGGTTGCACACCATATCAAATCAAGTCCGTAACAAGGATTCTGACACATTTTATCTCTGCATTTTGACAGTGGTAAAATGTTGGTTGCTATGAGCATTAGAAATTGGCAAACTTTGTGAAATAAACAGGTTTATTCCACAATAACTGAGGTCTTAGGAGTTGAGAAAAAAAGGACAGTCATGGACAGCCAGGAGAAACTTAAGTATGATTTCAACATTTTGAATGAATGCTGCTAACTTTTAGCTGATTAATGTCAACGGAAATCTTACATCTAAAATCTTTCTCTAAACAGTCTTACACAAAATTCCTGGGAACTACAAAGTCTATGAGATTGGGCAATTAGTGTAATTAACATATCTGTGGGAGTAAGTGAAACAGAACAAAGCCAGATCTGATCGAACATGCCCCTGCATCTATGTAACAAACACGCCTGATCACAGAACAAAAGACTGAGGGGGTTTAATAAAACCCGCCCCCTGGTCAGACACTTAGAGGTAGAGATCAGAGATCACTGTAACAGCAGCAAGCGGCAGCTGGATAAACAACACACACAGCCCCAACAGCAACATAAACACTAAACAAGCACAGCAGTGAGGAGAGTTCATTAATCACAATAAACAGAACAGAAAAAGTTTCTTCAGCAACAAACACAGCTTTGTTTTTGAATCTCTTTTTGATGCTTGAAACTCACTTGTAGGTTTTAGTTTTATCCAACCAGATTCCACAGATCAGGGAGCCAACCATCCCTGCAATGACTATAGTGAGGCCGATTCTTCCAGCATTCACCTCTTCTCCCTGGGGGGTCGAGAAAGATGGAACAAAGACTGTGACCTTACATACCATGTGAGGGCAGGGCAGCTTTAAAGTGAGCAGCAATTACTTCAAACAAGGGAGTTCTTCTGAATAATTCCTGAACTGAAATTTAAGTTTCATTCAGCAGAATTATTTCATGTATACACCATTGTGCTCATACTTCAAAAAATAAGAAAATATGTTTTCCCTATCAGCTCCACTCATTTGATACCAAAGAGTTTTAATACAGACATTATTACACCCATCGCTTTAACTTCTATAACAGACTAAACTTCTGGTTAGAAATACCTGCTTGGATTAAGAGTATTAAATCACGCTCATTTATGTTGTCGGATTATTTCTGTGGATTAAAGGTTACAGCTAAAGCTGCAGATTTGTGAGGAAATAGGAAATGTATTAACTTCAACCTTTAAGCCTTTGAGTGAACTTAGAACAGATATCAATAGAATAAATACCAAAGCCAGACACTATTGTGCACACATTTGCCTATACTTTCCCTCTCTCCGTATAACAATCGAGTAGGCAGAACTTACAGGATAATGATCAATGATCATGCGGTTCAGTAGGGTCCCGACAGCATAGAAACAACCCACGTTTAAACCTGTAACGATGGAAAAATATAATCAAATGAGGTTCAAATACCACAAAGAAAACTCAAGTTAAGTTTTCCTTTTGAGTGAATAATTAAATGTTTTCATGTGAGAAGTGAAAGAGTTTTAGTTTCCAGTTATGACAAATGAACCTTATCAGGCCAGTTTCCAAAACAAACCTTTCCTGAGTCGTCAAAGATTCCTATAAAAGGACAAGTCTACACTGAGTGCTTTTCCTGAGAAAGGTGAGATGAAGTCCTTTACATAGACACAGATCACACCTGCTTTAAAACACTTTTACAAATGTTCATAAATATGATATGAAAGAAAACAGTAAGAGGATAAACCTGCTGAAGATGTCATCTTAATCAAAACTAGCCTGGTACTTGATCTTAACTGTACATTCAGTTCATCAGCTATAGCTCTGAGTGAAACAGACAGGGACATGTGTCACAATCACAGGTAAACCTGAGACATAGTGAACTCATGTGGCAGCCCAGAGATCACACACAGGAACAAACACTAATAATAGTCACGAGTTGTGTCATGTGACATGTCACAGGAGGGCAAGGCTATGTTTCCTCAAACTGCTCACAGCTGTTTAAGACAAAGTAGCTGCTGTGACTTGACAAACTTGACTTCTCTATCCCAGTCTATCCTAGAGTGCTTTCACTTAAAAAAAAAAAGTTTGACCTTGTGGTCAGGGTGAAGAGATACATTTGTAAAACATTGTCAGACTGTAAGCAAACTTTGAACCCGATCACATTAGACACTCATCACTGCTTTATGAGCTTTGGACAAATCATGACTAGTGTCTTCTTTTAAGGGATTTATGATCAAATAAACATTTAAAGACCACAATGAAACACTCATTGATGTGGAGGTGTGTGTTGGACAATCACTATATCTGGTAAAACTTTCACGCTGGAGGATCAATTTAACACCAATTGTGAGAATTCACAGTGACAACTAAAACTAATATATATATATATATATATATATATATTATATTATGTTATTTTATATTTTATTTTATTATATTATATTATAAATATACTGTATATATATATATATACAACAATCCTTTGTAAAATTACAAATTAAAGCATATCTCAAATTATACAGAGAATAAAGAGAATGGAAATGACTGACCATAAGTGATGATGAGGAGGATGAAGGGCTTGTTGCGGAGCAGCCTGAGGATGGAGGCAGTGTAAGAATACTGCTCTGGTGGAATAAGACGAGCTGTGGCTTGGGCCTGGGTTGGAGGAAGTTTTGGACGCTCCTGGAAGACTGAAATAGGGAGAAAAAAAGAGAGGAAAAAATAAAGCTGTTTCAGTCAGCCTCTTTCCTAGTGAAAGCTCAGGCCCTCAGGCCTCATTTAGGAGACTTTAACATCTGTCTGTACTTGTTCTTGCAGCTGAGACAGCAGCTGACTTGACCTGAGGGTTTGTGATCACTAATCTGATCAAATTTAACAAACCTGTTCTTAGAAAAAACTTCTCTGGCAACACACAAAGACTTTCAGTTGGACATAAATAAAGCTAAATTCTACTACAAGTGAAGTCAATGGTATTTAAAGGAGACAGTATGTTTTATTTAATCAATTTATGAAAATGATTTATGCATGCCAATCTGACAACACCTCCCCTTACTTAAGCCCTTACTTGAGCTGACCAGATCCTTCTACTGAGGTACTCTCGCTGCCAACCTCCTTCAAACAAACCAGCAGCCAAACACCTTCACTTACCTCGTCCTGCTTAAACTTGGTGCTACTTAACACAAGAATGAAGCTGTTACCGTATAAATGGTTGATGAGAACTTATATCTCTGCAGTTAAACTAAATAGCTGGTCCCCTGGTATTCCAGTGAGGGGCTACATTTTTATTTGATTTTAGTTTATCTATTTATTTGTCTATTCTTTTTATTATTATTTTTATCTCATTTTATTGAATTATCTATTTCGAATCTTTCATTTTATATTTGTGTATTAGTAAACATATGTATAGAGTTGTGCATTTGTATGGTTTGGATGTCTACATATGCGCTGTTTATTTGGTGTGTGCTGTATTGTATGCACATTTATGTAAATATTTGTTAAAGTTTTTCTCAGCAATATGTTTACTTCTGTGTAGATTTTATATTTTGTAAAAAAAAAAAATTGGTGCTGATCTTTAGATCCTGGGATTTTGTCTGTCCTGCTGACTCAGAGGCCTGTTGCATGGCTACAGATGGCCCAGAGGGTGGGCTACATGTGTTAGTTGATGTGTCATATTATGAATCTACTGTGGGCCAACTGCTGTGAATTAACTCACTGGAGTGACTAAGAGCTGGATCAGTTACTCTTCTTACCCAGAGGTCTGTTACAACCCCATTTCCAATGAAACTGGGACGTTGCGTAAAGTGTGAATAAAGAAAGAAAACAATGATTTACAAATCCTTTTCAACCTATATTCAATTGAATACACCACATAGACAAGGTATTTCATGTTCAGACTGATACCTTATTTTTTGCAAATATTCAATTATTTTGCCCCTGTCCCAAAATACTTGGGACAGAGTCAAGTAAAGTCTGGGAAAATTAAGGAATGTTCTAAAAACACCTGTTTAGAACATTCAGCAGGTGAACAGGCTCATTGGAATAAGTGAGGGTCATGATTGGGTATACAGTAAAAGAAGCACCCCTCTTACCAAATTAGCATAAGAGTTGTGTTTATCCCATGAGTTTATTTTTTCCTCGTGTCAAGGGGCCCCATGCAAAAATAAAACTTTTACAATGACAAACTAGAAAGTTGGAACATCAAATTTTAAGACGAATAAATTAAACTTTCCAGTCAGCTGTATCTCAAGAGACGGGCTTGATTCTGCATTTTAAGGTGTTCCATTAACAGCACAGGCAGTTGACTGTCTCTGAATGTTATGTGTGGTGTTACTACAGAATGCCATCACAAGGATTCTTTTGTATTTCTGAATGCAGCAGCACACCAACAGGCTCTCCCACCCTGACTCTGCTGTGACAGCACAACAGCTTCTTCATACAACTTGTTCCTCCTCTTTGAGAACCACCCTGTCCTCGCTTCTTTAAAATAACACATACTTATCAAATTGTTCATAGCCACATCCTTATTAATCATCTTTACACTCAACCACCTCCCCATTCAATTACACGTGATCATAGTTCCTCCTCACTTAAGTAGGACAGAAACACTGTTCTAATAACTACCTGCAACAAGCATACAATGCAAATAAAACTCTTGACAAAGATTATTCCATGTTTGATTGGTGGAACAAAGTGAAAAGTATTCAAAAAACATTTAGCAGCAAAGTTTAAGAGTTTAACCAACCATCTGTGCTTGCTTACTTAAAATCTGTTATGCTAATCAAGTTGTGCCACCTTCCTCTCAAACAAAATATGATCAAGGCATGTTGCGGTCTAAAAGTACCAAGTACTGTTCAGAAAAATACTGATCCTGTTCAGCGTGCTGAAATGCTCTTTATTTGGTTCCCATTCCCATGATCTTCCTGCTGATCCTACGAGTACCACAACAGTGTCTTTTCTGTCAAACCCCCTCTTCAGAGAGGGTTTTGTGTTTTGTGCAAATATCCTGGTCAGCACTTCTCTTATTCAGAAAATGGAACTCCTTGTCAGAGGGTAAATGAAAACCACCACCAGGTAGGCCCATTCAATGAGAACATTTTCAACGGGCAGACAAAAAGACACTCAAACATTACATTGTGTCTATTTAGTTGCATCACTGACCAGTTTACCTCTTTGCCCATTCATCAAAAATCTGTGGCAACACAGTACCGTAAATTAGACACAATTTGACATGACTAAAAAATTTAGTTTATCTAAATTTTATATAAAATTCAACACTGCTGAACCTTCAATATGATTGATTTGATGAACACTGCCCTCATTTGAATGCAATTGAGGAAAGTGAATTTCTCTTCTGCTATCTAAAGACTCAAGAAATCCAAACTGAAGAAAACATTCACACCTCCACTCTGGGAAATTCTCTGAATTAACTCATGACTGAGTTAAGGAATGTCTTTGGAGCTACTGTCTATTGGCTGAAAAATCAAAAACCACCTGAGTGGCCACATAAAACATGAATTTGTTAGAAAAAAAATTGGTTGACTGCAAAAACACTTATCTTACCAAAGACGACAAGGATGAAGAGCAAGGTTGCCACTCCAGCTGTGATGTAGAACATAACTCTTATGTGATCAGCCAGCTCGTCTAAGTTGTCCACATTTGGCACAAGGATAGGAGGCACCAGGAACCCAATGGCGATACCCAGCTGCAAGAAAAGTAACATATAACTCATAACTGTTTTCTAGACAATATAAAATTAGATTAGCTGAAAAAAAGAGGAATTGTTTTTAACTTTGAACCCTATTTACCAAAAATAAAGTTAAAATGTTTGCCTCTGATGTCAAGCTAAGAATAATTTTTATAACTAATTAGGTAAGCTTTCAGCACCTTAGTGGCAAAAGCTCATGCTTACACTTGCTTAGATTATTGTTAGCTACTTAAAACTTTGCAAGCTAAGAATTCCAACCTGTTCGGTCACATTCTGCAATACTATCAAACAGTCTTGTAATATTAGACATTAGTCAGATTTCAGATCAGTCACGATTTTCTTCTCTTGCCAGTACAGCCAGCATCATCAAAATAATATTAGTCATATTTCTGGTATTTTTACATTAGAAAAAATGGAACAGACTACTATGACAGTATATTATATATACAAACTAGCCTCACCCTGAGTTTTGAAGTTTTTGGTGTAAGCTGATTTACATGACCAACAAAATAGTTTTACAAGTCTGTTGAAATAATGTTGTTGTTACACAGCTTTGAGTACGGATTATTATGTAATTTTAAAAGATATTCTGTCTTATCAAGAGCATATCATATGGCAATACCTATTTTAGTCTATATCTTTAGTATTCAAATAGATGTGAAATCAGTTTTGACCATCAGTTTCCGCCAGAGACTACTTTGCATGAGCATGACAGTGGACTGTACTGTATGAAAGACAATCATATTTTCCTATAACTATTTCTTTTTCAATTGCAATATGAACAATATCAATATCAACAGCATCTCTGTCATCTGTTTCACTCAAAATTCGACAATTTGGAAAGGATTGTAACATTAAACTGGCTACAACAATACAGAGAACCACATACAGGTTTCAACAAATGGTTAACACAATATCCCTCGGCCCCTCACACCAAGACACTAGAAGTCTTACACAACTTTGGCATCCAGTGCAGCCCTGCATAATCTACAGATGGCTCTCAGACAGACTGGCTTAGTGAACAGAAAAAAGTATTGTAGTATTCAGACGAACCTGGTTTCCAAGAACTCCTATGGAACAAGCCGTGGAAACCTCTTTCTCTCCAAACCACACTGAAGCAAGGTAAGAGGGTATACCAAGGACAAACACGGTGGCTACAGAGCAAATAAATTGGCCAAAGAAGGTGACTGGGAAGAATTCAGGACTGGCACTACCAATTTTTATCCAAGCACCAATGCAGTTAAATGCTGCCCCAACGAGGACCACATCCCGGATCCCCCTGTTGTCCAGGAGCCAGAGGACAGGCAATATCAGAGGGATGTAAGTGAGGAGGTAGATCATGGACAACCAGTCAATTGCCAAGGAGCCAATGTTGTAAAATCGCACGAATATATTACTAATAATGCCATACTGAAGCCACATGAAGGAATTACTGGCTGAAACACAGCTGAACAGAAACAGCATGACCCAGCGGCGATGGTAAAGTTTGGCCTCACTCTTTGGAACCAGCTCAGCTTGGTCAGAGTGCAAAGCCTCGACGTCTAACCGTGAACTGATGGAGATGGCTCTGCCCAAAGGTCCTGGACTCCACTGCAGCGAAGCAAAGCCTGGAGCGATATTCTTTGCAGCTTTGGACCCAGGCCATTCTTCAACACCAAGACCAGGATTTGCATGGTTGTCTTTCAAAGTATTGTTTTGTGGCATTTTCACCTTCCTAGAGTGGGCCCACACAGTGTGAGAGGTAAGGGGGCTTAAACTTTAAGAGCTTGTGTCCGGACAGCTTGCCGTCCTGTGTGCTAACTGCCTGTTGTGAAAAGACGCTTTATACGAAGACAGCGGAGAGCAGAGAGTGAGTGCAGTTGGAGTTACTGGAGTCCATTCACAACTCACATATCTGCACATATCTTCAGACCTGTCATGTGATGTTAATACAGAAAATCTTCCAATTCCACCTAGACCACTCCTACAAACTCAGGCCTTTGGAAGCCTTTGTCTGAGTAAAAACAAGGATGGGGAGAAAACTAAACATGTTCCTCTGTTGAACTTTAGTTTACTTTTCTGTTAACAGTAACTTATTTTTACCTCTGTTTTGCCACGGCATGTTAAACAGTCAGAGAATTTGTTATTTATCAACAAAAGATCCCTGTACAGTTGCTTGAATGTTTCATTTCTGAAGTTCATTCTTTGACATTCTGCTTAAAATATTTATTTTACCATGGACCTTGAATGAATTATGTCATGTAATTGTAACTTCTGTGTGAAAGGCAAAAAAGCCATTTGTAAGGAACAAAGTAACCTCTGACACAACACAATATGGGGACTGTTTGCAACAGCCATAGGCTCAACTGTCTTGTAAATGGACACATCTGAGAAAGCTGTTTCTCATGCACAAAAGATAGAAGCCCTCTGCTGTCAAAAAAAACCCCTCTGAGAACTCATCAGGCTTTATGCAGGAGTCAGCAGGTACAATGTGAAAATGGCTGTTTGGAAGTTTATTCAATACAGAGCTATTGTGTGTTCCAACTTTAGGCCTGCATGCTGCTGTATTGAGAGTTACACAAAGCAACTTTTCCTGGACTGAATGATGACTTTTTGGTGACATTTCACTGAACTGTAAGTTGACTCAAGTGTTGTTTGGAGAAACTCTTTGAATGTCAGATTTGATACTTGTTACTGATACAGTGGCACGATTCTGATCTTTGAAATCCTGTCTGCTGGTCTGGTGCCTTCCCAAATTTTGTTTTTAACATGAAATATACAGTCAAATTAAATTTTCAATGTAAATTAAAAAGCACTAAAAAACAGCCCTATGGGTATGGCGTACAGCCTGGTTTTATAGTTGATGTTTATATAGCCAGGAAAAAAACTCACTGAGATTAAAAATGTCTTTGTCAGGCTTGTCAGGCAGCAGCATCAATGTTTCAGACAAACCGAGGGCAGTCTTGCATTTATACGTAATACAAAACATATGATTACAAAACTCTCAAATGCATGAGAAAGATTGATTAAAATATATATGTTACATATTCTATTCATTAGGATTTAAAATTGAGTACATACCACTTTGCCCTCCCCCTCATTGGGCCAACCATATGAAGGAAGACCAGACTAACAGTAGCAACTCAAGCAGACAGTCCAAAAGTGTCCTGAGACATATTACGTCCTCAGGGGAAGTGATATACTGACAAACCACTCCACAGTCAAAAGTAAACTGTTTGACATTTCAACACCCAGTTGTAAACATGTCTACTCCCTGGAATTATCTGACAATCCTTGGGGGTCAGGACCCAAAGATTTGGCATTACTGATTTAAGTATCTTGAGCTGCTTACAGCTTCAAAATATGCATTTAAATGTGGTACAGACAAAACGTTTTGCTCTGTTATTTGGCATCAATTCTTCTATGACAGAGGTCACACCAGCCTTAGCATGGTAAATGAGTTCCCTCCCTCCTTAAACTGGTGTCTTTAGTGTCTTATATCCATCAAATTTGCAAAAGACATGTAGAGTTAGCCATGCGTTTCATGCAAATGACTTCTCAGGAACTTCGAGTTTATATAGGATCGTTAGTGTGCAAAGATCTCCTTTTAATATGTTAGGCATGCTTTTGACATGGTAAAATAAATATTTTCCTTCATCCGAGTTTGATAAATTGGTGATTTATTGGTTGTGAGCTACAATCCATGAAGTGCTACAAGTGCTAAATCGGGTCACTGGTGACAATATGAATGAATTGTTTTACCCTACTATCAGACGAATCGTGATTTCTGTCTGCTTTATTCTCGCACTATCAAAAACAATTAGGTCTAAACATAAACTTGGTCGCCTGGTCGTGCGTAATTACGCAAACGTGCCAAACAGATGAGGGGATGTCCAAAAGATCAGTGGACGACTATAACACAAAGCTATAAATGGATGATCGAGTAGGTCGAGGCTTTACTTGACCTGGTTACTGACTGAGAAGAAAAGACTCTGTCCACATCCTACCTGATTTCCGAAGACACCGATGGAGCAGGCTGTGGAAACCTCCTCTGAACCAAACCAAACCGACGCGATCCTGGACGGCATCCCGAGGATGAACACCTGCGCACACGAGCAGCAAAACTGGCCCAGAAATGTGACAGCAAAAAGATTAGGTCTGACGCTGGCCACCTTAATCCATGTTCCCGCACAGTTGAGTGCGGTAGCCACGAGCGCGATGACCCGGAGCCCCTTTTTGTCCAGCAGCCAGGTGACCGGGAAAATGAATGGGATATAAGTGAGCATGTAAATCATAGACATCCAGTCTATGGTGAAGGCATCGACGTTGTAAAACTTCATGAAAATGTTGTTGATAATGCCATACTGGATCCATTGGTAGGAGTTGCACAGTGAATAGGAGCTAAACAGGAGGACGATCAGCCAGCGCCGCTTGTACAGACGGGTGGGTCGCTGTCCTTCTTTCCCGTCCTGCTCGCACTGATTCCCAGCTCGCGTCTCCACGTCACCCGTCTCCGGCTTAACATGGTTTTCGGTGTCCGCCTTCGTTTCATCTTGGGTTAGTTTAGCGATTTCTGGCGCTTGTTTCTCGCCCATGTTATACTAGTGTCCTCGATGCTCTCATGGATTGTGAAGTTTACGCTTTATATTTCACAGAAAGTTGCAGACAGTCGCTCTGTTTCGCGGGTGAGCAGTAACCCTCAGCGTTTCCTCTGGAACCGTGACAACAAGCACTCTCACAACTTCATGCCTTCAACCAAAAGTAAAAGATCAGTCATAGTCTGTCTGAAATATCCTCTCTTTTTACCGGGATCTCTAAAAACTAAAAAGTTTGTCCTACTCTCTTTGTCAGTTATTTCATTTCCTCTTCGAGTTTCCGTAACCCAACGAATCGAGTTTACGCATACAGCCTGTACAGTTTGAATAAATATGAGACATATGTAATTTCATTTCCCTTTATGTCGGAGGTTTCCGAGTGTTAACACGTGTGGGAGCGTCCAGAGTGACCCTCCACCCGGACCTGAAACCCGCTTTAAGTTCTTGAAACAAGCCGGAGGCTCAAGGGCGGAGTTTCGTGTTGTGTTCTCTGTAGGCCTATTATTTGAACAGCCTGTAAAACTCATATCAGACAATTTTAATGCTCACATAGCCTACGATTCTCCCCTTTTACAGTGAATTCGGTGGGGGATTTACGTGTGAGACAACTTTAGTCCAACTTTAGCCTCAATATGTTGCGGCTGTAACGACGTATATTTTTAGTTTAAATTAAGAGATAATGCCATTGTTAAAATGTGGAACGAATAAAGCTCGAATTGAGATCGAGGGAACATATTTTTATTCGTCTAGGACAACTTTAAATGAGACTTTTGTACCTCACGACAGACTGAAACCTTCGCCTGACTTAAGGTGGCCAGCGCCATCTATCGGTCTTCAGTCATCAACACAAGAGAACGGTATAAAATAACTAACGACGTAATAAATACATTAAAAAATAAGACAAAGGACCAAAGTAGATCCAGTAAAAGGCATCACATTTAATAAATATCTTTGCTGGTTCTTTTGACATATGCCAGCATTTTCCCAGTGCACAAGTTAAGACCCCTTCACTGCCCGTTCCTCCTCCTTTTTTTGGTTCATTTTGGCCATTTTCTTAAGGATCTTGACTTTACATTCTCTTTGTCCACAATCAAAATTGTCAAAAGCTCCTGAGCGCTAACCATCTACATTTACACACTGAAACACATTAAACACATGAGAAATTTAAAACATGAAAGAAGTGCTCCCAGTAATGTGGAAAATAAGCAATTTACAAAAATACTATCTTCAGTGCCCCAAACATACAGAGGGTCGTTTTTTGTTGTTCTGATGTAAACATAGACTGGTAGATAATTCTACTGAGTTCACATACTGATACAAAACAGATGAGAGCAAAGGCGTGAGCAAAAACAAAATAAATACTCTTGAATACTGCATGGTGTGGTTTGGGCTCCATACTTTCATTGGCTGGCGGACATGTTGAATGATGATTTACACTTATAGACACATCTCCACTTAGTCTCTCTTTCTATATTGAGGTCAGTCGTCTGTTCACAGCAGGTCCTGGGTCAGATCAGTGCTGGTAGTGTGGTACAGTGATGTGCTGGTGGTAACTGCTGTGATGAGGAGGGTACAGGTGGTCTGAGGAGGTCTGAGGAGCCAGGCCGGTGCACAGAGGCTCGTGGCTGCTCAGCACAGATGACAAATACTTGGCCTCCTCTGTCAGTTGCTTCACCTCCTTCCTCAGGGCAGCATTCTCCTTCTCCAGGTTCTCACTCTCCTTCAAACAAAAAAAGGGAGGAGATGTTTGAGCACAAATGCCATTTCTTAGCTGCCAAAAGGGGTCTGCTTGTGTGGTTGTGAATCTAAATCACATATAAGAAATATACGTTTCTGGACAGAACATCCATTCTGCAGCATTAACACACTGTCTTGCTGGTATTTCCGCATGTTTGTGGACTTTTTTCCTGATGTAAATATAGGTACTTTTTTGCCTAATATTCTTACATGCGTTTGCTAAAGGTTGGACCACATCAGTCTTTTGAGTCGTCAAACAATTTGGTCTACATTAATTTCTGTAAAGACTTAAATAACTTGGCTCTGTTGTTGTGCTCATTTGTGTTCTGAGGAGCTTTCTTTCCTTGGGACGTTGGTGTTCCCTTGACTTTGAATGTCGCACCACTGAAAAGGCTGACATTACCAAGAAATTTTGACCTCACCTACCTTTTTCACATGGCCAATTACAATTAAATTACTGGCAAATCTCTGACTTTTCCTCGGGCATCTTATCATCAATTTAAAATTTTGAATGGCTGTGTGTATGTAATGTTACCTATTAAAAATATGGCAATCTGAAACTATGAACTTAGTGAGCTTTTGTAAACTCAATACTGTCCAAAACTTCACTGAAGGTAATTCAGGTTCCAATAACTCAACAAACATTTATAGTGAGTCTGGACATAAAACGTGAAACAGATTTACTGTGATCCATCAGCATGATCAAAACTTGTATGCTCTCAATACCGCTTGGTTTCAATCACCCCTAGCCTGAGCATTATACAATCCAAGCCAAGGATCTCCAGTGTATTTATAAAGGAATGATGCACAAACTAGCATAATACTTAATTATTCCATGCCCCAGCCAGAGGCTAATTAAAGTGGGAGTATTGTGCTTTGGTGTCCATACTAGATGTACGCAGAGTTTCAAAGCATGAGATAAATAAATTTTGTCACAATCCTAGAAAATAAATGTAAACTGCTTAAATTTCAGCCAAAAGCGAAATTATAGTTGTGTGAAGTTTACTAAAATTCTGACCTAAGAATTATAGACTTACTGGCTATCTGAGCTTCCAGCAAAGCAGAACAGCCTGATCCCAAAAGTGTGGTGAGGTGACACCATACACTGTGTATAGGATATACACCATAACATATTCAGTCTATGAGCTTTGCCCTTGGCCAGCCTCTGGAAAGCCTCTAGAGAGGTGGTCAATCAGAAAAAAGTAGGTATGAGGAGGGGGGACCTTAAAGAGACAGCAGCTAAAATAAAGCATTTTAGGCCGAGGCTGAAATAATGTTTTAATACACGACTGTAAGAAATTTGAGAATTTGTTCTTTCTGAAAATCATGTAAAGATATTAAAGAGGTATCAGAAAGGAAATACGGAGTCTGAAAAAATGCATAATACCCCACCTTTAAAATTTACAAAACGTACGGTATATTTTTTCTCTAAATACTGTTACCATGTCAGTGTTATGGCCATGATTCTTTGACGTTTTTATACTTGAATCTTGTGGTCATCTGTTATGCATTTTTGTGTTTAAAATGCTTTATAATTCAAGAAAATGTCAATGTCAGGTCATGTCCATGATAATGGACTGTCAGTGTTCAAGTCAGGCCATCAAAAATGTCTCTGTGAAAAAATGATGATAAACTATGAAAAAATAGTATTCTTTAAAAACAGCCAAACGTGGTGGAAGGCTGTACGATTTGTCGTGCATGAAAGATAAAAGAATTAGTTTTCTGTCAGGGTTAACTTCAGATGTGCTACCATTACCACAGAACCAAACACTGGGGAGGGGTAGACTCACTGTGCCCCTTGTGTGCAGATACAGCCATTTTAAGGCATCTTCTATAAGGCTGTGAGGTAAGCCTGAATCAAAGAAGGGAACAATAGGTTTAATAATGAAAAAAGTGCAGCCTGTAGTTTGTCTGTGCAAAAGAGAAATACAAAATAGTTTGTATTTTAAGGAAGTATAAGTACCTACAAACGTTTAATGCCCGAACGATATGGTAACATACAGTATGTTGAGAAACTACGGAAAAAACAATGCACAAACAGACAAGAAAGCAAAAGGAAAAGGCACTCAATTGATGTGTTTTGTTCTGGTAGATCTTAGAAATTTTCTGAAACAAATAATTTCTTAACAATTTAACTTAAATTTAAATTCTAAATACGGGTAAATCCAAAGATGAGACCAACACACAAAAAATTGCCAAAGTTGAGGACGACCAATCTAAAACTGTTACTAGGATCACAAAGTCTGCAAGTAAACAATGTCAAAGTTGTTTGCAATGTGGCCCACAATAGTTAAACTAGCACCATCAGCCTATGGCATCCTTGTAGTTTAGCGTCCACATCTCCGTGCTGCCTACAAATTGCTCAAGTCTAGTAATTATGACAGTTTTAACTTGGCAAAGCCAACAAATAACCTTATCTCCATTTGCATCTCTAAGTATGCCATGTGTAGAGATGCCATCTGTCATTTGTGCATTATAGCATTGTGGCAGTAGCCATTTTTTCATTTGACCCATTATTCTGGTGCCAACTGGCAAGGGTTTTTATTGCTGTCAACTAAATTTGCATCTTAGAAGAGCTACTGTTTCATGAAAATGGAAAATCACACATAAATATAGTATTCTTGTAAATAAATGTTTAGACTTATTTCTGTAAAAGATTGTAGAGCAGGGCTTTGTCATTTAAATTCAACTTCACACACACAACCTTTACACTATGAGCAGCCTGCACATCACCCACACCACAAACAGAAGAGGTATCAAAAGAACTTCTCTAAAGTGCCTATCTGATGATGAACTATGTAGAGCAAACTGCACGTAATTTTTCTGGGGCTGTTGTGGGAATAGCAGGCGAGAAATCTCCCACTTGGTTAATGAAAAGGTCATCTAACCATGGCCTAAAGATCATAATAACATTTATTTGTAGGCCTTAACTGTCACAGGAGCTTTGGGCAAACCCCTGCACATGCGTCACTTAGCCAAATACAGCCCACTGCTATCAGCGCCTTACAAGAAGTGACTGCTTTTTTCTCCCCGACTGCCCACGACGTACAATTTCAAGCTCAGTTACACTGAAGAAAAAATTACTACTGAGGAAACAGGAAATAAGCCGCAGTGTCATAGAGAGGGAAAATTCATCTTCCTGTTTATCTATTGAGACGATGAAAGTAAAACCACAGACTCTGCTCTGTGGTCCCCTGGTGTTCTTTGTGACTGTGACACAATTTAAAGAGATCAATGATATACAACATACTTCACCAGAAACACTCAAATCTAAGGATCTACTACTGCCCACACTGTGGTTTTTTTAATAGGTCAAAATCTTTCTATCTCATCTGATTAAGTTCACAGTAACAGCTGCTCTAACCAGCCTGGTGTCAAAATAACAAGTAACAACATGCAGACATGGTTAAAGATATTTTGTCATTTTGGTAAAAAGCTAAAGAAACCGAAAAATGTGCTATCTCTCATTCACAGACAGACTGACTCACCCTGTAGACTGGCCATTTACCTTTCTTTGAAACAATCCGCACTGAAGGATCATAGGGGGTGGGGGGGCATAAACAACCTTGCACACTACTTCTGTTATGAAATTCAGTGCTGCAGTCTCTGGCTCAATTCTGCAGCAAAAGGGAGAGATTGCCCACACGTGCTAATTTATTCCTGAAGCTTCTGCAAACACACAGAGAAGCATCCAAGTGTGCAGCCCAACAGAAGCCATGACACATCGCCACATGGTCAGGTAGCATCTTGTAAATATAGTACAAACTGTATCCTTGAGGACTGAAAGTGCTGCATGAGCACAGAGAAAGCACCACAGACTGTTACTGTAAGTTTGTTACCATACATAGAAATGAAAATTGATCACGCTGCACAATGTAACCTAACTCTTTTACCCTCCAGCATGAGAATACTGAGAGGACAACTTGACAAATCTTTGCGCAGTTATTTGCAAAGTTATTCCCAAGTCCTACTGTATATTTTAAATATGGCCAAATGTCTGAGTATAATCTGATTTGCAACCAGCGTACAGCACATTAAACCTTTTAAAAGGAAGTATGTTGGTGACAAAAACCAAATCAATTTACCGTTTTTGGTAGTTCCGCTTAAAATTCTCCATAACTTGACGTACAGAGCATATGCACACAACCTTAAGTTGCTTGCTTATGTCTGTGAAAGTAAATGTCATTGATAAAATGTGTTGCTTTCAGTATTGAATGGCACATGTTGAAGGGAGATGTATACTCACCAAATGTAGGCTGTCAGCTTTCTGAGTTTGCCTCATTCTGCTCTTCTGAGCAGCGATCCGGTTCTTCTCTCGCCGCATCACCTTCTTTGCATCATCTGAGGAGCTCTAACAAAGTACAAGAGACACAGTTAATCTGAGGTATGACATTTACAGCAAGTGCCGACCTAAACACTTTTCTGTGACAGTTTCCTTCCACTTCAGACAGTTTTAGATAAGACATGCTTACATTTACACCTAATGTGAAGGGTGAGGTCAGGGAGTGGCTGAGTCATCGGTTAGTAAAACACACGCCCTGTTTCATGTCCTGAACGCTTAATTGTCTTGGTATCGTAATAACTAATCTCATCTGAAAATGCTAAGTCAGTTGCACATCAAAGAGACAAAAGATTAAGAATATAACGCCTCACAAACTGCCACTGAAACATCCAAAACTGCTGGAAATGAGTTCATCCACATTAACTAAACATCTCAGCTTGCAACACATCCAAAAATGAGAGAGAGAGTGACTTGACTTCTGTAGTGCTCTTTGGCATGAAAGGTGGCAAAAAATGTGCTGCAGACTGATACACGTGAAACCAGTCACATGCACTGAAACACAGTGTTCACCACGCTTTGTGTTCCTGACAGCTCTCAAATCATTCACAGTTTTAGGACGTGCAAAACTAAAGGATTCCCACTACTTGGACAAGTGATGCATTTTCTAATTCACAAAAGCCTACACTTGGAGGCGAGTCATGCCTGCAGCCCATGTGTGCAAGTGAAACTCTGAGAAACTGTCAAAGAGTCAACAGTCTTTGTTGGCTTACTCGACTGTTTCTGCCCACCAAAGTTGCATAAGACACAAGATTTAGCTTAACTATGTGACATTTGATCGTAAGATTTCTACATGAAAAACATGTTTTTAGGTACGTAAGTAAAAACAAAAAAAGAAAACTTAGTAAAAATAAATTCTTTAGAGTGTAGAGCACACTTACCGGCCTGCTTCCAGGTGATGGGGACTTGTAACTTGTGTCATTGCTGTCAGAACCCTGAGCCATAGCCAACCACCGCGACTGAAACCGTATGTCTTTGTCCACTTCTGCTTTGTGTTTTTGACTGTGCGTGTGTAGTATATGTGTGTGTGAGAGAGAAGGAAAGAGAAAGCCTGTGTAGCAGAACGAGTGCTGAGAACAACTTGTCTTAATGAGTGTCGTTCTTCCCTCTTTTCTTTCCCTCTCTGTCACTCCTCCTCTCTCTCTCTCTCTCTCTCTTTCTCTCTCTCTCTCTTTCTCTTTCTCTCTCTCTCTCTGACGAACACACACTCACACTCTGTGAGACTAGCTGTCTACCTAATTAGCTGTCTGATGTGGTTTCTGGTAAGAATCGGGGTAAGTTGCATTAGACTGGAAGTCACATGTCTGGTGGAAAGTTAGGCACATAAGGTAAACTTGTAAAGTCCAGAAAAAAAACAAGCTGAAGAGTTAAAACTGTTTCAATAAATATACATGGGTGGAGATGTTGCCAACCTCAAAAAAAAAAAAAAAACATTGAACTCACCAACCTTCAACACATGTAAAAGAAAGAATAATCGCTAGTTGAAGTTATTTTTATAGGGCAAAATATAGAAATAAAGAAAAATAGTGAAATGTGGTAAAATGGAAAAATGTAGAAAATAGTTCAAAACATTTTTTAAGAGAATGTTCCTCCTGTAGGACAACTGATTTACCTTTCTGGATACAAATTTTTCATAAACATTGCTTGGGTTTGTGTGGGTGTGTATACGTGTATGTGTATAGGTAAACAATTTGTCAGGGTGCAAATGTGTTAGACTACCACGGGCATTCCCTCTTCCTCTTTTTTTAGCCATCATGTTTCGACCAAATCGTCAAGAGACAGTGCATCCTTGAAGACCTCATGGATGACCGACTCATGAATATTTACAAATGCTTCATGGTAATTTCTACAGTTTCTTTCATTGCATCACACCAGCTGCATTAGGATGAAACAATAAGGTGGTGCTAAGGCATTGAGAAAAAGCACAAGGGGGCCTCCAAAACCCCACAAGGAATTCCCTCTATGTCTTTAACTCTAAATGACTCTGTTGAGATGTTGAACTGAGGGGAACCTTCAAGAAAATGTACATTCTGACGAGGCTGTGTTTGTTAGATGTAAATGGTTTTGGGAATAACGCATGCTGGGAAACCATGAAATATTAGGGCTTTCATGTAAGACAGACCAAGCAGAAACACACTTTTGTGTTTGACAAATATCCCAGCTTTACCTGCACCAAAATCTACAGTGAAGTCAGGGTCAACTTTGCAAATCTACCCCTGTATCAACTTGTGTAATATCTTCTTTGCCCCTATCACTAGGTAGCATTTGGTGATGCAAGAGCAAGATATTTTTCTTGCTAGGAAAGAAAAAAAAAAAGAAGATTCAGGACCAAAACAGCTTTGCTTGGCAGAACAGCCCTCCCACACAAAAACATGTTCCACCATCACAGGAATTTTGAAGAGCTTGGGCTGGGGCAGACATCTCTGGAGCTTGGCATTTAATGCTGTCCAAGAGTGTTGAGACTGTAAAAAGAAAAAGAGAAAGAACAGAGAGGAAAGCTGATTAGTCAAAAGGCACAATACAGTACAAATATAGAAAAACAAAACAAGTTAATGCCTTTAACTGAGTGCGGCTCAGTTTCTGCATCTTTATACCGAATGACACTCAGTCCTACATGGGCTCCACAGAATCTGCATTTGGGTCCTTACTAATATTGTTTTCATTACTCAATATGTAAAGGATGAGCACCAGTTGGCCCTCTGTTTGGACACACATGCAGCAGCAATGATCTTCATTGCAGCATTTGCTGGTTTGACTCCCAGTCAGGACCATTTAGTCAACTGATCTTTATATAGTGCTATTATTATTCACTAAGACCCAACATCAAGATACAATATGATTAATACATCTCATCTAGTGAGCTACTCTTATGCCTTCTTTATTCACCATCACGAAACACTTTGCAGCATTCAGCAATTACAGCTACAGACAAGGCAAATCTTTATTTTAACAGGCTGAAACATGAAGCACAACCCAACGCTCATTCACTGCTACTGTGTTGGGATTGAAAGAGGAAAAGAGGGAGATGCAGAAAATTGAGAGATAAAAAACACGAACAACAATAAACACAAAAATAAGATAAGAGAGAAGATACGATAACTTTCTCCTTTATTAATCCCACAAGGGGAAATTCCCATTTACAGTTCATCCTTTCCAAGAATACAGTAGACAGATAAATACAGGGTAACAGGAACTGTCGGATTGTGTACCCTAAAGTCTAAACACAGAATGTGTTTCCACATCACTGATGTTAATGTCAAATCATGAAAGAACTAACATGATATGACAATTCTCACTCCTGTGCTTCAGGCATTGTTTATTGGAAAAACCCCTAAAGAGACATTTACTGAGATAGCAACCTGAGATGCCCTCATTTGTGGTCTCTCTTCCTTTGAAATGACCGTGGGAGGTTTCTAATAAACACCGAATAACTATGAGCGCAAAGACTCACGTACACACTGATGACTGCAAAAAAATCTGATTAGTGAATTTTACAAAACACAATACTTAGTTCAAATGAAAAGCAATATTTGAGTCACTGTAGACATATGTAAACTTTACTGTCTGTGTAATCAGACATTATAGACGAGATATTTGAACCCATCCACAATTTATTTATTGTATTACATAAATCTTTTTGACCAATATTCAGACTTTTTATAACTCAATGTATTGACTACACGTTCATTTGCCAGACGTGTGGTTTGTGGTTATCCACAGGTGTATAGTGCTTGTCAGGGGAAAAAGAGAAGAGGATAAAAAGCCACTGTGTAGACCTGGGAAACTACTGAGTGGTTAAATCCCCCACCTTTATAGACTCATATTAAAATCAGAAATATTTAATGAGGTTGGTTAGCACGTTTTGAGGAAGAGACATGTCTGCTTTTGAGGCCACTAAAGTTACTCACAAATGCTGTGTTGTTCAGGAGTTAGGTTAGGCCTGGAGCTGACATGGTATGTTCGTAATCTTTATTTTCTGTGCAGACTACATTTTTGTGTGTGCTTATGAAGATGAACAATACTTTGTTAGGTTTATATTTCAACAGGAATAATTGGACTATATTATTTTGGGTTTTAAGAATTAAGCTCATGGTAATTATTATTTACCATTGGTTTTTCATTTGAGTTACATGTTTTTGGTGTGTGTGTGTGTGTGTGTGTGTGTGTGTGTGTGTGTGTGTGTGTGTGTGTGTGTGTGTGTGTGTGTGTGTGTGTGTGTGTGTGTGTATTGTTGTATACAAATAAAAATGTAAATGGTGTAAATGTTGTGGGATTTTGAGTATCAGCTATAATCTGACATTCAACAGGGTAATCTTTCAGCTCTTAACACATCCAAACTTCTATGTAGCCTTAAAGAGATATCTATCTTGTTGGCAATTCATGCTAGCAGCACCTTTTAACTTATTGTAAGAAATTCTTTTTACCCACACAAAACAGTGAATCGAATGATATGACATAAAAATGATATTTCAATCTACAAAAGGCCCACAGTGAATCTTACTGTCACTGAGCACCACCAGAGCCTCTTCAACTACAGCTAAAAAACCAGAGCTAGCAAGCTACAGCTAGCACTCATGATCATGTGTTTGGAGGCACCTTTGATACTGTTTTAGGTGGACTTTTCCACTGTCTAACTCTTATGAAAGGCCAAGGACATTCTTCTTTTTGTGCCGACAGACTTTATCAATCTATCTACACTACGGGCAAAAAGTTTGGAAGCAAGATCAGATTTGTACAAAAAAAATCATAGATTCATTAATATACTTTGCAACACAATAAACATGACTATTGTGTAAAGAGTAACATATCAGAAGACATTTTGACTATAATTGTTAGGTATTTGAGTTATTGTGGCTTAGACTTTGCTTTCTTTAAAGTAAACTCCCCTGGCTTTAACAACAGCTTGGCATATACCAGGCATTCGTTCCATAAGTTTTCTAAGGTATGTTCCAGGGATTGCATTCCAAGCTTTCCTAAGTTCATTAAAAAGAGACTGCTAGTTCATGGGACGCGCCTTTCTGACCGATCGATCCAATTCATCCCGCACAAGCTCTGTTGGAGAAAGGTCTGGAGACTGAGGGGGCCAAACCATCTTTTGAAGTACACCTTCCTCTTCTTTTTTGTCAGGGTAACCCCGACAGAGCTTGGCAGAGTGCTTAGGGTCATTGTCTTGCTGCAAAACAAACTTGTGACCCACAAGTCTGAGTCCAGATGGAACAGCATGGTGCTGGAAGATGGAGTGGTACTGTCCCTTCTTCATGATACTCTTTACTTCAAACAAATCTCCTACTCCATCACCTGCAAAACATCCCCATACCATGGAACTACCACCTCCATGCTGAATTGTGGATGAAACACATGATGCTTTCAGACATTCACCAGTTTGTCTGCGGACATAGACTCTGCGTTTTGAACCAAACAGTGCAAACTTGCTTTCATCGGTCCAGAGAACTTGTTTCTAGTCATCATAAGTCCAATTTTTGTGAGCGTTTGCCTTCTCTTGTTCTGTGGACGAAGTAGTGGGTTTTTTTTGCAGATACACAACCCTTCAGACCAGCCTTTCTCAAACGTCTTTTCACCGTTGTCAGAGATATGGGTTTCGACTTTGTCATGTTGATTTCCTCCCTTATTTTTGGTGCTGTCTTTCGCTGATCTCTCTTACTGGTGACAATGCTATGTTTATCCTCTGCTTTTGTAGTAACTCTCTTTCGTCCAGGTCTTTTTCTATCATCATAACTTCCAGGTTCCTCTAGTCTCTTCAGAGTGTAGTGGACTCCTTTGTTAGACACCATTAGGCGTTTTGCAATTTTATCTATCTATCTATCTATCTATCTATCTATCTATCTATCTATCTATCTATCTATCTATCTATTTGCCAGTCTAAAGTTGGGCTGAAAAGTCAACAGGTTTGGAAACATGGGGTAGCCTCATAATTTGCAAGCTATCTTATGGTGAAATGTGCCAGTGAGTCACCAGCAGAATTGTTAAGGGACACAAAATATGACAGAAACTTACAGAAAGTGTTTCACTAAGCACCTAATGTACCCCCTCTTCTGTGCAGGGTGAGTCATCAGTAGTTTTGTACAGAAATTTGCCTATAACTTCACTTACAATGTTAATTTTTGTTATTTTAAGACCAGATATTTGCATGACAATGAAAAGAACCAACATGCCATAAAGCCTCAGAGAAAAACACTTGAATCTTTGTCAAATGATTTTTAATTTTGACCACAAACCTGCAATTGTTTTGACAAATTTTGCAAATTTCTAAACATAGTTCAAATTAGATGAGTTCTCCTAAGCGATTTGTATCTTGGCTTTAAATGTGCAGCTGAGAGACTTTACAGGAAGTCTGAGGAAAGTTAAAGAAAAAAATCCTTTACATAGTCTACCTGAGAAAATAGAAGCAGATTTTTACACTGCAGACTGTCAACATTATATCAGTGGAAAGCAGCAAGTGTATGGATATTTTGCTATTTACAGTCATCACCATAGATAGGTAAGGTTTCGTTTTTCAAAATCACTGTAAATGTCTGCCATGTGTTCCATGAAACTGAAGAAATCCCTCCACCCCCTTAAAAATGATTTTAAAATAGCCAAACCGAAGAAAGGATGGAAAATTGTGCTCCTGTTGTTAATGTGTCTCCACCTGCAGGACCTTGGGAGAAGTGGTTGTGTGGTTGTTGTTATAGCAGGTATCACCCAGATGGAGGCAGTGTGTGACAGCACAAAAGCTGCCTGGCTCTGTAGCAATATTCTATTGTTATTATTATTATTATTATTATTATTATTATCTTCTTTCTTTTTCTGTTTAGTGGAGACTGAATTTAAAAATTCTTAAGCTTTGGTGTTTAAACCCGTAGAAAGCTCTCACCAAAAATCTTAGAGGAATCAAAGGAAATGATTTCAGACAAATATTCTGGGGTCATCTAGGGACCTGTAAGTCATTGTGGGAATTCTAAACTGAAATTCAAAAGCAGCACAAAGTCAGTCAAGACATTTGACTTGGGGTCATATGAAACTGTTTGACCTTGTTTGTACTGCTGCACCACAAGTGACTGAGGGTGGAACTGCTGAGTGAAGAAGCAGTTAACCTGGACCTCTGCACTCCTCCTTAGGCTCCCCCAGGAGTACCATATGGATACCAAACTTGCAAACACCCAATCAGTGTAGCCCGCTGCAGTTCAGAGCTCCTGAGCTCCTGTCAGCCTCAGCCTCCTGATAGCTTGGGTTACAGATGTGTGCCACTGCACTCGGTGAAGAAACAGAGACAGGGTATGTACATTTTTTTTAATTTAAATTTCCTGTTTAGTTGCAGATTTGACCATTCTACAACAGCAAAGAAGAGTATGCCTGTAATCAGTCTCTTTCCAGATTGGTGACCTAGAAGACCATCAAAAAATCTTCCTGTCTCTCCGAGAAGACAAAAATCTAAAATTTTTAAAAAACAATTGTGGTAAAAGGACACTGATACAGCCAATATTCCAGATAAAATGAGATTAAATGAGAATAAAATTTTGCTTTTATTTTAATTTCCAAGTACATGTTGACTGTTAGTATTGCTTGACGTCGACTTTAAGAAATAAATAGTCAGTATTTAAGTGTAAAGTACTACCTTGAAAGCAATGAACTATCACACTGCTCCGGTTCTGAAGGTATAATTTTCATTGGCACTTTCATTGTATTCCGATTTTTAAAAATAAATGTCTTATAAACGACATTCTTTGTTTTTCTCAATAGATAATGTTGTGCTACTGGAACGAACTGTTGAAGGGCGGTATAATCTTTCCTTTTCTGTTCTGAATGAGGTGGGCTCAGTGCAGTTGTTCCTATGCTGAAGAAATAAAGAGGGAGTTTTAAAGCTTCTTCACTGTATATAAGAGAGTCACATCACCTCTACGAATGGATGCCATAAAAAGTATTTTTTTCACATACTCTGAACTTCGAAAGGATTTTTTGAGTCCAGCCTGGACTTTCTGACCCTACAAATTGGTAGAAAACAGTTAAAATGGTTTAATCAGTTTCAACAGCTCATTGGAATTAATATGGGACCATCAACATCATTATCTAACGTAAATGAAGCAAATCTTTTAAAACTTTTAAAAAGAAAGAAATCTCCCTCTCCTTTAACACATCATAGCTGTTTGTTTCCATGTGAATTATCATCCACTATAAGTCACTGCACATGAGAACAAGTCTTCATTCACTGGGTTACTGCTTTGAAAACAGTGGTCATGTATGACTCATATGTCAGTTAACAAACATTATCTAAACCCTGAGACAAACCACAAGATCAGATTAATGTAAAGTTCACAAACAATTTTTCTATAAAATGTCATTTTTAATATTCTGAGGGTAACAGGAAAACACAAACGTTTAAAACACTTCATAAAAATCATTTTCTTAAACAAAAAGTAAAACAGAAAGAAAACAAGGAAATATCAAAATGACAATTTATAGGCAGGTTTACAAATCATTCTCTGAAGCTTCACTTTGCTCACGCCATCAGACTGCAGTCAGGACTTCATTAGCTATAAAAGATAAAGATAAACAGCATTTGAGGCCAGTCAAAATTAATGAATAAGCTACACTTTAAATATGTCTTTATAATGTGGTGACAATCACAAAATAGTTTTATGATCAAATTTGAAAATAAAAGACTGACAATAATATTCTAGCTCCTGTTAAAGTATTTTTCAACCTTTTATGGGTTCTTATTCTACACCTCAGACTTTTTACCTGCTCTGTGCTTTCGTCCACTTCAGAGCATGTCTGGGTGGCACAGACACGCTGGGGTGGTAGAATGTGCAACCAGTTCGTTTGCACTGCCCTGCAAAGCGACACGGCTGCAAATGACAGGAACAAAATGTGAAACGTCAGGGATTGTGCAGAACAACTCTCATGGGGAAAATAGATTTCAATGCATAGGCAACTTTAAAAAACGATGCACTCTCCCTTTATCTTTCTGCATTAAAACCACCATTTCTGTGTTGAAGCTCTGCCTATACATTTCAGAGGGTTTTACCTTCGGATGATAAAAAGGGCAGTCCATTTTCTTGCACTCTGGGAAAAAGCGACACACTGTTGTGGATTGGACTGGCTGCACTGCTGTGAACACAATTAAGTCAGGATAGAAATAAAGATATTACCACCTTATGAAAAAAGAAAACACACATCTGCTAATCAATACACTTTTTAAAAACTTTGTGCTCATCACGGCCGCTTATAGGGTCACGCAATGTAGATTATACAATTTGGAGCCATAATATTCTAATCTGTCAAGACTTGTCAATATTGTTTCACAGTAGGAGCAATTCCAGAAAATCCTTATGGTTCATGGGTGAACTCTAACTGTTGTGTATTTTTAGTTTTGAACCCCTGTTGTCCAATTCAAAAAGCTGGTGTCTTTCATTGTAAAGAGGCTCTAAAAAAAGGGCAGAAAATAAAAATAGTATTATACTGTTGTTTTTTTAAAGCCGTTTCTTAACCACTTGTCCCTTTATGTGCTTGCTTCCCTTAGCAGTGACCAATAAGTCTGTTTATAAATCAACTGTATGCTTCATATTTGCTTTTAGTTGAAGAAATTGTATCGAGCAAATGTAAAAGCAATTGATTAAAGTCCTGTCTTAACATAAGTGTCAGCTCGACACCTGGAGAATATATCCCCCAAAAAGTGGGTACTACTCCAGTGCGGTTGGTCTGTGTTGACTGCTGCCTCTGATTTTTTCAAAGTTGATATGAGAAGCCCCACCCCCTCTTAATTTTGATTGGTCTGTGGTCAAAAAGTGATACTGACACAGACCGCTTGGCGGTTTTCAAAATGTGGAACTATTTTTAACTGAGAGTGCTGTGGGTAACAAAAAAGAGCAAACCCTCAGTGCTGAAAACACTGGACCCCACAACTTTTGTATAAAAAGTAGGGTACTGAAGTTAGTGGACACAGTTCATTACTGCAATGTAATACAGACACTAATACAATCTACAAGATTTTATTAATGAGAGAGTACCTGGCCTTGGAGGAGGGCCAGCTGTGCTTCGGCGGCTGACATGTGTGAACGGACAGTCTGGCTTAGAGCACCTGGCATCATATTTACAATTAGGATGGACAAAAAGGCATTTATCCCCAAACTTGCAGCTTGGAAAAGTCCTGGAAGAAAAAACATTAATTGTTAATAACTGCAACATTGCAGAGGGTTCTGAGATCTCTCGTCATTTAGTAAAGTAACAAACACACTCACTTGCACTGTGCTGTGGGGTGATGATACAAACACTCATCTCCACTTTTACAGACCGGCCAGAACTTACAGCGCTCCATCACTTTTTGTTTCTTTGAAGGGACAGCATTATCCTCCCCTATGTCAACATCCATCACATCATCTGACCGACCGGAGATCATGATGAAGAAGAGGGATGAGGGATGAAAAACACAACAGCTTCAATTAAAAAAAAAAAAACACAACCCTTTGCTTAAGAATTTTCTACCAGAGATTTATCTGTGCTATGAAAACAGCATGAAGCATCACCATCAGCTGATGTGAATCCTCCTTGTAGCCTGTGAAGGATGCTGACTTTGGGCTCCCTGTTCATGTTGACAGTCCCCTCTGTAACTTTCGTGGGTGGTCTCACTTCATCCAGGTCCATCTCACAATCTGCATAAGTCCCCATCGGGCTTGGTACTCCGTCTAACGTCACGATGAACTTCGGGCTGGCTGAGTCTCCAATATCCTTACTGGTTGATGAAGAAAATCCAGGGCAGAATGGTGATGATAAAACACATTAAAAAAAATCAAATATGTCACACACTAATCTGACAGTAACCATCTTGTGTGTGTGTGCGTTCGTGCGTGTACCTGGTCTGGACAGTGCGTGGTAAAGCTGTCTGAGCATCCTCTCTGACAAGAAGACGCTGCTGACTCTTGGCAGTAGGTCCTTGCACTTGTGGTTGACTCACTATAAAGGAGCGGGTATCAAACGGCTTTGCTTCACTGCCTGCAGCAACGACAACACCTGGAGGGAACATCACACACACAGATGTTTAATGCATCCCTAAAGCACAGGTAAGATATTTACATAAGACAGACAGATTAACATGCCCCAAGGGGAATAAAGATGTGTAAAAGATAGTTATTGTTTCCAAAGTTGCCCAAGAAAAGTTCAACTTCAGCAAAAATACTCACCATATTCGCTCTGGTCTGCCCCAACAGTACTTTCTGCCAAGTCCAACTGGAGGCGAGAAGCCAAAGATCTTGCTGGAGCTGGGAGGAAAAGTAACAGAAAAGTGTTTTTATATTTTTTACAAAAAGACTTTTACTACTTCAAATATTTACCAGTGAAATACCAGACTTATTATTATTATAAACTTTTTACAAAATTACATGTATGGAGCGCTGATGGGCTCTTTACATGTGTTTCATTTAGAGGCCCAACCTTTCAACAGGAGACATGGGTTAGCTTCAGACTCCACTGCTTTACTACACACTATGAGAGCTGGCTTATAATGATGATCACACAGAGACTCTGGCCCAATCCCAAACCGCCCCCTACACACTCGCCCTTCACTACCGAGTGTCTCTCGTAATGAAGTTACACTCTCAGCTGTGGAGTGCGCCTCAGTTGAAATGAGAGGGTATAAACAAGACGGGTGGGTATGGGACACCCCCCTCACTCCACCGGAAAACGGAAAGATCCATTGCCATAGCAACATAAAGACACTTCCTGTGCATGGCAGCATTTCTTCACTAAGGGTATCGGGCATCATGTACAGTTCTGAGCCACACTGGCAGCCTCGTTTTTTTATTGTCCCAGTGAAATCATAAATCCAGCACCATTACAGTGACAGGAGCGAAATTATACTTCTGATTATTAGTGATTCCACGTATCTTTGAACTCCTTTACTATCTGATGTATGCATGCACAATCAAATCAAACCTCAGCACAGAGTAAAATTTCTGACTTCCGTTTGATCTCTCCAAACCACTTCTTTTGTGATTTTGTTTTCAGTGAGACAAAGGTGGACACATAAAGAACTAATATTTGTATGTTGTTTCCTCCTCCTCAATTTTTGCCCGCGCACTACCTGCAAATCCTACCTTAAGTGTGCACTGGTGCAGGCACGCTTTTTAAGGGCCGAACGATCCACTCGCCCTCCTCACTCTGTGGTTTGGAAAGGCCTTCAATATGGTGGAGCGGGGATGTGCAAACGGAGGGGAAGTGTGTAGGGCTGGTGTGTAGGGAGCGGTTTGGGATTGGGCCTCTGACCGGTGTATTGCACATCAACAGTGTACATCAACTACATAAATGAGCTAATCAAACTTTTTTCTTAGCTCCCCAAATAACACAAATTTCTGAATCTCAATAGTTTCTCTGTCTCTGTCTTTATCTGCGCTGTGCTCAGAAATCTACAGGACGCACGTATTCACACCTTCTTATATGGAGGTCATTGGCTAATCACAGACGAGGATGTACACAAGTTGTCACTGAGCAGAAGAGTGCTTTTGATTAATAGCTGAATGGCTTTTATAAACATTCAGAAGTGCCTAAAATCGGAGTTTTCCATAATGAATCCAGTGCTGATTTTTAATACCAAGATTTTTTTGTATGTGTAAAGCTATGCACAGACTTACTTTAGGTACATTTAATGAATGTTACACAGTATATTTTCCAGTCCAGCCATGTGCTTCTTGTCTAAACATATTAAAATACTGTGTGAGATACATTTATATTAGACCATTAGATGGTATGTTAACTGTGATTTAGACCTTAAGACACCAGGAAGGATTATTAAAAGCGGTGCTCTGAAAACTTCTTTCATATGATGCAGTGATAACACACTTCACATACCAGGTGGTCTGCTTGGAGGTAGCTCTGTGGACGTATAGGCCTGAACCCTGGGTGCCAGACTGTGGAGATGTTCTTGGACAAGCTGGATGGCTGCAGTCATCTCTTCAGTGCTGGCCAGGCGGGTACGAGGGGCCACAGGAACTGTCTGCCTCTGTGGTACTGTTTTTTTTTTTTTTATAATGAATAACTATTAGTTGAACAACATTTGTCTTGACAGAGATACACACAAAAAAGACACAATGAGAAGGGAGTTTAAAATACAGGTTGTAGACATAAAAAACAGCAGATAACAAAAAAATGTATAAATGCTAACCCATAAAAGAAAGAATAGCAAGAAATTTGTATGAAGCCAACGATGTCTGATTACAATCAATTTTGGCTTAAACATGCATACAGGCTCACGACCTCTGTGGTAAAATTGTAGTTTGTAGATCGTAGTTTTAGGTGCCTGTTAAACAGATTAGTTTAAAATCACTGACTGAGAAAACTTAGATGTTTATAGTTTAATAGCTGGGATATACTTGTGGGGAAGGCTGTGGTTTTGGTGATGGAGTCTTGAGCCTCAGAGATGGCCTTTAGTATCAGGTTCCTATTGGCTTGCTTTGCCGGTGGAAGAGTAGGTCTGAAACAATAGAAAGCACAAAAATAATCACAATTTTCAAACTGTAAACTCCCGATTTACTCTCTACTCTGCATTTGTGCACCCCACCATGTTCCAAATATTAAATGAGGTCTGAACTCTTACTTGCGTTCTGGTTTGGAGGGCAGGGACACTCTGCTTGACAGGCCTCTCCCTCCGTAGCCTGAGTCCTCCTCTTCCACATCGTCATCGCTGTCTTCATCTGCCACTCTGTTCACTCGCACCACTGAACTTGCAACTGGCGCTTTACGCTTTCGTGACAACTCCTCCTGGTAAAACAGAAAATCAGATGTTTCTGTGACCTTAAATTTTCCACATTTTGTCAACAGGAAGTGGGAAATCCTTGCTTAAAAATAAGACCAACTATGCTTTTATCAAATCACTGTACCTTACTGGATCCAGTTCTGGAGGTTCTGCTCCCTCTGGGATCCTGCTGCCTGATGTGAGCAGACCCTTCAACATGTCGATATGTGTTGCTGTGACTAGGTCTGAAGAGCTCAGCTGTGGGTCTACAAGCTGCAACACGTGTTCTGCCTTGGTTGGGGGCTATTTCTACTGGGTCTTCTGCTATGAGGTCATCATCCATCTCTGGTTTGATATCAATCACAGCATCTGAGGGAAGCAGCTCCATGAGAGGCTTAACAGTGGAGGTAAGACGAGAGGAATTCTTCTCGATGGTTCCGCCCCTTGGAACAAACAATGCAGATAAGTATGTTTTCATTTGCTTGTACATGTAAACAGCACACAAAGACAAAAACAGTATTTCGAGACTATCACCTGCTTTCATGGGCAGAGCTGGACACTCGTGCATCAGTCCGATCAGAGCGTGAACTTGAAACCGTCAGCACCTTCAACTCCTCTGTCCTGCCATCATCACTGGTAGACGATCTACTCCTACCTGCCACAGCACTGCCGTCAGACTGGAGCTGATGTCTCAAGAGTGCTGGCTCTGTAACAAGCAAGTACATGCGTGGAAGATGAAAAATAAATCATAAGCGAATATTTTCAACCCACATGCCACCAGCAAGTACATGCACATTTTTTTCTATGTCAGGTGATCAAGAACTGTAGGAAATATGAAAGGCATTCAACAGAGTCTAACTTACCAACTGCAACAGTTCTTAACTTCTCAAGGACGCCTTGTAACCTGAAATCAATCAACAAGCATGCATTATGGGTAGAGAAGATAGTAGTGTTGGGACCATAGATTGTATAAAAAATGGACAGCATCTGCCTCCTTGCTGGGTGAAGCCACCCTCTGTTTAAGGCCTGCAGTATAGGTCATAAATCGCACCTCTGCCAGCAAAGCTTATGGAGCTGTGGACAAACTTTAAAAATTTATTACACAGAACATAAATTTTTCTCCCCCCTGCTTGCGGTGTTGACATGTAGTTACAGTAAGACTGGTTTGTGTTCAAGTCCTCTTTTTTCTGTGAAGCTCCGTATTTAAAAATTTATTGGGAGGTTCATGTTGTCTTTGATTGATACCTGATACCTATTGGTGTTCAGGGATTGCCTAGCTCACTCGGGGGTTACGCTGTTTGAGCCAAGCATCATCACAGCGACTCTCCACGACTCTCCTGCCGAATGCGTACAATGCTACTGCGCAATGCTGGTTTCAGGAAATGAAGAAAAATCCTGGAAATTCCGAGAGCTTTTTGGCTTCAAATCTGTATACAGGCAGAAGGCGGAACCAAGTTGTCCATAGTATATACAGTCTATGGCTGGGACTTACTGGGTTATTGGGGAAAGGGCATATATACACCAACCGGCCATAACATTGAACACCTGGGTGATCTAATGCAATAATATAATACAGATCTACAACAAGTTCTACTGTGAGAAAGCGTTTCCACTTTCAATTTTTGTTGACATGGTCAAGCAGGTGACAAGTGGTTTTAAAAATATTTGTTGAAGTTGTATTGTGTGTTGGTGTTATGATGGAGTGCATAACTTTAACAGGTGTGCCTATTATTTTGGTATAAGGTAAGGAACCATTTTCAATAAATAACACTTAAATATACCCCCACCATCCACTATACCTTCAATGATAAATATCAGGAACAATTATGTCAACAAATGCTGAAAATATCCAAGCCTCCTGAAGAGAATATGAAGAGCAAAAGAACAGATCACCAATGTGTCCGTAGTGTTTTGGCTGGTTGGTGTTAGTCACATAAGTTTAAAATATGATCATACCAAGCTGTAAATTTGATTGTATTGTTTCCAAGAAATAGAGAAAGGTCATCTGCCATCTGCTGGGAGGTTTTTTTGTTTGCAACCATCACCATGATGTAGTCAGGTAGCTCTTCGTCTAAAACGACAGACATAAACCACAAACAGCGTGTTTAGTTAGATTAGAAAAGGCAGCTGCGGCAACAAACAGCTGCATTAAAGTCACCCACCAATATATGCACCGAGTTCCTGTAGTTTGCCCTTGATAGCAGCCTGAAACAGAACAAACAGAGGTTAGACATGAGATGTTTATGCCAGATGACCTCAGGATCCTGGCTGCGTTAAGTGTCATTCATTTTCAGAAGTAGATACCACATGATCTACGTGTTTACTTTGACAGATTCTGCTGAAAGAAGCTGTTACCATGCAAGTAGAGCTACTTACTGACTAGACTACAAAGTAACCCCTTCCTCGGTGTTGTAAACAAAAACCCAGCTGCCATTGTGTTCATCTATATGGGTATGTTCGCAAGCTAATTTTAGCTAGGAGGTCTTTGCAAAAACAACCTTAAGGAAGCCTCAATTCTTATGCAAATTCATTAGGATTTGATCATTATTTTACTCACTCTTATTTTCTTGCTGATCTCTGTTCCAATCTCCATCCTTGTGGTTTAATTCAAACGGAAATGTACGAAAGCAGCGACTTTTCAGCACCACGGTGAAGCAGCAGGAGCAAAATGTAACAGGGTCACGTGACCGACAATGGGACTTCTTCCTCTTCTTCTTCTGTGGCGTTCAGGGTGGTTGACATCCATAAAAGACATGTTACCGACACCTGCTGGATAAAGTTAGTACAAACGCGCAAACTACTGCATATCATAGACTGTATATACTATGGACAACTGGGTTCCGCCAAGTGTCACTTATAGAAAATTATGAACCCTCTAATAACTTATAAAAATGGAGCTGTACAGAAAAAAGAGGACTTGAGCACAAACCAGTCTTACTGTAACTACAAGTCAATATCTCAAGTAGGGGCAAAAAAATTATGTTCTGTGTAATTAATTCTTTAAAGTTTGTCCGCAACTCCATAGGGATTGCTGGAAGAGGCAGGACTTATGACCTATACTGCAGCCTGTCGCTAGAGGGTGCTGTTCTTGGAGTGGCTTCACCCATCAAGAAGGCAGGCGGCGTCCATTCTATTTACAGTCTATGCTGTATATACACTATAGGTCAGTTTCTAGACAATCACGACGATGGAATAAACAGTGTTTGGCATGAACATTGACAACAAATTTTAAACAAAAATAAACAAATAGGGTATCACCTCTAGGTTTTATGTCAGATTTTTCCTGATTTACTATTTTTCCCAAGAAATTAAACTTGATGGTAACAGATGTATCTTCTATTCCTGATCCTTGTTCAGTTTTATTTCAAAGAGAAACTGATAAGATAAGATAAACTTTATTGTTCCAATTCATTGTCTGAGAGATTAGCGTTCTTTTGTTTACACACAAACAAAAAACCTTTCACTTTCAGGCCAATTTCATTTCATTTATCATTATAATTATTATTGCCACTTTATTATCATAAATCTTTTCCAGACTTCCCAGGACATTACAAGGGTGGGCTTTCTGTGTTAATTAAGTTTTTGTTTAAACTTCTAACATACAGATAAAAGATGATGTTGCTGTGTGTTTTAATACAGTGAATACAGTACACATTTTGCCAACACAAATGCCCTTGAAGTTTACTGACTGATGAATTAAAGGAATGATGGACCACTCAAGCACTGACGACTGTCAGTTTAAGGTTCAACCTTTATTTTAAAGCGTATACCTTTGTTTTGGTAACCTTACTTCCTGTAGGATTGTTCTGGCAGCCTTTTATTCCTATTAGAAGCACGTTGCATATGACTGCAATCCACGCTTATCCTTCGATCCTGTTCATCGCATAGACTGTATAGAATGGGTGTCATCTGCCTACTCGCTGAGTGAAGCCTCCATGAGAACAGCGCCCTCTGGTGACTCATTGTAGTAAAGGTCATAAATCCTGCCTCCTCCAGCCAAGTAAATGGAGCTGTGGACAAACTAAAAATTAATTACACGGGATAAACATTTTTCTTCCCCATGGTTGCGATGTTGACATGTAGTTATTGTAAGACTGGTTTGTGCTCAAGTCATCTTTTTTCTGTGCAGCTCCATTTTTTAAAGTCATTAGGGGATTCATGTTTTCTATGATTGACACTTTAATATTTGAAGAATACTGTTGGCTATAGTATCAGGACAATGATGCAAGGAAAACCTGATGAAACGTGACTGAACACGCAATGTAGAAGTGAGTCACTGGGAAAGTCTAAACTCAGGACACTTAAATTTCTTAACTTCTTAGATCTGTAAGGAGAGATCAGGAGCTGCTGAAAAAAATCATAGCCGATGGAAGTAAATAATATGTTTCAGTTCATCATATTTAGTTTTCATGCACTTCACCTCAGCTCACAGCACAGAGACAGGAAGTGTCTGTTTCCTCTCAGGAAAATATTTTTGACCTTAAAACTCAGCAGGCAGGTTCAGCCATGCCTAACACAGGAGCCATTACAGAGATTAGTGTTTGTGAAAGACATTAATTCAAGGCTGATGCTGGATGGATGATCAATTTGAATTTATAAACATATTTAAATGCATTTTTAATGCATTAAAAAAAAACTGGAAATGATCACTCTACAGAATTCTACATGAGATCCTCTGTCCATCTGCAGCAGAAAACACAAAAAGTAGTAAAAACAGAAAAGATTATTGCTGAGAAATGTTTTAAAAAGTAATAAATGGACTGACAATAAATTTATGCAAAAATAAGGAAATAAAGATATTCAAAGTGTCAAAGAAGTAAATCTTTATGAGATCTTGCAGCAAAAACAAAATGCATACATTTACACAGATATGATAAATGAAGCCCAAATAAAACAGCAATTAAAAATAGAATGAGGCATCCTATTGTCTTCCTTTCCTTTGCTAACACCTTTAGACTGAAGGAAGAAAAGTCAAACATTTTCAACATGTAATAAATCATGTGTTTTTGGCCTTTTTGAAATTGTCTCTTTGAATGTCACAGATCATCTTTAAAAAAAGCAAGTACAAGGCATTTACTAAGTAAAATTAGTAAACAGAAAAGCAGCTATTCTAGCAAATTACAATATGGTTGAAAGTTTGTAAAGCAAAGAGGTTTACAATCAAAACCAGAGGTACAAGGTGAGACATTTCTTGGGCAGAAATGGCTCAAGGCTCTCATTAATGAAAAGAAAACACAGTCTCTGAGTACACTGAACAGTCATGAAATTAAAAAATAACGGAACATAAGACATAACAAGTGATTTAATCATAAAATATCCATGTTAAAAGAGAAGAAAATAAAATAACACTCTTTGTCACAGTTGTTGCATAAAAAAGGCATTTCTGGTGATGCATTAAAGCTTCTAAGAGGAACTTTGTGTTGATTGTGGTGCCCTCCCTGTGGACATAGTGATACTCTTAACTCTATACCTATCATGTGTAAGTCCTGTTTTCTGTCTTTTAACAGCCAAATGTATCACTGAAGTGAACATCTGGGCACAGGCGGTAATACTCATGAAATAAAAGGCTCAGTCTTTGTGTCGACCCTCTGGTTTAATACGCCTGTCAGTCTGTTTAATATGCAGCTAAAAACTCCTGATATGAACTTCACAGAGCAGTGCTGGGACAGTTTCTACGATGTCTCAGTTTATTTTGGGTTTCCACTGCTCTGAAAGGCCACCTGTAAAAAAGGGACAGGGGCTTATCTGAGGTAAAGAGTGTCATGTCTGCAGATGAAGCACCTTCTACACACAGAAACACTGACATCTCTTTAACCCCCTGAAATGTTCTGATGTTTACAGACACCTCCTTTGGGGTTAAAGCTGACACACTGTACATCAGGATGAAGACACTTTAAAAATCCAGTCACTTTTGGTCTGAATAAAATCAACACTTCAGGCAAATGCCCGACAATTATAGCACGACAATCTGCACAAAACGATGAAATAAATACAATAAGAAAACACAGGACAGGTGGGTGAGCAGGGACTGACTTAAGAGGAACCTACTGAGCTCCAGGGATCAGTCAAAGTCATGTCCTCAGCCTTGTCTGCAGAAAGGATTACATACTATGGATAAATGTGGTATTATAAAGCGTAAAGGAAACACATACGCACATGTGGGTATTTTGGATTTTTGGTCCTTTTAAAAGGTCTCACATTCAAACAGATGATCTGTTTCAGTGTTTGATAACCTGGACCGAGTCATCTGATGAGCAAAGACCATTTTCTGTCAAACTCTAAGTGAAAGTGTGGTTTTAATTCTACAGCTACTGTATGCTGGTATGGAAGAATAAAAAAGGATAACAGAGAGAGACAGCGTCAAATCCCACTGCTTGTTTAAAAATACTGTAAAAGTCAATACTGTGCTCAGTCAAAGACATAAGATTACTGTTAAATGTCTCTGATACATCATCATTAGGGGACTCATGCTCACTGTGGGAGAAATGCTTAACACTGAGAATGTTATTCCAATAAAAACCTGTCTTTGTGAATGATGGTCTGTCTCAAAGTTTTAGTTCAGGGGTTATAAATTCTGATTGTTTTCTGTTTTAAATGCTGTCCAATGTACTGACTCTAAAGAATTATGTATGCTCTGCCTGTATTCAAACACTTAAGTTTGCTTAGTAAGACATATATGAGGTGATGGTTGTTTCTAAATCACCCATATCAACATAGTTTACATTTTATATACCTGTTTTCATAACAGCCTACAACCCCTATTCCATGACATCTGTAAAAATATTCATAAAGACAGATTTTAAAGGTTTGCAGCTCCTCCATATTTGATTGAAACGAGTGCAAAATCAACATGTCAAATGTTGGAACTGACAAAATCTGAAGCAGCAACATGTTTCAAAACAGCCAGAACAGGGGCACTCTCCACTATTAAAAACAGAGGGATGACACAGCCAGTTAGTTGTTTTCAATTAAATATAGACTTAAAAATATTTGCAAACCATAAAATTCAGCTTTTATTAACATTTTAAATGATGCTTTTTTTGATTAGGTTTCTGTAGTTTTAGAAAACTTTCATCAGGTGTCAAAACTGGCTTATTGTTCCTGATGATAAATGTTTGCTTTAGAGAATACCAGGCTATCAATTTTGGTGCTAAGTCATGAGTATTAAAAGATGTTTTTGTTTTCCTATTTTTGATAGGTGAATAAACTCTGCAAATGTGGAGGTAAAAAAAGTGTAGTTCATGAGACAAAAATATCAAAACACTGTTGAGGTTTCTTACAGGTTTCAGTGAGAGGCAGCTTGTTAGCATGAATGAGTTACAGTACAGACAGGACTGTAAACTACAAACCTCCAAACTCCAACATTAAAGACCATGCACCTTTTTTCATGCACCTTTCTAGGTCCCTGTCATGTCACTTATACTCAGCTTTAGTATCACTAAAGTACTCTATAATCAGACATCATCAGCTGTTTGATGCTGAAATTTGTCTGATTAAAGCTCAGGTACAGCCTGATGTCAAAAAGGGTCTGATTTTTGTAAATCCAGAGGTGACGGTGTTCATGTGTGAAATCATTGTGCTGAGAGCTCTTTCCCTTGAGGTGTCCTGAGCACGTTTACATCTCAGACTATTCAAAATATCAATAGTCATCCCTCAGAGTACATAGTAAATGTCCCTTTAAATAACCCTCAGTATTTACAATATTTTATGATGGTGTTTAGCAGAAGCTCTGTCCGAAAGGGCAAAGACCCCCGATAAAGATGGCAGGTTTTAAAAGAAATCAATGCACTCACATAAAACAGGGACACGGACTGAACCCAACGTAAGCCCTTTGTCAATAACCACAGTTACACAAGAATAAGGGATTGTGTGTAAAATATTGATAAAAATCAGGTTTTGATGAATTACAGGTTGTTAAAAGCCTATTTTTCAATGGCAATGCAAAGAAAACATAAGAGATGGTAAAAAAAAAAATGTTCAGATTTAAATTGATGCAAGCAACACTCATCTGTAGTTGAACAATTTTAGAATAAAGTTCCTGAGAGTAAAATGTCAGAAAAATAGTGGATCACATCAACTACAGTAAACAATATTAAACGATTCAGAGAATCTGGAGACATCTCTCTACGAGGACTAAACCAATACTGGGTGGCTCTGATCTTTAGGCCCTCATGCAGCCCCATATTAAAAACAGATAGGATTCTTGAGTGGAAACCACTGCATGGACTCAAAATCATTTCCAAAAACCACTGTCTGTGAACACCGCTCATCACTTCGTGCAAGAACGTTAAATCTGAACAATGCAAAGAGGAAAGCAGATATAAATGTGACACAGAAACACCAGAGATGTCTCCGGACCTGAGCTGATTCAAGATGGACTGCAGGGATGTGGAAAACTGTCCCGTGGTCTGAGGAATCAAAAATTGGCATTACTTTAGGAACATCCAACAGAGTATAGGATCCATCCAGCTTGTTATCAGCTCAAAACCAGCATCCCTGGTGGTATGGGGATCATAAGAGCCGTGGCATGGGTAGCTTACACATCTGGGAAGGCTCTAATAATACTGAATAAAGCACACAGATTTTGGAGCAACATCTGCTGCCATCAAGACAATAACTTTCAGGGAAGACCTTCATATTTCAAGACAATGCCAAACCACATCCTGCATGTATTACAATATCATGGCTTAGTAGTAGGAGAGTCCTGCTGCTAAAGTGGCCCGTCTTCATTCCTGACTTGTGACTCATTAAAAACATTTGGAGTATGCACGTTGCTGACATCAAATTTAAAATGAGTGTGTATTTTAAACAGAACATTTTTCAGTTTTGGCATCTGATATGTTGTTTTTGCACTATTTTCAGTTAAATAGAGACTTTAATTTTTTTTTTAAAGGCCATCAGATTCTGTTTTTATTGATATTTCACACTGCGTTCTTGGATTTAGAGTTGTTCAATCCATTGTGGTCTTTTCACATGCCACATTTCTTTATCAAAACAAACTCCTGGTAAAGAAACTTTAAGTACAGTATGCTGTCTTCCCCTTGTGTAAGAATGTGCAGCTTCCTCTTTTCCATTTCAAACTTCAAGTTTCTCTGCTGTAAAAATGAACTCATTGTTATTAAAATCATTGAATGCATAGTTCTTCAAGATCACATTCATGTTAATAAAATATCGATTAAACTCTCTCCTATCAAACTATCTGATATGTTTCATCACTTTGGCATTTTAAGGCATCCTGCAGAGGGCAGCCCTTACAATCTTAGATCCAAACACAAACACTGAATCTGAGTCCTCAGGAGTCTCAGTCTGCCTCTCTCAGTCTGTTCAGAGACACTTAAAGGACAGACTCTCCTGTTTTAGATAGAGGATCTCCCTGCGCCTTCTCGCCCTCAATCATCTTCTCGGTGACGCCCTGCTCTTTGCTGAGATCCGCTTCCTTCTCCTGCCTCTTGCGCCGGGCCACCACCCAGGGGATCAGACACAGCACAGCACCACCAATGATTGGAGGGATGCCTGCCAGGTAGAAGGCCACATCGTAACTTCCCAGCCTGTCCCTTAGGAAGCCTGCAGACAGAGGGTCAAAGACGGGGTTAGAGTTTCTGGAGGAGCTGTGGACTCATGATGTTCCTGTCCACACTGACTGTCAGCTTTGGGTCAATATGAGGCCCGTCCAACAATCACAGATCCTGCTGCAGAAAAGGATATGTCAGTTCACTGAGAGCAGACTCCTCCTCTGTTTGTTTTCTTCAGGAAGCTCCATGTCACATAAGATAACTTTCAGCCTCTTATCTAAACCGATGGAAACTTGTGGAAGTTATCCAGAAGGGTAAACAGTATAAGTATAAACACTAATATTACACAGTATTATTACATGCTGTAGAGCCATTCAGGTAAATACTCAAATAACATTCACTAAAAAGTTCTTGAGTTTAGCAGCAGAGAAGTTCCAACTTGTAGCAAATGATGTCTATAGAATTTCTAATTCTGATTCTGATAAAGAAAAAAATATTTAAGATGAAGATATCCTGTGGATCAGAGTCAGATAAGATTAGACAAAGCCTTTCTGTACTACACAGAGGGGAAACTTGCAGCTTTTGCAACTCTAGTGCGACATTACACACATTAACACCTCTGTTTGCTATCCCCGTGCCACAGTGCATATATAAACATGTCTGTTTATGTGTGTAATTGTGTGCAACATTCACTCTAGTACTCAAAATTGACGGGCTGAGGGCGAATGTGCGATGAAACCCAACACCTTTACGATCACTGTAGCACTTAAACTTTATTCCTAGTTTGTTCTGGGTATAGTTTTGATTTGATTTGATTTGATAATTTTATTTAAGTGTCATACACCAAAATTGGTGCCCAGCCCCATGGGCTTATTAGACACTGTTCAACAAACTCAAAACACAATGTATCCAAGACAGCCACGCAACATAATATACAACAACAGTAACATCAAAAATCCATTAAGAATTGTAACACAAACAATGAGGATAATGAAAGAGAAACAAAAAAGTAGTAAAGCCACCTTCTATACTGATGTGCTGTATGTGTGTCTTTGTAAAGTAATGTAGTTTATATTGTTTGCTCTAAGCTTGTTGTCTATTTGCTTTTATCCATCCATCCATTTTCTACTTCTTTTCACGTTGGGGGTCGCTGAGAGGCTGAAGCCTATCCCAGCCTCTTGGGGTGAAGGCAGGAGACACCCTAGACAAGTCGCCAGTTCATCACAGGGCTGACATGCAGAGACAAACAACCATCCACACTCACACCTACAGGCAATTTGAAGGTGACAAATTAACCGAACCCCACTTCTGCATGTTTTTGGGATGAGGGAGGAAACCAGAGTACCCGGAGTAAACCCACGCAAGACACAGGGAGAACACTCCACACTGAAACGTCCTGACCTGGATTTGAACCCAGGACCTTCTTGCTGTGAGGCGACAGTGCTAACCACTACACCACTGTGCCACCCTATTTGTTTTTTATGTTTGATGTAAATCTATATATGTTTACCACCAACCTGTCAGGGACTACAGGTAATAATAAGCCTGTAGCAACAATTGTTTTTTTGGACACTGAATCAGGTCTCTGAACTTTTATAACTGGGTGAAGTTGTGAGAAGCTGGCACTGTTTCGAGTTTTGCATTAAGTGATAATACACTATAAATCATAACGTCAGAAGACAAGATGTTCACTGCCTGCACTTCACTAACCTTACTGTAAGTTTTCATGAACGCTTATTATCACTTATCATTTAGTATGAAGCCAATCAAAGCATTTATTATGTTTTATTAATGTCATTATGATAACAAGTGGGTTCGTATTAAGTGTTAGCAACTCCTGAAATAATCACTGAATGTTTCTCACTGGCTATGAATGAAGTTGTATTTCTGTTTGAATTGCTCTTCTCCAATGCTGACTATGAATTTTATTACTTATCTGATTTACTGTATATACTGAATTCATGTCCTGTTTTATATACTAATAAATCAGTTGACTTATATGAATAAATGTTCTGTTCATTTCAGGACACTTCACACAAACGGCAGATCTGAATCAAAGCGTCTTTACTTTGTGTTACTCTGCTGTTTCATCCTCCTCACACAGTTCTCACCTCACATAACTTCTTTGCTGCAGGTTTCCTCTGCAGGTCAGAATACTTTATCGAATGATCTCACAGACTAACCCGCTTTGAATGGAGTTATTGTGTTTCAGACAGTCTAACCCTATGGACATGATGCCCACATGAGCGAGTACACATTCCTGATGATGATGCCGACCCCACAGAGCGAACATAACCTCAGCTGAACACAGCTTCTACAGACAGGAAACAGTGTATGTATCAGCACCTTGAATATTGAACAGCTGCATGGTGCTAAAGCCAACAGTAGGTGGTGCTAAACCCATTTATATACCTGACTGTGTCTGAGACAGACTTAAAGCTCTGCAGGACTATGGTTCATCCTCAAGCAACTCTTCATCTGTTTCAGAACCACTAAAATAAAGTTATACAAGAGCTTTGTTTTCAGTTCAACACCGTCTTTTGGAATTTTATCCTCAAGATGCTACAAACTAAAAGACACGCGGAAACATGAAAAAAGGCTGACATGTCCAAGAGTCTTCAACTACTGAGATATAAAACAGTTATAAAGAGAAAAATATACTTAATTGTCAGATCAATGGACAAATTAATAAGAAAAATGAGATACAAGTAGAAAAAAAGGTACTGAACTAACGCTACTAAAACAAAGTTTGAAGACCTTTTTTAAATATGTTGCCTCAATCAAAAAGTTCCAAAGAAAAAAGGTTCAGAAACCTAAAAGTGAAGAAAAAATCTAACCTGTGCATAAGACCACAGGGTTTTTGGGGTAGCATGATTTCACTGATTCAAATGAAATTTTTTAAACTAGTGGGTCCAGAGTACCTGGAAGTTGGTGCCCCTATAAAATGCCGATGATGAGTCTTCAAACCCTGACCCTCCAGCCTAGTATCTGAGACCTTTAACAGTTTTTAGGCTGTTTTTCTCTTACCAGCAATGGGGGGGCCCACAGTCATGGGCACAGACATCAGGCCCAGCAGGAAGCCGATGGCCTGAGACACGTCCTGCGGCTCTACCAGCTCGAAGGCGATGGGCGCCATGATGCAGATGAAGCAGCCATCGAACAGGCCCATCAACAAACAGACAGCGATCAGCCCACCGAAGATGTTACACAGAGGGATCATCATAGACATGAGGCCGATGACGAAGAAGGAAGACACCTGCACAGAGAGGATTCACATAAAAACTGAAACTTTTTAAAAACTTCTTTATTTAAACATGTTTATGTTTAAACTGTTTCTCATCAGGGGAAAAAAAAAGTATGCTCAAGCTCAACAGAAGTTGGGGTTTTAGTATCACATGATCGTCACAGGGTCGACTAAATGCTGATTCAGAGAGTTTTCAGAGGCCAGCTGAAACCACTTCTGATCATTCTACTTGACTGTCTGTGTGTTTAAAATGTGTTAAGATGGTTTAAAACCGTTAAAGGTTAACATTAAACTCATGGAAGGAATGAGAAATCCTGAATGTGTCATGAAGGACAGTGTGTTCCTTTACATGTGTCGGATATGCAGCTCTGAACTGCTGTTCTTACAGACAGGAATCAGCAGCAGTGCACAACTATCTGCAGTGAATGTCAGTTGGACAGCTCATTAATAGGCAAAGTGCAAGACGGGCTGTGTTCATGCATAAAGATAAGCAGACTTAGAGAGTGCAGATAACCAGTTTACAGTCAGATCATTCAAAGGAACATCTATTAAAAACAAAAACAACATCATGAGCTTCTGTTTTAAATCTTATTAATAAAATACAAAAATATATCAGTAACTTAAAAATTGTCTGTAAAATGATCCACTGTCACACAGTTTGATACAAAGGGTGAAAACTTTGTGGCATTATTGGATGTGATCTATTCTCAGTTAATTTATCTCTCTGATAGTTTGTGCAAGTGTCACCACACAAACATCTATAAACTACCTCCCCTCTTTTCAGATCTTGTCATTTATTTTAACATTTTTATAATAAGAAAATATAACGTATACAATATATCTAAATCATCATATACAGATCTATAAACTAGAAAACCAGCCTAAAATCAAAGAAGTGTAAAAAAGTAACTTGCTTAATGTTACAGGGAGGAAATGAGAGAGGGAACTCACTGATTTTCTTTCACTGTCTGCTCTTTCTCGAAATTTATTAAAGGGATATTACGGCGTAAATTTAGGCTATGGTCAAACACACCATAACACCGAGTTAGACACCCTCTTGAGAGATGAACGTTGTCAACTGCTTGCTTCTCTAGTTACACAAACTTTAGTAACGACCACAGGATAGCAATACACAGCGGTCTAAGTCTTCATGCACACACCTCAGTCAAAAAGCCACTATTTAACCACAAATAATGCTCAGAAGAGCAGCTAACTTAGGCAGCCGCTTGTTTGTGGGAGTGCAGCGGATCATCCCATGAAGTAAAAATCATCATAACCATTTTGCGTTGCAGACACGATAGTTCCTCTGACTTAGCGTCTCAGTCTGATTGCATTTCCATGAAATAATGATCATAAATGTTCTTCCTTGAGCTGCGAAACTCCGATGCGCTCGGTGATCGACTTGTCAGGGCTCCCCCACAAACAAGCAGCTGCTGGAGAAGAGTGGGTGAGTTGTGTTTAGTCTCTCTGCTAAAGAAAGCAAGTGGTCGGCAAAATTTATCTCTAGGGGGGGTGTCTAACTCGGTGTTACAGTGTGTTTGACCATAACTTAATTTTATGCCAGAATATCCATTTAAGTATGAGATATCCAAGTCCAAACACACCCCAAAGCTCTCTCCCTTTGCACTCTGCTCTCATTTTTGTGTCTTACTGGTGAGGTGAGCTGTCAGCATCTCCTCTCTCTTCTGCACAGAGATGAAAATATATATATTTGGTTCACCCTGCAGAGGTGGAGTTATCTCTCAATAAAAAGTTTGAGCATGAAAGCTCTTATGAATACTGTAGGGCAATTACCACCGGCTCTCAGCAGCAGATGGTAAAGATATCACTCTGACTGTATGGGACTGTCAGCACCTGAGTTTGTATTTTAGACAGTTTCTGAATAAATGCATTATGGCTCATTTAATACACAAATACCACCAGCACACAGATGATCTGCAGCAGACTGTGGAGTCTTTAACCCTTTGCATTCACTTTGTGGATATGACTTGTATGCAGATCTAATTTGTGCAAGATGAGTGCAATCTGTTTTGTGAATCAGACCATTGTTGTTTTTGTTGAGTAAGGATTAAGAACTTCATAACATCTCAGTTTTGATTTATGTTTTTCTCACCCACCTGAAGGTAGACTTTGTTGGCCCCGTTAACGTAGTCTGCCACCCTGCCGAAGATGAGACGGCCTACGCAGGATGTGATGCCGATGCACATGAGCAGGACCTCTTTGTTGGCGTCCATTCCAAAACGCTCCTCCACATGTTTCATCTCAGGTCAGAGAGAGAGCAGATGGAAACAAATTACACATAGCTCGGATCCAGGAAGATCAAAAATACAGTTTAAAACAGACAAACGGACAAAAATAGAGGTCAGGAGGAGGTCTGTGATACTTGATATGCCAGGAATGCACAGTACCATCGCTAACTTGCACAATATTCTGCCTGTTTACTGTGTTAAGTTATGGCTGGGGTTCATGTACTGATTTTAAGGACTCAGTACTGTATCAGTTTTTTTTTACAGAGGAGTTTTTCTCTGTGACGGCACAGCCAACCAATCATCTTGAGGGTTATACAGCTTGTTCATATTTCAGCATTCCTGGTTTGTCCTCGCTGCCAGTGACCACTAGTTTCCACTCGCAGTCTAAGAAAAGCAGTCCAGATGTTCTTTGCAACTCTACACTGCCTCCCAAAGCACTGAACAGTGAGGCCCACAGTTGGAGAGAGAAAAGAGGGCCTGCTGTCGGTGGAGTTCTACCATCCACATCCACCTCCAGGCTGCAGCAGTCCTCCACAATGACCCTGTCTGTCTGTCCGTCTGTCTGCTGCCCTCCCAAGTCTTTCTCAGACCCTCTGGCTGGCCACTCATTCATCTATCAGACCTCTGGATGACACGCTGCCTCGCAGCACAATGTTTAGTGCTCAGCAGGGTCCTGCTCTGAGGACCAGAGCTGCAGCATGAGCAAATACATTCGCAGAACTGCATTTTTAAATCAGACTACTACCCTCTCTGTGGCAGAGAGCAGTAAGAGGGGGAAAAGGCTATGCCACTAACATTGTTCATAAAACAGCTATAAGGCTGCATTCTTGATAGAACCTGGCTTGTGGATGAACAGCAAAAATCACATCATAGACCAGTCAGTTACTTTTAAGCGTTTGCTGTTTATAAAAGTGAAATAGTTTGATTTCAGTTTTTAAGGTCATTTTAAGAACATATTCAGCTTTAAGCCGTGAGAACTTAAGAATTGGATAACAAGGGGAAGTGTGTGTGGATAAGGCCTGCACTTGCTCAGTAGGAATGTGTGTGTGTAGGATGTGTCCCGGCAAGTAAAGCTGTATATTTATGAAAAATCAGCATGCTTGCTTATACCTGCAGAGATGCAAAATACAAAACCAATAAGGTCACAAATTCTGTGATGAGAGTTTTTAAAGGCACGTCCTCTGTGCTGCAGTGTGAAGCAAAGCCCCTAGGTGGCAGAGGACGCTGTACTACATGATGCAAATGAAAAATATCAGCATTAACAAAAAAAATCACCCAGCTGCCTGCAAAACTGAACACAAAGACACAGGAGCATTTGATATTTTTGCAAACAGCAGGGGGGAAGGAGTTGGGCATACCCTGTAGAAACAAAGTCAAACACTGCAGAAACACGATGAGTCTACATCTACGTATGACATAACAGCATCTTGATCAGCTGTTAGCAACAACCTACTTCACAGAGCCAAAGAGTTGTCCCAACAAGCACTGCATACATTTCATCTGTAAAAAAATGAATCATCCTCACTACAGGTTTATGGTGCAGGACTCAGGCTGGTGCGTGATGAGTGTGAGTCATGCTGTGCAATCCACTGTCAGAGGTTTAGTACAGAAACTACAGAGCATTAGCACTGCAGATTAAAAAACTGGAGATTCTTGCAGCAAATAGGAAATATAATGTGTCTTGTGCATGTTATAAAAGCTCTGAGATTATAAACAGAAAACTTTAATTTATGTCTGGGATCTTGTCAGGTTGTTTTCAGTTGTTGTGTATTCATAAGTGACTTGTTTGAGGAGATGGATGGTTTTCCTCCATCTCAGCAGACAAGTAAAAACTGCACAGCAAAGCAGATGGGAAAAGACGACTGCACAGCAGAGCAGATGGTCTGCACTGTCTCTTTCTCAAGCTGCTTCAAAGTTCATGTCTGTTCTGACCTGGAGGCTCCCTTGCCGGGTTGCAGGTCAGAGCTGTGCCACGTGTTTCTACATCAAAAATAAAAGCAGCAAATGCAAAGAGCAGTTGTGTGATAGAGAGCTGTACAGACTTAACTCGGGGTCTCTGACCTTCTGTCTGACTGTGCATCTTCGCTGTTTATCCCTCAGCCTGAGCTCACATAGAGGATGATCAATCTGGAGATAACCCCTCATCACAAACACATCATCAGTCAGCTCTGTTTAAAAACCCAGCTTCATTAAAAATGTTCACTCTGATGTTGTTTGGATTAAATATACTTGATTTTGTTGATTGTGGCTCTTCCTTTAATTGTACATTTTAGGGGTGCCAGAAAAAGGCCCTGTTAGCATGGAAATGACAGAGGAATCTGAGATTTTTATAGCTGAATGAATGAATTGTTTGTTCATGCCCACAGTATGAGACATGATCTAATGATCACTGACATGCTTAACACATTATGTCAATGAAAGGTCAGCTGTTAGTGGTGTCTCAGGCAGCAGTTTTTAGCTTGTGCAGGGCTGAGTGAAGTAGGAGAGTGTAGAGACAGTGGTGATGGTGTCCTCATTCTTTGGCATCCAGAGATCTGCTGCATCAAAATATCTGTATCATGATGTATGAGGATAAAGTCAACTCATGTAAAATGTAAAACTTAATTTCACTAGCAAACACACTGATACTTAAATGAGTGGGGGTGTGGTTGTTTGTAAACAGCAGTAGAAAAAGCATGATGAACTCAAATGTCCATCTCACAGTCACACTAATTCTTCCCCTGATCATAAGGAAAGTGCTTCAACTTTGACCTCAAAAAGGAGACCCTTCCTGCTCCCTCAAGAAAGAAATACACCACTTTTGCACCTGTCCACACCTTAATTTAAAGGGATATTCTGGCATGAATTTAAGTTATGGTCAAACACACTGTAACACAGAGTTTTCCCCACCCCGCCTCGAGAGATGAATTTTGCCGACTGCTTGCTTCTCTAGCTATACCAACTTTAGCAACTACCGCACGATAGCAATACACAGCGGTCTATGTCTCCACATGCAAACCTCAAACCAAAAACCTCAACCACAAAGCCACTTCACCAACAGTACACATAGGGTCCCAGCCATAGTACCAGCCATCACACATCTTTTTAGCTTTGCCTGATTTCTTTAGCAAAAAGACTAAACACAACTCACCTACTCTTGTCCAGCAGACGCTTGTTTGTGGGGGAGCAGCTTCGCAGCTCAAGGAAGAACATTTATGATTTTACTTCATGGCAATGCAATTAGAGTTCTTGTGTATCTTGTATGTGCACTGCAGATGCAGTAGTTCCTCTGCCTCAGCGTCTCGGTCTGATTGAATTTTCATGGAGTAATTATCATAAATTTTTCGCTGCACTTCGTGATTGACTCGTCAGGGCTCCCTCTCAAACAAGTGGTATAACTCAGTGTTACGCCAGAATATCCCTTTAAGCTGCTTGCCAAAGATGTCTTGCATTGCTGTCTAATAGGATCCTGATTGTTTTGAATCTCACATGTGCTTACTGTTGATCATCTGCAACGATCCATACAACGAATTGTGCAATGATCCATGCAAAGATCTGTGCAATGATCTGTGCAGTGATTGATACAATGATTGATGGAATGATCTGCACAATGATCAGTAGAGCTAGGAAGACTTTTCATGACAGTTCAAAGTTTCCTTTTTTAGAATAGGCAGAGAGTAAATTCCTCTCCTTTTACCACCCTGCCTGTGGGAACAGCACACCTTTATCAATGTGCTAAAAGAGCAAACAGGATACCTGCAGGCCAGCACCTTATCACCAATCAGCAGCTCTCCTTAGTGTGTGTTTGGACTTTAGTCTCTCAGTCTGCTGACACACACAGATTGATGAGGAAACTGTGAAAACACACTCAGCTGCGTCAGCGCCAGCCCCACCACCACCACACCAAAAAAAATCAACAGCATGCCCTCTGAGGACGGATGCTGCTGGGGCTGCTGGGCCAATGGGCCATGGTGAACTGCAGCCGGGCCCCTGTAGTGACCCAGTCTGAGTAGCAGACACTGGAGAAGTGTTGGGAAAACACAGGCAGGGACAGGCTGATCTCCCTCCAATAACAAAGTCAACGGTGTCCAAACAAACAGACACCTCACCTTCTGTCCAGCTGGTCCCAGCTTGCTCTGCTGTCCTGCCAAGATGTTTTCTCTTAACTCATGTTCCCATGTCAGAGAGGGGAAATAAAGGAGACTATGAGCTGTTTAGAAAGCAGAGTGTGAATGAAAGCAGAGCTGCAGACACAGTCCTCCAGGTTCATCTAGTTACCCTCATCAGGACCACACAGCTGAGCTTCCCATGTGGACTCATGCTGCTGTGACGGGCAGTCTGTGGGATAGAGTCATGCAAACAGCCTCTACTATTATCACACCCACAGTTTGTACCTTTACATGCTCAAGGTAAGTAAACTGACACTCAATATCAGAGTCTCTGTTGGTCATTCAGAGAAAAACATCCTCATTCACATCACTGAACCACATGTGTTCGCACTGATCTAAAAAACATGAAGGTATCAGTGTTCAGTTTGTCTCTGTGGCATTTTCGACTCCAAGATGTGTGAGTCCTCTGCAGATAAACAGATGTTTTGATCGGGTTCTTAATGTGGGTTCTTATGTTTGTGCATGTAAACATAAGGTAAGCTCTCATCATGTATTTTAAAAGTCTGATTTTTTTTACCTAAAGAGCTCTGAAGGAAAACAGGATGTGTGTGTCATGATACACCTTACCGCTGAGTCTGACAGCTGCTGACTACCTGCACAGGTACACCCTCAGCCAAACAAGCATGGTAGTAGCAGCAATGAGAGCATCTTACTTAAGGAGGATGAAGGGCCTGAGTTTTGTCTTCTGGTGATAAAAAGTTGAATACAGTGAGAAGTTTAGATGGAAAGAGCATTGTAATGATCAAGTGCTATTAGTCTGTGGTTATTGGGCTACAGGAAGATGATTTACCAGCATGTACAGAGGAACCAATATCACACTGACTCACAGTGTGTAATGAGAGATTATTCAGATACATGATAAATTTTCAGAGAAGACCATAACCCTGTTGACCAGTTCCAGCCATTTCCCCCTCCACAAAAGCAGCTTTATGACTTATTCTCATAATATGTTTACAACTTTATTCTCATAAGTTTACAACTTTAGTCTCATAGTTTACAACTTTATTCGCATAAATTTACAACTTTATTCTTATAAGTTTACAACCTTATTCTCATGAGTTTACGACTTAATTCTAATAAATTTACTACTTTAATCTCAAAGTCTTAAAAAAATTCTCAATGTGGCCCTAATACTCCAATGTAATTATCACTTTTTTCCTTTTTTGTTATTATAACTATCTTGTTTTATTTCTAAATTATTTTGTATGATTATCTGGATTATTTCTGTTATTACAAGTATTTATTTAGTCATTCATTTTTGACATATTCTACTAACATAACTATCATTAGAATTATTAGTATGAGTATGAGTTTTACTATACTTTTATTTTATTACAATGCTTGTCAGCAAAACGACTATTTTGTCAAATTGATTTACTTTACTATTGATGATTCGTTTTATTTGGTTATTTGTATTTTCTGTCTAAATGACGGTAGTTAACCTTTTGGTGTTTAGTTTTAATGTCTTTATGTAAAAAAAAAATGTTGGGCGGTTTCCTTGGTGTTTCTTTTGGGTTTTTATTTTTTATTACTATTTTTTTTGGTAATATGGTAACATCAAAAATTACAAACAAAGATGAAAAAAGACATCTGTACAGGATCCTCGATTCTTAATGGTCTTTGGTGTCTGAGACTTGATTAAGACTAAATTTAAGCCAACCTTAAAGCGACTGCCTGACAGATTTCTTTAAAAACATCAAAAAATGTGTCCAGCCCTTTTATAGTCCTTACTTATGAAACCTCCCCCTGAATCAGACTGAAGGAGTCCAAAACAACCTCATGGCAACAATCTATTCCATCTCTGTATGATCCTGGCTGGACTTCCTCTCACCTTCCACGTCAATAATACTCATATTACTGCTGTATATTGTGATCTCTTTGCTTTTGAGCTTCTTGCTGACCTCAGCTCTGACCTTCTCATCCCTCACATAGATGAGCACATCCACAAACATTAGTATGTGCTTTATGTAAGGGTCAGTTATCATCTGATAGAGCAGACAAACACAGGAACATACAAACACAAACTTACCAGGTGAACATAGGGCACAAAGTATCCGTAGAGGGCTGCAGGGATGCCAAAGGCCCAGATACGATATCCCAGAGACTTCCAGATGTTAACGTTGAAGATCTGACTCATGGGGGGGCAGCGGCTGGTGCGGGTGTTGGAGGGTTTGACGGGCAGCAGGGGTTTATAGGTGAACCCAGCCAGCATCAGCACAAACATGAGGATGCAGAGGACGCGCATTGTGTTCTGGAGGCCCACTTTCTCCAGCAGCCCCGACAGGAGAAATGGTAGCGTGATAGTGAAGATACTGCTGCCTGCCGTCACAATGCCGTTCACCAGGCCCAGACGCTTCTTAAAGTAGTGACCCAGGATGACCAGGCTGGGCTGGTAGGCAAAAGAGCAGCCGCAGGCAAACACAATTCCATAGGTAAAGTACATAGGACCCAGAGACCTGTGAGGACATCACACTATTAGATGCAGAACAACAACATAACATAACATAACATAACAACAGATGTATAACAACAAAAATGACAAAAACATGTATAAAATGGAATATCTCTGTCAGTTTTATTTTTTCTCAAAGCTGCCATTGGTAGATTTCCAAGAAGTAATATGATAAAGCAAGACAAAGCTTGTGTCTCAAAATCTGTAGTTTTTCCAGTGGACACAGGAGACTGTCTCTTAAAGTGAGTCAGTTCTAACACAAGCCTGACTTAAAGTGTACAACATCAATTTCAATTTGGGTCAACAATACAATACAATACAATAAAACAATACAAGAACTTTATTTATCCTCAAAGGGAAATTCATTTGTCTGGAGTCTCATGTCTCATGTCATCTGCTATTTACAGAAGAATTAAACAGTCTGATGGCTGTGAATACAAAAGATCTTCTGAATCTTTCTGTCCTGCAGGAGAGGAGTCGTCCACCACCATCGGCCCTTTGGTCCATAAGGTGTTGTAAAGTGGACGATCCATATTTTATAGAACAGCCTCCACCTCCCACAGTGTACATCTCCCCACCACATCCTCCAGTACACAAGCAAATGTCGATCAAACTGATCTTAAGGGTTTGAAGGTTTTTCTTCCTTCCGTTCAACCTGTTTGGTTGTTCCTTTAACAATTTTTTACAAACATGTTGCTGGCATCCAATTGAAAATGAGCTGATATTTTTCATCAAACAGTAACATTTTTCAGTTTCAACACTGAATGTGTTGTTTTGCACTTTTATCTTCATGCACGGGCCATATGTGATTTGCAAACCTTTATATTGTCTTCTATTAACATTTTTACTGTGTGAACTGTTTTATAAGTGGGGTTATACATGATCTCTTTAGCCAAAGGCTGAGAATAACTTCAGCAGCAATTACAGTGCATTTTAAAGTGTTTTTTCCTTTTTCCTCTAAGAGGATCTTCATCTACCAAACGTAAAGGGGAGGGTCCTTTTCCTGATCATTCATTGTTCTGTTTCATCTACTTTGTCTAGTAAACAACCTTGCAACAAAACACTTCATGCAGCAGATTCAGACAGAATGTTTTCTATCCAGTGGAATGGATCCAGATATATCCTGAATTGTAAACATAAAGGGGTTATAACGTTCTGTCTTAGATACCAGGCCAATACTAACTCACGTCAAATGGCTGACGTATTTTGCACCTTGCACCACCAGTTGCCCGCCTGCCTTCTGTTTGTAAAGTGCTGATGACAGTCTCTTCAATCTGTTTTTTATTGTTATTGCACCTCAGAGTGATGATGGAACAGGAGGTGTTGACTTCAGATCAGAAATCTCTGTGCATGCTCCCCTCACGTGTAGACGGGGTGGGATTCCAGGAAATGATTAACAACAGGATGTGAAGTGCTGAGCCTCACCCAACAGAGTCCTGATAAAAGCTAAAAGTAGTGTTGCCATGGTATAGAATATGAGCTCCACCCAAAATATTCAACATTAAATACATCTGACACACGTCTGGTATCACTTCTTCTTTGTTATTCCATGTGGGTAGCTGTGGCTTGGTTGGTAGAGTCGGTCATTTCCCAATCAGAAGGTTGGAGGTTTGATCCTACAGCTGTCCACATGGAATTAGCCAAAAACGATGGACTCTATACAAAGCAGTCTCTGCCATAGGTGTGTGAGAGGGTGAATGTGACATGTGATGTAAAGTGGTCAGAAGATTAGAGAAAGTGTTACATAAAGACAGTCCTTTTACTATTCTCTTTAATATTTGAAATAGTTTAATGCCTGATAAGGTTTTTAGACACTGTATATACATGAGTACGCAAATTTTATTCTATCTCTGTTGTACTTTCACAAAAAAAAACTTAAAAAGCATGATCATGAGTTTTTTTTTAACAGGTATCACTCTAACGCAGAGGTTCATGTGACAGGTTCAGAAGCCCTCATGATTACTAATCTTAACTCCAGATCAGCATAAAATTAACTTAGTTACCTCCTACGCAGCTGATCATCAAATGTGAAAAAGGTTGTTCCTTTTGAACATCTTCAGCCTGACATCTCTTCCTGCTTCCTCTCCAAACCACTTTGTAACCTGTCTCCACCCTTCCTCTTCCTTTTAACGCTGTCTGATTTTACCCGCGTCTTTGCTGACACCCTACCAGTCACCCCTTTTTATGTTGTGTCTGCTTTTAACAGGGTCATATGGATTGTCACTGAATCTACTCTTTTTTGTACCCTTGGTCTTTGCTGCTGCTTTCCCTGCATTAGCTTTTTCTGCTAGCACATGAAACAGAGGGGAGGCGCGCTTTCCCTGCCTCAGAGTTGGCATTCCACATAGGCTTGTGGAAGGTCAGAAAGCTCTCAGAACAGAGCCACAACATCAAACATTATTTATTACATGTGAATAATTTATTCCCTGGTCCTGATTGTATCAAAGTGTCTAAAGTCAAATTAGAGTTTCACTCAATAAGTTGTCTGAGTAGCTTCTCATTCATCCAGGTCATGGTAATCCAATTTCTATGTTGAAACTGGACTTGCTTGAGGTTCTTGAACACGTTCCTCCTCTCTTCCAAAAGGCCCCTTCAGTTCTAAAGTGACTGGGGCGAAAGTTGGAAATTTTTTGCCTCTGTTGGTCCTCCAGCTTTAAATGGGCAGGGTGGTCACCTGAGAGACGTTTACAGCTGGGTCACCTGAGAGTCATTAGCATGATTGTTAACCTGGTTTCACCTGGGTATGTGTCCTCCTGGGTTCCTCCAGGTTTGTCATACTTGTGTGATGTTGGAGCCTGTGATCCAGCACAAAAGCATCGTTTAGATTTTTGTTGAAAGGACTCCATAGCTGAATTGTAAGTGGGGGATAAGAAGTGTCTTAGTCCGCCACCTCTGTTCAAAGATGGTTTCTTAGGTTTGACAAAGATGGCCTCTGGGGTAACAGTCCTTAGCATGTTAGGTGCATTTCATGGCATACAACATATTGCTTTGTTTGTCCTCAGGGTGGACCAGCCTCTGTCAGAGTGTGTTGGTGGGTTTGAAGGGTACCAGGATGTTGTGTTTCTGGAAGATCCTCCTGAGTTCCTTTGATACTCCAGACATGCGGGGAATAACAATGCTGTGCTGCTTGTTGTTGTTCTCTTCTTCCCTGTTGGTCTCCAGTTTCTTACAGACTTGATGAAGGCCGACTTAGGGTACCAACGTGTTTTCAGGACTCCCCTGAGGTGTTGCTGTTCCTTCTCCTTGCCTTCAGTGTAAGTGTTCTCAGCCCTGTGTTGAGGAGCCCAACTTCTGTTCCAGTGGATGGTGAGAATCAAACAGTAGATACTGCTCTGTGTGGGTTGGTTTTCTATAAACTTCTACGTTGAGGCTTCCATCCTTTCCCACCCCTACTGCACAATCCAGGAAAGAACAGATTGTCTTCTTTTATGTCCTCACTGGTGAATTTGTCGTTTACAGAGCTGATGTGAGTGGTAAAGGCTTCAACTTCACTAGATGTAATCTTGACACTAGTGTTGTCCACATATCAAAACAAGTGGATTGAAGTGGTTAAAATTCAAAATTCTCCAAGTATCTGGATTTTTTTGCTGAAAGTCATGAAACTACGAATACTTAGTACATTTTGGTCTTATGTGGTAGGGCCCAACGATATTTGAAAAAACTGACATTGTGGGACATACTCTAGGAATGAAATCTAGATAACTGCATGTGTTTTTGAAACATATATCAGATTTCAGTCAGATGTTCTTCTTTCAAAGGGATATTCTGGCGTAAATTTAAGTTAGGGTCAAACACACCGTAACACCAAGTTGGACACCCTCTCAAGAGATAAATGTTGCCGACTGCTTGCTTCTCTAGTTATACCAACTTCAGCAACAACAGCATGATAGCAATACACAGCAGTCTACATCTCCACATACCAAACTTCAGCCAAAAAGCCACTCTATAGCCACAAATAATGCTGAGAACAGCACCTACCTTCATCAACGGTACATATAGGGTTCCAGCCACTGCACTAGCCATCAAAAATCTTTTAAGCATTGCCTGTTTTTTTTTAAGCGAAGAGACCAAACACAACTCACCCGCTCTCCTCCAGCAGTCGCTTGTTTGTGGGGGAGCCCTGGCGAGACAATCACAGAGTGCAGCGGATCATTTCCTTGGAGTAATGATCATCATAATAATCATTTTGCACGGCATACGAGGTAGTTCTTCTGACTTAGCATCTTGGTCTGATTGCATTTCCATGAAGTAATAATCGTAAATGTTCTTCCTTGAGCTGCAAGACTGCTGCACTGAGCAATCATCTCGTCAGGGCTCCCCCACAAACAAGCGGCTGCTGGAGAGGAGTAGGTGTGTTGTGTTTGGTCTCTTTGCTAAAGAAATCAGGCTTTGATGGCTAGTACTATGGCTGGGTACCCATATGTACTGTTGATGAAGTTAGGTGCTGTTCTGAGCATTATATGTGGCTATAGAGTGGCTTTTTGGCTGAAGTTTAATAACATAGACCGCTGTGTACTGCTATCATGCTGTCATGCTGTCGTTACTAAAGTTGGTGTAACTAGAGAAGCAAGCAGTCGGGAACATTCATCTCTTGAGAGGGTGTTTAACTCGGTGTGACACTGTGTTTGACCCTAATTAAATTTAACACTAGAATACCCTTTTAACTTTACAAACATCCCAACTAACTGATATGACTCCTGTAGATGTAGATACTTTAAATACCAAGGTTCATCTGATCGGTATATTCCTGTGTATCTCTCTCTGTATCTGTTGCCACAGTGTTATTCGGCACATGCTCCCTTTAAATGCCTCACATAGCTCACTGACGTCCTCAAGCATCATGCCAGGTATATGTGACTGCAGCAGCATGATACGCATGTTTGCAATTTACAGTCGAGTGACACAGACCCTGCATGCACAGCAATCAGTCGTTAGTGTGTTTGAATAAGAAGCTGCAACAAAGTGATAACAAGCAGAAAGCTATTAGGGGTGGGAATCACTAGTGGCCCCACAATGGGACACTATCACAATACTTGGGCCATGATACAATATTATTGCAATTTTAAACATTTTGCAATACAATGAGATACCATACAATTGTGATACCATACTGTATATTGCAATTTATATATATTTTTTTTTCAACTGCATAGCTAATTTAGCATTTTTCTTTCCTTTATATTTGTCTTATTTACACAGTATTTTATTTTATTGTAGTAAACCTTATGTGTCATGTCCATCTCATTTGTGCCCTGCTTGCATTCCTAATGTTTTCCTAGGTGTTGCTATATTTGTTGTACTAACGTTCTCCTGCTCTATGATGTCACCTCTGCTAACCTCACTGGACAAACAGTTGACTTTATTTTTCCATTATCATAGATTTGACTTCATATTAGTAATTAACTTGAAAAGTCAACACTTGGTAAATAAGACGATACGATATATCACCAGACAAAATATCGCAATACTATGCTGTATCAATTTTTTTCTTCACCCCTAACTGCTATGTGCTGCATCAGCTACATGACTGACATCACACATCCTGCCGTGTGCCGTCATGTGCACATGTTGCAGTTGTGAAATGGTGCATCATTAAACCTTACAGCAGTGTAATTTTCCATATAACTTGGTGGTCTTGGCCTCTCCTTCTATCTGTCTCATATTTGTCCTCTACAACCTCATCTTTGGTTTTTCTGTCTTGATGATGGTGTTTGTCTGCAGCAGTGGTTGAGCTGGTTGAACTAATATTGGGTATGTGGTGAACATAATGGGCTCTATTTTTCGTGTCCCCCGGTGAGGCGATGGAGGGTGGTGGACCCCGCACAGTGGTATTTTCGTCTGGCGGAGCCCGGTGTACAGCTAGTTTAGTATTTTCGTGGACTGAGGCACACCGAGGTCTGCCAAGCTGGGCGTGGTGGCGAGGCAGGAGGAGGTGTCGACAGAATCAGCTGGCGCAGCGACATTTTCATGCTCTCCGGTGGCGTATAAAGTGAGCTGAAAGCTCGCCGCTTCAAACCTGGTCAGCTTTCAGCGCAGGCGGAGTGCAGCTGGTCTAGTGGTACTTTGGTAGACCGGCGGCGTATCGGCATACATCACAGATGCCTCACAGGCAGGTTTCCACAGTGTCAGGCACATTTCAGTGCAATAAATAATCATCAACAACTATTAATCTGAGTTAGCGCACACATTTAGATCTATATCGATATATTCTGATCTATATGTGATCTGATGAGCGCGTTTGGCATGCGTTTGGACACACAACCTGACCAAATCAACACAGCTGAAACCGCATTAAATTAAATATCTAGTAAATAGACACACATGATGAAGTTAACAAGATATGTAATTCGTCTCCCTCCTTTTCTTTCTTCCTCTTCCTCTTATGTCTCACGCAGCTCGACCTGGACATGTCTCTGTGTCCTCTCCCCATTCTGCTGCAACTGCTGCTGCGGCAGCTGAACAGATGGTTTATTTCAGTGATCAAATGAGTTATTTAATCTAAGCTTACATACGGATATTATAATATTCAGTTTTGTGAGCCAAATTTATTTTATATGCCAACATCTATGAAAGAAAGAGCCAGGCCATGGAGCGCGATGCATCATTTACGCACAGATGGTTCCGATTTTAATGCCATTATTGGAATTTATGATGTGATCTCTGTGCACAACCCACCTTTGTCACGTGAAGTTTGAATATATGCAACTTTATGTGAATGTCTTTATTTGTGGGAAAGGGTGTTTGTCTTACCAGTGGGTCCAACATTACACACACCAAATCCATCTGTGCTCATATGAGAGAGTGTGGAGGACGCCCTCTGCAGCGTTTACAGCGACACTTGTTGAGGAGCTGCCTTCTGTCGCCATTGTGTGGCATTACTGTCTTCAGACATCTCTTGATCTCTTTTAATACTTCACGAAAATCGTAATACGCCTCGCCTGTGGCGGATTTAAAGGCGAGGTGAGGAGCTGATGTTATTGGTCGATACAGGTCTCGGCTGTGTATAACCCACTCCATGCCCTCTCTCCTCCCTCGCTACGACTTACGCCGCTGGGAGGAGCTGAGTTAGGGAGGGGGGATACTTACGCCAGGCTGCGCCGCTCACCAAAATACCAAATTGTGCTTGGGAACGCCTTGTTGGCGCGGTGGACCTGACTTACGCCGCGCCTGCAGCACGTCTCCGGTGAGGCACGAAAATAGAGCCCAATGTATGAAGCATTTAGTTTCCCCAAGTTGTTTTCACTTTGTGGTTACTTTTACCTGTCTTAATGATGTTATGTTTGAGATGTTTAGATCTTCAGTCTTTATTTGTGTTTTATTCATCATAGATTATAACAAATCTGAATTTCTTCCTTACGTGACAAAGGAACTGGCCAGAAGGCCAACCAGGCCGACAGCAGCACCGCCCACAGCTGTGACTCTGCAGCCAAGGATGTCGGTGAAGACGCTGACAATAGGGGAGCAGAAGAAGATCATCCCCATGGACAGGGAGCCCACCCAGGCTAAAGGACACAGAGACAGAGGTACAGAGAGAGAGAGAGAGAGAATCAATGACTGTGATGTGAAGCACAAAGGACGTTAATCAACTTTTGATCTTGTCTGATACTGTCATTCTGTCTGAAAAAATAATTGATGGAGATACAGTATGTTGCTGTGTCTCACACATAAAAGTACAAGCCCATTAATCTGGGAAGTTGCTGATTGTGTCAGCTGCTCAGCATGATTGATCCATACATCCACATAACCCATACAGTGATCTCTGTGTGTGTCTTTTCTGTGTTTTAGAGGCACAACAGAGGAACAGAAGTTAGGCATGCTAGCTTTAAAGTACTTGTCAAGTAAAAAGGCTTTGATCGGCTGTGTAAATAGTGACACGCAGAATCACTTGGCTCTGGAAGGGAATGGTAACAGACACTCTGGCTTGTATTATCTATCTTACACCTAATACACACCTAGAAAAATAATATAAAATGAAAAAAATCAGCTCCAAAAGACCAATAATTCAAACACCACTGCGGTTGTATTACTATGGATTACTGCACTTTTTCATTTTTCATTTGAAGGTAATGTTTATTTTTTACCTCTGTCTTCTTACATTATTGTCTTTTGCACTGAGGTTTGAGATTGTAATGCTTTGATTCACTGTGAGTACTCTACTTGTAACATTGAAAACCATGTTACATAATCTTAATCTTGATATTGTAAACATACTGAATGAGATTTGAACATTAGAAATCATTAGTGTCCGTTCTCCTCTGGGCTTGCTGACCAACCTTAGTAAGATTAGATAGAATCTGACTGGATCTCTTAATAAAAAATAAAACCTAATGTCTCAAAGCTTGCATCAAGTTTCTCCATTTATTTAAACAGTGTTTTATGATATAAGATAACCACAGGGATTATATGTTATAAAATCTGTGCTAAAGAAAGTGGCACACACTGAGGTTCATAGGTGGGGAAAAAAAACAACTAACAACACTGATACAACACACAAATTGTGCAAGACCTCATGCAGTGACCTTCGAACCAAAACAGGATGGGTGAGTCAGAAGTGAGTGATGTGTTTTGGAAGCAGCAGCTACCTGGGGGCTCACACAGTAGCTACAGTAGAGCACAAGTAGGGCTGCACAGGTAGGACAGGTAAAAGATCAGCATGTTGGTGTGACAGAGGAAAGCTGCTGTGTTTGTGTCTGCATGTTTCTAACTGTGCAGGTTCATTTTCCGCTCTCACTGAGGCGTTTCTCTCTCTCTGGTATGTCATGAAGCAGGAACTGAGGCTGGAAGTGAATCAGCCTGTTACTCTGAGATTAACGCTGCTGTTTGCTGCTCCTCTACACTACAGTATGACTGGAGACACTCCTCAGTCGAGGCTTGCTAACATCTGTAACTGTCCTCTGCTTTTACAAAAAACAGTATGGACTGATAGCAGGAAAAAAGTTCAGACTAAGGCTGTTAAAATGTCATAAACCTCAATACTTTTCAACAGCACGTACATGGAGATAAAGTTAAAAAGTGCAGAAAAAGAAAAGATGAGGGGTGAAAAAGTAATTTACTGAAAGTTCACATCAGTAACACTCCGAAGAACTCAGAGCACAATCACACAACACGATCTGTGCTAAAAATAGACTGATCAGTCAGCTGATTGATGGCATTTTGACATAATGGACGTCATATTGGCGTCCACACGGATAATATCATCATTATCTTTCCAAATGGAAAGAATGGCTGCACATCAAACCTTAGACTGACTATTTTACAAATACTTGTGTTTATAAATAATAGAATAATGCAGCTTTGTAGTAATAATATTACTGTTTACTTTGTGTATTTACAAGGCTTCTCCCCTCCCCCACATTGCACTCTGACCACATCACCATCCTGCTAAGACCAGCATAAAGACTCAGGCTGAAGACCACCAAACCCCACCTAAAGCAGGCACGTGTGTGGCTAGAGGGAGCTTCTTCTGCACTTTAAAGGGTCCGAGTCTGAGTTGTTTTGATTCCATCATTTGTCAGTAAAACATGAGAGACTGCACTCACAGTATGCTTTCTCAGTCTTCACCAATCCCTCCAGCTTGTCACTTTAGTTGGGCAGAGAGTTGATGTTTCCCATGACCACTGATGGAAGAAAAGGTTTACATCTCCATTTCCAAGCCTTCACCTTTGCCATCGCCTTTGCACCAGAATGGCAACCACTAAAAATACCTTCAGATGTTCAGACCTGCTCTGTCTCTGAAGCTCCTCTCCTGAACAAACTCCTCTCCCAGCAGAAACATCCACAATTGGTTGACAAAATCAATCAATCAATCAATCAATCAAATTTTATTTATATAGCACTTTACAATATCCCAAATGGTACCCAAAGTGCTTTACATAAAAGCAATAAAATAACACAAGAAAAAAAACCATTATAAAATAATACAATAGAATAGAATAATACAAGAACGATGAAATAATAAAAATGAATATGAAAATAAAATAATACAATAAAATAGTATGTAGAAGTGCTAAAAACCTATAAGTACAGGACTACCTAGTCAGAGTTAAAAGCAAGTCTAAAAAGGTGCGTCTTTAACTTTGATTTAAATAAACTGAGGTCAGTGGTGGTGTGTACATCTAGCGGCAGTCTGTTCCACAGCCTAGGAGCTGCAACAGCAAAAGAACGATCACCCCACTGTTTGAGTTTTGACCTCGGGACCTCCAACAGGCGCTGACCGGAGGAACGGAGGGCCCTGCCATGATCGCGAACAGTTAAAATCTCTGACAGGTAGGAGGGGGCCAGGCCATTTATGGCATAAAAAGTAAATAATAAAAGTTTAAAGTCAATTCTAAAACAAACTGGAAGCCAGTGTAGCGAAGACAGCACAGGGGTGATGTGTTCACGCCTAGACGTGCCCGTTAAAAATCGTGCAGCAGCGTTCTGTACAAGCTGGAGACGGGAGATTAAAGACTGGCTGAGGCCAACATAAAGGGCATTACAATAGTCCAGTCTGGAACTGATGAAGGCATGGATTGCCTTCTCGAGGTCCTGCCGACTTAAAAAGGACTTCACTTTGGCCAGGAGACGCAGTTGAAAAAAGCTGGTACTGACGACAGATCTAATCTGTTTATCGAACTTAAGTCCACTGTCAAATGTTACCCCAAGATTCTTTACATGTGGCTTGAAAAAAGGCGCCAGATTTCCAGAGTCTGTAATCGAAACGTTTGATATCGATGGCGTGCCAAATAAAATACACTCAGTTTTGCTGTCATTTAGGTGCAAAAAGTTCAGAGCCAACCACTGTTTTACTTCAGTAATACAGTCCAGTAAGTGAGAAAGTGCACTGTTCTCGTTGGGTCGCATGGGCAAATATAACTGTAAGTCATCAGCATACGAATGAAAAGACAGATTGTATTTTCTTATGATTGATCCCAGGGGTAGTAAATACAAAGAGAACAGAATAGGGCCAAGAATAGAGCCCTGTGGCACCCCACAAGAGAGAGGCGCCTGTGAGGAGCAGAGGTCACCAATCATCACGGAAAAACTCCTATCTGCCAGGTACGACTTAAACCATTTGAGAGCGGTGCCACGGATGCCTACATACTGCTCAAGGACAGGGCAATATCATTATGTACCTTTAACAGTGCTGACTCAGTGCTATGTCGAGACCTGAAACCAGACTGAAATTTATCAAGAACAGAATTTACCTCTAAAAATGCATGCAATTGAAAGGAGACAACTTTTTCCAAAACCTTAGAAAGAAATGGCAGGTGGGAGACAGGCCTAAAATTGGACAGCACAGTGGGGTCAAGATGCGTTTTTTTGAGGAGGGGCCTAACCACAGCATGTTTGAAAGCAGCTGGGACAGACCCTGAGCTAAGACAGGTGTTGATAAAAAAACAGCAAGCTTGATCCAACAGAACTAAATACCTCCGACAAAAACATGAAAACATTTCAGAAAATTCAGAGACCAGAATTTGCTGCTCTTTGGTTGAGCACAGGTTCTTAGGTTGACTCAGGTTGAAACAACATATTTCTGTCATGTATAACTATCATGTTTATAGCAAATGTATAGCCTCCAGCCCTCAACCTGTGGCGATCATACCCCCCACCCCACCCTGGGTACCTCCTTAGACAAACATTGTCAAAAGAAAAATATGTAAATGTTTATGCTTATAAACACAAACAAACACATATACTGTACATATGCATGTTTAAGATTACAGACAGTAAATAACATCAGTGACCCCACCATTTGTTTCTGAAGAAGAGTTCTGAAGCCTATCAGTTCCTATATCCTTAATGGTTGGCGTAACCCAACTTTTGGCCAACCTACCAGAGGCAAGCTTTTAGCCTCCTTGCTAACGGCTAGTGTGCCCACCTGCAGCCTCATTCACCAATCTGATGACCTTAATAGCTTTGATATTAACATGTAAAAACACATTTACTCTCCATACAGTGGATGCAGTGAGAGCCCTGACGTATTCAGACAAAGACCGATTTTTGAATGAGACTGTAAACGGATTTAGTTTTTCTCTAAGAGTCTGATCATTTGAATGAGTGTGTATGAGGTCTCTAGTGCTTTTGAAGACAGCTCGAGGACACTCATGGAACAGCAGATTTTGGCACTTCCACATCACCTTCATTTCTCATAACCAGAGGATGCAGCTTGGTAAATATACATGGCCACATACTGTATATGCTTTCATATACGAATAAACAGACAAACTGTATAAACCATAGTCCATTTAGTCGATTTTTTCTGACTCTTGGACTGGACTTCTCATAAACTAAAGCTGCAATGTGATGATGCAGACAAGGGTGTAAAAGGTTACTGTGTACAGCTCCGTTGGAGAGGATCATCAGATATATTACGGTTTATCCCGCGCAGCTCTGAATATTTCTTACAAATTTCAAAGAAATCCAAACAAGGAAACAAGGAAATCCAAATATTGAAAAAAACATATGAACCTCACCTGACTCAAATTGTTACTGTGAGACTTTCTGCAGAAATTGAGGGCCTTTAACTAACAGCAAAGTAAAAACAAACTCTGTAACTCTGAGGACTCCAGAGCAAACCAACATGACGCAATCAACTGATGTTTCTCTGACACAGAGCAGAAAGTTCCCTAACTGTAGTGTATACATTTATATTTTCAAAAGTCATGTGATCTATATTTAGACAACCCTCTTACCCTGCTCTGGTTTCCCTGGGAGAGCTCACAAGCTGTCAGAGCCTCCAACCATCTCTGCAGACACTGAGGCAGCAGAAAACTCAAAGGACTCCACTCTGCTGGGGCTCATACTTGAAGAGATATCTGCCCTCAGTAAAGCTCAACATTGTAATAAAAGACATGAAAAAGACAGAGAAGCATCCCCAAGGACAACAGGAAATTGCTGAAATGGTTTAATCTGCTGATTCTTGTCTTAAAAGCCCTCATTCTTCTTAGAAAGAGAAATGAAAATAAAATATCTGGATTCTCTGTGTCCCAGTGACATCCAACATAAGCCTCAGGCCCCACTCGGACACTGAATGAGGAGGTGAAGTCACATTAGGTCGTCTGACTGTCTCCTGAAAGATTCCTCTCCTCTAAAACTATGTGCTCTGTGCACATAACCCTGCATCTTTAAACCGCACGGAAAAAAGATCCTGCAGTAGAGAGACCTGCACCAAGCTCTACATCTCTGAATCACAGAAAAAGATCATACAGCAGAGACTCTTACACTAAACCACGCATCTATAAAAACACAGAAATTCAAGAGATGAGACACCAGCACCAAAGTCTGTACCTACAAATCACACAGACCTGACAAAAAAAGCTAAATCTATAAATCAGAGAAAGGATCCTTCCAAAGAAAAACCTGTCCTGCAGCTAGGGCTAGGCAATATGGTAAAAAGTTTATCACGATATATTTTTTTCGTATTAGTCGATCAGTCAATATCGATATATTATGACATACAATACAATAAGCTACTACATCTGTGAGGTCTTTGTGTCTCTTTGACGTTTTGTTGTAAGGCGTTAAGCTAGAGAAAGTGGACTGAATGGTCGGCTGTTTCAGCTGCATAGGCACCACGGGCTGCTTGCTCCGCTCAGGGTTAGTAACCTTTTGCATTGCGCGTGCTCTGCCGTGTGGCACTGCTTCAGGTGGTGAAATAGATTTCAGGTATTCCCTGACTTTGCGAGAACATGTACTTGAAATAATTTGCAGTGCACATTACTCTGCTTCATGTCCAACCTCAAAAAAAAAACAAAATACCTCCACACCACTGACGTTTTCGTGCCAGTGTTGTCGACAATGTCATCATCTGTTGAGCCTTCATCTACATTTCTGTGGGGGGTAGCACTCATTTTATTATTTTTTTTCACCGACAGTGCTGTCGGCTTCACATGTTAAAGTGCTATGGTTGTGTGTAGCTGCAGTCTGCTACTATGCAGTTGTTTGCTACTTGGTTCTTATTCAGCATGTGAAATTAATTTTCAATGTATATCGTTATCGTTTTATCACTCAGCCCTACCTGCACCAAACTGCATTTGTAAACAACACAAAAAAAGATCCTTGAGCAGGGAGACCTATAGACCATGCATAAGGAAACCTAAAGCAGAGATGTGCACAAAACTCTGCATTTTCAAACCACACAGAGAAGATCATACAGCAGAGGAACCTGGTTTGAAACCAATCTCTGAAACCATAAACCACGCAGAAAAGATTCACAGCCGAGACCAGCACTGTACTCTGCATCCATAAACCACACAGAAAAGATCCACAGCTGAGACACCTCCAACAAACTCTACATTCATAATCCAATCAGGATGTTACCCAAAATAGATGGACCTGCAGACTCTGCATCTATAAACCACACATAAACAATTCTTCAGCAGAGAGATCTGAACCAAACACATTATGTTTTTACTACAAAGAACTATTCGCACAGACACTTGCACCAAATTCTGCATCTATAAACCGCACAGAAAAGATCCTACAACAGAAACACCAAATATTGCCTTTATCAACCACACAGAATAGACCAGCACCAAACTCTTCCTCTATGGATATCACAGAACAGATTATGAAGCCGAGAGGCTTGGACCAAACTCTGTATCTTTAAACCACACAACAAAGATCCTACAAGAAAAACAGAGGAAACTGCACCCAACTTTGACTCTAAACGTCACATTTCAGTCTCTAGTATCTTACAGATTTGCAGAGTCAGGAGAATGGATGTGCTCCTTAAAAATATAGACACAGGCTGGCTCAGCACGTGGATAACGCAGCTCCATGTGCCTGATGACTTCCCTTCATGTGTGAAAAAACCCACAGATCTTAACTATTAACCAAAGTGATAAGAGCGAGCTAATAGCCCTTGGCTCAGATCGAGCTGCTGTGATCAGTTTCCCTGGTTTCATCAGAAAACAACATCTTATCTCTGCTGCACCGTTTACTCCCCATATTGAGCAAAGACAGGCCTCATTTAACATAGAGACCATCCGGCCCTGTATCACAGTCGTGGCTCTGAAACACACTCAAACTGGGGCCTAACAGGTGTTAATGCATTACCTGCTCTCAGTGCTAACACAGCAGAAACAGGAACAGATGTTCCTCTAGATCACGAACCAATATCCACTGTACAGCACAGTTTCACACACAGCTTTAGGCTAAAATCCAAACTGCTTTATCAAACTTTGTCTTTATTGAAACAAAAGATAAATCTCATGACAAAAGAAGTTTGTGAGGAGAGAAAAAAGACTGAAAAGAATATGAAGAAGAAAAAATAATGAAAGTCATTTTCCAATAAAAACAAAGCGGAAGAAGCAATGGAGGTTAATGGGTTTACAAGCTGTGTCTATGTAGATCTGAACATATTTGGCACATAGCTGAGACTCATTATGTCCCTCCTGAGGTAACTGCACCAGGACCGAGCGTCTGCAGAGCTTAAAAATCTGCACATTCTGCTTACATGCTCAGCAGAAACAGCTTTCAGTCACACTCTGAAGAAACACGCTGATAGATGAACTCAGTGATACTGTTCATTCTGAACCTGAATAGAACTGTTAAGACAGAAACTCAGAGACTGACTTTAGACTCAGCTGCTAGTCAATGCATGTGTTACCATGGCAACAGCTGCATTTATATAAATGTAATGCCAGACAGTGACAGTAGAGAATCAAGTATCAATGTGAATACTTGCTGTTTGGCCTGAAGGGTTCTCTTATATCAACTACATGCTGTGCACTTCCCTTATAGGATTGACTTGAAAGGAGGTAAACTGCAGAATGCTCGAACTCATTTAACCCAGAATTTGGTCTTTAAATAACTGGATATAACTAAGAAAGCAACACTCCAAAATATGATACTTCAATATACTTGAGCTCTAAACAGAGTACAAACAGAGTAACCTTCAGATTCACCAGGGATTAGACCCTACCTGACAGAGCATGCAACACAACTCCTGGTTCAGGCTCTTGTACTATCACACATTGACTACTGCAACTCCTTACCCTGCATGCACAGTTAAACCTCTGCAGATGATCCAGAACACAGCAGCACGTTTGGTCTTCAACCAGGCCAAGACAGCTCATGTCACTCCTCTGTTCATCTCCCTTCACTGATTTCAAGTCGCAGCTCACATCAAATTCAAACCCTTATCATTGCAGTAACCAAAACTGCTCCTGTTTACCTGGAACCCATCATCCAGGTCTGCCCATGCTCAGCCACAGAAAGGCAGCTCCAGGTTTGCACATGGAGATATAGACCGCTGTGTATTGCTATTGTGCGGTCATTGTTGAAGGTATAAATAGAGAAACAAGCAGTCAGCAACATTCATCTCTCCAGGGGGTGTCTAACTCGGTGTTACGGTGTGTTGGACCATAACTTAATTCTACGGTGGAATATCCCTTTAAGGTAGGTGAGTCCTGCGGGACAAACCTGACTCATTCCCAGCTGGATGCATGAAGAGAATTCTTGTTCCTTCTGTCAGCTCAAATTTCAGCCTCTTTACAAACTGCAGACCATATGTGGAGTAAGTGTGGACCCATCAGTCATGAACAAAGACTGTAGCCTTAGTTGGTTCTCACTGAGCTGCTGAAACACATCTGAGCATGTTTGGACTGTATTGAATTTAGGAAGTATAGATCTTTAGTCAGGAACATCATCTGCAGATGGAAAACATTTAAAGCAAGCTGCTCCTTGGCTGGGGGAGGACCAGCCTGAGGCTGAAGTTCAAAGGCATCTTTATACAGAGTCCCAGCTCCAGTCCCTCATTTGTCTTCTGGCCTCACACCACTGGGAGGGAAACCCAATGCATCATGATTCTGCGAAAAAGTTGGGGCGCAGCCACAAAATAATTAATGTCTTTGCATAAACAGAAGAAACTCATCATAAGTAGGCTGGGAAGGACTGCTTTGGAAGAAGTCCAGAAACGCTGGGTGGGAGTAATTTTCTGCGTCATAAAATAGGGGAGGGGGCGGTGTGTGAGGACTGAAAGGAGATTGGGCGAGCTCCTTATCCTCCCCTTTACGTTCCCAGTATAGAGAGAGCTGCAGGCCACAGCGTGGATACACCTTTTTTTACTCTATATCTACAGAGGCGGTGGTAGCATGAATGGATCCTGCAAATTGTGAGAATAAAGAAGTCACAGAGCTTCATTATCTGTTTAGATCGGCTCATGTATTCAGAATGACAGTAAATGACAAACCTACAGCAGATCTAAGTGGTATGGTAATGATTTATGAGCTGTCCATGATACTAGAGAGCCTCTGACTCTGTTTCTCTGCAGAACGTGAGACCTTCAGTAGATCATTACTGTGACAAAGAAAACATGCAGCAGCAAACAGAAGACTGTCCGTCTGTCTGGCATAGGTGATCTAGCTGTTTGAGATTGAATAGAGAAACATGTCCTCCAGGGACATCACAATGAAACACACAGATGGTGACCTTTGACCTTGTAGGCCAGGTAACCTGGTTTCTCTGGTGCATTTGAACAAATCTTGATGATGCTCTGCATGTGTTTTTCCATGAATCTCACTGACGTGTTTAGATTACCTTAAGTGGATGTCCATGTACATGCAGAGCAGACCCATCCTATTAGTGGCATCTTGTTATGTCTATCTTCAGAGGGAGCTTCACATGATGTATGACGTGATGTATGATGTGCATGCTGAGCTGGTCTGTAACTCACTTACCCTCAGGACATCCCTAGTGGATGCAGAGGTGGGTTAACTTTGATCCAGTAAAACTCTGAGTTTTAAAACCCCACTATTTCACTTCATAATGAACTTGACAGATACATGTATTGCTTGATATGACTTTACTGCCTGACAAAGTCTGAAATCTGTCTTAACATCTTCATTCACAATTTAATGGTGCAGTGAATAAAACAAATTGAACAGACAGTAGATCATTCAAGCTGATTTCACATCTGTGTTCTAGCTCAGGTATTAACTGGTTTAGTGTTATATTTTTCTTTTGGCTCTGCCTGTGTTCATACTGTAATGATGTCAAAACAAAACTCACATTATCACAGAGCTGTTTTTGCACAGCCTCTGCATAGGTGATCTCACTCCATGTGTCCTGGTTACACTTTGCATTGTGGGACACAGGATTCTAACTAACATAAATCAGCGAGAGTGAGTTGTGGGTCAACTTCATTGACTGCATATACTGTGGACAACTTGGCTCCACCTTCTGCCTTTTTGTTTAAGCTAAATTGCTCTCTGTATTTCCGGGATTTTTTCCACTTCCTGAAACCAACATTGCACAGTAGCATTGTACGCATTCGGCGGGAGAGTCGCCGAGAGTCGCTGTAATGATGCTCGGCTCAAACAGCATAGCCCCGGGTCAGCTACGTCATCTTCGTACGCCCATAAGCTGTATCAAGTGTCAATCATAGAAAACATGAATCCCCTAATAAGTTTTAAAAATGGAGCTGTACAGAAAAAAAAAAACTTGGCACAAACCAGTCTTACAGTAACTACATGTCAACATCACACGCAGAGGGGAGAAAATTGTATATTCTGTGTAGCTCCATAGGGATTGCTGGAGGAGGCGGAATTTATGGCCTATATACCCGTCATCTGACCTATGACCCCCGTCACCAGTGGGTGCTGTTCTCGTGGTTGCTTCACCCAGCGAGGAGGCAGACGGCGTCAATTCTATATACAGTCTATGGTCAACTTAGAGCAGCAAGGAGGTCAGTGACTTGTAAACATCTGGACAGATAAGCAAATTTTGGACATCATTTATTAAAGTACAGTCTGCTAAGTCAGTGCAAGAACGAGTGATGCTTCACTGCTACTCTCAGTGGGGTGATAATCAAAAACTGGGTTCAAATCAGAACTGGTTTTGGGTAGTTTGGGGCACTGGCATCATTTTCTACGTTGAACGTTTCTTTATCAGAGCCTTCCCAAACGTCTCACAGAGCTGATACGAGTTGATTCATAGTATGAGAAGCAGTCAGTGCTTGGAAGGCGAGTCCTTCATGATCAACACATACTCCCTGCCTCAGCACAGATACTGTCTGCAGCCACAGTGCTGAGGTCCTTCAGTGGAGCTAAGTTACACAAAATGATAATGTCAGAGAAAATGGAAACAGAGGTATAAAGTTTTAATAATGGTTTTAAAAAAAAGCAGTCACATTGATAGGTTAATGGTTAATAAAAACTAACATCAATCCTTAATTTGTTTTTGACCAATAGACATGTGCAATAACACATACTGCATTTTTGAGCCACCTTGAATCTCCTCAGGGAAATTTCTCTCACCATGACAGCCCGAGCAAACTACAAACTACAACTGAGGAAGTGATCATGATGGACAGGAGACGGGAGAGGTCCTGAGTGTTGCCCTACACAACTAAATATTATTGTATTTATAATATCAGCTCTAAAAATAAAACGGTAAAATGTACGAACTTCCAGAAAAATCCACTCGCTTCATGAGTATAGCAGCTTTAAGTGATAAACTCTGAGTCTCTGTGACATCCAGAAGTTTTTCTATCACCAAGAGAAAATCTGAGGATTCTCAGATCCAATCCCTCAGAAACAAAGTAATTGTGTGATGATTTATGGATTAACTGTAGTGAAATAATGTCATTTCTGTTGGCTGACATTTTTATTTTCCAATCAGAGGCTGTATCTGTGATCAGCTGACCTGTGAAGACGCCTGGCTCCACTGTCTCAGCGGAGCAGTGAAGGTTATAAAAATGTTATCACAGAAAAACCTGTTTAGGCCGACTTTCACCAACCAGACAATACTTTGGGACTGACACAAAAATTAATGAAGACAAGTTGATCAAATAATGGTTTCAGTATCAATAAAATCTTATCAGTTTCTTTCCTGATGCCGTCTCCCCACACTAACACATACAGCAGCCAGGATCACAGACAGACAGACCTATTTCTCATGCTTGTATTGATAAAGCAGAGGAGAGTGTTTTTTGTAATGTTTGGGAAAAGAGTCTGACCTTCTGATCCCAAATGTTTAATCAAAAAAACAACAACAACAGGAACAGCAGCCAGCTGTCATTAAATGACTGTATTGATTGTACTCAGACAAAATTGATCTGAAGCCTGCAGAGACCTCCTCCTCTTCCTCGTATTGTTCTTCATCACAGGGCTCACTGTGTTCACATCTGTCCAAACCAGCCGGGCAGGGAATCCCTATCAGCAGCCTATCACCCCAGTCCATGGTGATTATAAACAGCCTCAGATCAAGCCTTTTAAATCCTCATGAGTTTTTGCCCCCCTCTCTCCATGTGTGGCCTGATAAGGCGTGTCATGTGCAGGAGGCGAAACAATTGGTTCTCATGCTGCATCTGATGTGCCGCGCTCAGTCTATCATGTTTACCTTCAGCCTGCTTTGAATGGAGGCTCATGCTCCGGCACGCCTGACACCAAATAGACATTAACCAAAAACATTAACAAGCACTTGCTCTGAAACTCTGCAGGTTTGCAGGAAACCAATCAGTCCATGTTGTCTGTTTGAAGGAAGGGGCTACTTGGAGCTACTTACAGCATTACTACACAGTCATGCAATCCTCTGTAAATAAGTGGCAAGCTCACATATCTGATCAGTGATAGTATTTCTGCTGAGTGTACATTTAAAAATACTTGCTTTTTGTCTGGACACGACAACACATACTTTCATTATCAGGCTGATTTGGCTAACTCCTCTACCACTATAAAACCTGCTTTGACAGCAGCTTCAGTGAGTGATTTTGCTTTGAGTCTGCTCTGACACCAGACTCTATGTAATGTATCTATATAATTTATGAGTTTACCTTTTTGAACTAAATTACTGAAATCAATCAACTTTTTAATCATATTCATTTATTCAGATGGACCTATATAATTATATCACAGGCCAGACATGGCCCACAGGCTTTGAGTTTGACTTGCCAGTTCTAAACCAGTCACAGAGGCATGCGTGGATCATGGATACCTGGTCCAGGCAGGGAGGATGTTTCTGGTAACAATTCACAGAGATCATAGCTATACATACAACAGGTCAGGGTTTTCCCTTTACACAACTCACACAAGTTGTGTGATTGTATCTCTACATTATAAGATATGACATATCCCCTCCTCTACACATGACAGAAACACACAACCTGCGTTTGGATTTGTTGCTGTTTGGCCTGATGTAGCGCACAGAGTCAGCCAGTGTCAGCAGACTTTATATTTGATGTTGTTGCACAACTTTTGTTGCTCAGTCAGTTCATTGACTTTCAGACTTTCCCTCTTGTCCTGTTGTTGCTCTGACTGTTAGCTCTGATTGTAATCCTGCAGTTTCCACTGTCAGGAAGGATTTAACCTTTCAGCTGCCAGCAGCTAACAGCTGATAGAGAAATAATCTTTGCCAAGCTCTATTTCTGCTCTGACATGTTTTACTTTAGGTGGGTTTAAGTGGGAAGGGAACCAGCATAGACTCCTGGAATTACTACTCCTTGCTGGGAAAAATTTAGCACATACTGCCTTAAGTGACCCTCTACAACCATACCACTCTTATTTCTCACAGTGACTGAATCACAGAGTTTACTTTCAAAGTAAGAATGCATATTTTATGTCTGTCAGATAATAACAGGAATATTTCACCAACATTGACTATACCAATAAGACAGTTTTATGTCATGTAAATAAAAAATTGTATTTAGCATGTATTTAAAAAGGAAAAAAAAAGACAACATGAGCTCCATGACTTTACAAAGACCCTCATATATTTTACAGAACATGAGCTGCAGGTATTAAGAGTGGAGGAGGAAGTCCTTGGGCCCTAACGTACACCTTGCGCAAAGTATTTCACCTACAGTGTGGGCGTTGTAGTTACTTTCTCCCAAACCCAGTTGTCATTTTAATCTCCAGCACCATGTGGTGGGAATAGTGAGTGAACTTGTTCCCATGTTTGCACCTGTGGGTGTGTTGGTCCTAAAATGAGGTGTGGCCAGGTGCAAACAGAGCACATTGCTGTCTATCGAAACAGAAAGTGTCGGCTTCCTTAAATCAGCTCATGGACCAAACTTTACTTCTAAAAGCTGGAGAAAACTCCCGTCTTAAATTCTTCAGATTTGGTAGGACTTTTGTCGGTGCTCTTGAACATACTGTGGTGAGATTTCAGCTGGTTATGAAACAGGCGAGAATTAACTAAAGTTCACATGGGCATAAACACCAATGATGGACTTAACATCAATAGAGGCTTTGCTGTTCTTTTTAGCACATTAACAAGCATATTATACTTTAAGAGACTACTGCATGTCAGCTGATGATTTCTACGACAGTCCAGTGGCAGTCATTTGTCCCATCCACACCATACCTGCAACAATGTGCATGAATATGCAGGAGAAATAGCAAGCAGAAGGGTGAGTGATCCAGACTGATGTGATGTCTCCTGCCACTCTGACCTCCACTCTGTCATTCACAGCATTTGCTGTGTGGGTCATTGTTGAATCATTATATACATTTACATATACCTATACTTAAATGGCAACATAAACATTGTCATTGTATACTTTGTACATGTTTTGTAACATAAATATTTTAGATGTTCTGATTTTTCTGCATTTCCAGAGCCAGACTGTCTTTTGTGTGTAATGCCTTCAACCCTGCACTGAAATTCACATCCTGGTGATGCAGTACTTTCCTGACATTCAGGAGCATTAATGTGACAGTAAGATGGGCATTAGCATTCATAATTTATGTTCCTCTACTTTTTACACACAAACAAAAAGCAGTTACAGCAGCACCCCCACTCATAATAAAACCCATGTGTGCCTGCTGATACATTTTTTTTTGTAACACAGGGATCAGAGATGAGTGTGTCTCCTCTGTCGCCATACAGCACTGCTCTCTGTGCTCCCGGGATGCCAAAAAATGAGGAGACCATCACTGCTGTCTCTTAAAAAACATCAGCTCCACCCCAACCCTGCATGGGCCAATAAAATAAAGCTTGAGACTTTGCTAAGCAGCAGTGTGCACGTTCTCTGGATCATATGCAAAAACAGACACACACAAAGCTAAGAGAGGTTTTCTTACAATCCTCAAACTTCACTCTCTGCGCCACTAACATCACATCCACAGATATAAAGAAAAAAAACATATCTGTGACCCAAATGTGATCCTCCGACAAACTTAGAAGATAAAGATGAACACCTTTCTCTGATGTAACGCACAGATCAGCAGTAAAAAAAAAAAAGTTCATTCTAGCATGCCTTGTATACTAATGTTCTCACTGTTCATTTGGAGAGCCTGCCTGTAGGATCATACAACTCTTAAAGGGAATGAGGCGCTCCAATTAGACTGATTCATTTTACATCCAACTACACCTTTAAATAATAGAGGGACTCAGTCTAATTGTCTCTGCACTCGGCGACCAGAGAGTGTGCTGTTTAACTGGCAACATATGGTCATACACTGATTCACTTTGTTCTGTGAATTTATGAGCATATGTTTTAGATCTTTGCGCAGGGCCCATCAAGGTTGAACACAATAAATCTTTAAAGCCACTAAAGTGTCATCAACCCCAAAAAAAGAGAAACTGAAAAAAGGAGGAGCTGCAGCTACACTGCTCTGAGCTGCCTTATATACAGGGAAAAGGAGAATATTCGTGGAATATGTAAAATAAAAATTAGTTAGAGTTAGCCTGGCACAGTCAGCGCAGGGTCAGGGTCCTGTGTTCAGAGGTTGAAAGCTCCCACTCTTTGGCAGCACTGATCTTGGGGCAGAGATTAACTTCTGAACTGCAGTAGAATCTGTAAGTGATCCTGCTGACTCATTCACATTTTCATTCACAGTCAGTGATTCAACAACAATATTCTCAACTGTACCCTAGAGTCAATTTCACATTCAGGTAGAAAAAACCAGCTTCATCTGCCCCAGCCTCCTCGTCCACGCCTTTCCTCTCCTTTTGCTCATCTTCCTTCTCTTCTTCTTCATCCTCCTCCACTTCTTTCTCATCCTCCTCTTCCTACTTCTACCCAGATGACAACAATCAGATGACCTTAAGTCAGTCAGCATGATGAGTTTAGGTGATTTCGCATCGATCCATGCAGCAGAGTGGAGCAGAGTTTGGATCATGTCTCTGCTACTCTCTCTTCAGGACAACAGACTAGAAGTGGCATTGGGCCTGGGATAACACTTCACAGGCAGGGAAACACAGATGTGAATGCCGCTGACCTGTGGGTTCAGACCAGCTGTGGGCTGGACCTCCCCGCCTCAACATTGCACACTCTGATTGGTTTGTTACTGTTTCCAGTTTCCTGGTCCAGAGTAGGTTATCAGTGACTCTACAGAAGGCAGCAGCTGCCATCTCAGGGTGATAACATGTTTGTCTCCATAAAACACTCTCAAAAAGTACAACTGATTCACCATGACACCACTCAGTTTCTACTGAAAGCTTACCGGTTCAAACCAAGGTCATGTTTTTTTGTGTGTTGATGTGTACTTTCACATCTAAAACCTCTGAGAATTGGTCCTTAGAGCTGGCTCAATCACTTTAATGTGATGTTTAGAGGCCAATCACATCAAGCTTCACTAAAAGTACATCAAACTACCAACGTGTTGAAATTGTCAATTTTAGAGTCGATATTATTAAAACTTTAAAAAAGTTTCACATAAAGCACAGGACTCTACTCACACAAACCAAATATTTACTCTTAAGTCAGAGAGGCCAGTCAACAATGCTGGGGTTGTTTTTACCGCTGATAAATGCAGAAACAGGGTTTTTCTCAGTTTTCAGCAGTGTTAGCACAGACTAAGTCAGAGAAGCTTTCCAGCATGTTCGCAGTAGTCTTGAACAGAACTACACCATGAGTCCAATTTAGCGAGGTAAGCTAATAGTTACTCTCGGTTAAAGTTTGTTTCATTACACCAAAGAAAAGAAGCGAATTAAAGGGATATTCCAGCGTAAATTTAATTTAGGGTCAAACACACCGTAACACCAAGTTAGACACCCACTCGAGAGATAAATGTTGCAGACTGCTTGCTTCTCTAGTTATACCAACTTCAGCAATGACCGCATGATAGCAATACACAGTGGTCTACATCTCCACGTGCAAACCTCAACCAAAAAGCCACTCTATAGTCACAAATAATGCTCAGAACACCTAACTTCATTAACAGTACATATAGGGTCCCAGCCATAGTACTAGCCATCAAACATCTTTTTAGCTTTGCCTGATTTCTTTAGCAAAGAGACCAAACACAACTAACCCACTCTCCTCCAGCAGCCTCTTGTTTGTGGGGGAGTCCTGATAAGTTGATCACCGATAACAACAGAAAATTTCCGTATTATGATAGTCATCATAATAATCATTTTGCACTGCAAACGTGTTCATTCTTCTGCCTAAGCATCTTGAACTGGTTTCATTTCCATGAAGTAACTATCATAAATGTTCTTCCTTGAGCTGTGAAACTCCACTGCACTCAGTGAGTAAGCAGTAGTAAATACCAAAACATGTAACAGTACTGAAACTTTGTTTATACTGAAATTTTAAAGTCTGTCTTTAACACAGAGAAAGCTTACAATCAACTCTGTCAGTGAAATTCTTCAACAGAATAAAAAAGGACCAATCCCTGGAATCCAAACCCATTTGTATTACTAGAAAATCCAGATGTTGGGATGGACTTTCAGTGACCTACATGATCAGAGGGACCGTCTACAAGAGAAATACAGAGTTTTCATGCTGAGGTAGAGTGTGATCACGTGCAGCTCAAATAGCATGTAGGCTAGCATGAGAAGACACAGCATGTTACAACATGCCTGCTGGAGATTGGAGAGAGAGAGCTCAGAGTGGTTTGGGTTGTGTTTAGGCCCACATTTACTCAGGGAGAGAAATACACAGAGCTGGTTTCCCAGAGTCTGTATAAAGATCAATATCATTGACCTAACTCTGCACCAAAAGTAAGGTCTGATGGCCTTACTCTGCTTTGTCACAGCAGACGTCACATGAGCAGCTGCTGCTTAGGGTCATATCCTCATGTTTGTGGTGTCTACTGTGTTTGTTCATGATCATCCTTCTTCGTTACATCCATTCAGACTGCACCTGTATGAGGGGTTAATATACCAGCATAAATCATATGGACTGACTCATTATATCAATGAACAGTAGACAGTATTTACATTGTATAACTGTAGATGTTACATTTCTAACTTTACCATAATAACACAACTCTCTTAAATGTAACTTCTGCAAACACAGAAGAGCTGTCAGCTGCTACTCTTTAATATGTCACTAATTACGGCCAAAGTACCCTCATATCTGCAGAGCAGAAGGGCCAGCCCACTCAGGCCAAACATGCTGTCCTTCACAGAAAAACAGTCCTGGAGACATATTAGAGCGCATGTTGGAGAAAAAAGACGATATCCATGAGTCTTCAGAAGCAGCTGTCCCCCTGAAGAGACTCCTAACCCCTTAGAAATAGACATGGAGACAGCAGATGTGCTGCTAATGTGGACATGTGCTGGGAAGCAGCTGTCTCCAGATAAGCTGAGTGTGCGGATAAATGAGGTCAAGTCCTGAAGCAGGATACAGAGTGAAGTTCCTCTTTCAGAGTCATCTCTCTGTGGGTGAACTCTTTAAAGACAGAGCTCTGAAGAGGAAATGATGCCTGAGTGGATTTAACTCTGACAGAGATCCCTAGTGAGACTAGGTTTTGAGTCCAGCTCATTAAAGACACCAGTGCCGATCACATTATATCAAGCTTTAGAGGAGGACTGACTTCACCACAGCATTACACCTCTGTGTGTTAAACACTGCAGAGGACGGTGATCAGAGGCATGAATACCTGACCTTTAAATGATTCAAGTTCCGCGACTCTCAGCTTGTGTTGTCACACATAAAAGCACATATAGCAGTCTATCACATCTTAGAAATTACTTACTTCTGCACTCTAAAAGTTAAATTCTGCTTCCATTTGAGAGTTTCCTTTTCCGGTCTGCAGTCTAGATCTCCAACTGTTGGTTAAGCTGCTAATCCTTGCCGCCATGTCTGCTACTTGCATGCACAGAGAGTTTTAATAAACTGAAGCCTTTTATGAGTCTATCTTGACAGGCTTCATCAGTACCTCTCCTCCAGTTAAAGTAAGACTTTCTCAGACACTTGTTTGTCTATTTTAGATGAACTCAGGATGAATTTAAAGAGAGGGAACCAAAGAAAGATAATTTCTATTTAGGCTGGAAGTTTTGGTTTGTGGGTAAAACTAGTTTTCATGAATATGAATTCATTCAGTGTAGTTACAGCATGCCCTGCAAACAGATGTTTCTGCACACCTGTATCATTGATTTTGAGAGTTAAATGTAAATGCTCAGCATGATAAATAAGAATATCATTGTTTGTTGTTAGTTATGAACATGATGGAGGAACAGAAGACGAAGTAGTAGAAAAAATAAAAAGAGGATGTGACTGAGGGAACATGGTCAGATCCCGTCAGATCTCAGCACGGAAAGACACATGTTAATACCAAATGAAAATGTATATGGTGCAGCATTTGTGATCCAGTCACAGATAGCATGTTTTAATGCATGTATCATGGAAGTCTACCATTGAGTGGATATCTGTTTATTTCAAAACTTCTCCCAGCACCACTTTCAGAGCTCACTGAGGTTTCACGCTGTTTCTATCAGAGAGAGATGTCAGACTGACTTTGTTCACATTTCCTCCTGACTGAATGACACAAAAATCCCTCCGTCAGAAGGAGGAGGACCCTGTCAGAGTTATTCACTTATGTTGAGTCTGTTTAGTGTCATCTTGCCTGTCAAGATTAAGATCGAACCACCTCCTCCACTAAACAACCACCCTGAAACTTCAAAAGTTGTCTCACCAAGCCCATAGATTCCCAACCTCCTCCTCCTGTGACAGAAAGTCCCTCTGAGAGCAAGGCAGTCAAGGTCAAAGTGAGACTTTAGGTTCAGCAGGTGTGAACAGGTGAACAGGTTCACAGGTAAACAGGTTCAGGGAGGAAAAGTGCAGCTAGATGTGAGCTCTAGGAGAGACAGTGACCATGCTGTTAGTGTCTTTGGATTTAAATGTGCTCAGAGCCACAGTCATGACCATGTGTATTCTGTTTGAAACAGCCAAGTTCTGTTCAGATCAGAGCTCCAGCAATGATCTACGGTGAGCAGACAGCAGAGAAACTCTGAAGTCACTTTTATAGAGCTTCATACCAAGATGATCAAAGAACAGCTCTGTGTCTGCTGCTGACAGAAAGAATGAACTGTATGACAAACATCCAGAGACACTGCAAAACCATAACCCACTGACCATAAACCTCTCTTAAAACCTCTCTCTCTGGATCACAGGACAAGACAGGGAGGACAGAGTATCCTCAGAGAACACGTGTTGAGTTTTACAGAGTGTCAGAGAGTGGCTAAAAACTGCACACGACAGAAGAGGAGGAAGATGAGTTGCGACACAATGACTCGAACTCTCCTGGAGCAGGTTCTCTCTGTGGAGTTTTCTCATGAACAAAAACAGTTTCAGATTTGTTTACACTCGCTCTCAGTCACAAAACACCGTCTGCATCCACATCCACATCCACCTGAAGTTTGCTCACAGTTTGTTTGAAGATTGCAGCACTAGTTGGCGTTTAATCACTGTGTTTGTCAGTAAAACACACTGAAGCCTTCAGGGGAGATTCATATCTTGTCACCAGCGTGCACATACATGTGCATGTGCACCAGAGAAACAAAACAGGAAGCTGTGTCGCTTGCAGCGGGGTGACAGGGGTCTGTGCAGGGAGCAGCTCAGGCAACATGTTAGGTGAGAACTACATGAGACTACAGCTTTTTCTACAATAAATCTTTTCAGACTGTCACGTATAGCAGAGTTATTACCGCTCTATAATATTCGTCCTTCAGTGTGAGCATCTCACAGTGCTGACGGTAGTGCTATGCTTGCATCAGACTCAGAAACACTGCTGATGCAGAGGAAAGAATCACTGTATATGATATTAAAAATGTTGATCTATAATGTTAGTCTGACTAAAAGTTGACTTTTAAAATACATATAAACCTTTTAAGCCCTAGGTAAAATAAGATTTACCCCAAGAGCATAAAACCACCACTGCATGGTGACTTGTGAAGCATACCAAAAGTTTGGTTTATTAAAGTGCAGATGAAATTCTCTTTTAGTCCTGAACTTGAACTCTCCACCTTTATCCTGGGGTTGATGTATTCAGACCAGAGAGATGGCAGGGGCCCTGAATGATTTAAACATACTGGTTCAACTGAAACAGGACTTGAAAATATATTTACATGTTAGTCTGACTGAAAACATACTGAGTCATTTTTCTGGAGGTCAGAGGAACAAAACTAAGGAGATAGTAGCTGCTGGAATTTCTCTTGCATATATATGCCTTAATCAGACTCAAACTGACCTCTGCATACTAGGCATGCTCCACAATTTGCACTTTGAGCTGAGACCCAGAGGCCAAACAGCATGAATACAGTGAAAGAAATGAGGTTGTGAACAAAAACCTCAACAGAAGAAGAAAAAGAGACATAACAAACAACAAGAGGTAGAGAACGTGAAGTTGTTCACATATTTTTTACTGTTAGACTAAAATCAGCCAGCCTCTTGTCAAGTTGTTTATTTAATGTTTTGGTTTGTGATGTAAAAGGTCAACCTGAAGAAGATCTGATAGTAAAGAGCTCAAAGGGGGGATATCGCCACCTGTTGTGGTGGAGGAGCACATATTCTTATTCTCACTTAGAGCTTGTGGACTGAGACAGGGACAGCAGACTAGTTAGATTGTATGACACCTGGGGGATTTTAGGATCAGACCCTTCAGGGTACTCAGTCCCAAAGGAGAGTGTGACATGAAGAGCTCTTTACGAGTGTTCAATCTGACAGCTAAACCATTCATGTCACTCACTAACACATGTGGCCATCTTTACAACAGCAACAACATTGAGAAAGTAACCTGGGTTTTATGCCATAAAATGTTTAGGAAGAAAATTAACAAAGCTGCTGAGGATCAAACTCAAAGGATGAACAGAGAACTAAGGAGACAGAAGATCAAATAAAGAGTTCCGGCTAATGGAGGAACATGGGTGTGCAGGAAATTGCTGAAAAAAAGTGGCAACTAACTAAAAGTCTTCTGACGGTCAGGGCAGGGGACCACCTCTGTTGACTCTAAACTATTTCCACAGCAGGCTGGTTCAAAGGTTTGAAAAGCGATGAGTCCTTTCATAATACTCTGAACCTGAACCAACTCCACAAGCACAGAGTGTCCTGCTATAAACTAAGCAACACCAAACAACATCAACAAAACATACAAACACTTACAAACACCAGCCAACCCCAATCAACAAACAACATTGACAAATACCAAACAACACTTACCAACACCAACCAATGTCAAACAACATAAGCTGACACCTACAAACATAAAAAACCATCAACCAATGCCAACCAACATGAACTGACAACTGCAAACACCAACCAACACCAACCAATGCCAACCAACATAAACTGACACCTACAAACACCAACCAACACCAACCAATGCCAATCAACATAAACTGACACCTACAAACACAAAACGACACCAACCAACATCCACCAATGCCAAACAACATAAACTGACACCTGCAAACACCAACAAACATCAACCAATGCCAACCAACATAAACTGACACCTACAAACACCTACAAACACCAACCAACACCAACCAATGCCAACCAACATAAACTGACACCTACAAACACAAAACGACACCAACCAACATCAACCAATGCCAAACAACATAAACTGACACCTACAAACACCAACCAACATCAACCATTGCCAACCAACATAAACTGACACCTACAAAGACAAAACGACACCAACCAACATCAACCAATGCCAAACAACATAAACTGAAACCTGCAAACACCAGTAAACATCAACCAATGCCAAACAACATAAACTGACATCTGCAAACACTAATCAACATCAACCAATGCCAACCAACATAAACGGACACAGGCAAACACCAACCAACACTAACCAAGGCCAACCAAAATAAAATTACACCTGCAAAAACAAACTAATATCAACCAATGCCAACCAACATAAGATGACACCTACAAACATAAAAAAAACATCAACCAATGCCAACCAACATAAACTGACACCTACAAACACAAAATGACACCAACCAACATCAACCAATGCCAAACAACGTAAACTGACACCTACAAACACCAACCAACATCAACCAATGCCAACCAACATTAACTGACACCTACAAACACAAAACAACATGAACTGACTCTTACAAACACCAAAGACAAACCAAAAGATCTGAAAAGACCAACCAACTAGGAACTACACCAAACCAATCTAACCAACACCAAATAGCAGCAGAGAAAAACAACAAACAACTATGATCAACACCAACCAAGTCACAGCAAAACTAGCCAACAGCTAAAAACACCAACCAACACTAACCAACTGCTTCAGACACCAATCAGCACTAAACCAGCACCAACAAGCCCAGAAACCCCTACAAGATTTTTTTTCCCTCCTTTGGATATTATGCTACAGTTTAAAAAAAAAACTACATCCTTGCCTGTATACAACAAGCTGTAACATATGCACCCAAAAAAGGACATTTGCACCTCAAAGTTTTTGTCTTTACAAACTGAATGACTCAAGTTGTTATTTTGAGCATTAGACAATATAACAATAAGCTGCAAAGATACGTCACATAGTTGTGTAATTAACTTAATTGGGGTTGGTCAAAATAACAACAACGATAGAGTCTCAAGCGTGAAAACTCAAGAGTCTGACTTTTCAGACACATCACATCTAAACAATCTACAGAGGGACATCTGTTTTTCTGCCTGTTGGTGTCCAGTGTTGTCCAGTGTCTCAAGCTGGTTTGTAACATTACCCTCTGTCTCATGTTTGTCTGAATGACATTAGTCAGCATAGATGTGAGTGCAGTTCTGGTTTACTATACTACAACTCAAGTTTGTAAACAGTGTGTTTCTTTTGAAAATACAAATCATAATAAGACAGCTTCCCACTGGACTCAAATCATATATTTTGTTATTTTATTCACAGATCACTGGAGATGCTTTTTTCTTTAGTTTTTGAAAACAGAGACAGCAATGTAAACCCACAGTTGAGGTAGTAAAAGTCAGCTTTGAGTCCATTTGTCAGCCCCCTTTTCCAAACATTCATGTAGTCCATTTGTTGTAGTCTCACTTCAAGAGGGAGGCAGCACTCATAAAGAAAAGGGGGCCAAAAGACATCAGGTCCATGGGGGAGGGTGGTAGGTTAGAGATGTTACAGGGCTACTGTCTTTGAGGGCTACAGTGACCCCCTACCACAGTGACCCACTTCCTTCAAAGCAGCCTCTACACACAGCAGCTCTAAGCACCTTCTCTGCAGATGTTCAGAGACGAACTTTAATGTCCCTGTGGACATTACACTTATAACCAACTTTCTGGTAGTTATAAACTTTTATCTCATATGTTGGGCTTTTAATCTCACATTTATTACATTGATCTCAGTTTTTATCAGATGACTTTGATTTATCTTATACCTTATCAGATTTTTTTTTCATTAAGGGTCCGTTTTTTAAACTTGTGGAAACCTGCTTACACACAACAGTACAACTGTCCTTATTACAGTGAAATTTTAGTCTCCTGTTATGACTTAAACCTGCTAAGATATTTTCCCACACTGCAAATTATTTGGTTCTTACCAAAAAAAAAACTAAGATTTAGAAGTGTTCGATAATTTATCTTGTTTTAAGACTTAATTTCTTACTTTAGGTGTTTAACTTTACACTTTAATCTTATATCGAGCACACACAAAAAAGCACACATCTTTTTGTCTCAAATAGGCAGGAAATCTTAAAATGAGAAAAATAGCTGTTTAAGTAAGTTATAGTCTCATCAAAAGGAATCTTGTTTTAAGAATAAGTAAGCCTTTTTTTTTTTCAAGATAAGCCTGCTTGGATTGAGACAGTGTTTAGTCATTCTTCACTAATACTGGGTATTTTTTCCACTCAATTTCTATACTTTGTTTAACTTACCTTCAGCTTAATTTTCTAGAAGTAAGAAAACAAAATATGGAATTGCATATCTTAGTATATTTTACTTATTTTGAGGCTGTAAAAAAAAGTTACTTTTAAAGTTATCTCATCTTAAAACCAGCATTTTCTCCTTACCTTACAGTTTACTTATAGTGAGTACATTGCACTTACTTTAGGGCTGTAAAAGTTAAATTTCTGGTAATCTGGTCTCAAAACCAGCATTTTATACATATTTAATGCTTATATTAAGTATATTTAACTTATTTGGGGGGCTGTAAAAGTTAAATTTTAAGTAATCTGATCTTAAACCAGCATTTTTGGCTTGCTTTAAGCCTTCCAAATACATTTGTAGACATGGTTATTTCTAGATTTAACAATCGTAATTCAAGAAATCTTGTCAAGTGAAATTATCTTGCTGCATGGACAGCTAATGTCACTTGTTTTTAGTACCCTTTCCCTCAGACTTAGTGTTTTTATCTTGTTTTTAAAGCCCCTTTTTTGCAGTGCATGGATATATTCAAGGAATACCTTTTGGGATTATATTCTTGACATTCTGTAACTGTCTTTCCTAAATTCTCATTTTCTTCTCCCTCACTGTCTCTGATCTCTGTAATATTAAGGAGGAAAGTGAAACAGTGTGAGTGAAACTATGATTTCCTGTTTAAAGAAGTGTTGGGGAGGTTACTGTTCTTATGCAGGAACTACAAACTTGGAGAGAAAAGTTTCACTAAGTTCCTGGTAGCTACAAATATCAGCATCACCACAAATACCTGAACATTGAAGCTGCAGACTGTCAGGGTTGATCACAGCTGCTTTCTCTCAGAGCAGTCTCTCCACAGGAAGCCACAGCTCACGTTACGTGGTCAGAGTTAGCTAAGTTAACCATACGAACAGCTGACTAAAGGGTTGACTTTAAGATAACTGGTGTTGGGGGTAAAATGCAGAAAATGAGCTAAAAAGGAAAACACAGAGGAGATGTTTGTCGTTACAGGATCACTGGTCAGAGTCAAACCGTTAACCGTTTTGAGCGTCTGTCAGAAAGGAAGTGACCGTGAACGTTTCCGAGACAGGCTACAATTATTGTCAAGGAAACTTTCAGTCATGATCTCATTTTTCGGACCTTCTTAAAAAAACGGTATATGAAATATAGATCGCTGGGATAGCGTTGTGGTCATCACTGTTAGTTGCTGGACTTCTCCGGGACAATCCCGCGCACAGCCGCAGTCGGGTGTGATCTGCGGAGGGTCCTTGTCCTGACTCACCTGTCCTGAAGCGGAGGTCGTCGTCATCCTCAGAGCCGAACTCCCGGAGCAGGGACAGAAACAGGATCCCGAAGGCGTTCTGGATCCCGAATACGGCGCCGTTACACCACATGGCGGACAGCATAACCAGCCACCCCCAGCCGCCCTCAGGGTGCACGAAGCCGACCTCATCTGCCTCTGCAGCCGCTGCTTTCTCCGGGGGACTCATTTTGCTGTCCCCGTTCTCCTTCTTCTCCTCCTCGGGCATAGCTCCGTCCTGGGCGGGCAGTTCGGTGTTACCTGCTGGCTCACCTTCAGGCACGGTGTTCCCTTCTGTCATAGTGGGGTACAGTTCTCTGTGGTCAAGCAACTCGGGGGAGTTATTTCAGCTCAGAGAGGAGGTGGATATCCTCGCTGACAGATCACGTTATAAATCACACTCAGGCTCTAAATCAAGCTACAGTCATGTCCATTGAACTGTAAATATGAAGTTTTTCTTCTGAGACACTGAGCTTCTCTTACACTAACCATTAACTGCCAGGAGCTGCGTTATTATAGACAACGCTGTGGGGCGGCGTTTAGGGGAATCCTGCTGCTGATTGGATGTCTCCGTCTACCTGGGACCAGTGCAGAAACCCGGAAAAATACTTGTTTACAGTAGTGTTTTTATCGCCTAGTGATAAAGAAGAGAGTGCCGTTGAAATGAGCTGAGTAGATATCTTCAGTTCCTCAATTCCTCCATGCTGCTACTGTGTGTGTGTTTCTCTTCCCTTTCCCTGTTAAAAATAAAACTACAGAGGAAGACAGCTGTAGTTGACCTCAGAGGGAAAAACACTTAAGGAACAATGAGATGATGATGACAAGGAAGCTGAACACAACCTGTGAAATAAATCACGTCAAGGTGGCAGGGGTTTGTGTCCGAACATTTTACTTTAAGTACCTTGTTTTGTTTGGTTGTTTTTGTTTTTTTGTTTGTTTGTTGACTTTTTTTTTTTTATCTCGGGCTTGCTTCTGCGTCAATTTTTCTAATCAAACTCAAAACGTTCACATATAATTATCCTCACTTATCAACCCATTGGTTTGTAGCAGACCAGACTGCAGTTACCTGCAGAGCTACCCGAAGATGTGCTCAGTCTTAGCTCACATTCAACTGTCAAACAGCACTCTCTGGTGGTGTGAATCAGTACTTGCAGTTGTAGACGCCACTAAATCACCATGACAACTGCAAAATACAACTAATATTTGTTCGTACTTCCTCCTCTGCTGTTAAAGCCACTGTATGGAGCTTTTAGCTGGTTTTGGAACAGATTGAAACTGATTCTGTTGCATCTCTGAGACCCCCGCAAAAAAGCAACAAGATCATAACTAACAGAACAGATTATTTTAGTTTTATCATCTATAAGCCTTATAGGGGAGACTGGGGTAAGATGAGCCATTTTTCATATTTCAGATCACAACATCAAGGCAATCATAGTTTTGTCCTTAACTAGTGTATCTGCATATATTTCAGGATGTTGTGCATCCCTGCAAACCAACAGAATGGGTGTAAACATAAGTGTCTTGATAATATAGCATGCAAAAATGAAGTGGTCTCCTATGGTCAACTTAACCAGTGTATGGGGTAAGTTGACCCTATAGGAGCGGGGTAAGTTGAGCCATACAGATGCAAAAGATAAATGCTGTAAATCTGGACTTCAGGTCTCAAGTATTTCAAACCTGAACCCCCCAGTCCTGGAAGTTGTGAGATACGTTTTTTTGTTTTTCGAGGGATCAGACTTGTTGGTCCAGCTCACCCCATAGACATTGTTTGGACTGAGATCTTGAGACCAAGTAAACACCTTGAACTTGTCACAAATCCCCAGACCTCCTCCCTCCCCCACGGCTCTGTAGTCCAGTCTTTGCTGGACTTCAGGTGCCAATAGTGGTTGACAGTTGTTCACATAGATAGAAACCGATACTCCGAGTGTTAAGTCTCTTTCTATTTGAAGCAGCTTGAGCTCCAGAAACTCCTTTGCTGGATTAAACCACTCTGGACAGCCTTCATGACCCCGTCCCTATTTCTCTGGTTTCCTTTCCTTGGTTCTCTTCTGGTCATTCCTAACCCTACAGACCAACACCCCACAGAGCTGCAGTCTGACCCAGCTGTCTGACATTCACAGCTTGGTTTCTGACCAAATGTTCACCTGGAGCGTGACAGATCCCACCCACTGGCAAGTGATCCAGCACAAAGATAACCAATGATATTCAGCTCACCGGTTAGAAGTCATGGTGTTAGGGCTGATTAGTATTTGATAGAGGGGAGTATCATATTTCACTTTGGGCATATCTGATTAGGCTTGAATTTCTTTGTACCTCAGAAACATATGCACTTTTATAGATTTTTAAGTTTTATAAACGTTGTCCCCCATGTGGAGAAAATAAGGTCTGCCCTTCGGCCTTGAGATAACAAGGATGAATACTATGAATGGATGTGATTGCTGCAATCATAAAGGCTCCATAATACCTGTACCGATGTGTCTGTGTATGCACCCGTTTTTAACCCTCTGGTTTTTAAACCCTCTGGTTTTTAAAATGCATCCATGCAAAACTAATTTAAAAAGTCAGAATCCACTGCAGACTAGGAGAAGCTTTTCTAAAAGTCACAACCCTCCTTAAGACTTAAGCCTCTAAATCGTGAGCGTGGCCCCTTCCAGCTGACCCAAAATTCTGAGAAATGCTTTAAAAATAGGATTAACTCCACAAAAAAAGCAGTTTACTATAATCTGTAATCCTATAGTTACTTTGTACAGCAAAAGGCTGCAGATATACAGTTCAACATTAAACCTATTAAAATGATCGTTTTAAAAATGCAGCCAGAGAAAAAGAGGAGTTAGAGCAGTTTGAGTGTGTGATAGGTGCTACTACAGGTCACAATATCTATGAAATATCAAAGAATGATGAAGAGTAGAGAAACCACAAAAAAATCAAGGACACTGACAGTGATCTCATGATTTAATAAACATTAAACTTAGGAGAAGTAAAAAGATTTTTTTAAACATTTACATTTCCACTGAATTAGACAGAATAAATCACTGTAAAGGTAGAGTACACTTGTTGGACTGTGCTAACCCTAACCCTCTCTCTTATTACTTTTAGCTGATTTTCATGTATCTGAGGACTAGAAAATCAGCTAAAAGTAACAAGAGAAACAAAAAGGGGCAAAAACAAATCTTCTCCACCTGGTGGCGGATAACACACTCATGTGATTTCAGTCTCAAAAAGCATTACCCCTGTCCAGATCCACATGGACAGGAATAAATCCTATAGATATAACTTAATCACCCGCTCCGATGATGAAGACTTGGCTAAGTAATCAGGAGATGAAGGTTCACTCAGTTGTCCACTTTGGTCACTTTAGCTGCTTGTCCCCCCTGCTCCTCAGCGATTACTTGGCTCTTCCTCTTCCTCAGACCCTTCATCTTACGTGTTCGCAACTTGGACAAATCCTGTTTCTGCATGTGCACCCGCCCAAACTTTGTACCAAAGGCATTGTGGGAAATATTCTTCTTTTTCTTTGCCTGTGGAAGAAGGAGGGATTATTATCCTGATAGTTTAAGGTGAGGGAAAACATCAGAAGTTACCATGAGATAAAATTAAACACAACAGAAACACAAAATGTCCTCATATGAGGAGGATATTCTACATCTTTGGTAATATATAGAGAAAAAATACAAAGGTTTAAGGATTAGGTCTTTCTTTACTCTTCACTTAGTCTCACCTAATGTCCTGGCCATAACCCTCTCTGATTGGCTGCATGTCTGTGTGATGTAACTGCCTTAAGTGTAACTGGTTAACTTTTAACTCCTGTGTTTGATATTCAACGTTTCTGTTTTGAATAAAAAAATTTTAAAACATTTAACCAAAGTTTAGAGTCAGAGTTTGCAATAGTCTAAAATTAAAATCTTATGTTGGTCATCAAACTTATTAAAGGGAAACTTCAGTCATTTTTAAAGTGGGCCCTATTTTCCCATGTGTTTAAGACACATCAACAGGTCCCACTTATCCCAACACAGACATTCTTCCCATGTTCCTCTGAGTAGGATCGCAGCACCCAGTCTCCCAAGCCTCATGGTCTTGCAGCAGCTGGTTCTCCATCCCTGTCTGTTCACCCAGACAGTCTGCAGCTCACTGTTTAATCTCCTTAATTTACTACTTAATTCTTGTAACATTCTGACTTTCTCCTCAGAGACCTAAGACTTTTTACTTGACTCTAAAAGTCAACAGTTCTTTTTTTCTTATATAAAGGAAATGATTGATGTAGTATGAAAAAAAATCATATTACATCAATACTTTTTTCTTGTAATGCCATTTTTTTGCTCTACTCCTCTCACAGACAACAAGGGCAAATAAGAACTACATACTGTCACTGCTGTGTAGAAGTGCAGGTTTTGTTTTTGTCTTTTTTTTTTTTAAAGGTTTAATTTTTGCTTACGATTATCCTTTTTGTATTTTTTTAGATAAAGGTTTATTTTTTTGTTTATGATTTTGCTTTTTGTGTATTTTTCTTATATAAAGGTGTTTAATTTTTGTTCACGATTTAACTTTTTGTTTTTTTTTAAATAAAAGGTGTTTAATTTTTATTTATGATTTAGCTTTTTGTCTGTTTTTTTTAATAGAGGTTTTAAATTTTGTTCATGATTTAGCTTTTTGTCTGTTTTTTTTTTGTTAAGATAAAAGTTTAATTTTTGTTTATGATTTTGCTTTTTGTCAGTGTTTTTTTGGGGGGGGTGTGAGTAAATGTTTAATTTTTTTTCATGATTTTTGTCTTGCATGTTATAAATCGGGCTCTTTTGGAAATGCAAACAGACAGAAGAGAGTTTAATTTACTTTAAGCTGTCACTGCAGAGGTTAAAAACCTTTCGAGCAGACATACGGGCTGAGTTCTGGCGCCACCCTCAGCTCAAATTTGAATCTTAACATCTCCACTACCCATCATCTGTACACCTGAACCCAGTGAGTGTCTGCAAACAGCATACAGTACAGCTGTGTGGCTCCTACCTTCAGAGCTTTGGGTTGTCTGTGAGCTAACTTATACAGGTCATCTGAAGCCAAGTGTGTTCTCCTCAACACAAAATCTAGAGACGGCCCCATCTCCTCCAGCTCGATCCTTGGAGTCCGACAGCCAGACTTCTTCAACAGACATCTGTGAGGGTACACAATGCAAAGTCTGATTTGAAAGCAGGTAAACAAAGAGAGAGTATGGCCCTGCAGGTAACCAGATGAAAAATGGCTCTCCAGGCACACACACACATAAAATATGGGTCAAAATGTATTCACCGAGAGGAAATATAGCCCTGCAGGTTTAAACAGAGGAAATATAGCTCTCCTGTATCATCAAGTCTGATTTTACATAAGAACAAAAAAAAAACAAAAAAAACCTGCCAGGTTTTTCTGATAAGTGACTGACTAGTGGTTAGGGTTAGGGTTACCAACTAAGACTTGGATGTTTTCACCACATTTCATTTCTGTAGCTTACTTGTAGCTTCGCATGAAGATTTTCCCATCCACAGCTGTGAAGTGCAGGACATGCTCTAGACCTGCCAGACGGACTGCAGGAACAGTGGGACCTCTGAAGAAGTCTATCAGGATGGTGGAACGGACAGACAAAAGACAGAAGGAGATTAGTAAAAGAACAGAAATCACAACTCATATGGCTGTTGTAGAATCAGTTAAATCAAGTATCAGACCCCCTTAGGACCCAAACAATAAAAAACATCAATACTTGAGCAAAGGTGAACAAAATAGAATTTACAGCTGAGGCACATGTCCTGGGTTTAACACTTCTGCTGCAAATGTGTCACCACATGATTCCTGCTTGCTCCTGCCAACCATCTGACATCAGACTCATATGCTATGAGTACTCACATGAACAAGTTCACAAAAAAACAAAAGTAAGGTGTCACACATTAACATGGTAGTGTGCATTTAAGAAAAAAAAAATCAGACTCAGTGAAGTCTAAGATTTCAAATCCTTAACAAATAAAAATAAAACTTGAAGATATTACCAGATTTTACATTTCAAAAGTGTAAAAGTTTAAAACCATTCAAAGGAACCTTCCTTTGACCTTTAACAAAAATTACATTAAATCGTAAAATGAGTGTTTACCAATGAGCAGACTCTTAAGTCGTTTGTGTTCAGTGTCTGTGTTAAATGCCTCTCCTGCAAACACCAGCATCGGTTTGGTCCCCTCTGGACATTTACTTGCCTGCGACAGAAAAAAAAGGATCTTAGGATGTTAGGTCTTTTGTTAATAACATCATTTTAAATCACAGCGGAGGGATGTTAAACTAAATCAGGAACTGTTTCAAGGATTTTAGGATGTTAGGGCTTTAGTTAATAACATCAACATTTATAATTGTTAGAAGAGGAAGAATGACTTGATCTCTAAAGCATCTTTAAAAACAAAATATCACACAGAGCTTTGACTCACAGCGCAAAATATAAAATACAAATAAGGGCCAGTGCAAGTGAGTAAGTAAGTAATAGGTTAATAGCACCCAATAAATAGATTAATACTAATTGAAATAATGAATGAAAAGAAATTTAGAAAATGAAAGGGTGGAGTCACAGAAGATCAAGAAATAAAAGTGAGTTTTAAGTAGTGACTTAAAGTTTTCATTAAATCTTTTCTACATCAACAATAAAAAAAGGATTTCATTTTTTAATCGGGATTATTCGGTATCTAGATAAATTAAACTTCCTCATTGTGGGATGGTGAAGAGGACACCAAATGTCTAAACAGACAGTGTAAAAACGGGATCAAAAATGTAGAGCTTACCTTCATATCACTCAGAGAGACATACTTCTCTATCCCCAGTTCAACCATATCCAACACATGGAAGTCAAAGACACGACCTGAGAGCATGAGTGAAGAAACAATGACATTACACCATTCAGTTTACAGTTATCAAAACTGAACTCTACCTTTAATCAGTTTATTTACAACTCTTAAACAGATCAAGGAGGTAAACAGGATTTATGAGATTCTAATGAGGCTAAAACTTAAACCACATCTCAGTTTAAAGGTAGCTGTATTACTGGCTGCTGGTTGAATTTTTGAGAACATTTAGTGACATTTGAAATAACAGTTTCTACATTCTATCTAAGCAGAGAATATACGAGAGAGAGACTTTACCAAATATCAAGTTGTTTGGTCTTTTCTTGTTGTGGGAGCCGAACAGAAACAGAGAGCAGTCTGTCTTCTTCGAGAAAAACTCCTGAAATAGAGTTAAATGAAATATGAACACCACAGATTAAACCTGTTAAGGTTACAGATTAAATGTGTTAATGCCAGACTAAACTGGTTATAGCCTGTGCTCACAGGTCTCAGCTTCTTTTGTAATTGGATTGGAGACACTTCATGCCACTAATCTTCCATAATTTTAAACACTTTCTTCAAATTTAATTTTGAATCTCCTTTATCTCAAAGGAGATAAAGCTGTTTATTGTATCTGTTTATATTGAAATACCTGGATGATAAAGGTAATAACATAAGGGCATGAACAGTTTCTATAAACTGTCGTTGGTCTCTGGCACACCTCAATCAGAGACCACAGGTATGAAAGAGTGTTAACTCAGGCACTGATGGATTCCACTGAAAAACTCTGTGTTAATAAGAATAAGGTGTGAAATTAACACCATGTGTTATTTTGTCCCTTTCAGCACACTGTAGTTAAGCTGCCACAGTGTTCTCCTGCTTCCTCTTGCTGTGATATAACATAACAGTTTTTTTAATAATGTATTTCACTTCAAATAAACTCCCAGTCTACTCAGTTTCAAGTCAAAATCATCTGAATTTTGTGTCAAACTGTTTTAATTTCTCTGTAGTTCTGCGTTTGAGCTAGCAGCTATGAACAGAGCATGCACCACTCTTTTACAGGGACAGTTTGAAACATGAATTTCATATTAAACTTTTTTTTTCCAGTAAGTGCGAATCAAACAGAGTTTTGAGCATCTTTCAGAAAATAGGAGAAGGCTTAAGAGGGTTCAGTGAAAAGAGCCTCAGACCTCCTCCTGATTCGGCTCAGCTACATTTTATCATCAGCTGTATCCATTATCTGACTGGTGATATAATGTTAGATCTGTTTTAGCTCACTTTGCTTCAGTGAATAAATGTTTTAAGACTGGTTTGTAGTTTCTGACCAAAGACAGCACTGATCCTCCAACAGCAGATCATAAACTCTGCAGAGAACTATGTCCTACCAGAGATGTTGAGTCCTCAAATGGCCGAGTGATGTTCTTCCTGAAACATACAGATTCATAATCACGTGAAACCCACTGAACTCTGCAGACAGAATATGAGAGTTTAATCAACTCAATTCAACCCCGTACTCTTTTATAGTGTGCTCAGTGAAATTTATGAGTGCTTTGACTGAGTACAGTAAAAATGAAACATTCACCTCTGCTACAGTGGGTGGCGACATGCCCCCTTTTAGCTTGTTCAGCTGGTTGTTTCCTGTTTGATGTATTACATCTCAAAACAGCCGGCAAAATGCATAAGCAAGAAGGGAAGTTTTTTTCTTTTTAAATCCTTTCTGTCAAGGTTTTGTCAACTAACTGGCTTCTTAGCAACACATCAGTGCTAGTCAACAACTGGCTAAGAACCTGCCGTGCCAACACTGGGGTATGCACAAAACAGAGTGAGCCATATACATGACAAAAATCTATCCCCAACAGCATTATCTAAGTAAGTTAGTCAAACTATGACAAGTTTGGATTCAGCGCAATTTCAGTCAGACCAATGTGTTAATATGCATTTTAAAAGTCCAGTTTCAATCTGACTATTGCAGTAAGTTCATTTTTAAGTGCATGTAAACATGTTAAGTGAAAATGAAGCTCTTACTTCTTGTAGAGGACAGCATGGGGCTTCTTCAGGGAGTACTGCAGGAACAGAGACAGAAAGATGTCGTGTTAAAAGGTTAAATCAAGTGGGAAAAGTCTTATCTTATCTTTTCTTATCTTATCTCAGAGTCTTAGTGAATGGGGCCCTAAGTCGAATAACTTTTCACCTTGTTGAAATCCGGAGTTAAAACATTATTAAAGCAGCTGCCAACATTAGCATGAACTTGGATTCTTTGGGACAAACAGTCAAAGAACAAATTGTCTTACTAGATCAATGTTTCCCTGACAATGCCGTACAGGACTTTAAACTTGAGACATGAACTAGATCAAGATGTTTTCATACCTACCGTCACACCTCCACATTTAGCTGTATAGTTATTCTGAGGGAGACCTCAGATGTCTGATACTCACAATGTCCTTGAGGGCCTGGGTGACAGTCTGACTTGTGTTTCCTCCCTTCATGATCATGGCTGTCTTCACTTCTTCCACCAGTTTAGGAGCTCTGCCCTCCAAGAATCGCTTTGAGCGTTTTGTCTTTGGTTTCCTGAGAAATGTACAACTCTATTATTTAAATTATTCAAAAATCTAACACAAATAGATTGTTAAGACATGTTTTAGAGGGAATCAATGACATTCACTGAGCAATGATGTAGACTTTAGAGCCAGACTAACATTCATGTCAGTGGTAATAATAAACTATAATCGATAACATGTTTTGTCTAAAACACACTAAATAGTAACTTTACAACTTGATTGTTGGTCAATGAGGACAGGAAACTTGTGATTTAGATAAGATGACAGTGATGTGTGCCTAAAGTCAGCAGTTCACATATCAGTATTATGTCAAAATAACAAGACTGTGATCAGTAACTTGGTCTGAGTATCTGAATTTAAATTCACATTTTCTTTTTAAGTGAACAGGTTAAAGATGTGTCTTTAGACTCAGACATCTCTCCACCTAAACAGCCTCTTTAATATCATTCTGACATGAGACACCAACCCTCCTAGTGGCTCACAGGACACAGGTAAACGTGTTTCAAAGTTAGCTACAGACAGTCAAACACACACTCAGACACAAATATATCAATTAATACATCTAAACGGGGTTTAAAGCTTTATACTTACACGACATCGTCCAACTGCGTCATTTTTTGGCTGTATAGACGTTTCTGTATCTGAAGTAGCTCTAAGGATGCAGAAAAACCACGTGAAAACGGTGGCGGAAAACAACTGTCCTCTTTCTTCTTCGTTGGTTGATTGGAGGTCCATATCCGGTCCTAGGTAGACTACTGCCCTCTGCTGTCGTTGGTGTTTATTAAAACACAGACTTTGCGAGGAGCTACAGGATAAATAACAGAGAAAAGCAGCGGATCATCTGTGCTTAACATAAAGGCTAAACTAAAATGGCATTGTGAATTACATATTAAAAACATTATGTATATTAATACTAAAAGGGGAACTTTACCCTCCTAACTTTACATACAAGTCCAGCACCTTTCCACCTGCACTTAAATCTACTTGGCTTCACTCTCATAAGGTCAGATAGATATTTTAAAGCTAGCTGCAAGAAGAAAGGAGGGGGTCTGGCTTTATTTGTAAACTAGAGATGGTGTAACTCTTAACTCTAAGGAGAGTTCAGCCATACCATAAACCAAAAATTTGTTTATATCCCACCCAGGTCACTGACTGAAATTGTTTTGCACCGCACTGTTGCTATGATACAAACTAAATACCCAGAGGCACTAATAATAATATCAAGAGACTTCAACAATGTCACCCTATCCTCTCACCCAACAAAACCCTGGATCTGCTGTATGCCAACGTCCAAGAAGCTAACAGAGTCACTGCCTTACCACCACTGGGCAAGTCAGATCATAACTTGGTCTATCTGCAGACTTGTTACAGACCTTGTGTACTGAGGCAGCCTGTGACCAAAGTCAAAATAAGAAGATGGACACCTCAAGCTACTGAAGCTCTAAGGGACTGTTTTAAATCAACAGACTGGACTGTGTTGCTGGAAACAGATGAGGACAGAATGAACATTGACAGACAGGTTGACTGTTTTACTGAATAGATCAACTTTTATAGAGACACAATTATCAGATATATTGGGTAAACTGTGACTTATGAAGAAAAGTGCAAACATTTTACAGCTTCCCCCAGTCTCCTCTTTTATTTTATTTTTTTAAATTATCATCGTCAGTGCAGTTATTATTATCATCTTATTCATAATTTTTGTTATTACTTTTAGTGAGAGCTCAACTTTACTCAGGTAAAAAGCATCAATATGGTCACTGCAAAATCTTTTAATTGACAGCCTCAGTTTTTTAACCACGGTCATTGACATAAATCAGTGGTTATGTGTCCTCCATATGTTCATTTATTCATGCTGAATAAAAACTCAATCACAGGTATACTCCAGGACACTGAGACAGCAGTACAGACTCTTTACTTCTCCACTCATCAGTTGTGATGTTGTATTTTGTGTTTATAATAATTTCCTCCAGTTTAGCGAATCCTCTGTTTAAATATCTAACAAATGAGGCCTAAGATTTGATTTGCTCACAGAGTTAATGATAAATTCCCTGCTCTTATATTTACTTTTCTTTTGTTCACAATAAGAAATACACAATCTCAACCGTCAGAAAGGTCCTGAAGAGTCTAATTGTTCTCAGTGATTATTTGCTTCTTCTTTTTTTTTACCTAAAGAGGACACTGTTGGCCATGGGGTTGATTTGGTTTGGTTTACAGTGACTGAGTCAGCTCTGTTTACACATAAACAAACACACAGCACAGAACAAAAACATGGAAAACAAATGAGACAAAAGTGCCCAGTGCTAAAGGGTGACCCTCAGTAAACTCAAAATAGAACGGGATAAAATGAATTAAAATAAGATCGCAGTAAAGGAACAGAAGAATAAAAACAGAATACAAATAAAACTGTGATCAACCAATAAAACCTGGTAAATAAAAGCATGTTCATAAGTCCCAACAGTAAAAAGAGATCAGGGAAAGCAAGATACAAAGTTGTTTAAATAGTCAAATGCAAAATTTGTACTGCAGCATTGCTGTGTTACTGTAACTTATTGAATTCTCTGATGGCTACTGGGACAAAACCATTTTAACTGCTTGGTTTTACAGACTAATACTTCAAAAGTACGTCCAGAGGAAAGAGGCTCAAAATTCGCTGTTTAATGGGTGGAAGTTGTTGTTGATAATAGAGCCAGCCATCCTCTGTTACTGACAGTTCTACATGGATTCTAGTTTAAGTTATGACTCTCGAAATCAACCTGCTGGACCATTTTACAGAGAGTTCCTATTTATTCAAAGACAGTTTCCTTTTATACCCAGCCATGACACTCACCTGTATCCAACTAACCTGTTCCCCAGTGAAGTGCTCCAAACAGTTTTTTTAAAGCATTCCTCAATTTTTGATGCCCCATCCCAGTTTTTGGAACATGTTGCAGTCATCAATTTAAAATGAGAGAATATTCACAATGGAACAAAGTTTATCATATTGAACATTAAATATCTTGCCCTTGTAGTGTATTCAATTGAACAAAGGTCAAAAAGATTTGCAAATCACTGAATTCTGTTTATATACAATTTTAATTTTATAAAATGTCCCAACTCCATTGGAAATGGGGTTTGTACAATCAATCTCTCTATCTTAAACTCACACACACTATTTCAGATATTTCAATCTTCAAAATTTCCAAGTTTTTTGCCCATAGATTTGTCTTTTCTGACTATAATCCAATCAACTTTGTTTTGTATTTTCAGCTTTTTATCTTAAACCATGTTATCTCCTTATTATTACTTCCTATAGTTTAAGCTTTCTCTCCAACGCTGACTTTGACACCATTATGGTATTTTTAGTTTGACTTCTCATTATTACAACTTTTTTATCTTTCAGTTTCAACTTTATATCTTTGTCTCACAATCATACATTTTTATCCCCGTACAGACATTTACAGATGAGATTGTTTTATATCGAGGCCAAGACTCTCCCTTTTTTTTTTAATCAGATTTTGTTGATTTTGTAAAATGGCTTCCATATATTTCTGTACCTAGACATGTAAATTAAATGCAGGGCTGTTAATCATTGAGAGATAGTACATTATATCCATTATTACATGTTATAAACATCTAGTCTGATGTATAAAATTGATATTTATATTTTCTCAAAGCTAACAGACTGGATAGTGTAGAGGTACAAGTTCTTCAGGGACCAGGCATCTCCCAGGGACACACCTATACATGCCCATTCCTGCCTTCTTATTTATCCCCATGTGCTCCACCAACAGCACGTGTGATTATTTCATGTCTGTCTGCGTCTCTATGACTGTGGTTTCATCTTTGGCTCAGTTCTTTGAGTATGTTTACCTTTTTAATTTTATGACTCATAAGAGCTTGTATAACAAATACCAGTATGTTCCTCAATAACATGAGCACAGTCAGTTTTACAAATAAACAGCAGAACACTTTCATATTTCATAATCAGAAGATCTTTTGTACCCACAGCTATCAGACTTTGCCACTCTTCTGTAAATAGTAGATGACTTTTAGAGCCATGACAAATCCGAGGACAGACAATTGAATTTCCCTCGGGGATTAATCAAGTTCTTCTTATTCTTATTTCACAGTTAACACTGTTTTTCTCTTTTTTTATCTTAAGGTAATAGTATGTTATAACATATGAGCATGGGGTGAAAAAGAGCAGAGCAGAGCAGCATTTTCACAGATAATATCTTTTTATTGAAGCATCAAGCTCATAGCACAGATATATTTAGCACATCTTGACAATCCAAAGAACAATAAAAGAAAGAATTAGAACAGCAAAGTTTCTCCATCCTGATACACCCTGCAACTGTACCCACTCTTACCCAAGGAAGGTTTTCACTCCCCTTCCTCTCTGGGAGGAAGAGGAAGTGAGGAAGTCAAAGAAATTACATGTTTTCATAAACTTTTAAAGGCAAATTATCCCTGAACCCCACAACAGCTAAACTCTGGACAAAAACAGGAGAGAGAGAGAGAGAGAGAGAGAGAGAGAGAGAGAGAGAGAGAGAGAGAGAGAGAGAGAGAGAGAGAGTTGGTCCGCAGCAGAAATACAAAATCTGTGATTGTAGAAAATTCTGGATTTACCCTCTAACTGCAAAATGCCGAGTTCATTGTAAAAAAAAAAAAAAAAAAAAAGAAAGAAAAAGAAAACAGATAGGAACAGATAGGCCTGATCCAGAACATCTGAGTGGGTAATAGACCAAACTTACAAATTTTAGGAACTCAAACCGTTATGGCAGCAATAATGGCCAAGGAGTAAGTCACGGAGAGCAGAGATTGGTCCATATGAAAAGAATGAAACCACTCCAAACGCCATGCTCTCACATGACCCACTCCCAGCTCGCCAGGTGCCTCAGGTAATAGGGCTTTCTGATGTAATAATCGCTGAACGCCAAAAGAACAGAACAAGCTGCATGGCAGCCTTGAAGGCAGGTCTGAGTCCTGCAAACTCACGGCTCAAACGTCCTGAACTAAAGCCTGACAGCAGGCGGAGAGGGCAAGCTTAGGACAACTGATTCAGAGAGTAAATAAATAAGACATGTGACCTGCTGTCAGCACGGCACAACAAACTGAACTAATGCAGGGAATAAATAAGAGAATAAGAACCCCCACCGACCAGAAAAGACGTCAGGATGCAGCAGAAAAAAGCTCAACCAGAGGAGGGCGCAAGCACGCGGACAAAAGGAGGAAGGGACGGCGCTACACTACACTATCAAGCAACATGCCACAAGTCGTCACATGTACCATAGTGTGACAGGATGTTCCCCCAGTGAGCAACAAAGGGGAAAGAAAGAAAACTGCTGGGGGTCACGTTTGGACCAGTTCATTGCAAAAGCCGTCTGGGCACAATCAATCGAATTAAACGGCACTTTTCTGCAGAGCTTCCATGTGGAATGATCCGGGAGCAACCTGGCATGCTCAGACCGCCGGCCTCCATTGTGCTCGCCCTCATTTTTGTATGGGGCGGAAAGGGACAGAGACACGCTCACATTATGTAGAGGAAGAAGAAAAACGCTTTGCTGGGCAACTCAGCAAAAAGAGTCTGATTCATGATTTCCCATTCAGAGAGCAGAGCGAAGCCTGCAGGGCCGCCTCGCCAGCTCAGTGGTGGGTGGTGGGGTGGCCCACTCGGGGGGGGGGGGGGTACATTCAGCTCACACTCTATCCAGCTTTAGCCCTGAAGAGTTTTTACATTCAAAGATGATGGACAAGGGGGAGGGGGGTGGGGGTCTTCATGCAGCTAGGGCTTAACCGACAGCACACTGACACAAAGTGCACACACCTTTAGTGATTCATAAACACTCTCTCTGGGGTGTTACATGGACCAGAGGACAGTCGCCTTGAGTGTAACAAAAGTGTTTTGTGTAACTTGTAAATTTTCTTTTGTGGTGTTGATGCCATCATGACTGTATACTGTCAGAGTTCCAGCAGCGTAGTGTATAACACCCCACAGAAACATCTACAGGACCTGATAAATGTGCTGAGATCATCACTGTGGTCAGTTTACGGAGTGTATGTTCTGCTCAAACTCCGTATGTAAATCATGATCCTTTTTGCAGATTAATTAACCCTTCCTTCGAAAACACTCATTTCAGTTACTGTCTCTTTAAGACACTTCAGAGCACATTCTGGAACTCAGCATTTAAAAACAAACATTCCAGAACCTGACTCTCCAGGACTCAGCATTCTAGAAGCCGTAATCTTGAAACAAAATGTTTCAGAACTCAGTATTTTGGAACCCACCTATTTAGAAGCCCCCTCCACTGTTGCCATACCACAAAGTGGTATTTCTTAATTGAAAATGTCAAATATTCAAATATGGTAGTATGTTTTGAACCTCAAATCTGATCTGGAATGTTTGAAAGGAATAAAAAAAAAAAAAATTCCAACACCAAAGAACAAAGCACGATATTTATGACTGGGTCAGTGTTCTCTGTCTTTTAGTCCTGGTTATTTCTCTTTTTTTCCTTTTTTCTCAGCAGTGTCATCCCGAGATTACTCCAACACTTTTGACCTCATATTTGTAACTAAAAATATATATGGAAAGCATTAAAGCAACTCTTTAAATCCAATTAATACACTTAATCTTATTTATCTAGTGTATCTTTTATTTATTTTATAAAGTGATTATTCCACTTTCACATATAGAGCTGGTTTTGTTCCTTTGTGGAATCAAAACCATGTGCTGCTTCTTCACGCGTCTGTTTCTGGTCAGTAACTTAAGTTTTCACCACACTTTGACTCTAGTCTTAAGTTATTAAAGATGAACATTAGAAACACATTAAACTGCCTGAATGTGACAGCACAGCTTGAATGATTTACACTTGTTTTGCATTATTGACTTTCTCTCCACATTTAGTTAGATGTTGCTGAAATACATTTTCTTATGCATTCGTATTTACAGCCTCTGTTATCCTTTCTGTGAGTGTGTTGGAAATATCTTAGAAGGAGAGACAGACATGTGCACAGTTGGTCATCCTGTGTATGGAGTTAAATTTGGTTTCAAATGTTCCTGAGTGTAAAGGTGTTACCCTCACAGCAACGCTCTCTGCTCTGATTGTCAAGGTGGAGTACAGCGGAGTTAAAAAGCCCAGCAAAGCATAGAATCTCTTCTTTAATTTTTAACCATTAATTTCAATAATACCACATTAGACAGCCAGTATGGGATTCTTTTTTAAGGTCAAATACATCCCAACAAACCAACAATTAGTATGGCTAAAGCTCACTGTGACCTTTACATTCAATAAGGTTGGCATCTTCTCGGACCTTGAGGATTTTAAAGTGCACCCAGGAAATGGTCTTGATTCAAAAATACCAATTTCCAAACAAAGGAGTGAACAAGGCAATATGAGGTTTACTGTAACCAAAACAGACAGCTGATCTGAGCATCTCAGGGCCTTGGCTTAGTGCGGGCGGAAGCCTTGTCTGTGGGGGATGAGGGGCGACACCTGCAGGGAGGGACTGTGGTACTGGGCATAGGTGGACAGCCTCAAACAGAGCGTGTTTAATTCCTCTACATGCACTTCAAGATCACAGCAAGAGTGAGCTAGAATATCGAAACAGAGAAAAGAGCTTTCATGCAAGAGATCTAAGTCACAGGAACAACAATGCAAACAACTCAAACTGGAGGTCAAAGAGGGAACCACCGCCGCCTCCTCAGCACCAAAAAACTTTACACCACCATGGCGGCGGCAGCAGTGGAAGGGGATGAAGGGCAGGACGAGGGGAAAGGGGGACAACAAACTCTCTAGTGGGGGATGAAGCCAGCTGAGGCAGGGGGGGCCTAAGCAGCGGCCTCTCTTTTTCTGCCTCTTCATGATGGATTCTCAGCTCTGCTGGTTCTGCTGGCGGTTCTGGACATAGCTGGTGAAGACAAAGTTGTAGTCGTTGAACTGAGCCAGCTGGCGGTCGAGGCGCTTGTAGCCCTCGAGCTTCTGGGCTGAAGAAAAGACACTGCGACATTTGGAGCTCTGCAGGGGGGATGGAGGAAGAAGATAAGAGCTTGATCCAGATCCATAACTCTGATCATGCTCATCATTCACAGCTCATCTTTCATGAACTCACCTGGTTAACAAAAAGAGTCGTCACAAATTTTCCTGGCTTGAACACCTCCACCACCTTACTGATCAGATCATCATAGGATGTCTGGGAGAGGTTGGTTTCAAAACTGACATAGGAGAACTCTGGCTCTGGGGTGATGTGGATGGTCCAGTAAGTTCCCTAAAGGAGAGGAGAGATAATATAGAGGTGTTTAAAAGGCAGGCCTGGGTTTGTTGGAGTGCAAAAGCAAGCACTTTACCCTCGACTGAAGAGATGCATGAAAATGATATGTTTTACAAAAGGTAATTCAGGGTTTAAATGATAGCTGTGAACCAGACCGTGTTTCCATAGTCATGACAGGTGTGTGTGTGTGTGTGTGTGTGTGTGTGTGAACAATCCTGCCTCTCATTTACAGTATGAGTGCAACAACAGGGTTAACCACGACTAGATTTCCCCTCCAGGATGAATAAAGTACTCTGATTTGTATTATTCTGAACCTACAGATTGCTTTTAGAGCTGTCAAAGTCACTATAACTGATCACTGATATCCAGGACTGGTTCCTACACCTTCCTCTGTAATAACTTAAGGTTCGAAAAGTCAGCAGTCCTGAAACAGGCAGTAATGACCCTGTCTGAATCCTTTGAAGTGATTAATCCATATTAAATCTCACTCCGTAAGGAGCTTGTTTTATTTCTAACTGGCTGTTGTGCAAGTGTCCCACATCATTACAAATAGGTCGGGGCCCGGCAACAGTACTCAGGATGTTCTTTGGCTACCTTTTTCACACGGATTTTTACTGAGCCCATACCTTGGGCTAGTGCTGGGCGATATGGAAAAAAATGTATATCACGATATGGATCATTTTATATCACGATAACGATATATATCACGATATAGCTATGGTATGCTTTCAGTTCTATGAAAAATTTAAGTGTATAGAGCTGCACTAGTACAGTACCAGTACAAGACCAGCACTTAAAACTAGAAAAATGAATAAATAAATACGTGGCTGAAGTGCGTTCATGTCTGCGCTCACCCAAAGTTATGCAACACTCACAGAAAACGCCGATAGTGTGAGCCAAAGCACTCCATAATAATAATAATAATAATAATAAATTTAATTTGTAATGCACTTTACATTTACAAAAAAATCTAAAAGTGCTACAGTACACAGTAAAAAAAGAGCAGCAACAATAAAAAAGCAATAGAATGACAGTCACAGATTGGCATAAAAAAAGAATTTAAAAAAATAAAAAATATAGAGTTACAATGTAAGAGGCAAGGTAGTAAAAGCATAGAGGAAAGTTAACCAAAGGCTTTATTAAAAAGGTAGGTCTTTAGGGCTCTTTTGAAGAGGTTGTTCACACTGCTAGATGTTTCTCCTCCAAAGCTGCTCTCTGCCTCCATCATTGTTTACTTTACTCTTGAAGCACGTAGGAAGACCCGAGCATGAATCCGAGCGCTTTATTCGCCTATCAGGGGCAGACAGGTAAGGTGATTTGATTCGCCACGACTCCAGAAATGATTGAAAAACTACAGAATGTCACAAAATTACGTTTCCTTGCTGCTGGCTTGAAGGGTAGAAATGCGCAGCCGCGCTCCCAGCTGACAGGAAGTCAAACCACTGTTGTAGTTCTTTTGTGTTGCTAGCGCGGTCAAGAGTGTTGGCTCTCACTGAGAGATGACTACAAAAATGGACGCACCTGTTCATCTGGTTGTTAAACACGGCTGAAAATGATCATCTTTTAATGTTGTTCCCGCTCCTGCCCACTCCCGTTGCCTTTTTCCCCGTCCCGTCCCGATCAAGGGATTAATTAAAAAATGACTCCCATCCCGTGGGATTCCCGCGGGACTCACGTGACCCACGGGAATTCCCGAAAAATGTCATCCTCTACAGGGAAGGTCCCGGAGCAGATGAAACAGGTGCCGGAGCGGCTGAAATAGGTCCCGGATCCGATCAAAAGAGGTCCCGGATCGCGCTCCGACTTGCTCCGGCACAAATTAAGCACTGCTTACAATGATCCCCTCACGTGTGTAACCCAGGTAACCCGCAACGGCGGGAGACGCTGGACACGAAGAGGGCACGTAAAGCGGCGTCATGTCGCAAAATCGAAAGAGAAATGCAAGCCTACATGTCAACGCATCCTTTTCTTTGTAAGAAAATATTGTTTTCTTTCCCGTTCGACACCAAATACACTTACTGAATGTGCAATTATTGTTGTTGTTACTATGAATCATCTGATGGCACAAGCTCTATGGATTAAATACAACCTATCGCCCGAAACGATAAAAATAAAAATGGCACGATAGACATTTTCTATCGTGCCCACGATATGTATCGTCCTATCGCCCAGCACTACCTTGGGCCGTCTCTCAAGATGGTAACTTCTGGCGGTTTGGCTTTGGGGATCCAGAAACCCGTTTTTGGAAAAATGCTTTTGGCATGATGATGTTAATCCAGAAAATTAATTGTGACTGTGGCATTTTAAGTCATTAAAGCATGAAATTTGGTAAAGAGTGTCTTGAAACACAGTGGAAAGTAAAAAGATTCTGGTGCTTGTTGCCTCTGTGTAAAATTAGCAGATGATTAATAAGAACCAAAGGCAATAGGATCCATGTCTGACTGATAAAATCTCCAAAGAAATTTTTTTATGGTCTAAATTACTGTCTAATTTGTACCAAAAAAACTTTAAAAAGTTTGTGCGCCTCAATTCAAGGTCTCGATGACCTTTGTATCTTGAAAACTAATCTGTCTGTGGCCCTTCATACTTCACCATGCATTACAGTTGTAGAGAACCGAGTTTCAATTTCTAGCAATTTCCAGATGGGAAGTTGTCCGTTACTGAAATCCAACAGTATGTTCATACGTACTGTTTCTCGGCTGCTTTCCGAAGTGATAAACATGACAAGTGAATATGGTACTTGTCATGTTATTTATTTATTTATTTTTTTAAATGGACTGACTGATGCACACAAGCAGAACAAAGAAACAATTCATGTTTCCGACCCTGTCAATATTTTTCTTACAGGGGTCTTGGGGAAAAAAGGACTTTCTTGTATGGTTCACCTCTCAGCCATCACAGTGTGCCCTCTTTGATTTAGTGCTTATTGTTAGTGGTCCACTACTACAGCGGCATGTGGTATGGTGAAGTCAAGATTGCTGAATTCTAAAGATAAACAAGGTTAGGGTTAGGCATCAAAATAGCGCTCCGTTGTACAGTTGTGCACAGTTTAAAAGCTACTTCATTCATTTAATTTTTTTTAGAACACTGTTCAAGTCATATTCCCATTTTATTAGATACAAATGAGTGATATTTTATTACTTTCCACTGTGTTTCAAGACACTCTATACCAAATATCTTGCTTCTGTGACTTAAAATGCCATAGTCACAACTTATATTCTGGATTCACAACATCATGCCAAAAGTATTTTTCCAAAAGAAGGTTTTTGGACCCCCAAAGGCAAACTATCCTAATTTGGGAGTGATCGTTATCATCCTGAGAGATGGCCCGAGGAATGTGCTCAGAGAAAAAAAAGGTTTTAAAAAAAAAAACATCCTGGGTACTGCTGCTGGCTCCCAGTCTAAAACTCTATCCCTGCAGAGAAGACAGGGGGGAAAGATTTGACTGAGCTTTCACTCAAACCACCACAGCAGGACCAGACAAGCTTTACATTTTTATCATCTTTTATTCTGGACTTTTTGTTTTTGTTGCACTTTATTTCTGATTCGTTTTTATGGCTGCTTTAGAAAGCTTAGTTTTAGAGTAAGATTTTCTTTTTTTGTAGTTTGAGTTACTTTTCACATCACTGTCTGATTGGCTAGATGTCATATGACCATGTGATATAACTGTTCTGTTAAGTGTAATAGGCCAAGTGTTACTTTCTGAATAAGATGCTGAACATGAGCTACAGCTCTCTGTAGGTTCACGGATCATTTCAGTCTGATGGCTGTGGTTGACAGACCAGCTGGGTCTGTTTTTAAAAAGAGTCTGTTTATTATGGTTAAATAGGAAGTATAAAACAATCACTCACGTCAGCCTTCATTCCATTCATTGAATATCCACAAGGGTTGAACATTGTGGCATCAATCACAGAACCTGGTATCAGGTCACGAATTCCACTCATCTGCAAAGACAGGCAGAAAACCATGAACTCTTGACCCTGAGAACATATGGGACAAACATGCAACTGAGGGAGGAGTACTCACACGAGTGACTTCACTTGCAGAAACACCGTCTTTCATGTAGAACTGGTCCATAATGGCTGGATCGAGGTCGCTCATCAGAACTTCCAGCGTCTGGTCTGCATGCTTGTTCTCCAAGTACTCAGGTAAGTCCAGGGTGAACAGGTACCTGAAAGGCAGACAGGTTATAGAGTGTTGTGATGCAGTCATTACTCAGAGAGCATCAAACTAGTGAAGGAGGATCTGCTCTGTGCAGCTGCCGAAACAGGCCACTCATCATTTACTTGTAAGTTCAAAGGGGTTTATTAGGCCTGTTGTTCAGAAAGAATCTAGATAAACCACTGAAACATCTTATTTCTAAAACCAGCTGAGACTTGAGCTCAGTGTCTCTACCACAGTCATATCTGTATGGATGTCACTGGAGCAGCAGATGGAGATTTGCTCACCAGCAATCAGAGTTCAAACGTCCCATGCAGTAGGCTGCACCATCTGAAAGAAAAACAGGCATAGGTGTCAGTTTTATCATCAGTACAATTCACTGGTGGCATTAAGCAGTCATATGGTGTATCATCTATAATAGTGTCTCTACCCTCTCCAATCACACAACCAGAGATATGCTACAGCACACCCTGATGAGACACTGCTATTTTAGGATGCACCAATCAGAGTGAGGGCAGGATCATTTCACTCACTGGGGAAAATCTGGCTGAGAAAGTCCACCTCCTCCTGAAAGTTTCGATGAGGGAACTCCTGATGAGATGGTTTCATGAAGTTCTTGCGGGAGTAGAAGAAATTCTGTAGGAATAGGAGTGAATGAGAAGATGACTGAGGAACATCAGGAGCTGACAACCTCAGATGTTTATTCGTGTTCAACTCAGCATGATGCTGTCTTACCTCGATGGCATCAAACCCGCAATACTCCCGGGCGAGTTCCAGCAGAGGCACCAGTGCTTGCAGTAAGAGGGTGGTTCCGCATGTCTTCAAAATGAAACGTCTCTTGGAGACAAACATGCTACTCTCACTGTGGAGGACAACAGTACAAAACGAGTTTAAAACCTGCTCAGATTACTGCTGCTCCACTGACCGTCACAACTCTTACATAAGACCAGAGGCACACCAGGAGCTCAACAGGAAACACTCATTCCTCTGTTTCCGACAGGCTGTTCCTCTAAATCTAAGGCTTAATCTGTCCAACACCAGGCCAAAACTCAGCAGATTTAGATTCAGCCCAAATTAATGAACACCTATAGCATTAAAAAAGTTATTCTTAAACTTTTAAACCCAGGTCCCTCTGAGAATTTTGTGCTGAAATGGCTGAAAAAAAAAGTAAAATCTTTGGGACTGTGACAGCCTGGCTGCAGCAGCCTAATGTTGAGGAGAATGGGCCTTCATGTTCTCTAACCCAAAGGAAGAGGTTCAGTTAATTGTTATATCAAGGATAAAGCACATCTCTACACAGACTAACAGTATTTTAGTGTAGGTGAGTTTGGTTTTTAAGATTATTGTTCTCTGAGAAGACAGGACTCTAAATCATTTTTCACTGATCTTTTTGTTACCAAGTACCAGTTACCAACCTCTGACCTCTAATCTGCTTTGTTTTCTCTATTGTTTTTAAGCCTGAGTTGTTTTGTCTATTATATACAGCACTTTGTTTGGGCTGTGGTTGTTTTGAAATGCTTTATAAATAAATTGACCCGAGTTGAACCCTGATTTTGACTGATCTGTGGGAAAATTACCTTCCCTATAACCACTGACTCATCTGTTGACTGCTGTGATCTCCACATGTTTATACATGTTTAAATTGAGGTATTCTGTATGGCTGCTAACTCACTAGGCCTTTACTGTAGAAGAGTATGAAACTCAGTGGGATCTCGTGACTGAAACGATGAAATGTCATGGCTCAAACTGAAGCTTTTACACCTGTAATGTTATTAGATAGCTGGGAATGCATCCAGTGAAGCATTGGGTTTTAAAATAGCTGATTTACCCTTCAGGGCCCTCATTAAGAACTTCCTCCAAATCTGACAGATCCAAACAGTACGTTACATAACATTGAGAAATATGGAGGCCTTTGTTTGGACTTGCAGCGCAGCAACCTAAGCCACGTGACAGCAGCAATTCCAGAAACACGTGAACAATTTAATAAGAGAGGTAATAGAACTGTTTGTGAGAAATCATGAAAACCACAGAATACCTATGTGGTTAAAAGGATGCATAAAATAACAGGTTTCTGAAGTGTCATGGCTCCCACAGAGTTGGAAGAAACTGTAACAACTGTCTATGAACTAAACATAGACCTTGTTGGTTTAACAAAAACATGTTTCACTCCCTACAGAAACAGCAAAAATCTTCAGGACAATCTGTTGACTCTAGATCTACACTGACACTGAGCTGGATCTGAACCTGAGGGAGCAGGTAAGGACTGTCAATCACACAGTGTGCATGCTTCAGTCACTGAGATAAGCTGGTCCTTAGCAGGCTGTTATGTAAAACACAGGTGGGTATGGCCAGTCCATCATCGGCTGTGTTCAATATCAAGATGACAGGTATGAGCAGGTTGAATGATAACAAGAGAGGAAGGTGAGATGTTTTTATTCTTCGAGTCTGTTTGGAAGATTTGAAACCACAACCTTAGTTAAAAATGATTCCTCAGATTTTCACACTTCAGTAAACCCAGCGCTGATGGATGAGGATGTTTGAGGAGTGCTTACACTCTCTCACTCATAGCTTTGACCAGAAAGAAGGCTTTTGTGGAGTTTATTGTTTTGTGGATTTATTGTTTCCTAAACCTCCAACCACACAGTCCCAGAGTCTTACTTCTTTCATCTGATGCAGAAACTGGACAAAGGCCTGACTTGATGTTGACAATACAGTAGGGCTGTAATCAACCAAAGACATTTTTGGTCGACTAAAACCCTGAAATTTTCAACCAAAAATCGACTAATCGGGGCAGGGGGTTCTGACTCTAACTGCAAACCCTTTAGTGGCGGGGGACGCCTCGGCTCGGCAGGGTGAAAATATACTGATATCTGCACAACAAAGCATTAAGCACAAAAGGCAAGTTGAAAATAAATATAAATACTCAGCAAACCACCGGTCATTGGTTAACGTGGATGCTCTTCAATCTTCCTGTCTCCAGAGGGTCGGGGTTAGTCCAAAACAGTGAAAACAAGGGGGGTGTTCTGAGACAGGCTGATATCTGTGAAACGGGGGTGCTCTGAATACACTCCCATTAGCACTTGGTACGTCCCTCCCGATTAAATTAACCATAGACTGTAAATTGACGCGGGAAAAAATCGAGTCAACCAATCAGAATTTTGCTCGACTAAGCACGTATCAACCAATAAGTCGACCAGTCGACTAGAACTTTACAGCCCTACTGTCCAGAAATCTTTGTGGTGTTTAAAACATACCTATTACTCTGATTACATAAGAGAAAGAGTTCAATGTTAGTCCACATGAGGATATGTGAATGGAACTTCTCTGTAGGTCTCCTAACCTGACACTGTTCTGTCAACAGAAAGCAGCTTACAGGTCACTGCGGTCTAATCCTGTCTGCATTCAAGATCTGTCACACACACAAAAAGAACCACACACACACACACACACATACAAACTCACCTGAGTATATAAGCGTCCTGCTTGTCAGACTTTGTCACACTTATGATCAAACAATGCACATTCTCCAAAAGTTTGTCCCACTCAAACCTGCAGACAGAGGAGGAGAGAAAAACAGAAAAATATCGTTAGTGAATGAACGACACAGTCTGAAGACAACACTCTCAGCAACCTCAGTGTGATCTGGAGATCTCTGCACATTTACAGGAAGACTTTCACTTTCTGCAGGAACATCTTAAGAAAGAGAAACAGGGCACTCTGTGGTAGTCAAGGTGCCAACAATTTCAGCTTTAAGTGTTCTCATAATGTTTAAACAGACAGGAAATCATCAACCTTCTGAAAGCTCTGTTCCCAGCTTCAATGGGATCAGAAACTCTTCCTTTATCTCTAATTGAGGTCTTAAACCCTCATTTTAGCCTCTGCTTCATTTCATCTACTGTCTTTTTGAGACATTTTTAAAGAACCCCAGAACCCAGTATTTTGGAACCCAGCATTCAACCCATAATTCTAGAACCTAAAATTCCAAAACCTTACACTCTAGAACCAAGCATTCAACCCATAACTGTAGGACCCAAAATTCCAGAACCCAGTATTTTGGAACCGAGCATTCAACACACATAATTCTAGAACCTAAAATTCAAGAACCTTATACTCTAGAACCCAGCATTTAACCCCCAATTCTAGAAGCTAAAATTCAAGAACCCATTATTTTGGAACCCAGCATTCAACACACATAATTCTAGAGCCTAAAACTCCAGAACCTAACACTCTAGAACCCAGCATTTTGAGAATTTAGCATTTTTAGAACTTTACATTCCAGAGTCCATCCTTCTGAAGGCTTCTCCTCTGTATTCACTGTTCACTGTTGTTCTTGGAGTTGAAATGCTGATTGTTTTCTATATGTTTTACTCACTAGCTGTGTTCTCATGAGCACAAATAATCAGAATAAAAGGCCTGATCGGAAGAAAATTGTGTCATGTAAACATGTTGATCGGAAGATTCTGAACCGATTCAAGTTAATCAGAAAGAAATTGTATTCTAATCAAGAGGGGTGGTTAATGCTGATTATTATTTCAAAACGGGCCAATATAAACACTTATTCGGATTGTGACTCTCTGTTGGGTGGGGAAAAAAAACCTGATTGCATGTGTGCCCTAAGTCAGCCGTTAGTGACAAGACGTAAAAATGGCAGGATCCAAGAGCAATTGGTCTGTGTCTGACACAAGATGCTGGATACAGTTTCCTCATGTTACACAGGATCACTCCATGCTGCTGGGCCTGTATGATGATCATGTATGCTAGGAGCAATACGACTGCTCTCAGAACCTGGCTCAGGTCCGTTATGAGTGGAGGGAAAAATCCTGAACCGGATGACGTGAGCCACTACCACATTTGTTGGTTTGTTGACAGCGCAGCTGTGAATACGACTCTCTTTCTGCGGTTGTTTTAGTGAAATTAGATAACTCTGCTCATGTCCAAATGCTTCTAATCTGGATAGAGCTTGGTGCATGCATGCGTACGTCATGATCGGATTATTTGATTTTGCACCCATATAAACAGTGGATTCAGATTTCTTTAATCGGATCAAGACATTTTGTACATGTAAACATGGCCACTGATAACCTAAAATGCTTCGAAAGGATCAAAATAATCTGCAGCAACAGTGAACAAGTAAACCTTTTGTTTCTTTTGTCCTTACAAGGAGATTCACCAATCTGTGACGTCATGATATGAGCCAACCTCATGTCCTTTCACACAGTTCTCATGTGACTTTTTTGAAACAACCACTCACAGCATCTATTTTCATATTTATGTGTAAAGTTTAAAAATCCACAATGCCCCCCTTATAAAAGGAAGCACGTACAATTATCTCACATACAGTAGATATGAAATAGAGCTCTATAGCTCTTTCCAGAACAGCGTCAGTATATGAATTCATTAAAATGTAGCATTTACAGAGGGGGGAGGATTGACCCTAATACTTCAGCAGGCTTACAAAGTAAAGAAGAAATACTTCAGACTGCAGGATTATAAAGATCTAACTTTAAAAGATATGCTAAACATGGACCCTGTTTTGAAAATATAGAGCACAGGTAGCACAACAACAAGAAGGCTGCGTCCTGCCTCCCCCCTCTCCTCCTCCTCCTCTTCCTCTTCTTCCTCCTCCTCCCAGCACAGCCAGCACTCAGAGACAGCTGCAGTGCTAAAAGCAGCTGCGTCACATTCTCTCGCTCCAATCTCACAGGAGCTGCTCAGACCCATTCAGAGCGTCCGGCAGGAAGCCCCGCAAGGCCTAGACCAGCAGAGAAAGATCGAGAGGAGGCCGACCGGCTCTCTAAAGGGAATATACCAGCAGTCTAATGTTGCACAGCCTACCCCTCAAAAAGAAAGATGCACCAACACCCTTTTCTGAGGGTATCTCTGAGCCAAAAAGGTGCCTCCATGGCTAACAAGACTGAACGCTACTAGTACTCCTGGTGGTGACAGCTCTGCCCAGACAGGAGGGGTGAAATATCCGGTCATTAACTACCTGATGACAAGCTCTTCACCTGCAATATGAAGTTCGATCAACACCAACATATTTGGATATGAAAATAATCTGTGTAAAACTGTAAAATGTTTAACATTCAGCCTCTCATTCATATGTACCTCAGGCTACACTAGAAAACATTAATTATATCATAAAAGTCAAACTCTGAAAGTGCTAAAAATATCGTCATGTAAACACTGCAGTAACTCAGAGGCCATTTTAACAGATGATCGTATTCAGAAAAAAAATGTCACAATAATGTATCATACTCTAAGCCCTCCTCTAACATCAAGATTAAATTATAATTACTACTAAGAGCTCCATGTGACTTTATTTTTAAACGAAACCACTCCAACCCACGTTTTCCATCTCCCTTGGTTACTGAAGGTCATGTTACCAGAGTCAAACTACAGCAGTCATTAATATTGAGCAGCTCCTGTTCAGGCATACTGTGATGACACACGCACATGCGCACACACACAGAGTCACATTAGGAGGTTAAAACTAAGCATGCAACCAACTTCTGTTTGACTCTATACTAATGCTGCATCTTCCTTTATGACCACAGTCCCCCCATATGACAGATCAGTGAAGACAGTCAGTCTGTGGACTAAGGAGACATATTCTTCATGCTGTTCGTTTTTTTTTGGCTGGGGGTATCCATTAAGGAAGGGTTTTGAGTTATGGCGGTTTTTACTACTACACAAGATGGTTCAGCTCTTACCAGAAGGTCACCACGCTGACTATTTCTGAACATATCCTGTTCCAGAACAAGATATGCAGAACCAAGCATTTCAGAAACAACTGTTGTGAAACCTAGCAGTCCTGAACCAAGCATTCTAGTACACAGTAGGGGTGGGAATCACTCGTGGCCCCACGATACGATATTATCACGATACAATATAATTGCGATTTTTAACAATTTGCAGTACGGCGAGTATAGCGATACAATGATTACCATTTATACAATTTTATTCAATTGTTAAGCTAATTTAGCATTTGGCCTTCCTTTATGTTTGTCTCATTTACGCTGTATTTTACACATCTTGCAAACCTTATATTTGTTTCCTGCTCTATGATGTCACCTCTGCCAACCTCACTGGACAGGTGATTTTATTTTTCTGTTATCATAGATTTGACTTCATATGAATCATCAATTTAAAAAAAAATCAATACTTTGTAAATAAGACAATATGATATGTCACCAAACAAAATATCGCAATACTTTGCTTTATCGTTTTTTTCTCCCACCCCTTGTACACAGCATCCAAGAATCAACTATTTCAGGACTTCACATACTAAAACGTGCCATTCAAGAATCCAGCATTCAAGAACACAACACTTCAGAAGCCTCCTTCACAGTTGCTGGGTCATGATATGATAGGTCTTCTGATACAGTGTCCACAATATGCTACACATTGTGATATGTTCCAGGATTTGTATTGTGATACATATCTGTAAATAATTGTAGTAAGACCAAAGACCTAGTTTTCAAGGTGCCCTCTACTTAAAACAAGCGCGGTGAAGCAATTCTAAGAATATTATCTAGATAATTACAGGCTTTGTGACTGATTAATCACATTCAGTTGCATGTGTCAATAATGTGAGAAGAATGGTTTTACAAATAGACACAGTGCACAAGCCTTTTTTTATCTGGCTATTTGAATTATACCTTGATCAAGTGTTTATTCCAAGCCTTATTTACTGGGATCCCCTTTCCTCCACTTACCTACTCCCCCTGCACACACCCCTGCTCTCTACACACAGCTGCTGATTTCCTCTGCCCTGTTCTTTTTAAGTCTCTCGCCATCCCTATTAGCAGAGTTTTAAGTTACAAAATTGAGTTTTTCCCCACACAAATCAGTTTGCACAGCTCATACTGGAAGCAGCCTGTGGACGCCGACAATTAAATGAACCAAAAAGTGAGGATTACACAGTGAATTTATCAGCTTGAGGCCTTCGTCACATTGCATTAATTGCACAACTCTTTCAAAATTACGCACAAAAGTGTTTTTGTGATGGTTTGAGCCTATTGATAAGCTAAGGGAAATCAGGAGTAGAAAGTTGTTATTCTGAGATTGTTGTGTTGGCGTGCATTGGCTCTGTGTAGCAAGCCTGCCTGTGGTTGCTGGCAGCTAATCAGATTGGTGTTTTGTCATTTGTAGACGTAGTTATGTCCTGTTAGGTCGATATTTTATCCCAAATGCTCCCATACTTTCAGTTCTGACTGAAGCCCCTTTTATCTCAATTTGAGATGAGTAAAGCATCATGTGTTTTGGCCCGCTGCCATCTGTTGACTTTTTTTTTGCACAGCACCCCTGCTGACATGTTTTTCAAAATACCACACCAATCTATAGCATGTGCACTTATTTCCTCGAGCACATGGTGATAGTAGAGTGGAATGAATGTGATTGATCAGTGTTTTGTTCATTTTGACCTCATAAGGAGATCCACCAATCAGTGGTGTCCTTGCATGAGTAAATCTAGTGTGGATCGCTTAGTTCCGCTGTGAATTTTTGAAGAAGTAGACGCACAACATTTAAATACAATACTTTATAATGATATGTGAAAAGGCATACCAGCTCTTTATTGTTAGGAATTGTCTCTAGTTTTCATTCTTCAACACTCACTTACACAGGCTAACGTTTGAGCTTTTACGTTGTCATACTGAGTAGGCCTAGATCTCTCTTTTTTCTTTTTTTTAGTTATGACTATGGTTTTCACTTCAGTTTGTAAAACACAGAATAGCATTGCCTCGTCTCTTCAAGCAAATTTTAGAGTTGTGTATTGTTAAAATGCTGTCACTACGCTGCTTACAGTTGTGTCGAAATGATTTGTTGAGTTTATTCAGTTTGATGTGCAACATATTCCTCTCTTCTGGTGTCTATGTAAACTCATTGTGTATATTTGTGTCCATGCTGTGCCTGGATAAACTGCTGCAGGAACAATAACCTCATGGATCATTAAAGTGAATGGATCTTCCTCTTCTGTTTTTACAACACTGAACTCTTATGACTGTTTTCATTTGAAACTACGTTTGTGAACCATTTAGCTCAGGTGTGACTCACTGGTGGTTATAAACCTGTCTACAGACAAGAATGACAAACTTTTGACCCTGGTATTCCTGCGTTTTAAGATGACAGCTCATTCTCTACATTGCAAAACATATGCTTCACCTTCCCGCAAAGAATGAGGCACCAAGGTATGACAGGTTAAGATTATCTTTAACTTTTTTTTTTCACTGTGCTGTCATTAGGGCTGTTGCAACACGCTGGCTGCATACCAGAGGGCAGCATTCCTGCAGCCCTCTGAGCTCCTGTGTCAGGGTGAAATCAGCACCACAGCCTGTTTCTGGCTGCTCAAAGTCAGACTCCAGGAAAGACCCAGATCAGACTACCAGAGACCATTCAGAGACTCTTTAACATGCACTTAGGACATTTGAGTGATACAGCTTTGAAGGAAGCAGAGCTCAGAGGATCTGACACTATTAGATGACAGAATTCACTGAATGTGATCTCCCTTCAGCCTTTGAGACCTCAGGACAGCTCAGGTGTGGAGATGCTGACGTAGACTTTCTGACTTACAGGACGAGTTGGCGAGCAGCTGCAGAGCCCCATAGAGGTAATGTGAGCGAGCTCCACAGTTGTGAATCAGATGCCCCTGTGGACTTATTTGGACATTGGCTGAGGTCCAAACAGCCTGAACCACTGACAGAGTCCCTCTGAGCCCTTAATCTGCCCTCTGGCTGTAAATTAATGCTGGTCCTCCTCACTCACCTGACAGCCACACACTTTCCTTAACCCATCTGTCATCTGGTCAATGACCTGAGAGTCACTCGTAGTGCAAGGCGGATTTAGCCTGAGTCCCTCCACATACTGCACTTCAGGAAAAACCGGTAGTGTCAGGCAGTCTGTAGAGAACATATAGCTGAGTTTGTTCTAGTGAGGAGTTCAGTTAATCACAGGAGAGGGTGGGGACCTGGTTTCTTGACAGATAGTATCAGTGTAAATCACAACAGAGTGGAACATCTCCACTTTATTCCACTATCTTTGCAAAGCCAACACCAGCCACAGCTCACTGCCCCAAACTGCAAACCATAACCTCTGCCCATCATTGTATGTTAAGATGTCTGTGTAGGTTCTCATTCATCCAGGTCTCTTTTCTGAAAGGCTTCTTCAGTTCTGAGTAAGGCTTTTAGAAAACAGGAAAAACAATCAAGAACCTCAAACAAGTCTGGTTGCTCTGTCAACAAAAAATTGAACACTATGTTTAAAAAAAATACAGTGGCTCTGTTGGCAAATGCACAATCATTATGGCCATAAAAACATTTCACAGAACTAAACAATGCTTTACAAAGTGTAGAAACACTTTATGCAAAGCGGTTTCATGAAACCTGAAAATATTAGACATTTTTGCAGCTTGTCAATTTTTGTCTTTTTGTGAAATGTTTGTTTGCTTTTTTTTTTTTAAATGTTCATCATTCGTTAAATTATTGATCCTAATTTAGCAATATGTGCAATGTTTGAGTGTTTTATGTAATGCTTGTGCAGTTGACCTTCAAGGCCACCGTAGAAGACAGCGCTGTGCTATAAATGTCTCAGAGGTTGTCATGTGGGGAGGGTTTGAAACGAGCCTTCAGCAGCACTCTGCCTGATACTGATGGACTTTAAAAGCTCCGTCTTCACTGATCTTAAAATATCTTCCTCCAGATTTTCTGCTTCACCACGCAACATTTCACCACAAATCTATCAGTCAAAGCTTCTTTTACTATGCAGTCTGAGAGCATTTGTCGTCTAATTAAACAAACCTGCACCTGCCTGAGCATGACTGTGTCTGTGTGCTGAGACACCTGACTTTTCATACAGCAGGAAACAGTCCCTGCAGACATAGAAATAATTACGACAAGTCACAGTTGATCAAACTTACATCAATATTTATAGTTTACATCATCCTAGTACTTCTAAGTAAGAACCCTGCTCCTCTCCAGACTATGAATCCCCTCTGCACATCTGATCACAGACCCTAACCCCTTTAGGACTGACTTTGCCTTTGGCTCAGCTGGAGCAGGTCAAACACCATATGATGGATTTTATGGTGTAGGACAGAGGCCTAAGGTCAAAAGCCTTTTCTTTGAATGCAGCCCGGTGCCTCTGAGCAGGGACACCTCCTGACCAATCAGAGGAGAGGGGAGGGGAGGGCTGCTGCACGCACTTCTGCAAACGTGACAGGAACAGGAACCATGCACGATGTTAGCAGAGCTCTGAGCAGATCACAGGGCTGCAGAGCATGTGCAGGGTTGGATAGTGACTGATTACATTTGACCATGTTCCGGTGAAGGAGTATTGAAAGTACTTTAACTGTTACTTTAGTAGTTTTAGTGCAAAGCAAAATACTAAGCCCCAATTTTAAACACCATCAGTTACTGAGTGAAAACAACCTACATATACGAACTTTTCATCAGCTACATGATGAAGGATGAGGTCTACACCGAAAAATATCAAATCTGCCCAAGTGAAGTTTCTCGATTCCAGTCAAAATACGTCATTACACATACTTGAAGCTACAGTGACCTCACAGGATTAATCTTTTCTAAGATGTTACGAGTAAAAAAATCCTTGAAGTTTCACATCTTGTCTCAAGACACTCATCATGTTGCCTGCAGCAGCATTTGCAACCTCTTTTACTCGTTACAATCAATAAGTCCTTTTGTTTTAGGCTTAAAGTAACAATCCTCTCTGCAGCCAGCCATGACTTCAGTCTGCAGGGTCTGTCTTCCAAGTGTCACACTGAAAAAAGTAGCAGCAGAAATATTCAGTAACCTCCCCCTAGATAGGAGCAGTCAGAATAACTACACACACCAATGCTGTTTGTACACAACAATAAGTTTGGAGAAATATGCGTCTGCTTCGTTTTGGAGGGGGTTCATTTGTACTTTTCTGCCTCCACCATGGGTTAAAAGTAAATAATTAGCAATTCAAGCACTTTTCAATTAAAGTAGTTTTACTTATACTCAGTAGACTATCAGACTGTTAGTTCTACTCATACTTGAGGAGTAAAATGTAGAGGTTGACCAAATACAGCTTTTCAGTGGCTGATGCCGATACCGATTATGGGAAGTTCAGGTTGGCCGATATATAATACAGACATCCCATTGTGTTTGTTTGTTTGCATTTGACAGTTTTAGTTTAAGTTATACCAACAAAATTATAAAAAAAAGCTGAACCTTAGTGAATATTTAATCAAACTTATGTAAATGGAAAAAGATCTGTCTCAGTTAAAGATTTCCACAAGTGACATTTGGATTTCTGTCCAGATTTCCTGTTAGGTGCAGTTTGATGAATCAATAGATATTGCTATATACAGCAGATATCGTTGTCATTACTAAATATTACAATATAATTCACAACTGAGACACTAGTCAAAGTCTGTTTGGATATGTGTCTAATGGGTGACTGGACAGACATGTTATCATTTAGAAAAGATGATAGTGAGGGCTGATGCCAGTAAGCCATTTATGACAAAATGCCAGTAGTCTGCCAAATTAATCAGTCTCTTTCAAGTAAACTGTCACTAACGTCCTTGTACTCTAACTTCAGTAAGATAATGTAATGCTCTTCCCAGTCCTGGCAGTGTGTTAGAGTCTGTGATAGACAATAAAACCAGCAGCAACTCCACAGCATTCAAATGACAGGACTGATAAAGTTATGTGTGTGTTTATTTAGAAGCCTCTCTCATTCGAGCCAGGATCTTAACCAGGATCCCTCCTCTGTTACCAGCAATCAAACACAATCTTGTTGACCTAACATCTAAATTATCTGTGACTGTGACCTTAAGAGCGCAGCAACACTTCAACTGTAAAATTATTTTTTACATATTTACTTTCTCTGACTCTTTTTCACCATGTTACTCACACAGGCTGGATCACAAACCTGCACACATCAACAGGACCCTATGGATATGCACCCATAAAGAGACCTCAGAAAGAGGCCCGCACAGTACAGAGGGAGTGAACACCTGGAGTAGCTGGAGGTTAAACACCACCTTCAGGAGCGCCTCAAAGAAAGAGCACTAACACCCATCAATCTACCAGCCTCATGTCCCAGCCCAGGACTTAAACCAGCAACTCACTGGCTCCAGAGGCAAGGTACAACTAACTGGGAGACTGTACCAAAACAAAAATAAATATTTGAGACTCTTTAATAGTATCACTCCTGATTGAAAAATGGTGTGTAATTTATTCCAGAAACTGACGACAACATAAATAATGCCCCTGACACAAAATATAAGAAAATCATTCTACAAAAAGGAGAACTGAAGCATGTAAGAGAATAATGAAATTTACAGTAAGTTCCTTAAATTACTGGAGGAAGTATTTATGTTCTATGAATATATGAGAGCTGGGAGAAGAGCAGAAGGAGGCAAGAGGGGAGAGGAGAGCAGGGAAAGCAGCTGGAGAAGGCAAAAAGTATGATAACTTTAACTGTTAACCAAAGCTATATTACTTTCTGTCAATAGCAAATGACATGAGACTCCAGACACTTCAATTTCCTTTGGGGATCAATAAAGTTCTTCTTATCTTATCTTACTTCATTCATGCACAATAAAACTATATTCCCATATCAACTACACCTGTATTCTTGTGAAAATACCTCTTTATTCTAGTAATGTTTTGACCTTAACCCAGTAACTATTATTTAATTCAAAAAAACTTTTCACATCTTTAATAGGGCCCTGAAACTTTTGTTGTAAATGTCCAATATTTCCAAAAGACATAAAGAGATATATTTTGAACCACAAACAACATCACCCTCTCACAAATTTCAGACAGCCTGATTTCAATAGCGAAGACACAACATTGAGTCACCTGCCCATCTCAGATTCAGACACAGCAGCACACCTGTTCTGATAGTACAGGATCTCATTATTTTAGGACACCTGCATGGCTGGCTGAACCCCAAACTCCTGCATCCCAACAGCACCCAGAATGGAGCCATATTAATGAACATTAATGAAAGACAACTTTATGATAAATTGTGGATACATGTGCTCCTAATTTGACTTCTTTTCTCCCTGAATATCTGTGCATATGAATGTATTCTTCTCTCTGGGTGTTGAGGTGGTTGCTTTAACTGAGGCAACACGCGGTGAACAGCCACATGCTCGCGCAGTCAGTATGGGGCCTCGTTGTCGAATGACGCAGAAATAAATCAATCCCATTTTACAGTGACACAAACACACAAGCCTGTCTTAAAAGTCCGGTTTAACTGCCAAAAACTCGCGTAGTTTTTATCAGCTTGATATCAGTAATCAAACACCAATGGGAAGATAATAAACGCGTGAGCAGCCACGAGGAAAAGCAGTCGCCAAGCCCGCCTAATGCTGCCATACAGACAGCTGACAAGACTAGGAGAACAAACTAATTCAAACATACTGTAAAAACGTTAAATCGTTCTTGAAAGAAACGCGGGCAGCTAAATATTTAAACATTTCTCCCTTAAATCGGCCTGGGTAAGCTAGCTGAGCCTGGTGTTCTGCCGAATTGTGCTTTCTATCAAGATGTGCTTCTAGGCGACTGTGCGCATGTGCTAAAGAACACTCCCGGGAGCTTGTCACCACTTGGATCGTATAGTGGTTAACGTTGAAGACTATTCTGATCCTCAAGTGTATCTGTAAATACACAGCCCAACATGCCCCCCACATATTACTCTGGAAATGTAGATTTTCACAGCGGGTCTGTTCTGGGTAGATCTGGCAGCATGCCTCGACTGAAATGTCTAATAAAAGTTTAACAACAGGGAGCCAAAACATGCTCCCCCTGTGGTTCTTATAGTAAACTTACTGAAATAAACAGCATAGAATCATAGCCCCTGAAGTAGTGCATAGAGCAACGGTACAGTTTTTTCCTGAAAGAAGCAAAACTCGACAGAACACCGGAAGACTGTTAATGTTAACAGTTACGCACTAAGTCGTTGTGCCGACAGGATTTTGACGTTATTTCACTGATGTATCGCACAACATGATGAGTGAACAATAGAATCAGTGGTTTGTGATGTTTATGGTGGTATATTTCCTTAGTAAAGAATGAATGACTCAGCCTGACAGAGCCTCTTTTTAGGGGGAGGTGGCCATTTTCCACAGATGGTGCGAGCTGGTTTACTGCTGACTAAATGTGTCTCTGTTGGCGTCCAGCTCATCGAATCATAAATGTGAACTACAAGGAGAAGACTAGTTCCTCAAGAACAATATTTAGCTTTTACTGTGTTATATCGGTTAAACGCTAATAAGGTAATACAGGCAGAGACGGCAGTCCAGCAGAGTCTACCTTCAGCCGCTGGGACCTGACACCACACCTGACTCCTCCAAAGACACCCACCTTGGTATGGTCTGGAGGTCCCCGGTCCCTTTGGTCGCATCCTGCCGGGAGAACCACACCTCCAGCAGCTTCTCGGTCCCCTCGAAGAAATGTGCACCGTTATCTTCCATCATGAGACAACACACACCCAACAAAAAGGATTGAACGTCGGTTGTAACGTTTACAGCTTAATTAATCCTTCCTCGCTCAGGTATAATTTATTGAGGTACAGTCCTTTAAGCAATCCAGGTGTTGATTTTTCTTAAGTTGCCGTCTTCCCTTTTGCAGAGAATACAGTTAGCGAGTGCTAGCTAATATCGCCGGCCATACTGTGTAAAGCACTGAATGGAGATGGCGCGGGCAAGTTATAGTGAGCCCGTTCTGCGTCATCGTCACCTTTAGCCAATCAACTCACAGGACTGCGGAGTGTGGCGTGTGATTGGTCTGATCTTATGTCATTCATTGTGAAAAACAGAGGGGCTTTCACGTGACTGCTAATAACTGCACAGTCGTTACACTGTGTGTGTGTGTGTGTTGTAGCTATCGACTGTAGTTGTAGTCCGTGTGTACATGAGCAGATATTTGTGCCGCTAGAAACAGAAATTAAATATTTTTATTGAATTTATAAAGAAGGATTTGAAATTGAAATTAATGTTTTGAAACTAAATGTATTTTATTTGAAATTGAAATTAATGTGTAGGAAATTGAATTTATCTGCTTTGAAATTGAATTTACCCACATGAAAATTCAATTCTAGTTTACGTAAATTAACTATTAAAAAAATTCCACTTCAGTTCGCAAAATTCAGACTCAGTTTTACATTTTAACTTCAACACTGCCATTACGTCATCTACGTCCGTGAGAAAGTGTAATCGAGTACGGATTCGCGAGGCTCTTATCCCTTCTCGACGAAGTGGTTGTAGGACGATATGAAGAATTTGACTCAAACAACATATACAGGAATATTGAGCTACTTTGTCAGCTCTGTTGCTGTAGACAGGGAGGCTAAAGTACTTATTCAGCAACAAGGTCGGGAGCGTTTTGTTTTAAGAGGTTGGACACGAGCCGAGTTAGAGCCTCAATGTCCCACACATAGACTGTTTATAAAATAGTATATACAGTCTATGGTCCCACATCAAAATGCCGAGGCTTGAGTGTCAGCTCCAGGTGGAATATACACACACTGAGATTGATTTTTTTATTTTTGATGTAAGGGAAAAGAGAGAATTGAATTACAATTACAAATAAATTTAGTTTCAGAACATTAATTTTAATTTCAAATCCTACTTATGAATTTCTATTCAAATATTAGATCATAATGTTACATAGTGAACCATTAAAACCTTTTACATTACACTGTATGTTAACCTATACTAGCACTGTGTCAAAGGTTAAAAATATATTCATCAGCATTATTAACAGGCCTTTATATAACACTGTATGTTGATATGTATCATTAATATGTGCAAGATTGAAATATTAGACAGTGAACCATTGTACCCCTTTAAATTACACTGTATTTAAATTCATAATCTCATTGTGTCAGATTATAATGGTATTACACAGTTTACCATTACAGTCCTTTACATTACACTATGTGTAAAACCATATCACAATATATCATATAATACTGTATGATATATTAACGTCTGTTTCTTCCTTTTCTGTTCCTTTAAAAGACCTCAATAAAACATGGTTGACACACCATTTAAAACACTTTTCAAATTTATAATCCCCTTTGAATATGCTGAGATACATGTATTTATGTATGCATGTAAAGCATTTTGTATCTCAGACCTTATATATTAGTAAAGCATACTTTAACAGTATTGTACAGTAACAGTATTGGGTTAGTTGGATATATGCTCTCTATCTGAATGCACAGATTGCAATACTTAATGTAATTTTTTGTAAGGTTTATGGTATTAAATACCTTTTTTAAGAATGTAACAATCCCCTTTGATATGTTGCAACTACATTATAGTCCCTGCAATAAAAGACATTTTTGTGTCACCCCACAGCCAGAAGTAGTAATAATAATAGTAATATCAAAAAAGTAATAACCGTTTTATTATATAACCTAAAATAAAAGGATCGAACAACAAGAAAAAAACCTGAAGGGAAAAATGTATAGCAATTATTGTTATGGCTCTGAAGATAAGAATAGACAAAAAATAGTTATAAGAGAAAGTACAAATAAAATTATGAGTTAAAGTAACGTAACAATGATTTATGATGATCATGATTTTCTGATAATATTAATTATTATTATATTTTTTTTATCATACGTGTTATTTATATATTTTATATTCTACAAATTGCTATAATTAAAAATAATAAAATATTCAAAGCAATATTCTTGCTATAAACCATTTTAATTTTTGTTTAGTTCTGTGATAAATAAAAAATACAACTTTGACTTCTCTTGAATACGAAAATAATGAACATAATAGTGAACATATAAACTATCGTTTTCTGAGAGCTCCGTAACACATATTTTTTTTAGGTGTACCATAATAACTCGTTCAGTGCAGTACAACTACCGCCATTGAAACTTCCAGTTTTTTATCTAGGTTAAATCATTTCTTTACACTGGCGCAGTAAAATGAGCACTATTTTGAACGTTTAGTGTAAGCTTGTGTAACATGAAACCCACCGACGGCTGCATTTTTGAAGAGCGTTCATGAGTACGCAAAGTGCATCAAACCGCAGAGAGAAACGCGGTTTGTAGTTTCTCTGAATCTTCTCTTCAGATCTGGAGAACGGCGGCGTCTCCACTTCGAAACTACGTTACCCAGCGCCCCCTGCGCGCCAATTAGAAACGTCAACGAGCCAGTGAACATTAAGCGGAGCAGACCAAAATCCCAAACAAGGAAATGGTGGGGGAATAAAACGAGCAGATTATTTAATTAATGCATGTAATAATTAATATTTTATTTTATTGTAAATTAAGACTTATTTATGGGTTAAAATGGATTACGACTTCAAAACAAAGCTGGCGGCCGAGAGAGAGAGAGTAGAAGATCTGTTCGAATATGAAGGTTGCAAAGTGGGTCGAGGCACCTACGGGCACGTTTATAAAGCTAGGCGCAAAGACGGGTAAGATGACCGTGATGGTTATTGTTTGTGCTGATATGAAGCTGGCTGCAGGACGAGGTTTGAGCCCGCTGTCCTCGGCGGAGAGTCGAGCGGGTTAGCGTTGGGTCTGGAGCTCCTGGAGCCACAGAAATATATAACCTCGTTGTGTGTATGTGTGTGTCTGTGTTTGTGTGTGTGTGAGTGTGATTGTGTGTGCGTGTATCTGTCTGTCTGTGTTTTTGTTTTCATGTAACGCTCTCACTCACTCACCAACCGTCCCCCCTCCCTTTCTCCTCCCCCTCCGTCTCACCCACACCCCCAAAACAACAGCATGAAGCTAACGCGGTTCTAATGTCTGATATCTGACTGTCTGCTCGGTCCTATCACTGCAGCAGGAGGGCAACCTGCTTGATGCCTGCTGGTTATCTGCTGGTTACTGTGTTTATCGGGTAGGACAGAGGGACACAGGTCCCCTTACTGCATAGGGACACTTTAGGGTCGTGCTGTCCAACAAGAAGAAAGTTTGTAAAGCTATCAATTTGCTGCTGGTCCCCAAAATCAGAATCTGTCCAGGTTGTGACACTGTATGTTTACTGTAGGCTCTAGAAAGGAGGATCTGCTTCCTCCAGCAAATGGTACTGTGTAAGTATGTGACAGTGATGCCAGCTGCTGGATGCAAAATAACTGTATTTACTGCAGATTTGGTCAGTTGTTACTCTTCTTTAGCTCACCGTTTACCTCCGTGGTACTGGTTGAAAAACTTATTGTTATACCTTGGGGTAACATCAAATTATTAACTAACAAATACAATGAAGTTGGGATGGACCATAACATCTGCACGTCAGCATGAAGGTTAAATGAAGAACTAGGAATGTGTGCTTTTTTAAATAATAACACATCTTTCCCAGTGCCCAAATAAAGCATATCAAATCCAAAATAGTCATTGACTAGTGTTTCAATATTGTAGTATTAAGTATTAAAGCCACATAAAGCAATCTGATGCATAACCTTATATCTGTGTCTGCAATTGATTCATTAAAAATCCTCCTAGAACACGCTACTGGCTAAGACAACCATGTATTTTCAATTTTGAGACATAACATATGATATAGGCATTAAATATTGTCCTTTAGCCAATTTGCTGTTACATAATCAGTATCAGTAATGGCCACTGAGAAAATGTCCCACCAATCTAGAAGTCAGGTTGAAACAAAAGTGGACACAGATAGTCCAAAAAATATAGTACTGAATCTTTAAAGTGATCCAATATGAAATATTGGATTTTCATATCTGATGTCTGATGGTATTTAATGACAGTTCTTGCTCTCAAGTTGCCCCCCAGATGTATTATGGTGACTTTGTATGTATGTTGTCTTTGTAACCGGTTTGTGTTGATGCTGTTAAGGCTTTGTGTATTTTTTTACCTGACTGCAAAGCAAACTTCCCGCAGGGGACAATAAAGTGAAAGTTGAAAATGTAACTACATTCAAAGTTAATCTGTGTTTGATATAAATGGAGGTTAACAATAATGTTAACACAGAGGCCCTCCACTATCCAAGTCCAGTTTAATCCGAATTTGTTACAGATTACTTTTAATCTATGAAGGGTGTATAATCTTCCTCAGTTTGAGAAAGTGAGACACAGCTTGGTGTGTTACTTTTTATATAGCCTTGCGTTATTCTACTGTTCCATTCTTTGCTGTTGTATTGTGTCGTCCAGCTTGTGGCTCTGAACTCCATGAAAGTCTTTGTAGGTGAACAGCTGCAGGTTCCAGTAACAGCTGAGGCTCAAATCCAGCAGGTATTGGCCTTTGTTTTAAAGGAGTCACCTGTAATATGACAGGCACAAAAAGCTTCATTGCTGCTGTGGTTGACCTGAAAACATCCAAACTTCCCACTGTTTTCTGGAGCCTTAGTAGTTTGAAAGAGAAAATAGCTGAGACTTTCCTTCACAACCAAAAGAACACTTTCAGAGAAAGACCGAGCGAGTTAAGAGCAGAAAGGAGGAGAAAACAAGCAGGGAAACAGACTTTAGTGAAAGGGGAAATTTGGAAAGGCTTCTGGGTGGGTGTCTCTTTTGGGATCACTTTGATACCTGACATCAGGTTGTAGATTTGTCTTGGAACAAGCTGTTCAGGGAACCTGAAAACATGTCTGAGGGTAACGCTGCCATCTGTGTGTCTCGCATGTGAAACTTAACCAAGTGAATGAAGTGTTTAGGTTCACCCACAGTTTCTGTAATTATAATAATAATAAAACAAAATATCTCGATCTAGTAAGCCTAATCAGATACTGTGTCACTGTGATGTTTTACTACATATTACTTTCTGCATGAGACCTTTTCTCCAGTCATGGTTAACTTGCTGCAGCTGTAAGGGCTGCAGCTGGAGAGTTCTGCTTATCTCCTCTGTTACACAGGATGATAGAGGTGTTAGTTGAGGTCAGGAGGTCATGCTGCAGCACTGTACCAGGGGCTTTGCTGATGCTCCCTCTGCCCCCAGCTTAGTCCCTCCTTTTAAAACTGTCTTTGATTTTAGATGTGTTCTTCAGGTTGTCACTGATACTGCTCTGTTCTGTTCTGTTCTGGGTCCTTGCTTTGCTGCTGCTCTCCCTGCTTTGATTTTTCATGTCTGCACATCAAACAGAATAGAGGCCTGCCTTAGACTATGCCCTTTCACATAGTCACAAGCAAGGGGAGGGAGCTCTCAGTCATGGCTTGGAGTCATGGCTGACACTCTAGCAGCTGTGATTTTTCTGTATTAAACATTAAACAGAGGGGAGACATTCTCTTCCTGCCTTTGGCTTTAAAGTGTGAACATGAAAAACAATTAAAACATTCAAGAATTAAGCAGGAATCAAGTGTGAAAAATTAGGCGAGGATTGGTGTGTACTGAGCAAGTTTTGGGGCTTCCCCCTGTAAAAATGTGTTTGCTGCTCACTGTTTTTCTATTTTTGAATCATTTGCACCAATTTTTTATTTTTATCTTACAACTTAATTGATCTAAAAATGAGTTGTTGCTGCCAACATGCGCGTACATGACATTTGCTATTGCACGTACAAGGGTGGAAGGACAGGGAGCTTTCACATCAGAGTCTTACCACCGAATGTCTGTTGGCGATTCTCAGAAAAAAGTCTAGATAAGATCAGGATAAGTCATCAGCTATTTGTGCTCACACACGCTGTCTGCTGAAATAAACTCAGGATTTTATCTGCAATCAAGTTAGAGTAAAAGGCTCCAGATTATGGTTAAAAGTCCTTAAAAAATGTGGGGCTTTTGTGCAGTTTTAATATTTAACACAAAAGAGTGTTTTTAATAAAGTTTTTGAAAAAAACATAACTAAAAGCAACTCTCACTGGTGAGATCAGTAAAAGGGGGGTATTATGCTTTTTTTCTTACTATATTTCCTTTCTGATACCTCTTTAATAGCCTTACTTGATTTCAGATTTTAAAAAGCCTCAAATTTTTCACAGTGCAGCCGTTTTAGCTGCTGTCTCTTTTAGGACCCTCCCATCCACAAGCCCACTTTTTTTGATTGGCCACCACTTCAGAGGCCTTCCAGAAGCTGACCAAGGGCAAAGCCCAATGTTTTGTCCCCTCTCCCTGTATTGTGGTTGATCAGCCAAGCAGCGGAGCAGCATTAACCCTCAGATTTGATTAGTTTATTTTCAAAGATTATGTCAACGTGCGTTTACCTAGTGATTTGAAACTTTGCATACATGTAGTATGGACACCAAACTTTGTAACTCTTCAGTTTTTGTTGCTAATGTGGAAAAGCATGAAACCCCCCCTTCAATGACTGCTATAGGCTATAGACTCAAACAGATCCCAGCCGAGGCCTAACTTCTGTGCATGCAGTTACAGAAGTGCACTGTCTGTAGACAGGTCTTCCTCAAGGTCAGGGTCAGACTCAGAATTTGTTGAACCTCCTTTCTGAAACTGATTCCAGCTCAGACAACACAAGGCCTGTAAAATTGCACAATAACAAGAGTATCCCACTGTTCACTGTTGCTGAGTTCAATCATCAAACAGACTTTTGTTGATATGTGTTTTGTCTTTGTCCTTTTAACTGCACTAATATTAAGGCACTGTTTTATTTAGAACTGGGGGGGGGGGGTGCATTTTAATATAGTTGTACATTTTGTGCAGTGACAATAAAGACATCCATCTAAAGATAATAGATGCCTCTTTCGCTGAGCTTTTGGACTGCACTCAGAATAATAGTGATTTCCACCCTGCAGAGCACGAGAGATGCTGGTCTACCTCACTAAGTTGGACAACAATCAGTATGTCAGTGTATCCTGTGATATTTGAATGCAGTTCAGTGAAAGTGTCTGAGCTGTCTGCTAACACGCAGAGTCAATTCAAACAGAGGATTTCTCCACAGAATGAAAAAAACACTCCTGCCTCCTCCTGTATGAGATCTTTGTCCTCAGCTCAGAAGACGGGCAGTTTCCCCATCGTATTTTCCACAGCTACAGAGCGAGGATAAACATTTGATGATTTGAATCTGACCAGATTCATGAAAGGAAAAACAGCTCTATGCAGATTAAATGTTATGAGCTGTTTTGATAATCTGTGCAGCTCCATTAGTCTCAGAGACGAGTGCTGGGAGCCCCACTTAACCCATGACCATTTCCAATGCAGATCAGGCTGCAGTGGGTTTGATCCCTGCAACACAAGGACCTGCCTGAAGTGTGTGGGCTGCTGACTGAATGAAGCAGTGATTGGACGCTGTCCTCAGATTGTGTTTGTATCTTAATCATCCCTCTTAGGATGGTTTTATTCTCAGTGTGCGCTCATTTTCTGCACTGCTTCCTTTCAGGTTGTGTTTCATGCAGCAGATCATTGCTGAGCCTCATAATCAATATTTGGCCGCTGAATGTGTTCTGCCCTGCAGGCTCATATTTCGCTGATTAACCAGATTTCATGCACAAATGTAATACACAAAGGCAAATGACTCTGCTGCTAATGATAGACAGTAAAAAGGAAGCTTTGCAGCTCTCTGTCTGCAGAGAGTAATGTACCAGCAGGCTCTAACCCTCACCCTGCAAGGATGGACATCTCCTGGGTGCCAGAGGATTTTTACAGTAACAGGGATTCCTCTTTGGCAGCCAGACTACGTTTCACAGTTTTTCCCATGCTGTCCTCTGCTTTCTGCCAAAACACCTCCTGCTTTAGTAGGAATTAGAGTTCATCAGGTCACTGCTGTCAGGGCTGAAAATCTGTGCCATTGAATAATGTTTGTCCTGTTTTCTCTCTTTTATTTTAACAGGAAGGACGAGAAGGAGTATGCACTGAAACAGATAGAAGGCACTGGAATATCCATGTCTGCATGCAGAGAGATCGCTGTGAGTCACTGCTCTCTTTCAACCGCTAACAGCTCTGTGTCTGAGGCATCTATCACATCTGTAACACCTGTAAAATATGAAACCGTGCTCTGTATGTTTGAGTCTGAGATCCAAAGCTGCAGTAAGTTTAGCGTAGCTGGACTTGAGATGGAGGCTTATTGTGAAATCAATTCATTTTGTTGAACTCAAATACAAACAGAAAAGTAAAAGTTTTTACATTGAAACCTTTTATTCCAGGTTTTTAATGTAAACAGTCTTCCCAGCTTTGTCCCCCTTTTTGTATACGGATAGTAATATTACGTCAATTCTGTGAGAGTCAAAAGAGTGTCTAAAATGATGGTTTTTAAATTGAAGTCTATATTAAATTGAAAATAGAGCAAGGACAACAGATCAGATGTTGGAACTGAAAAACATTATTGCCGTTAAAAAGTTGTGTAATGCTAAAAAAAAACATCTGGAGGTATATCTCTCAACTAATGAGGTTTATTTGCAACAGGAAAGTAACATGACTGGATATAAAGAGGACATTCGGAGAGGTGGTCTCTCAGAAGGAAAGATAGGAAGAGGTTTGCTACTTTGTGAGAGACTGTGTGTGCAACAGTTTCAGAATAATACTCCCAAGTGTTAAAATGACCAAGAATGAGTGGATTTCATCATCGACAGTCCATGATATCATTACAAGATTCAGAGAATCTGAGAAATCTTTGTACAAATGGGACAAGAGCAAATACTTGATGGCCCAATTCACAGGCGCTCAGGCCTGCATTAGAAACAGACAGGACTTTGTCCTGGAAATCACTCCACAGGCTCAAAATCAGGTCTAAAAACCACTGAACACAGTTCGTCACTCCATGCACAAATGCAGGAGACCCATGCAAAGAGGAAACAAACACAATCAATGTCCAGAAATACCATGGACATCTCTGGACCTGAACCCGTATAATATGTAAGTGAGGAGAAGTGAAAAATTTGTTTGACATTGTTTTTGTAAATAATGGATGCTGCATCCTCCACTCAAAAGAGAAGAGGGACCACTCAACTACTCAGCTCACAGTAGAAGCCAACATCGCTGGTATGGGGAGCATAAAAGTTGATAGCATGGGCAGCTTACACATCTGGGAAGGCTCCATTAATGCTGTATATGATTTGGAGCAACATACACTATGCTGCCATTCAGACAATGATTTTTTCAGGGTAGACCTTCATATTTCAGCAAGATGAAGTCAGTCAACATTCTGTACATACTAGAACAGCATGACTCTGTAGTTGAAGAATCCTGCTGCTAAACTGGCCTGCCTACAGTCCTGACATGTCACCCACTGAAAACATACGGAGCAATGTTGAACAAAAAATTGGACAAAAGGGACCCTGAACTGTTGAGCAGCTGACATCTTTTATCAGGCAGGGATGGGACAACGATAACTTTACCAACTCCAAACTGTGGTGTTTTTGATGGCGCAGCCACTGGTGCCAGTGTGACAGGTTGGGGATGTTGACCCCTATTTCAGACTGGTTTTTGTGGATTGAGGGCCCTCTGACAGGCTGGTTGTTGGTGATTGAAGCCCCTCTTACAGGCTGGTTGTTGGCTGTCATGTTAGGCTCTCTGGTTTTAGTCAAACCTGCTCACCTGGAGGGGGACTGGGGGCCATATGGTGCTTGACACTGATGAAACACCATCAGTAACTCTGAACAAATTGTCTGAGCCTCACCTTTAACTCATATCTCTATGACCCTGCACAGCTGCACATTAACATCTCACAGTTAATCCATCAGTCAGAGAAGAGAAACAGACTGTCAGTAAATCTGTCTGTGAGGAGTTAGTCATCTTAAAACCTCAGCGTGACTATGTGTAGAGGGAACAGAAGAGTTTTCACCCTGTCAAATTAAAACAAAAGATACCTGCCACTCAAAAGCTGCTCTGAAAGTTGAGTTTGCACCTTGAGGAGGACCTGTTTATTCTCCTTATCTCTGTACTTTCGATCAGGGATATTCAGTATTCAGGATATTCAACTGTACATCTGAATTCATGAGCTTCACACAGCCTCTGGACTTTGGCCTCCCTCTCTTGTGTTCATTTGTGGAGGATTGTTCAGATTGTCTGGCGTTTTCACAAAGTGATGCCTTGGAATACTGTATTCTTTAATAACTGCAATGCGCTTTTTGTAAACGAGACAGGTTTGCAGTAAAAGAAATCAAAACTTTTCAGTCAGTCAGAGTTACAGTGATGGTTTCACTGTCTATTCTTCACTTCAGTGTGGACAACATTTGTAAAAACTGAGATACTTAACATGATCTGAATGAGAGCCAGATTACCCACAAAGGTCTGATCCTCTTCAGAATAAAGAGACACTGTCATTAAAACTGGTCTAAAATGATCAGATTTTGTATGTGTTGAGGCAGGGGCTGCAAGCTGAGCTGCTACTAGCTTCAGCCTTAAAGACCTACTCTGATGAAAATCATGTTTTTCTTGTAAACTACATGCTCATATTCTGATGTTACAGGACATATGAGAAAACTAATTGCAAAATTTTGAAGTATTTCTGCATTCAAATGGTTGTTAACCTCTGGCAGACCCAAACGCAGGTTCAGACACAGTCAGTATGTTTACATGACACTCAAGAAAACTGAATTGCCTTACTCCGATTCAGACCGGACAACTGAAGTGCATGTGAACACCTTAGTCAGACTATAATCAGAGTTTGAGAACTCCGATTGGAATCTGAGAACTCCGGTTAAGACACCCAGATAATGTAACTGGAATTCGATTTACTATACCATGTAACCAGCGTAGTCTGAGTATGATCGGACAATGCATGTGCGCAAGAAGAAGTGGCACTGTCATTTAAAGAACTTTTGACTTAGACGCAACTGCAACATGGCTGAAACACGAAAGAATGTCCACTTTTGGAACAACGAGGAGAGTGCTGTTATGCTTTTCGTCCTGACAGAAATTGACATTTTAAAGTATATGGACGGTTGCAATACGAGGAACAGGGACATCTTTAAAAAAAATCCGGAACTAGCGCCGCTGAAAAGACCCATTTTGCCCCCTAGTTTTGGGTAGGAGGACATGTTCATGTCAGTAATTCGACTTTCTCAGCTGCATGTAAACTTGGACTCACAGAGAAGTCCGATTCTGCGAAAAGTCAAACTATGAGCTTAGTCCGATTAAGTTGTGCATGTAAACGCACTGAGTGAGATTTCCTATGTCACATATCCAAGCTCCACCCCCTGTGCCCCTGTCTGCAGGCCAGACTCCAGAAGATAGAGAGAACGATTGCGGAACGAGCATGTGCAATAGCAGATTGCAATGCTCATAAGAAAGTTAATTATGATTTTAGTTTTCATCATGCCCCCAAAGACATCAGTGTTGGAGAGCTGAAAAGCTCTTATATTACCTGCTACTTCTACCAAAACGGCAATGTTAGGCTACAAGCTACCATGAAGAGGAGTGTGCAGAGGAGCGCTGTCTTCGCCCACAACACCCACTGAAAACCCTCAGAGCAATGTTGAACAAAAAATAGGACAAAGGGGACCCTGAACTGTTGAGCAGCTGACATCTTTTATCAGGCAGGGATGGGACAACAATAACTTTACCAACTCCAAACTGTGGTGTTTTTGATGGCGCAGCCACTGGTGTCAGTGTGACAGGTTGGGGATGTTGACCCCTATTTCAGACTGGTTTTTGTGGATTGAGGTCCCTCTGACAGGCTGGTTGTTGGTGATTGAAGCCCCTCTTACAGGCTGGTTGTTGGCTGTTATGTTAGGCTCTCTGGTTTTAGTCAAACCTGCTCACCTGGAGGGGGACTGGGGGCCATATGGTGCTTGACACTGATGAAACACCATCAGTAACTCTGAACAAATTGTCTGAGCCTCACCTTTAACTCATATCTCTATGACCCTGCACAGCTGCACATTAACATCTCACAGTTAATCCATCAGTCAGAGAAGAGAAACAGACTGTCAGTAAATCTGTCTGTGAGGAGTTAGTCATCTTAAAACCTCAGCGTGACTATGTGTAGAGGGAACAGAAGAGTTTTCACCCTGTCAAATTAAAACAAAAGATACCTGAAGAAAAGACCTTGAAAATGACACAGGTAACACAATTTTGTCAAAAAACTTCATAATCATAATAACACTTTAAATAGTAAAAAAAAAAATACAGTCTAAGTTGGACTTTATTTAGCTGATTAAAGTCCCCCAGCTTTTTAGATCATATGTTGGAAATGCTCAGATATAACCCGACTAATTGATAAAGAACGCCGCTGGAAATATTTTTCAGTGTTTTGACTGACAAGCTGCTTCTATCAGAGTCTCTGGTGAAGTGTGATACAGTGAGGCAATGACTCATGCAGGCTGATAGAGGAGTCTAAAAAACCCAGCTGAAAGAGGAAAGTTTTGAGAAGTTGAAGCTTTGTATGTGAGAGATAAATTCAGTTCAGAGTGACAGAGCAGCCAGCTCTGAGCTCAGTCTACAGCTCGTTTTCATTTAGAGACACTTTCTACTGATTAAGTGTCCTCCCTTTAAGAATTAGGACATCACCTAGGATCAGCTGACTCAGTTTCCTTCTGTGACACATACACTAGCCACAACTGATAATGTAAACCATTCATTACATTCAAGCACGGATCTACAGAAATGTTTGTAGAAGACAGTGGACTATCTGTGAGTTCTTGCAGGTCAAGAGGAAAAAAGAAAGCAGACAATATTTTACTAGTCCTCCCTGGGATACTTCTTGGTTATGGAGTAACACTTAAACTGAAACCTCATTCTGTGAGTGTGAGTTTCAAAAGTTCCAAAAGCAAAGTGAGATTAATCATTTTACTGGAAGTGGTGGTCTGTTAAAATGCTGAGTCCAATAATAAGAAAGGTCGATATGTAATGCTAATATTGGATTGTTGTTCTTTCATATATATTTTACAAAATACAACAATGTAAATAGGGTGACCATATTCTGAATCCCCCCAAAAAAGGACACTTCTATGCAGGGTGGAGTCAGGCGTAGTAAATTTTGAGTTTTTCTGGTTTGGTTGAGTGTTTTTTATGCGCTTCTAATTCAGTTAGTCCAAGCAATGCAAACTCAAAACTTCCATACAAAACCCCAGACATTTGAAGGATTTTATAAACTCCCCGGACAAGGCCGGACAGCCCCCCAAAAAGAGGACATGTCCAAGTAAAAGAGGACGTATGGTCAACCTAATTTAAAAATACTGTCACATAAGGAACAAAAGTGCTGAACTCCAGTGCGTTTTGATAAATAAATAGAAATTGAAATGATTTGGCTAAGTGAAATATCAGCACAAGGGGCAGTCAGTTCCATCTAGAATTTTCAAAGAAAAAAGGTAAAAATTGTGGTAAAATGAAATAAAGGTTATTGTGTATAAAACCATCATTCCATGACATAAAATGTCATATATTTTGTAAGCAGAAAAACGTTGTAAAATGTGCAGTATCAGTGACAAGCAGGTTACATCATACGAAATCATTCTGTAGAAAATGGTTCCAACTCAGTTTATTCTGCCTGTTGACACTGTGGCAAAAATGCTAGCTAGCCTCACGTTGGGCTGTCGTCTCACCCTGTGGAGGATCTTGTTCCCATATCTACCTGTTTGTCATCCATTATCCTTTAGATACAACATGAATGAAGATATAGAGAAAGTATCTGTTTGTAGTTTTTGCTGTTTACCTGAAGATAAAGCTCAAACAAGACTCTAGGAAACTCCAAATCCAGATCAGTCTCAGGTTTTAATCTCACTGTCAGATCTGGACAGAGAAAACATTTTTGTGATTAAACTTTACAGAGGAATATTTAGGATTAGATCTTCTGGTCTACAGGAGCTGAAACTCTCAGGACTGCTGTTTCACCTGCAGAAGGTGATGTTGTGTGAAGGGTTTTATAAAGATCTGGATCTCTCAAAGCTCTACTTTCAAAAATGTTAAAACTCCTTCGTTTAAACTAGTCTGATTAATGCTGATTAATGAACCAGACAAATAACATAAAGCCTTCCTGTTTGTGCTCTTCTGTGTCGCCCTCTCTTCTCCTCACCCTCTCAGAGCCTCTCTGTTTGCTGCTGCCGTGTTTGCATGAACACTTTGCATGTGCTGTAAAGCCTCCCCAGAGCTCACATTGATATGTTGACAAATCATTACCTTACCTTCACATGAACCTGCTTTTTCTTACCCCGGCAGCCAAAGACAACTCAGAAGAGTTGTTTTGTTTAGACTATGTAAGCTCTTACATTATTAGCTCATCTACATGAGCTGTACTGCAATCATAAAGCTGACTGACGGGTGTCTAAGTCTACAGCCAGCAGACTGAAGCAAACTATTACCCAACTTTCAGAGACATCCAGAGGGCTTTATGTACAATCTCTTTGACTGTAAGAGCTGCATAAACAGTTTTACAGTAACAGTATCAATATCACTGACGGATCAGCATGTCAGGGTACCCAGAGAGCTGCCCCCCTCTCATGCATGGCCTTCATGACCACCTGGGACAGGTAGGGTCAGTAAAATGGCTCTGTAGTAGTAATAATAATAATGATAATAATAGTAACTCTATTTATATAGCACTCTTAAAAACAAGAGTTTACATCGTGCTTTAACATGCAGGAAAACAAAGAGGATAGAAACAACAGAACAACAACAAGAGAAGACTTGGGGGGGGGGGGGGCCCTTGACAAGACTAAAAACTCAGACTACATGTCCTAATGTGACGTTATTGGCAATAAAGAAATGAAATAAAATAAAATAAAAATTGGTGAAATACATAAAAGCTTTGGTGAGTGTCACATGAGCTGAGAGGTCATTAAAACAAAGACATCATTAGAACCCATGATACTCAGCCAACACAGAAACCCAGTCACAAAAACCTGAGACCAAGAGGACTATTATAAAACATGAATAAGAAGAGAAAAATGCAAAAAGACAAAATCACATAAATCACAAAATCACATAAACGCAAGTCTATAAAAATGAGTTTTAAGACGTGATTTAAATGCTGTGACTGTTTCTGTACGCCTGATCTCCTCGTGGAGGTCATTCCAAACTTGAGGGGCCCTGCTGGAGAAGGCCCTGTCACCTTTAGTTACAAGGCTCAACTTTGGAACGACCAGGAGATCCCCACCCGAGGATCTCAGGGTGCGGGCTGGCACATTGGGGGTTAAAAGTTCTGTTATATAGATTTGAGCCAGACCCTTTACTGCCTTAAAAGTAATGAGTAAAATCTTAAAATCAATTCTAAAACTAACTGGAAGCCAATGATGCTAAAATAGGGGTTATGTGATGTGGTTTGTTAAAACCAGTTAGAAGCCTAGCCGCTGCATTCTGGACAAGTTGAAGGCAGGTACCAGAAAGAAGTGAGTTACAGTAATCTAGGCAGGAGAAGATGGGGGCATCGATGACTTTTCCCATGTCTAACTGGGAGAGGATGGATTTTAATTTGAAGATACTGTGTAAATGGAAGAAGCAAGACTGTGTGATTTTGTTCTGCTGCAAAGGTGGAGTTAGAATCAAACTGAGCTCACAGATTTCTGGCTGATGATTTGATATTTGATGAAAATGAACCAAGGCTGTTATTGATTGTGGTTGAGCAATTTTGTAAATTGAACATGATTATTTCAGATTTGCAGTTGTGCTAGGCAACAGCTCCATGGCATCTGCTACTCTCCTAGGACTAACAGCAGTGGAGGCCAGGGGGAGCAGACAGGAGCCATGTTCATTTCACATGCCAACATTAGTGGAAGAAAAAGCCAGACCACAGAGCGTGTTGCGTCCTTTACCAACAGGTGGTTACGATTTCAATGCTGTTACGCATGGCATTTGTTTATGTTGTGATCTGTGCACACAGACCACCTTGGTCACATGGAGTTTAAATATAGGCAACTTGATATGAGTGTCTTTATTTGTGAGCAGCATGTTTGTCTTATCAGTGGATCCAACCTCCTCTACATGTATTTGAGAGAGTGTGGAGGACGAAATGTCCTCAGCAGTGTTTAGCGTGACACTTGCTGAGAGGTCACTGAAGGTGACCACCTTCTGGAGTTGCTCTCCTCAGTCATTTTGTAAACTACCTCACAAGTTTGCAATAACTTATTAACTTTGTGACAAAAGGGCGCCTAACTTGTGGTTTTGATGCAGCTGCATCTCTCTCTCTCCCCTTAAGTGTATTTCTCTCTCCTCATCAGCATTTTTCTCTCTCTTCATCCATCAGCGTTTCCCTGTCTATATTAGTGTATCCCTCTCTCTTCATCTGCTTAACCACTCCCAGCTGAAGTGTTTCCTTCTCTCTTCTTTTGTGTATCTCTCTTGCTTCATCAATGTTCCCCTTCCTCTTCATCAGTGTGTCCCATATTTCTTTCTGTGTGTCCCTCTCTTTTTTCGATGGATTCCCCTCTCTGCACCAGTTTTCCTCTTTGTTTTTTCAGTGTATCACTCTCTCTTTAGTACTATGTCCCATCTCTCAAATAATGTGTCCCTCTCTTTTTTTTTTGATATACCCCTCCCTCTTTATTCGTTTATACCTTGCCCTCTGTGTTCCCTCCACATACAGCACCACAGTCAGTCTTCTGTCACTCCCCTGCAGACTGGTCTTACAGAACAAAGAAGTCTTTGTGCCTCTGGTCCAACACCTCTCTTGGCTGTTTTTAGCAAACTCTGAAGCTCAGCAGCTGGCACGCCACAAGCCTGGAGCTGAAGTGGAGAGGGTTCAGAGGGTTGAGGGAGCCTGGTTCTGCAGCTGCGGTGTGTTTTTGAGTTTGCAGCACTAAGCACTCCTGGTCTCTAATGATTTTTCCATGTTTATGTGAAACAATATGAGTACGAAGATATATGAGCAATGCAGTAGTCAGAGCAGGTCACCTCTCAGGTGAGGTTTGTTTTCACTAACAGGGCAGGACGAGTTTAATAGAGGATTAGTTACTCATTATATCGGACGATAGGGCTGGGGGATAAACCGAAAATTTACAGATACCGAAATTTACGACAATAACCAACGTCATTTTGCCCATGTCAATATATTCGGTGTCAAAAAAATAGATAAATAAAAGTTGGTTTTGGATGTGTGTAGGTAGGCTCATGTCTCATGTCCCTTTGTCTCTGCCACGGGACTTTATCCTTTCCAATGTGTGTATGGATATCATCCACCTCTGTTTCCTGAAGTTGAGGTGGAGGTTGAGGTGCCATCAGCTCAGGCTTTGGTGCGTAGCTGCCATGTTATTTCCAGAAAGGCCCAAGCAGCTCTCCTTTCCTCTTCAAACCGCCATAAGCAGTCAGCTGACAAGCACCACTCTCTGGGTCCTTGCTACAGGGTGGGTCAGAGGGTTCCCCCAAAACCTTCCTTTACACTTTGAGTCATACAAGTTAGCATTGAGGTTTATTGGCCCATCTCCTATCTCCGAGATTGTGAAACCTATTGTAGTCCAGCCCAAGTTCATCCCACCTTTCACGTTTCCAAAATCAAGCCTGTCAAAACCACTCCATTGACCCCCCCACCCCCGATCATCGTTGGGGGCCTGTTTACACTGTTTATTGTCTCTCGATAAAGGACATCACACTGATCAGCCAGGGCCATCCGGAGCCACTTCTTGAGGATGGGGTACTGAAATATTGCATCAAGTCTGTAATTATAATTTCATGTGTTTGGTGTTAAATTCCAGATTTATTCTGTCATGTGTTGTTGTATTGTTTCTCATAATACTTCCTGACATTGTTCTGTTTCCTACCATTTTAACCAAACACCCGAGTCTTGCCAGTAATTAGTCTGATCTTGTGTGTTTGTGCTCTCCAGCCTTGTTTTTCTTGTGTAATCTTACTCTGTTTTTCTGAACTTTGGATTTTTCGGATTTGGGTTTTTCAGATTTGCCCTGTTGGATTTTCTACCTTAGCTGATTGTTTTGCCATGTTTCGCACTGAACTGTTAAGTAAAGTTCTTAGTCTTTTGAACAGATTTCTTCTCTGAATCTGAGTCCCACTTTGTCCTGAAGTGTCACACTTAGGTTAGTTGATAAGGTATCAAACTGTGAATTAAATGGTAAGTTGATCTGTAAGTTGGTTAGTAAGTGGAGATATTTATTGATTTGTTAGTTGATTGTTGGTAGATTGGTTAGCTGGTGAGTTTGTTGGTAAGTGAGTAAGTAATTTGGTTGATCAGTACGTTGATCTGTTGGTTGATAAACAACGTGATGAGACAGTTTACAAGTATCGACCGGATACGTGTGATCAGTCAGAAGCTCAGGAACCTCAGGGATTTGTTTTTAACTGGTCCAATCTTCAACACCTCACTCTCTGTGAATTACTGTTGATGATTCTAATTATTGTCTGCAGCAGCAACCAGACTAGAACCAGGAAAACAAGAAACTGTAGTCATTGAGTCTTATAGTTTCAATGTCACCACAATCTGAGTCTGCTCTCAGATATCACACCCATCTAACCACTTAAACTAGCTGTTTCCATCACACAGTGTATCCACCTGCTCCTGGTTCACACCTGTTCCCTGCATCAAGTGTCTGAGCCTTCTGAACTGAAACATCGTTCAGGAGTTTTATTTATTCCATGTACTGGATCCTGTTTTTTTCCCATGATGCCTTTTGTTTCTTTTAGAGCGACCTGACCTCATCGGTCATTTCCCATCACACTCTGCCAGAACAGCTCATGTGGCCTGATAAAGTCTCAACACATACCGATGATAACTGCAGGACGGAGTTTTCTTTCTGTCGGAGTGAAGATAAGACAGAAATCTCTCCCTCTTAAACAATTATCTGCTGCTCAGAATTAAACTGTGAAAAAAAGATCTTTAACAGTCCAAATACATGAAGTTTAACTCTGTATTTAAGGACAGGTTTCATCTTTAAAACCTTAGTCTGCACAGAGCAGCCAGTATTTCCTCCTCAGACTGACCTCTGTATAAACAGGAGCATGTTTCTGTTGTGTTTGTGGAGCATGGAGGCTGAGAGCTCAGAGACAGGGTTGCCAGGTTGCTGTCAGTTACATGAATCTGTTCATTTTGTCAGCCAGTGTTGAAGAAAAGAGCAATTAACTGACCCAGATCTGATTACCCAAACCATGTATTCACTTTTATATGCGCTACTAAAAGGAACCAGTGAAAATACCCCTGCTGACAGTTTTAGATAAGATGTTCCTTTAATAGTCCCACAGAGGGAAATTCCAAAAAACTCTAAGCCCATCAGTCCTTAATGGTGTGCTGAATGCACACCATTAAGAACAACTCTAGTTAATGGAGTTGTCCTTGTGTAAGGTGTAAAAAATCCTCACACAACAGCAGAGGAGCTAAAACTCTAAATTTAAGTTGTTGCAGATGTTATCTCAGCTGATTTATCTATTTGATTGTATGTAGAACGCTGGCGCCAGCAATTCATACAGTGGGTTGAATAATTGAACAGATAAATAAGCAAATATTATCAGGTTCTCAGTAACATTTAAATTTGGGGAGGAGAAAATAATTGATAACCACTGTACTACACAAAGAATCCACTGTTCACATGCAGCGGTGTGTGTGGCCCCCCCACAAAAAAGGCTGCTGCTCGATGTCATGTTGGCAGTATAAATATTTTATAGGTAGTAAAAAAGGAAGTAAAAGGTAGTAAATTCAACTCTAGGGTTCCTGTATAAACCCTGCTTTTGTCCATGCTCTTTGTGAGAAATATCCTCCACACTCTGGATTTCAAACCTCACGCTCAGTGGCAGTAACCAGCAAGTTAGTTCCCGCCATGTTTGCTAACAGTCTGTTATGAGTCCAGGTGGCTTTTTTTTTTGTTGTTCTGGCCAACTTTCGGATCCTGCGGTTGTGGTTCTGTAATTTACATTTGTGAATTGTAATTGATCGTCACATGTCGTATCGCAAGAATCGATGTATTGGCCCACTCCAAATGTCTATACTTGAGCTTGTATTTGATTATGATTTTGAAAGATGTCTCTCACTTTTAGCCTGGCAGTCATTAATGCTTGTGCTCTATTGTGGTCTCCTCATTCTCTCTCTCATTATACTCATTCTGTTCCTCAACTTTTCAGACACACCTGCCTCCTCTTAACTGTCTCCCAGTGCTCCTCTATCCATCTGTGACAGTTTTATACTGCTGATGCACATTGTGTTGAAATTATAGCAGTCCACTATTTACCTTAGCGAGAGCAGCAACTTCCTCATGCTCCCAAACTTTGTTTCACATTGATCAGAGCTGTTAATGATGAAGTGAAAGTGAGGGCTGATTCCCTACATCATTTTTCTGTTTTCAGTCAGTCATGGTTCATCCCACAGCAGCTTCATCACTTTGCTTTAACGAAGACATTGGGTTTGTTTACACACGTAACTTTTACAAATGCAGAGTGTGCTGTGTTCACATCGGTCAATATCACTGACATGCGGGAAACATCAGCGGGTGACAGAAGGTAAAATCAAACCATGGCTTTCCTACCAGAGGTGGACCCTTGATTGCTGTTATGAAACACTACTGGAAATCAAACCATTGATCTTTGGGATCCACATGTGCTGAAACCCTCAATGATATAAACCTGCTTATAATTTAAAGTCTCTGCGTGGGTGTGCAGTGTCTGAGGTCAGTTTGAACCAAGAAATCCATTTCAAAATGAAGTTTTCAAGTTAAAATTTCTTCATCGCTTACCTTGATAGCTTAATGATGGTTGCTTAAACTCAAAGTGAACATTACTCAGCTGTCTGTTATTTGATTTAGTTATTCAAATCATGAAAAGGAGTAGCTCTGAAACATTAAAAATGGCAAAAACAAACTTCTTCAAGTTTCGTCTAAAATAAAATGCTTCATTACTATCAAGAGATAACAGCCAAGACCTCTAGTCAACTCAAACCCCTGACTGAAACACCATCTAATCCAGGTTAAAAGAACAGTTTAAAACCATGTGATGTAAAAGTCAAAAGGCTATAGAAATCACTCTATTAAACCCTGTCTATTTACCATTTGTTTAAAGTTTTTGTTAGTTAAAACTCACGTTTTTGCTTTTGAAACTCAAGTTTGTACTCTGGTTTTTGTTTATTTAACCCTGTTTTTTCATTTAGGTCTTGTTTGTGATAATTTATGTGGGTTTGCAGTGTCTTTTTGGGTCTGTCGAATGGTGACTGGTTCTGCTGGTACAGTTTTGGCTGTCTTGGGCTCAGATGAGGATATTTGGAGGCGGTCCAGTTCGAGCTTTCTCTCTGAGGCTGCTATAAAAACATGACCTATTTTCTCTGAGGAGGACAAAAACCCTGCTGTCTCTCTCTCTGTGTCAGTATTGTGTTTCTCTTTCTCTCTGGTACTAACCCACAGATTCAGGCTCAGCGATTCTCCTGCTGTAACAGTGTTGTGTCTTTAGCAGCTGTTGTTGTTGTTGAATTGTGTTGGTTTCTCTCAGCAGCGGTAAACAGATTGGTGCAGTGATGTTTTTCTCGTTTTGAGTTCTGTCTCGATGTATAAAGCGAGTCAGGATGAGTATTTGTGCTCATAGGAAGGCTTCCTGGAGGCATGCAGCTCTCTGCGCTCAGGCTGCTGTTGGTTGATAATTCTTTGGTGTGTGGTGTGATTCCTCGGATTGATTGTTTGATGATATTAAAACTGCTGCGTTTCAAATAAATAAGCTTGTTTATTTAGATAGGATAAGTACATGTTACTCATTTAGCTGACATCAGATAGCTTTATAAAGCATCTGTTCTGTAAGACTCACACAGTGTGAACATGAACATAAACATCAGTCTGTTTCAATAAGATCTCAGAGTTTGGCAGCCCACCCTGGGATTTTCTTCCTGATTTACTACTGGATCATCACTTCCCTTTCCACCCACAGAAACTGTACAGCCTAGAACTGGTACTGCCCACTCTATAGAGGGTCCTGCTTTGCTCCTCTCGTAGTTTGTTTCTATTTCCGAGCCGAGCACTCAGCGACAAGGTGACCAGGTGTCTTACAGTCTAAACAAGTCTTCTGCAACATTACATTACCATTGTCTGTCTTTTTAACAGAGTCAGAGAAAGTCACAGGTTGCTTAACATAACAGCAATTGCTAGTCCCGTTAGCAGACCCCAGTGTGGCAACACCATTTTTAATGTATTTTAGTCTGACTGAAACTGCACTGAGTCAAATTTCTCATATTCACACTAACATACTGAGATAGAAAAGTAATTAATTGATTTCCTCCTGCATGTATTCACCTCAGTTGTTCTCAATTCTGAGCATACTCCCCAGTTTATACACTACATGCTTTTACCTGGAAATCAAAGGTACATAGCCTTACACTATTCCATGCTATCACTATTCCACATGGTCTTTATGTGAACCACCTGACTTGTTAGCTAAAAGTTAGCTGACTTGACTCCTCTAATAGTGAGGGGATCCTCAGGAAAAGCCAGAAGAGAGTACATCCTGTGGAAGCTTAGTTCCTTCAGAGTAGAGGTCCTTACACACCGGGACCGTTTTTGTCGTGTGATTATTTCGGACGTCAATATTTTTTTCGAACCCGTATCCTGTCAATACAAGCGTTCACATCAACTATGTTTTCCCGTTCTGCGATATTTCGGCATTTGTTTTTTCAGATCATGGTCGATCTTTCTAAAGTGTCGCATACTGTGTGTCCACTTCTGACCTATCAGACTGCGTGTTGTTGCGACCATAGACATAATAAAAGGGTAGACCCCGCTGGGGGTGCTGCGCAGCGAGAAATGCGGCCGCCATCTTGGTCAGGTCAAGCTTCCCATACGCTCCGGTCAATCATATTCATTCATTCATTCATTCAGCGATGCCGGAGCACTGTGCGGCGTATTCCTGTGCCAACAGGCGGACAGCAGAGAACAGGGCTCAAGAAATAACTTTTCACAGTTATGATTAAACGTTTTTTCAACATTACGCTTGACTGTAGAGTCATTTGTAGGCCAAAGAGGAAGACTATCGGTCAACTCCAAAAAGGAAACAGCATTTGCGAACAGCTAGCTTATTCACAATAATAGCAACTTTGCTCTATTATCAACAGATTTGCATTAGATTGAAAAACTTTTGTTTGAGAGAGGTTCTAAGAAACGTTAAGAAATAAAATAGAAAGAAGAAGGAAGAAAGTGAGCTCTGTTTTATTATCTGTTCTATTAAAGATTTCTTTGTGGTGATCTCCTGTTTCATTTTGAAGATTTCCTAAGGACAAAAACTTGAGGAAGAAGTGGGAGATTGCTGTTAGAGGGAGAAGTTCGCAGCAAGTGATTCCTCTGTGCTGTGTAGCCAACAAGCAAATTGATATGTAGTTTAGATGCTGTCCTGTCATGCTGTTCTTGTGTTTAAATTTTTTTGATATGTAGGCTATATATTTGTGTGTATTTCTTTGTGTGTATTTTCCAGTTATTAAAATAGTGCTTCTATATGACATTATTTGTGTGTGTCTACAAATGGATAAATAAAATTAAACTAAATAAAATATAATCAAATCAATATATAATGAATTGGCCTATTAAAACCGCCAGTTATTAATAATTATTGAGACATAGCAGGAACCTAGCTCTAAACCTAGATATATACTTGATTAATTGTTATACTATAATACAGCCACTGCTGTCATGTTCTAAAATATCATTTTATTCATTCTGAGTATTTGAAAACGCCAAAAAAATATGGCCTCTATCATGCCTCTTTGAATGGCGTTTGCAGAGAAGAAAATTACGTAGTATTGAGCGAACTATGATTCCTTTAATGCGCTCAGACTTCATTCCGCCGGTTAAACAGCGGTGCAGCGTGAGGCGGATGACCGGACCAAGATGGCGGCCGCATTTCTCGACAGCGCCCATTCATGGTAGCGGCCGATGCGGGGTCTATCTTTTATTATGTCTATGGTTGCGACGTCTGATTCACCGGTATATCCAACATGGCCGACCGTCTTTTTTTTTTTTCTGATCGTTTACACACACATTGCAAAGATGACGATCTGAAGGACAACTTGTGGAGAGTCATAGCTTCGGATATCTGATATTAAAATGTTTTGTGTGCTTTAACAGTTTGCTAAACGTCTTTGTTTTAACTTTCATCTGTGCTAACGTAAGCTAACGGTTTACGTTGGCCCCGACTCAGTACATGCTATCATGACAAAGAGCCATCTCAACACTAGTGTCTGGTGTCTAGTCATCTGCCTCTTCAAACTTGGAGCTAATTGTTTCAGCAAAACTTCAAATTGTCCAACGGACATCCAATAATAGGTTCTGAAGCGACCATGGTACAGTTTCAGCTCCTGAACCAAGAAGTGAAACTCACGTAGTTCTCTTCTTTTTTGTAATATTGGATGCACTCATGTGCTACGTTTCTTTTTCTTTTTAGAAAGCAAAAGGAGTACCAATTCGCCATCACTTGAAGTTGAAGTAGACTCCATTTTTGTCCTTTCGCTTCCAGCCAGGACACTGTAGGACGTTAAGGCAAGGTCCCGCCCTCCTTCGCCTCTGATTGGCTGTAAGTGCTGACCGTTTGGCTTGAGCGTGTGATGACGTTACCAGCTTTTTTAGCCAATCAGAGGCTAAAAATGTTCCCAGAATGTCGCAAAGTCGCATCGGGCTTGATGTGTGTCAGCCCCGGTGTGTAAGGACCTTAAGCCAGAACATTCTCAGGGTATTCTATTACTCAGTCACTATCACTTTTACTCCTTATCTGAGCTCAGTGTACACCTACTTTCTCAGATTATGACAACATACGTTTGCGTTGTGATTTGAAACTTTGCATACTTATAGTATGGACACCAAACTTTGTAACTTAGTATTTGTTGTCATAAATGTGGAGAAGCATGGTACCACCCCTTTAACTAATTTCATTTAGTTTGTCAACTTATGATCTACCAAGAGTAGCTTACACTTCAAAATAAAAGCATTGTTTGACAATGCAGAATATAAAGAAACCGACTGATTAATTTGATCGATTAACCTTGTCAGTTTTCCAGAAATATCACAATAACATTGTTACTATAAAATATATGGTTACGAAAATTGTGAGGTTAAAATCTGATATCATAACGGGCTCATCTGTTCACAGAAGAAAAGACTTGTGGATATTTGGCCTCTGGTTTTGCAGCGAGAATAAAAAATAAAATGGAAAAAAATATGTATAATTTTAATGGTAGCTCAACTCACAGTCCCTTAAGTTGGTCAGAGACTTCTGGAGAAACTCATTAATCGATGGTTCATTTACCGATCAGTCCTCAGGCTGTTGTTTGCAGCTCTGTGTCAGTGTTAGTTTGGTCCTGCAGGCATCCCTGCAGTGTTTACACCTCCGTTAACACTTTCGTGTTCAAAGATCAACAGGATTGTTTGAATCCTCCAGGACTAACAAACATGCAGAGTTTTCCTTCCAAATTAAACATTTGCTGAGACTATATTTCATAATGCTTTGCAGGTATTTATTGTTTGCCTGTTTGCTTTCTTTACCAGCACGTTTATCTGCCGACTGACTTACCCTGCTCTGCTCCTGCAGGCTCTGTACTTCATCTCTAAAACCAGGTCTTTGTAAACTCATTATATCAAAAAATCTGTTGTCACACTGCAGCCAAAGCTACAGAAAAACATCACTGACTTTAAATCAGCTTCAGTTTGGATCATCAGCCTGCAATTCTCCGAATAAGATTTTAACATGATACTTAAACGCTTTAATGGCCCCCAGAGGTAAAACACTATAACAGTCGAATTGCTTCTAACTCTAGGAAAAAGAATAAAACCAAGAAAATCCAGGATAAATACAACAATGACAGATAAATTAAATAAGATCAAAAACAGATCAAAAACAAATGAACGTTTCTAAACATTTGCATTCACATTCACGATTTAATGCTCATTTATCACATTTAACCCTCAGCGATGATGAGAAGTCAAAAACTTAGCAGACAAGAGTTTGAAAAAAGGAAACCGACTCAAAAATGTTTTATTAAGTGTTTGAATGTAAGATCACAAATAGATAAGTAAATTGCTGGGCCTATATACTACCTAGACCTTTATTGTGCCTGTAATGCATTAACTTATGTAAATAGCAAAATGTTCTTGTTGAGGCAAATTTGCACAGATGATCATTTTGTCAGAACAGGTTATAAGGCAGAGCTCTGATATTACTTTGGAGGAACAAGTGTGCACAAAATAGAAATAAGATCTTGTCTTTTGTTTCCGAATAGTATTATTACTTTTATATTATATTATATATTAAATAATAGTCTAAGAACCTTTCAGGACAAGGTTCTTGTAGAGCAAGTTACTACTTTTTGCACAGGAGTAATTTATCTTGTGGGAACAAGTGATCATCTTGTTTGCATAGTTCTAAATTCTTGTGAATGGGTTATTATCTTGTGCATGTTAATGTTAATTTGCATTAAGAGATTTCACTTTCATTTAGTATCAGCATATTATTGATTTACTAATACTTTTTGTATTAGTTATATGATTTGTTTTAGTTATTTGTTTAAGCTTTCTAAACAATAAAACCCTTTTTCCGCATCAAAAAATAAAAGTCCCTCTGGCAAGCTTGTTATCAGAGGTGGCATGTAAAAGCCGGCGGAAACATTCGTGAGGAGCTGAAATATACAATGACGGCCTTGCTAAGGCAAATAAAGAATTAAAAGATTCGTTAGAAGGTTATCTACTTATCTCTGATTTAACAGATTTTTTTCTATCTTTAGAGGTTTTAAAGTGGTTTTTATTTCTCATTGCCTTTTTGTGTTGAATGTTTTACTTTGCTCATGTGAAATATTCAGATTCCTTTCAGCTGTGAAGGAGAAATTAAGCCAGCTCTTGGCTTTAATCACATGATTCGTTATGAGTGTGTTAGCGTGAAGAAACTGAATTAGAGCTGTTGTGACAGCCCTATGTGAAAAGCAAACTTAAATAACCCTGGATAGATTTCTGATCAGAATTCATCACCTCTGCTTCTGCACTCTGCTCACCCTGATGGTCTTTAGTGAAGCCATAGTGAGCCTCAGAGGGTTGAGTTTGGTCCTGTACAAAGTGCCGCACAGTGTTGAGTGTGACATTACATATAAAACCTCCGTGAGTGGGTCTGATCATGCACCCTGCTCAGTATGACTTGGTCCCTTGTGGTCCCGCATGGTGTTGCAGAGTGTTTGTATTGATTGAAGCCTCATTGAGTTGATCTGCTCCTGGGCCCTGCTCACTGTCATGGTGTTTACTGAAGCCTCAATGGGTCTTGTTGGGTTAGTCTGGTCATGCACACAGCCCTGGTGGTTGCAGGCAGTGCCTCAGAGCTCAGGGGGTACCGTCCTAAGCCCCAGGCTCTCTCCCACAATGCCTCATTGTATCCTGTGGATTAAAGTTGTGATTAATCTCAAACCCCATTTCCACACCCACAGGCCAAATCAAACAGCCTGCACACAATTCCTGTTTTATTCCCTTCATCTGCAGCTGGCCTCAGCTGCCTGATTGGAAAATGAAGACCCAAAAATAGCCTCTGTGGATTCACAATTAAATATCGTATCTGTGGCAAAGTGGATAACAGACCCTGGGCGCTGGTATTTAGGTCTGTTTCCATGAACCATTACAAAGATTTGCATCACTGTGAAAATCAGAGTGACTTTAAATCTTAAAGAGTCAGAGTTTATTTTTATACATGTTTATTGATTTTGCATTTTAATGAACATACATTTATATTAAATAGATAAAGTAGCATGTTAAACAAACAAATAAGTATGTTTATTCAGATAGGATAAGTACATGTTACTCATTTAGCTGACATCAGATAGCTATTTAAACCGTTTCTTCTGTGAGACCCACACGGTGTGAACATGAACATAAACATCAGTCTGTTTCAGTTATATCTCAGAGTTTGCTGGGTCCCCTCTGCAGCAGGTGGGTGAGGGAAGTTATCTTGGCATCAAAATTTGCCAACATCGCTTGGTGACTCTCTGATAGTTCTCTTAAATAAGAATGAATCACCACCAATTGCTCCTCCTGATGAGCCAGTCTCTGTCCTGGGAGACACAAGGCTTGATGAACCAGTTTGGCGTCCATCTTGGCCATTTTGTCAAGAACAGACTTGTGGCAGAAAGACCCAAATCCAGACACTCGGTTCCAAAAGTAAAAACTCAGGTTTTGTCAGTCTGAAGTTTGGTTCACAGTAAGGCAAAAAACAGGCAAACATATCCAAAAGTGTGAGACAAAAGGCGGAGTCAAAAACTAAAAAGGTCAGGATCATGAACTGTCGTAACAAGAAGAATGCTGGAATGTGACCAGACCATAGACTGTATATAGAATTGACACCGTCTGCCTCCCCGCTGGGTGAAGCCCCCCTCTGGTGATGGGCTGCTGTCTTCTATGATTGACACTTGATACAGCCTATGGTCGTACTCACCCGTGCTCACCCAGTGGTTACCCTGTTTGAGCCGCATCACAGCGACTTTTTGCCGAATGCGTACAATGCTACTGCGCAAGTGGTGGTTCTAGGAAATGGAGAAAATCCCGGAAATACCGAGAGCAATAGTTCGAAGTTCGAATAATGGCAAAAGGCGGAACCAAGTTGTCCATCGTACAGTCTACGGACCAGAAGTACAACGCACTAGCAACAAGACAGGGAGAGATAAATACAAGAGGTAACAGGGTGATTAGACACAGGTGCAGGGAGAACAAGACGAGACAGAGGAAGGGCAGACAGGAACAACCTAAAACAGAGACAGGTTTGTGATTTGAAAATAAAGCAAACAGGAAACACAAGACATGAAATAGTATGAAGATCAAAAGATAACTTCATTTAAGACACTTAAGAGAGGACGTGCATTTGGTTGTTTTTCAGTTAGTGTTTCGGATGGAAAATTGCTGTTTCTTCTAAAAAAAAACATTTCACAACTCAAAATATAAGCTCCAATATTTAGACAAATAAATGCATTAGGAATGGATGGGAAACAGGCAGTGAAGGACAAGTCCTCCATGTTACAGTAGTTGGTGAGGAGGTCAGACGAGAGGTAGCTTCTGAAAAAAACAAAATAATAATCTTGCAATTAATTGCGAATAACAATAGTTTTCATTGTTATGATGGTGAGGTGGGAGCTTCTCCCCCGCAATCTGGTTTTGTAAGTTTAAACTCCTAGTTTAATCCTTAATAATTAGACCCTGAATTTATCCCATCAGCACATTTTCAGAATCTCACTGCACAATTGTTAGGATTTATTTATTCAAGTCCAAGCACAGCAGTTTAAGAATTATATAATTCAAAGAAAGAGGCTTTTATTGTTTTTTAGAAAGGTAGTTCATAACAGCGGAGATAACAGAAGGGTATCAGCAACCTCCTCAAGATCACATGAGGTTAGCTATGTTTAGACTGCTTTAAGGTTATCCAGCTGAGCTAGCTAACAATTACACATACAAATCAACAGACAGAACACACAATGGACTCTGCACAGTTCGACTACTTCCTGAACCGAAATGATTAATCCAGATGTGACTGATCATTGTGACTAGTCAGACAAACCTGCATTAATTCATTTGTCCAGTAATGTAAGACAGCTAATAAAGGAGCAGCCTCAGGTTCAGAAAGTAGTGGATCGGTGCATCGAGCCCATTGACTTACGAAAAAATGCAAATATCCTCGTAGTCCTGCGGGTCATTTTACTGCAGAGAAACTCACTTTGTCAGTTTAATAATAGACAAAAATCGAGGCGAAAATGCTGTATCTTCTTTCATGTTTCAACTCAGTGATAACTCGTAAAAATGAACACTTTGGGGACACAAATCAGCCAAATATTGACAACATATCACTACAGCATCCAGGTCTGAGAAACATTTGTATGGGATAAATTAAATTTTTAAAGTTTGCCTGCAGCTCTGTCTGTTTTGCTGTATGAAGCGGGATTTATGAGCTAAACAGCAACCAATCATGAGGGGATACTTTTTTCACAGTATCACTAAGCTAGGAGGCATATCATGTCTGTTCTATATAATGTCTACGGTCAGGGTCTGTCCTCTCTGCAGCTTCTCCTTTGGGATTAGATAAAGTTTTCTTCTGTTTCTGCAGACTCTTCTGTCTCTGATTTGTTTGACCATGTCATCTGCCGCTGTTGGTCTACTGTGTTTTATGAAGTCCACAGTCAATGTAGCCTAAAGTCTACCAGGAGATTTTAGAAACCTTCAAGGTCTATCTGCTGGCCAGCTTGATGGAGATGCTGATTTCCTCCTCCAGCTGGGGTTAGCACCTGCCTGCCGAACAAAAACTCCAACCAAAAGGTTTGCTGACCCTGATGGTACTGTTCTTGATGTCCAGCCAGCTGAGCTGAACCCCTTGGAAAGAGAGGAGATGTTTATTGTCTCTTTATGACCCCTCATTTGAGTGGGTGGTGGGGTGAACTTTGTCTCAATCAGGCTGCACACCTGTTGGTCTGTGAGGTCCATTAGGGGTGATGTGGTGGTGTAGATAGTCCATGTGGTGTCCCCTCCTGGAGGTCACATGTACAGAGTCTGTTTCTGCTGAATGTGGTGGGGCTGTGTGGGTGGTCTTGTGGCATAAAGCATCACTACTGAAAGATGGTGGGTGCCGATATGGAGGGGTGTGAAACTGAGATGCGAGCACTAACTGTTCAGCCTCTTGGAGGTGTCTTGAGCCTAACTCAATGTAACAGCAGAGAAGGGAAGTTTCAACCTGATATATCTTATTGATGCTCTGTCTCTCTCTGATAACCTGTCCCAGGCTGTGAGGGACACGCTGAACCATGTAGTCAGCTATGTAACTCAGGAAGATAAATAAAAAAACACAGAATAATGATATGAGGGTGTGATGGAGGAGTCACTGACTGCTTATCGTTTTTATAAAGCACATTGTGTTCCAGTTTCTCCTTTCAAATCAGAAATACTGACAACGACTCAGATAAAAATGCAACCTGAGCATCTGAAACATGTGGGCACGTGCCAGCAGACAGGGAGTTAATCAGTGAATATGAGTTTAAAGCCCAGTGAAAACGTACTAACCATAGACTGTATAAAGAATGGACGCCTTCTGCCTCCTTGCTGGGCGAAGCCACTCCGAGAACAGCACCCTCCGTTGATGGGCTGCAGTATAGGTCATAATTCCCACCTCCGCCAGCAAAGCTTTTGGAGCTGTGGACAAACTTTAGAAATTTATTACGCAGAACATACATTCTTCTCCCCCTTGTTTGTGATGTTGACATGTAGTTTCTGTAAGACTGGTTTGTGCTCATTCCTCTTTTTTCTGTGAAGCTCTGTTTTTAAAAGTTATTAGAGGGTTCATGTTTTCTATGATTGACGCCTGATACAGCCTATGGGCGTTCAGGGATTGCGTAGCTCTCCCGGAGGATACGCTGTTTGAGCCCATCACAGCGACTCTCAACGACTGCGCGCCCAAATGCACACATCACTACTGCGCAGCGCTGGTTTCAGGAAATGTAGAAAAATCCCAGAAATACCGAGAGCTTTTTGGCTTCAAATTCGTATACAGGTGGTAGGCGGAACCAAGTTGTCCATAGTATATACAGTCTATGGTACTAACTTGCAGACTGTAAATTAAAGATTAAAACTTATGAACTGTCTATAAAATAAAATAAAAAAGTATATTATCAGCTTTGTAGTGTTGGCCACAGTGATGTAAGAGGCCTCTGCAGAGGGGCGTCCTGACCACAGGCTGATGAGGCTGAATGAGGGCCACCCTCTCTTAGTTAAGTATTATAGCTCTGTATTAGCATTGTCTGATGGCCCTGCAGTCTGATCCAAATGGGACTTTAGATGATCGCCTTAGGATAGTCTGGGTCACTTATAAAACCTCACCTGGCAGTTCAGAAAAAACAATGGTTCATAGAGCTATTTTTCAGTTACTGTAAGATGCTTATGATCATGAATGAGGTGAGTGCAACTGGTCAGGTCCAGTGTATAAGAGCAGCCATAGAGCTGGAGTGCTGTCGATAGAATCTCTGAAATGAGGTTATCTGTGAGCTGCTGACCTGGTTTGCAGACCCAGGGGTATTAACGCAGATATACCTACACTTGAAGAGTTGTGAAATATTAATACTGCAGTTTCACATCACACACTATACATATAGGTCATCTGATCAGAGTAAGGTCCATATTTTTTGTTCAATCACTGTTATGATATTCAAATTTTACTGAAAAAAATAGAGTAAAATCAACAAGAACATAGTAAGATGGAAAACTACTGTCCTGGTTTAACATGTAAATGTGAATAAAATAGAATGAAACAGAATGAAAAAAAATCTAATGTAATGTTAAATGTTATGTCGTAAAATGCTATAGAATCGAATAGTGGGGCTGTAATCAACCAAAGAAATTCTTGGTTGACTAAAAACCTGAAATTTTCAACCAAAAATCGACTAATCGGACAAACCGTTACCTGTAAAACGGGGATGCTCTGAAAACATCCCCTATTAGCACTTGGTATGTTCTTCCTGATGAAATTAACCATAGACTAAATTGACGCGGAAAAAAATTGAGTCAGCACATATCGACCAGTTAGTCGACCAGTCGACTAAAACTTAACAGCCCTATAGAATTGAATAGAACAGAATAGAATAGAGCGCTTCTAGTGTACATTGTGAGGAGCTGTATCTTGTTTGGCATCTATCAGACATTATTTTAGAATTTATAGTCTTTGGTGTTTGCTGTGATCAGAGTCCATTAGTCAGGAAAAAAACATGGTAAAACACTATTTAACATGACTTTATCTGCTTTTTGGACCACCACAGAAAAGGTTTTTACAATTTCAGTCCTTTTTGATCTTTATTAAACATGTTTTATTTTATTTTTTATCCTTCGAGAACTGATAGTGTGTCTCTGACAGGCAGGATTATTTTGACATCCAGACCACATGAGCACAGACATCAGGATAACCACTATCTTTTCCAGTGAAACCACACCTGGCATCATTTACAAGTGTTTTCAGCTCTCGTCTTGTTTGGACTGTCCTCATTGTTCCTCTGTGTCTGTTTTGTCTTCCAGCTGTTACGAGAGCTGAAACACCCCAATGTCATCGCCCTTCAGAAAGTGTTTCTGTCTCACAGCGACAGGAAGGTCTGGCTGCTCTTCGACTACGCTGAGCACGACCTCTGGGTGAGTTTGTGGGAATGCTACTGGAGTCCCAATACTGTAGCTATTTATGGCATATTTACAGATTCACCGTTTCCTCCAGCCTGATTCTAACAAACTCCACAGCCTTCCCACGAGCAAAGTACTGATGGTTTAATTAGTTACTTCACAGCAAACAAAATAGACTAATCATAATAAAGTGGGATTTATACCTGTATATCCATCTTATTCATACAGTAATTTGGTGCTCACAAAAAAGACTTTAAACTTAGTTTGGTTAAATACACTCACTCCATTGGGAATATATGAGATCTGGGTAACAGCAGATCAGTCTGCTGAGAACTGGAGCTTAGCCCATTTGAGTCCAGATATGGACCAACCATTGAGTTTAGTGTAAGTTCAGGCCACCAAGTCAGGCTTCGCCTTTTACAAAGAATGCCACTAAGAATTAAGGTAGTTCAGAAAACAAAGGGAGGTTTAACCCGGTTATAGCAGGGTGTACCTAATAAAGTGGCCACTGGGTGTATATCTTTGCTGTAACCACAGTACAGGTTTTATGTTCTCTGCATGTAAACAGTTTCATACTCTGAAATTTTTTCTCTGCACAAGGTTTAGGGGCAGAAAATCAGCCAGTGTCTGATTTTCTGTAATCAAACTTGTATGTTTGGTTGCCAAACATGCTATAAATTACTACTCATATGTACTTGTGTTTTCTTTCAGTATGTTAATCCTGACCATTGTAATGACTATTATTGTGTGTACTAAGCACTATGAATTACTTGAAATTGCTATATAATGAAATTATGTGGTTAAACTTGACTTGCCTTGTGGGTCTTCTTGATGAGCCATAAAAGAACACAGTTGGTCTGGTTTCCTGGTAGTAGCTGTTTTTCCTCCAGAATACTGTCAGAGCTGACAGGCTGCAGTGGGCTGAAACCTCTCTCTCTGCTTTGCAGCACATCATCAAGTTCCACCGAGCCTCCAAAGCCAACAAGAAGCCCATGCAGCTGCCCCGAGGGATGGTCAAGTCCCTTTTGTATCAGATCCTGGATGGGATCCATTACCTCCATGCCAACTGGGTCCTCCACAGGGATCTTGTGAGTGGTTTTATCAGCTACTTTGCTCCAGTCCCCCTGTTAAGACACACACAAATACAGATATGCACACAGGGATACACACACACACACACACTCACACACTCTATCTTGGAGCAGTTTCTAAAAGCAGCAGTGTTAACATCACAGACTCTCAGGAGGTTTAGGGCAATTTAGTAGGTTTAGGGTAATTTATCAAATTTATCAAACTAAAGTCAGAGTTTAACAAGAATAAAGTCATTTGTGAAGAAGTCACAAATGAAAAGGACTGATTTGTAATTTTAATTTGAATGAAAAGGTACAGTATGTAAAAAAAAGGCACTTCAACACAGGTCATAAATTTACATATTTTTAATAGATTTTTAAATTAAGATAGTTAAAGTGGCAGATTTACCACTATGAATTATTAGTTTAAAAAGTCTCAAATCTATGACAATAAAGCTATACATTTTTTGTTTTCTTTTGATAAATCAATGAGAATATGGCTTTAAATTGATGACATTAAAGATGAAGATTTTTTAGAAATAAAGTGCTCAGAGGAAAAGTCATCTATAAAATTGTAAATGATGATCTATTGTGTAAAAAAGTTGATATCTTTTGTTATTGGAGAGTGGTAGACAGCAGGTCTGATTCTAATTGTGTAATTCAAAAGAATATAGATTTCACATATAAATTATCTGCCATGTAAATACTTCTTTTATCAAATAACTATGTTAATGAAGTATTTATCATACACAGTTTGAACCCAATTGACAAATATATCCATTTTGAGTGTGGTCATTTTAGTCCCTGTAATTTCTGAGCTTAATGTCTCTGTCGTTTATTGGGACACAAATACTTTTAACATTTATAAAACTTCAGCAACTCAGCTTTTCTCATCCTGATCTTCCTCTGACTGGAGATGAAAATTAGGGTTTACGTCAATTTCAAGTGACTGTCCCTGTCTTTATGCAGCCGGCATGTTGTTGTGTTTACTGAATTCTCATCTCTCTGGATGCTTTTGTAGAACACATTAACCTCTGGGTATTTTCCGACCTTATAAATATAAATATTACATAACTGACTGATCATTCCTCTGAGACTCTCTTCAGCCCAGTTTTCCCACAGAGCATCAGTCACAAAGAGATTTTACTCTCCTCAGCTCAAACTGAATCATAAACTTCCCTCAGAGAAGCTGTGGTCTTGTTAGCTTAGCAGTCTGTCCGTATGCCCCCAACATTACCATGCGTCTATACAGACAGGAATGTGATTATGTGAATAAAGCAGCCTAGCTCCTTATAGGCATGTTTACATTTTACAGTCAGATACAGACTGCCTGCAAAGCTCCTGTCTCTCTGTAATGAAAATATTTACCACCATATCATAGCCCTGTATAACTCTGAAAGTTATTACCAAGAAAAACAATGTAAGTGATGACTTGACTAAGGTGGTACAGTCAAAAAACAAGCAGACCCTTAATACCAAAGACCCTAAAAATACCCATTAAGTACCTGCATTAACTGCTGCAATCTATTTTACCTGCACACATTGTAGTGATGATGTTCAAACTATATTTATCTCAGCCTGAGCAGAAATGTCACTTGAGTGTTAAATGGATATCAGCATAACGGATGAAGACAGAGGTTTGCATTTACCTGCACAGAGGGATCATCACCTGAAACATGCTGTTAAAGACCCACTCTGATGAAAATCATGTTTTCCTTGTTATCTACATTTATATATGGCATTTGCATTCTGATGCTACAGAACACATCATGAGAAAAATAAGTGTGAAACCTGTGAACCTCTGGCTGACCTAAATGGCAGGATTAGATACAGTGAGATTTCCTACATAGCAAATCCAAGCTCCGACCCCAGAGCCCTGCTATTCAGGCCAGACTCCAAGAAATACAGAGGATGATCACGGAACAAGCGTGTGCATTAGCAGATTGTAATGCTCATAAGAAAGCTGATTATGATATTAACTTTCATCATGTCCCCGAAGACATTAGTGTCCAACAGTTGAATAGCTCCCATGTTACCTGCCACTTCTACTACACCTGCAATGTCAGGCTGCAAGCTAGCATGAAGAGGAGTGTGCAGAGCAGCACTGTCTCCGCCCACAACTCAGATTTCTATTGATTTACTGGAGCTCTGCCGAAGAAAAGCCCTTGAAAATGACACAGGTAACACGATTTTGGCTAAAATTTCATTATCACAGTTTAATGACCACTGAGAACACTTTAAGTAGTAAAAAAAAAACAATCCAAGTGGGACTTTAAATAGTTATACACCTTTACACACTCTGGTCTTTGTAAACCATTTTATTGACTCAGCTCTCAGAAACAATCAGCTCTTTCTCTGTAATGAGAGCGATTAGGAAACAGATCAGTTTTCTGTTTACCTCAGACTGTAAATTCTCACTGTTCCTCTGATACGATGTCTCTCTTTCATTTCTCCATCATCTGTCTCTCCTGAGGAGGTACATTTCTGTCCTGTTTATGGAGGATCATTTACCAAACCTATCAGTCTGTTTTGATCTCTGCTGTCACAGCTCTAGCCTCAGAGGATAAGGGAGGATCCAGGAGGAGGAAGCCGATTCCAGAGAGAGAGGAATAGAGAGAGTGACTGAGATTAACCGGTTTACCTGAGACAAGGCTCAGCAGCTTAGTTTGTCATGTTGGTCACTCTTCAGGGGTCAGAGAGCTGTCTAACTGCTCGTCTGCAAGGTTTATCTCCCTGTAATCCTGCCATCTACTCTTATGTAATCCAGGCACTCCTGTGAGGTCATGTGGTGGCTGAACATAGCATTTGTTATGGTCCTGGCCATACTGAATAGTAGTTGAGTATTTTGGTGTGTTTCTGCCCTTGATGAGTTTGTGTTGTGTTGTGTCCTCACTACCGCGAGAACAACACCCTCTGTTGACGGGCTGCAGTATAGGTCATAAATCCCGCCTCCTCCAGCCATCCCTATGGAGCTGTGGACAAACTTTAGAAATTAATTACACCGAATGTAAATGTTTCTCTCCCCTGCTCGTGATGTTGACATGTAGTTGCTGTAAGGCTGGTTTGTGCTCAAGTCCTCTTTTTTCTGTACAGCTCCACTTTTAAAAGTTATCAGGAGGTTCACATTTTCTATGATTGACACTTAATACAGCCAGTGGGCGTATGAACTTTAAATTGTCAAATCATATATACAGTCTATAGTCAAACTGGATTGGTGCAGCACTCAGCATCCTGCTGTTTGAAATGTCTGGGCTTCAGTAAGTTGGGGGGTTCTAAATTGTCAGCAGTAAAGCATTTGGCCCCTGGTCTCCCACTGGGGACGTTGAAAATATCATATTTTGTGATTACTGGCTTTTACATGTGTATTAGTATGCTTGGGTTTCCCTGTATCATAGTCAAGTTTGGGTTTTTTCTTTAGTTTGAGAGCAGTAGGGATAGACTTGCTTTTTCTTTTTTATTCATTTAAGTTAGGATATATTTTTGTTATTTTGTTGTGTTTCTTTTACTCAAGGTAAAGGAGTATTTGAAAAAGAGAGCTTGTTTTGTTTATTATTTAAGATATTATTTATTCAATGTTGCCATTGTAAAATTTCACATCTTGAAAATAAATCATCGTTGAATTTCTTGGAGGGGACAAGCCTTGATTACACTTTGATGTTGCCCGCCTATTCCCACGACGGGTGCAGAACAACATTACATAAACCTGCAGGATGTGGTACACGTTCAGTCCATCACTCACTGATCTGAGCTGCGAGTTACAGACATCTATAAGCTCCAACTCAGTCTGTAAGTCTAAATGTGACATCTGAACCCCTGGGATTGCTGAGTTATGGCTCTCAAGAGGGTTAGCATTAATCTGAATGACACATGCTCACTTCCTCAGGGAGTCAGACAGTGAATAATACAATGTCCTCTGCTGTTCAATATAAAGCATCTCTACAATCTCGGCTCCTCACACAGACTCAGACTAGTCAGGCTTTCTTTGGTAAATCCACAAACCTCATGTTCACACACACAGAAGAAAGTCAGTCTGTCAGTGTTTGGGGCAGAGTTTTGCAGCAGCTGAATCTAGAGATGTTGTTTTTATTGGAAACCAGAAAAAGGACTGTTACAGTTGTCATTATAGTATCATATAGTCATAAAGCATGGACCTCTGTCTCTGTACCAACATCTGTCACACTGTCCTGATGTTCATTAGGTGATGAAATGTTTTTTGGTCATCTCTCTGATAGGTTGCTCAAAGGTCTGAATCATCACTCTGAGGTTCCTGACATGCTGACACAGGTTATAGACCATTGTTTCAGTTTTGTGTTTAGTTTGTCACTATGAGCACAAGTGACAAAGCCCGAAAACTTATTTGTCATCAGTGACTGATATCTAACAAACAGTTCATACACTTTAATTTTTCAGTGTTTCTGTCAGTTTAGAAAGTATGTGAGCAGTATCAGGACATGGTGACATGCAGGTTTAGATGATGGACTATCAGAGCAGAGGACAGGGGTCCTCTGGACTCTCTGACAGGAGCTGCAGGCCTGTTTGTCTGCCTGAAGGTCACACCTTTCCTATCACAGCAGATAGCCATCCAGCCTTCACAAGTGTTTCCATTCCAGCCCGATGAACCCGTCCTCGGTCAGACTGTCAGATTATTACACTGACAGGCTCTCACTGATTCTGCTGTTATTGGCTGTTTCTCTGCTGGGTTTCCTGTCATTGTGGCCCAAGGGTTTCGAAATCTCCCTGTAAAAGAGAAAAACTGAATCAGACTCGAGTCTGCTCAGGCTACATAGAAACACACTCAGCCTATTAAGCTGTAAGGATGTGGATAAAAAAAACAGGAGAGGGAGGAATACTGGAAAAACCTGTGTGAGTGTTTGAGTGTGTGCGTGTGTATTGTGTGTTTATATTGTGTTTATAGTGTGTTTTGACTTTCTTGGCTATTATGTAACATTGTCTCTGCTCCATAGGTATCAGGCATGTGCTTTACGTTGCACCACCGCATTCTTCCCATCCCATCCCCCACTGATCCATCCACTCCTCCATTCCTCCCCCTCTCCCAATAGTGTTATGCAACAGTCTCAGCATGTTTGCTGGGCCTGGCGGCCTGCATGGCGAGCTGTAAGCTGAGTCAATATGCTGACAGAGTAGCTCTGGGGGGGTGGGGGAGTGAACCACCAGTGTCTGAAGAGGGGCTTCGCAGAGCTCCCAGCATTGCTCTCCACCATATTGACCAGCAGAAACAGAAGAAACAGAACAGAGTATATTTACGTGTCCAGTGAAGTCCAAACATGCTTTAAGTTCAGCTGGAGGATTTTACAGGACTACTCTCATTGTCTCAGTCTACAAGGGCAAGGACTGAATTATTTACAGAAGTACATCCTCCACTTCAGAGACATATCCCCTTTCAGCTTGGTACTACTGGGCCATTTTATGTTGACGCACTGAAATAATTGACAAAATGCTTAAGCATGTGGCTAATGGGTTGTACATCAAATGATGAAATCGCTGTCACTCTTGCAGCAGTGAACCTTTGGTTCATACAGCTCCAGTCAACACGTTTCTGCTGTTAAACTATGGAGCCAGATCTTTGACATTCAAAATTGCCATTGAAAACAGAATTTGACATTGTGATAAAATTTGGCATCGTGAAAAAAATTTTATTGACACAAAAACAATATTGGCTTTGAAAAATGTTTGAACACAGGTGTAAAAGATAAAATATTTCATCTGGATTTAAAAAAATATTTACTATGTGGTTTTCAATGTCAGTCTTTGGATTTCTTCTTCAAATCCATCTTTTTTTCAGTGTCAGGGTTTTTTCTTTCAGTCTCACTGGTTTTCAGTTTCAATGTTCATTTCTTGTTTTCAATGTTCAGTTCCTCAGTGCAAAGTCACTGGCAGGGTTTTGGTGTGGAAGAGAATGTTTTAGGGGAGGGGCAAGGGACGCATCAACGCGCCTTGAGGTTTTAAAAGGGGACTTCTGCCAGGGTGTGTAGCTACATCATGGTGAGATCCTTGAGAGATTTCAAATCATGAATACTAGTAGCATTGTGATATATACAAAGAGCACACCTACAACAAACATTCCTTTTTCAAGTATTTATTTACACACACATGAAAATGGAGTTGCAGCAGTAGATTTGAAAAACTCTGATAATAGGGCCAAAGCCCTGGGGCGCTATTGTTAAAATGTGGATTTCTTCTTATTCCTCTTCCAGACAAGTTTTGATTTAATACTAGTTCTACACACCTATTATAATCTCAAAATTTCTCCAAAAATGATTGTGGTCATTGAACTGTGATTATTCAAAAACTACTATCAAAACAAGGATTAATGCACCTGTAGACATAACTTGTGTCTACATTTCCAAGTTAAAATGGAGTCTTGAGGTGAAAGTATGCTGAGCTGGTCTGAAAAAATCCAATAGTTACTCTTCGTTTGTTTTCGATCAAACGACACGTTCTGATATGTAATTTGTCCTACACTTCTTCAAGCTGTAGAACTAGTAGCTAATTGAAATAAGAAATAAGAAAATTATACGGTATACTCCTGAACTAAGACCGAGGCAGGGGCCCTTGTGTTATTGTATAGGGGCCATTGCCTCGGTGTGTTTGCCCTGTCACTCTAATGATGTCAATAACAGAACTCCAAACACTCTGATACTAATCTTTGGATGTGTGTGTGTTTATGTGTTTCAGAAACCAGCCAACATCCTGGTGATGGGGGAGGGTCCAGAGCGAGGCCGCGTTAAAATCGGTGAGTCAGAAACATTAATCTGTTAACCTGTCGAGCTGTTGGACTGAGTGTGTTGGATATATTTATACAGCATGGATGTTGTTGATGGTCTCTGTCCTCTGTAGCCTGGATCAATAAGCTGTTGAACTGCTGGCTTTCCTCTGGCTGTAGCTTTTAACCTCTGGGTGAGAGGTCCTCAGGTCAGAGCTGGTATATAAGCCACTCAGGGTCTGCTGAAGGGTAAAGTTGCAGAATTGCAGTCTATTTTTAAACTCTTTGACTGACTGCTGCAACACTACCCAACTATTGTTCCAGAACTAAATGCTACAGCTACGACTGCAGAGTGTGTGCATGAGAGTGTGTGTGGGATTGTGTGTGTGTGTGTGTGTGTGTGTGTGTGTGTGTGTGTGTGTGTGTGTGTGTGTGTGTGTGTGTGTGTGTGTGTGTGTGTCCGATCAGCTGCTGAAACAAGAGAGCACCTTTACAGAGATCAAAGTCACCTAACACCATCTGTAAAGCAGCTGAACCATCCAGTCTTTATATTAGGATATTCCTGACTTCCAGCTCCTGATTAACCAAACCCCATGCTGTGACCACAGGGAAAAATCAAAACAGATAAAGTTTGCTTTTCTGTGAATTATATTTTATTATATTACTATGTAATATTATATATATATATATACTGTTAAAGTTCATTATAAGGGTTGGCTGACAATTTCCTTTGATGTGATGATAAACCAGAAAAGGTATTAAATATGTGCGTATGATCATAAATCTCATGTTCCAGCATCTTTTGCTTAAGTCAATTTATTCAAAATACAACAGAAAACACCCCAAAAGCTAAAAGATCTGAAAGAGGAGACCACTGGTTCTAAATAACCTGCAAGATGATATTAAAAGATCACAATTGTATAAGATAATGTTCAGTATAATATGAACCAGTTTAAGCACTGAATATTAGAACAAAGATCTTTAAAAATTGATAATTGAAAGGTTTTTTTCTGTTTTTTTCACACATTTTCGAACCTGTTTGCTCCGATTTATTGTTGTTATGGCTTATCTTATTTTGAATTATTATTATTATTGTTATTATTATTACAGCCCTTACAATGTCAGTCGTCTGTCAGGTCTTAGTTTATGTTTTTTTTTAGATAAGGAGGTATAATCTGAGGTGTGGGGCCTCTCGATGGCCGTAAACTCTCAGCTCTCTATCTGCGTTTTTTAAAGTCTCTGTTTGTTCTCTTCCTCTTTCTCTCCTCCTCTCTCTTTCATTTTTAGCGGACATGGGTTTTGCTCGGCTTTTTAACTCCCCCCTGAAGCCTCTCGCTGACCTGGACCCTGTAGTGGTGACATTCTGGTACAGGGCCCCTGAGCTTCTGCTGGGGGCCAGGCACTACACCAAAGCTATCGGTAGGTGAGGTGTTAGGTGTGAAGGTGGAGTCAACCACAGCTTCTACTGGAGTTTTAATGACTCACTAACCCCCCTCCCACCTACCTCTGTACAGAGTTGTACAGTAGATATCCATCTGATAGGCTCTGAGAGTCCATGCATGGTTGAATTCCTGTTTTTTTTTTCCAACTGTTCAAACAGAATATTTATCCTCAGCAATCATTTCTGGCCTTAGCACTTTATTCAGTCACATTAAACACTAGTCTATGGCTATTAATGGTTAAACAGGTAGTGAAGTGGATGCACTCCCACCATTACAGGTCCAGTTTTAGCCAGCTGAGGTAGCCTGTTGGTGCAGGACCAGAACAAAGTCTTAAGTTAACCATCTATCTTATTAGTATGAGAGCTGCTGCTGCTGCTGCTGTCATGTGGGGTCAGGCTTTGTCAGAGCCCAAACTTCCCCATACTGCCCTACAGGCCACAAAGTACAAAGCTTTGACATCTCAGAGCACATCAGCTGATAATCACAATGTGACGCCTGCGTATGTCTGTGTGTTCATGCTCCAGATATCTGGGCCATTGGATGCATATTTGCAGAACTTCTAACGTCGGAGCCCATCTTTCACTGTCGACAGGAAGATATCAAGACCAGTAACCCTTTCCATCACGACCAGCTGGACCGGATATTCAGCGTCATGGGTTTCCCTGCAGGTCTGCAGACACACACGCACGCACGCACGCACACAGTCAGCTGTTGTAGGCAGCAGGTTGCAGCCTGTAATTACTGATATCATTACAGTAATGACAATTACACTCTTAGTGATACAGCAGGTGACAAGCATCTCTACATGACTGATCTCAAACCATCATCATAATTTTAATTCACAGTCTCTTTATCTGTTTACTGATAGTCGCTCTGTGTGTTAAAATACACACTGCTTTGTCCCCCCCAGTGTGTGTGTGCACAGAGATGTATATTCTACAGCTCTTACAAACGCTTTGAGTATATTTTGACATCTTTAAACATTTACAGAGCAGTTTAAATATTACAAGCAAACAGTATTACCCCCTCTACATGTTTACTATTCGTAGATGAAGGGAAGTGTACTGTAGGTTATTTTCCTATCTGCCCTTGAGTGCATGTCCTTGAGGGGTTTGTCAGTCAGGAGCACTGTGAGGCCATGTGGTAGTGTGAGTGTCACCTTTTGCAATGACATGTTTAGGTATTAATTTGTAAAAGAACCATCATGAAGAGCCATATGGGAAAAAAACAAACAAACAAACATCCGTAATACTCCATTTTAACTCATTCACTGTGAAAAATGAAAAGCTACCAACTCATAGTAGTAGTAGTCGTCATAGTCTATCCAGACCGAGACTCTTTAAAACAGACACAACTGTGATTTTTTTTATGTGGTTATTGTGATGATTTGCTCAAAGGACCTGGAAGTGAGCCTCAGACAGGAGTAGGGGGTGATCAAGTTTTATTCCAAATAAAGAGAATTGCTAAATGAAGTTCAAACAGCAAAGACTGTCCAGAAGTAAAGGGTCTGCAGGCTACAAAGACAGAACTGAGAGGAAGACATGTTCAGTTTTTTTCTGTTTTAATCTTAAAAGCGCCTGTGAGACATTTTTTTTTGGTCATGAAATTATTACAGAAACCTTTTTATAGCCTACAAAAGCAAATCAGGAATCAGCATAAATGGGCAGATGTGAGGACAAGATCAGCAAAGAGGGCACACTTTGTCCACCGGGGGCGCCAAAATCAACACAAACTAAAAGTTTCCCTGTGCTTTGAAAAAGATCATTTCACTGACTGGTTAAAGCATTAAATCTTGCTACTAGATTCATTTTTTGTAAAATTTATAAACTAAGCTTACAGAAAATATGATAGAAAATAACTTCAGAGTCTGTCTTTGTTTGTAAAAACTGTTTTTGACTTTTGTGTGCACGTATATTTCATGAAAAGCAGAGAGTCTGGGAGAGCTGCAGTTAAAAAAATCTTGGTGACAGTGAGTTTTCCATTGAGTTTGTGAAGTGATTGTGTGTTTGTGAAACTGTGAGTGTGTCTGTGTGTCCTCAGATAAAGACTGGGAAGACATCAGGAAAATGCCTGAATACCCGACCCTGCAGAAAGACTTCAGGAGGACAACGTGAGTCCATGCCCTGACCCTGATCAGAACCTCACAGACTCATGAAACAGATTTGAAGTCTTAATATATTACTAAGTACGATCAAATATAATGAAATATAACCAAAGATCACTCACCACAGCTGAGTGCTGTTTTCTCGCCTCGCAGGTACGCAAACAGCAGCTTAATCAAATACATGGAGAAGCATAAAGTCAAACCAGACAGCAAAGTTTTTCTACTGGTAGGTCTGCACACACACACACACACAAACACACACACACACACACACACACACACACACACACACACACACACACACACACACACACACACACACACCTCTTTTTATTTGGTATCGGACTGTCAGCTCTGCCAGTCTGTCGCACTGACCCCCATCATGATGAAGTGCTTTGAAATGCTGGTAAAGGATCACATACTGAATGACAATAAAAGTCTAAGTCCAGAGCTGAGGCAGCCTGACTGGATCTACTCTCGCATTAGACAAACTGTACCGTGCTCTGGCAGGTTTAAAGCCTCATGAGCTTTAGTCCAGTTTCTTTGATGGGATAAGTTGATGGCAATATTCATTCAGCTATTTTGGGATATCAGCGAGGCATGATGAGATCCAAACAGAAGTGTGAATGACAAAAAAGTTGGGTATCATCTGCATAGCAACAGTTTGAGAGCCCATTTGAGCAGATGATTGCACCATGTAAGGGAGTGTATAATTAAAAGAGAGGGGTCCAAGTATTGACCCTTGAGGGATTTCTGTTGCTGAGCTGTCAGTTTTGGACACTTCCCTCCTCCCAGATACTGTAAAAGATCAGGGACCTGGGAGAAAGGATATGAACCAGTAAAGGGAAGGGAGCTGAAAACTATCTTTGGGTGTTTGCAGTTATCCTTTTAGCTGCTGCGGTGCAGTTTCAATAGAGTGGCTCTAATTAAAGTTCCAAAAAAAATTTTTTGAATAGGAAATCAGGAATGAACCTTTATCTTGTTTATTCCATGCTAACAACATTTCAGTTTTATGCATTATTATTAACACAATGTACAAACTCTAAATGCCTCATCATGTAAGATAATCTTGACCTGGTGAGTTCAGATTCTAAAAATGTTGGCAAAGGCTAAGAACAAAATTTTGCTTATACAAAAGATTTCCTCAATGGCAAATGTAAAAACAACAATCAGATGCAGACAAAACCACATTCTTTACCATATATGGGCATTCCAAAGACATACAGCTGTTAAGTCATAGACAAGGCACACAACTAAGGGTCTGATCTACTAAGATTACAAAAAAACAAGCACTAAATTGCATGTGCAAACTAAAACATTGCACATGCTTTAGTGGCTGTGTTTTGGGGAATCTACTATGAGTGAGTGTGCAATTGATAACAGGTGCATAAGTGGTGCAGACCGCCCTGTTTAAATGAGGATTTTGCGTGCACCGGCTGTCACTATGGAGAGTTTGGGAGAACAGAGTGGCCTTAAACAAAAGATGAATGCCAGGAGGTGGAGATATAAACCCTTTCTTCCGTCGGTCATCATGGGAAATGTCAACGCCCTGCCCAACAAAAGCGATATGTGAAGACTGAGAAAGCATACCCTGAGTGCAGTCTTCTGTGTTTTACTGAAACCTGGTTGACTCAAAACAACTCAGACTCCAGTGTGGATCTACCTGGATTCTCTCTCATAAGGTCAGACAGAGATGCTAAAACTAGTGGCAAGAAGAAAGGAGGAGGTCTGGCTTTATTTGTTAACCTGAGATGTTTCAACTCTTCACACATGACTGTCAAGGAGAGGATGTATTGTCCAGATATTGAACTGTCGGCAGTTGCTCTTATGCCATATTATCTTCTTTGGGAGTTCAGTCATATCATAACAATACATCCCACCCAAGGCAACAGCTGAAATCCCGTGTGATGTTCTCCTTGATACTGTTGCTAGGATACAAACTAAACACTCTGAGGCACTAATAATAATATCAGGAGACTTCAACCATGTCACCTTCTCCTCTCACCTGACTGGATTCACACAGCTTGTGAACTGTCCTACCAGAGAAATTAAAACCCTGGATCTACTGTATGCCATCATCAAAGAAGCTTACAGAGTCACTACCTCACCACCACGGGGCAAGTCAGATCATAACATGGTCTATCTGCAGACCTGTTACAAACCTTGTGTACTGAGGCAGCCTGTGACTAAAGTCAAAATCAGAAGATGGACTCTTCAAGCTAGTGAAGCTCTAAGGAACTGTTTTGAATCAACAGACTGGACTCTGCTGCTGGAGGACAGTATGAACATTGACAGACAGGTTGACCGCTTTACTTAATACATCAATAACACAGTTGTACCGACAAAGACTGTTTGCTGTTTCCCCAACAACAAACCCTGCATCACAAGTGAGCAATCCTCAAAGTTTTAAAATCTATTCTACTTAGTGTGGTGAAGAGAGTATTACTTCATCAAGTGGTTTCATCTTTAAAGCAGGTGGTATGATAGAAAGAAGTCTGTTGAATGCCATCTTTATGGGACTGACTGGAATGTTAAGCTTTTTATTGACTAGACAGAGAATATGCATATCCTCATGATTCCAAGGTTTTGCTCAGAATTACAGCTGCTCCTCTTGTACTCTGTGATGTGTAGCTCACTGCAGTGCAGTGTTTAATTGTTTGAAAGGATCCCCATTAGCTGCCACCAAGGTGACACGCTAGTCTTTTTGGGGTCCACACAGCAAGATAATCCAAAACACAGAACATAATACAGGATACACATGACAATCACAATTCACATCATTTACTATGATAATTCAGTTTGTGTATGTTCAGTGGGCAATTGTCTGTTGTTAATGCCTGTTGTCTCTTATTATCCCTCTCATTTCCTGACTGGGGCAAAGTGAAATGTTTCTATATTTCAGATTTGAAAGTTTCTGGAGCGTCCACAATATCAAAATCATGTCTTTGTTCCTCATCACTAATGCCACAGCATGCCATTTTAGCTGGAAAATATATATATATATATATAGGTGAAAGTGAATAAACTGTTCATCCCTGATAGAAACAGGTCCTCTCTCTAACTCTGTGTTCCTGTTTGCTCTTAGCTCCAGAAACTCCTCACCATGGACCCCACCAAGAGGATCACATCGGAGCAGGCACTACAGGACCCCTACTTCCTGGAGGATCCATTACCGACCACAGAGTGAGCCTCACTGAACTGTGGTTCATGCGTTCATTCTTTCATCCATATATTCTGCAGGGGTTTATGATCAGAGTGAAATTACTGCCTCTCTGTCCTCCTCAGTGTGTTTGCCGGGTGTCAGATCCCCTACCCGAAGCGAGAGTTTCTGAATGAAGACGAGCCTGAGGAGAAAACAGAAAAGGTAATTATGATTCATGCTGGAGAAATCATACATTTATCTCTGCACCAATTTTAACAAGTACATCAGTTTTCAGTTTTCAGAGACAGATTTAGCATTATACAGTCAGTTTAACCACACACCAATATCAGTAGCTGCTGAACTCAACCTCCACAGCTAAGTGGTTTGAAATCTTATCTACTGTAAAATAACTGAGATAAGTTCCACTTATTGTCCAGTTTGGACCTGTTTCATGATTATCAGCGCTGGTGTATTTATTATCCTTTCTTATTAGGATTCTACTACCTGCTGTAGGAGATAGTACAGACAGCCTTGTTGAATGCCATCTTTAAAACACCATTACCATGTAGTTTGCTCATTAAAGCGCACTCTGACTTCATAGTTTACTATATGCTAAGCATGAATGACCATCATGCTTGTTGAGGAAAACTTTGAGATAGTAAGATGTAAGCACAGGTAAAAGGCTCTGACCACTACTTTATTCAGATTTTGCTTGGCTTACCATCATTTCAACAAAGTACTACTCAGTTAATATCATACTGCAGAAACTATCTCTCACTTGACCCAACTAAGATGTCAGTTATGGCTTCATGTAAGGAGTTCTTTGCACTCTCTGTTAATGAAGCTACAGACACCCTCTGCTCCTCACTAGACCTCTGGACAAACTCTGCCCTCTGGTGTCCAAGCCAGCTCAAAATACTCCACTCTCTCTGCTTTCAACTCTCTCCTCTCTACTTCAAACCCACAACCCTTCACCATGTTTACTCCAGACATGTTTGCCTCATACATTACTGACAAGGTTGCTACCATCAATCCTTTGAGCCTGACCAACTCAGCTTTTTGCCACCAGCTAGTGATTCCTCACTTAGCTCATTCTCTCCACTGAGCAAAAGCAAAGTCACCAGTTACCCACTCTTTTTAGTTACCACACTTTGCAGGACCATTATCTGTCAAAAAGGGTGGTCAGTCTAAGAAGGCTGTTTACATGTGCTGTTACTAGAGTGGTGTATTTAGATTTAGTTTCAGGTCAGACAACAGAAAATTTTCTCTTATCTTTTGAGACATTTATTGCAAGGTGAGGGCTATGCAGTTATTTACTTACACAGTGCCAGAACATTAAAAAGAGCAGACCAAGATCTGAAGGAGCTTTGGAAGTCATCCCAAGGATCTGAGTTTAAATGGTTTTCACTGACAAGGTAATAACATGAAAGTTTATCGCTGAGTGACGCATCAGAGCCTCCACCACTCACACCTTATTTCCTTGTTGAAGAAAGACTAACCTCTCTACCACCAAAGACTTTCTCCACCATCTCAGGCAACAAACGTGAGCAGAGAAGACATGGGTTGGACATTGAAATGCCAATAGAGACTGTTGACCAACTTTTGGTCCAGCTGCAAAAAAAGGACTACTTGATGGACTTGAAGTCAGCGCACATGTGTGAGACACCACAGTTGGAGAAGAAAACATGCCCAGGCAGACCTGGAAAATGGGCAGGATCACAGGGCTGTTTCCAGGGAGAGATCGACTTATTTGTTCTTGTAATGTTCATACTTCTACAGGCCGTTTGTTGAAGAGACCTTTTCAGTTGATTGAAAATGTTGTGTAGTAGAGCTTCAGTTGATGAAAAGGCCTGTCTCTTTTCAGTGAACTGCTTTGTGTTCCTTTTTTATTGTAAACAGATGAAAAACTAACACAAAACATGGACATCTTTACCATCCTCAACTTCTTAGCAATCAAGTAGCAACGACAAGCACCATTCTTTTTTCAATTTCAAAATAAGAGCACTTCAAAATAAAAACATTTCCTGGTGCTATTCTTCCTAAATCATTGTATTAGCACATTAGTTGACTCTTATTCATGTCAATAATGTAAAGGTATCCAGGTTGTCCACTGTCCTTGCTGCCACTGACTACAGGCTCTGATTTTATATCGCTCCTCCTCCATCTTGGTCATCTCAGATATATCACCATCTCGTTCCTCTCCTTCCTTGAGGCTTTTGACCACATCAGGGTAGCTAGTCCTCACCCAAGGCCTGTTTTCTAAGATTGTGTACTCCCAGCATCCTTAAGGTGCCTCAACCTGCATATGGCCTATTCAAGTGCTTGCTCAGCTTTCAATTTCAGTTCAGCACAGGGGCTTCAGTGTTCTGTACAGAGGGGTCTGCTGAGGCTCTCAACTCTAGCTCAAGCCTTACCTTCTCCTGCATATAGCTGAGGTTAATAGACTTTAGAGATAGCTGAAATGCATTCCTTCAGACTAGGCCTACAATGGAGAAGCTCTGTGGTAGTCCCGGCAACTTCTAAATGTAACTATGGGCTACCGAGTCCATCGTCAATACTGTGGAGGTTGCTTGTATAGAGTGAACTGAGCACCAGGCTTTCAGTTTTTCAGGGAGATGGCTTCTGTTGATCCTCTCAAAGCCTTCAGAGAGTTGTTTTAGGACAGTGGCAGGCTCGTGTTTGTCTGACAGATCAGCGGTGTACAGTTTTCTTAGGCTTCAGACAGGTTGTAATGGAATCTTTTCTCCATATACTGAGAAAGAGATGATGTCAATCCTTGTTCCTTCCTGTATAGAAAGACTGCAAGACTTGAAGGGTTTGATCCTCGTTCTGGCCCAAGTGACAAATTCCTCCAGTCTTTTTAGGAATCTGGCAGTACAAGCTGCTTTTGCAAGGAGGCATGTCACATCATCCATGTAGCTCTGCAAGGCTAGCATGCACTGACCTGACTGTGATCTGACTCCTAAAACAATCAGGATGATTTCAAAGGCTGCAGTGAAAATGATGGGAGAGATAGAGTAACCCAATGCTATGCCTCTCTCCAGCAGATGCCAGCCAGTGGTTCTAACCTGTGTTGAATAGCAGACATGAAAACTGCCAAAATGTCTGGACACATTCTGCACTTACTATGACAGCATGGCTTTGTTCAAGAAGAGCCGTGCTGCTAAACTGGTCTGCCTGCAGTCCAGACATGTACTATACAATACGATACGATACGATACGATTTGACATGACACGATACGATAGGATATCATACGCTATGATACGACACGACACAATACGATGTGATACAATACGATAGGATATCATACAATACAATACTATACTATATTATACTAAACTATACAATTTAATACGATACAATACAATACTATATGATACTATACACTTTCTTGTCCCCTGAGGAAATTTGTCTTGGACTCCAAGAGCTGCAGAGATAAAGCTGCCAACTGGTGACACAAAGTACTAGACCTAACAAAGACACAGTCACATGACCCAAGCACATTGCACATACCAATATTATATAATACCCATAATATACACATATTGCACAAGAATTCCACAGAAATTGTCAAAAGAAACACATCAACAAAAGACAGCAATGACGAGGAACAAGACACAGCAGGTGAGACAAGGCAAACAAGACAAAAAAGAAAATGACAAGATAGCAAGATAACATAATGACTTTATTGCACTATCCAGACATATTTAACGAAACATTATTTAAATACCTAATTGAGGTGGGCAGGAATGAGTTTTTAAAACGGTTCAGTCTACATTTTGGGACTCTGTATCACCAAATGTAGACTGAACTGTTTTAAAAACTCATTTATGCCCACCTCAATTAGGTTTTTAATGTTTTGTCACCAATTAAAAAGATTGGGCACATCATGACACAAAAGATACGACAAAGGAGACCCTGAACTGTTGAGCTGCTGAAATACTCTATTAGGCAAGAATGGGACATTTCCCTCTACAAACTCCAGAAACTGGTCTCCTGTGTTCACTAATATTAACAGAGTGCTGGTAAAAGAAGAACTGGTGGCACATAATGAGAAACGTGACGCTTTAACTAATTTTTACAAACATGACCTTATCCCTTTTGTCTTTAAGAGAATCCATAAATGAAGGGAGTCAAAATATCTGGAGTAAAGTTCTTATTTTGGCTCTGATGGTTATTTAGGGTGCTGAATATGAGATGAAGAGGCATATTATAATGGAGTGATGTGGCTGTTCAATGTCTCCTCTGAACTCTTTTTTTCAGTCAGATTTAAAAGAAAAAAAAACACATTTATCAGTTTTATTATTGGTGGTGATGTCCTTGATTGCCTCTCAGGCTGCTGTAGCTATAGTCTGTAGCTCTTTGCAGGCTCAGTCACACAGAGAGCAATCCTCTCTGCAGCAGGAGCTTAAACAAATAAGAATATAAATGATATAAAGAGCAGAGTGTCAGAGGCACTGAGGTGAGACACAGGAGGAGGCATCTTTGTTAATGCTTGAACAGTTGAGTAACTACACCTGTCTCTATGCTCCTGAGCACTCAGAGTGTTTTCATCAGACTGAGAGTTGGTGTGACTGCAGAGAAAAGTGGGTCAGACTAAAGCCCAGATTCTTGCAGAGAAACCAGATCAAACTCTTCAAGTCTCTGATCGGTTCACACTGGCTTCACTTCTGATGATTTTCTGCTCACAGATAGACTCTCAGGCACTCCTCTATACCCCCCCCCTCTCCTCAGCAGAACCAGACCCAGCAACACCAGCAGACCACGGGCCAGACCCAGACCCAGAACCAGCAGCAGATGACTGCCCAGCAGGCGCCCTCCCAGCAGAGCTCGGCCCAAACCAATGGCACCACTGGAGCAGTAGGGGGCACTGCAGGCACAGGTCTACAACACGGTCAGGACCAGGGGCCCCCCAACAAGAAACCTCGCATTGGGCCCTCAGGGGCCTCCTCAGGCACTGGGGTGCTGCAGTCAGACTACCAGGTGAGGAGAGACAGAGAGCGGTATATCATGCAGTGTAATAACTTAAAGGTCCCCTATTTTGGCATTTTTTATCAAGTTTAAATTGGCCCCAGAGGTCCCACAATAGCAAATTTGAAGTTTGTTGTCTAAAACACCAGTTTATTTGTGGACACCAGCCAGCCTGTACCCTCCTCTTTTTGAGCTCCACTGAGAACGGGCTGATTCTGTACCTGTACCTTTAAATGACAATGAGCTGTTTGTAAACATCTTCCTCCCCAAGGCCACTCTGAGTTGCTGGCACCGCCACTGTACCACAGCCTTCCCGCGCCCCCGAGAAACACCCGCTGCTCACGAGAATAAAAGTAAATAGAAGTGAGTCCAAAGACAAATACCAACGATGGTGAAACTTACAGCTTCCACGTTAGAATTTGGGTCCCTGACACGGACAGTAGGTACGGATCCGGGTTTTATCTTCAGCTTCTTAGCGAATCATGCTTTGAACTGCCCCTCGTTGGTAAAACAGTCTGAGGTGAATGGCTTGCGCACTCATACGACATTTTCGGAGATGTTGTGTACATTTCAATCAAAAATAAAATTAATCCACTGGGTCCTCAAATCCTCAAATAGACTTCTGTCCTTGTTTGTGCAGCCAAGAACCAAGCAACAACTGGGTCGTAGCTTCAACATGGTTGCTGTACCGAGGCGGCGTATACGAGGGGAAAAAATGGCGGATACTGCCTTAGCGAAGAAGTTTTAGAGGGCTGGGCTAAAAATTATCAGGGGCGCTGCCACTAACACGTAGGAGGGGCTTATGAGGTTATGTTGTCATACCTGCACAGCTTTTCCATTCGCCCATTTGCGCTCATGTTTTCATAGAGGAGGGGAAAGCAAAAGAGAGAGAGAATGAAATTTTTTCATGCTGGGAGTGGAGGGGCGTTGTCGGCTTCGAGGAGATGGTGGTATTATTGGTAGAAAACCACCCAAAAGTGGATTTTTCATAATAGTGGACCTTTAAACTCTCTGAAACTTCATAATAATGTATAAAAAAGATGTCTGACTCTGATCATCCTGTAGAGTCTGCCTCCATGATTCATTGTTAGCACACATGTTCAGACCCTGCAGTCAACTCGCCATGTTTCCTCTTTCTTTCCCAACAGCATTCTGGACCCCGCATTGGTTACCAAAGCAACGTCCAAGGCTCCACCCAGGCCCAGAGCACCATTGGATACTCGTCGTCATCGCAGCAGAGCTCCCAGTTCTCCCACCAGACCCACCGTTACTGAGGCTTTCACTATCCTCCACCGAGAGTCGCACCCGTCCCCCACTGATTATGACATCATTTCAGCCCCTCATCCCTGTCCCTCACCTGTCCTTGACCACTGACCTTCTTCCCAACCTGATGGTAAACTCCAGCTCTGGATCCCCACTGCAGACAGATAGAGGGGTCCTGACATGCTGAGGGAAGTCCAGACTAGTGGGACTTTTGCTGGCTGATGGTTTCATACTGTAAGATAGACGTTTGGACGTAGAACAGCAGCACTTAGAGACAGCTGTCTCCTCAGCAGCTGTTTTCACACTTGTACATTCTGCAGCACCTTTTTCTATCCCTCTCTTATTACTCTGGTTAACCCTGATAGCTGATGTCACTGTAAATATTGTTCCATATAAAAGAGATGAGAGAGGAGAAATAGGAGGAAGAGCCCTTTACACTCACCTCTACATCACCTTTATGAATATGAACTGTAAACAGAGAAGCCTCTGAGCTGACACTCTCCACGAAGTCAAACTCTCCAGAGAACAAAATCAGCTCATGCTGCTTGGAGCACATGCAGGGAAATATTTACATGAACCCCACCTCCTGATTCTGTGCTTTTAGTGTCACACCTGTCTTTACCAGGTTGAGATTAGGACAATAAGAGCAGAGATATTACAGCTCCACTTCCACTCTGCTCCGATCCACTCCATCACTTTTACAGACAGACTACAGATGGCTGAAAGCCAAGATTCCTGTCCTCTGACTGCAATAGCAGCGTTGTTTCAACAACGACAGCAGCTCACTCGTATCTCTGTGGACACTCATATCTTTGTGGACACGTGTCTTTGACTCTAAGGGTTCTGGACTTGAGCGTGTGCATTAACCTCCAGGGCAGCTAACAGACCGCCCTCTCTTGACATTCTTTCAGACTGTTACCGCGTGATGTCAGATTGTTTTTTTATAAGATTTTACTGCTATTATTGTTGCCCTGCAAGTGTGTGTGAGTGTGCGTGTGTGTGTGTTTGTGTGTGTGTGTGTACATGATGTTTTTTATGCATGTCGTTGATCTTTTTACTTTTACTTTATTTGAGCTACAGAGAGCTGGAACAAATGGGGTGTTTAAAGTATGTCATCTCCCTCTGCAAACCTGTTGACCAATCACAGAGCAGCACTCTGAACTCTCTTAGGGCCTGATCTACTAAAGGTCTGTGCGTACAAAAACACGTGCAAACTTGATTGCGCTCGCAAAACTGATCTACTAACCAAGCGCACCGAGGGTTGCGTCAAATAAGCAAAACAGAATGAGCAGTTTATGGAGTGTGTTCGCTTTCATGAATATTCAAAATATTTGAAGATTATCAGAATGCACAAAATACTGGGAGGAGGAGATGAAAATGTAATCATCCAGCACCTACAATGTGATTTATCAAACCCTGAAACTTATTGCGGTCTGTGTTTCTGCATCTATATTTAGCAAGATTGAAAGGCAAGTGCAAACTGGCAGAGCATTACGCAAATACAGCTGCGGTCATTGTGGCGAGAAGGAATCATAGATGTAATGACAGACGACGGAGAGAGAGAGTCTTCTGTTTGCATGTCAACATATTTAGACTGTTAGAAATAAGAATAGTATAGACCATAGTCTGTATATAGAATGGACAGACTCTGCCTCCTCGCTGAGTGAAGCTACTTCGAGAACAGCACCCTCTGTTGATGGGCTGCAGTATAGGTCATAAATCCCGCCTCCGCCAGCAAAGCTTAAAGAGCTGTGGTCAAACTTTAGAAATTTATTACACAGAACATAATTTTTTTTCCCCCCTGCTTGTGATGTTGACATGTAGTTATTGTAAGACTGATTTGTGCTCAAGTCCTCTTTTTTCTGTGCAGTTCCGTTTAAAAGTTATTAGGGGGTTCATGTTTTCTTTGATTGACACCTGATACAGCCTATTGGGATTGCGTAGCTCACCAGGGATACGCTGTTTGAGCCAACGTCACCACAGCGACTCTCGGCGAGTATTCCGCCAAATGCGCACAACCCTACTGCGCAGCGCTGGTTTCAGGAAGTGGAGAAAAATCCCGGAAATACGGGGAGCTATTTGGGAGCTATTTGGCTTCAAATCCATATACAGGCAGGAGGCGGAACCAAGTTGTCCATAGTATATACAGTCTATGGTAGAGAAATATCGTCTATCCAGCAATGCCATTTCTGAGCTACTGGATGACCTGAGGGTTAATTTCTGCCGGTCCCAAACCGGTTTTATTCGCAGAGGTTTTATTAGGGGAAAGTTTTTCCTTTGTTCTTCTGCAGATATCTTGCGTTCTTCTTTTTATTTAATCAGCAGATCATCTGGTTTTGCTCACAGCATTCATCTTTCATCCCAAATTGCGTTTCCTCTGGCAAAGCTAAGATGTCTCTGCTGGAGTTCACCAGTGTGTTTGTTTGCCTCCTCCTCCAAGACCTCCAACTCCATTGCTTCTTATTTTATTTTTTATTGTTTAAGGCCACTCTGTTTTCCAAAGCTCTCCATGGCGTGCATGCAAAATCCTCATATAAATAGTGCAGTCTGCACCACTGCACCACCAATCATAGTAGATCACCCGCAACACGCCCACTAATAACGGCACTTGTAATTTTTTAGCTCCTTATTTGGGATCTTAGTGGATCAGGCCCTCAGACACATGAAGAGACACCTAGAGCATTCTTTTAAAAAGCCAAGGAGAGGTTAGCGACATTAATTCACTTCAACACAAAGTAAATGTTTCATGTTTCAATCTGAACTTGTCCTGCCATGAGCTCTCTTTCCTGTCCTATCTCGATAAAAACTCATATAACCTGATCTTATATTATTAAATCTAATCTGATCTAATGTAATCTGATGTGACCTGAACTAACATGGCCTGATATGATCAGGTCTGATATAATCTGATCCAGTCTGATTTTATCTCATCTGATTTAAAATAATCTGGTGTGATGTGATGTTATATTATGTGATGTGATCAGATCATATAAGATCAGATCAGATCTTGTCCTGACCCTTGCCCTGTACCTGAATCTTTGAAACCCTCACACAGACAAACCTGAAGTCACTCTGACATTGTGCCATCCATGCTTTAAATCCACTACATCTTGCAGGAACCAACCAATTCAATGATTTTCTACGAAATCCTGCTTTTTTAAGGCTGCAGTTCTTTGTTTCCTGCCCTAATGCTAAGCTTAACTAACAAGCTAAACTAAGCATCACTCGATGTATATTTAGAATAAACTACACGCCTCTATCCCTGCCTACTGAGAAGTGTTTGGTTAAAGAACCACCTCCATGGATGCTGATGATGTTTGGAGTGTCCTCTAAAGGCCAATATCAGAGTGAAACAGGACATGAAACCTAAATTTCAGTCCAAGTTAAAAACAAAGTCAGGTATTCCCTCGTTTTTGTTGTTGTTAGCATATTCAGCTAACACCGGGAGATAACAACACGATATGTCATGGTTTGTACACAAAAGCAACATAGCAGCATGTCTACAGACTGGACATGCACAAGACTGAGTTGCTAACGAACATCACAGTGCACAAAGCTGTAGGAGCCTCATCAGTCAACAGCGCAGTCAATCAAACTGGTTTTCAATGACTCATTCAAACTAATGAGCTCTGTGACATCTATCAGTATGATGAGCTCTAGCAATAAAACGTGAGGAACATCTAATCTTGGCTTGGATTTTACAGTTGGACTCATGAAGTTTATACGAAACACATCACATGATGGTAATGATGAATTTCCTTCATGTTTTATACACAAGGTTTTCAACTCCAGGTCACAGGTACGGGTCACAGGTGCAGGTGTTTATTCAGACCCTAAACTGTCTTACTCATACTATGTACAGGTTAGATATTTCCAATGAACGGCAGCTCAAATGTCAACAGGCACACCTTTCTTTTTTAAGTCCCTGTTTTTTTCTCCATCCTCATTGATCCTTTAAGGTCCAGCCATAGTGCAGGTTGTACAAAAGAACCCATGATCCTAAGTGAACACGTTTGTGTTTTCTAGGAAGGAGCGTGTTTACAGACTTACGGTGTGTATGGAAACAGTGACACCCTGTGGCTGGTTGGAGAACAGTGGTTAATGGGGTTTAACCATAGACTGCATATAGAATGGACAGTGTCTGCCTCCTAACTGAGTGAAGCCACTCCGAGAACAGCACCCTCTGTTGATGGGCTGCAGTATAGGTCATAAATCCCGCCTCCGCCAGCAAAGCTTATGGAGCTGTGGACAAACTTTAGAAATTTATTACACAGAATGTAAAATTTCTCCCCCCTGCCTGTGATGTTGACATGTAGTTACTGTAAGACTGGTTTGTGCTCAAGTCCTTCTTTTTTCTGTGCAGCTTCATTTTTAAAAGTTATTAGGGGGTTCATGTTTTCTTTGACTGACACCTGATACAACCTTATTGGCGTTCAGGTACTGCGCAATGTTGGTTTCAGGAAGTGGAGAAAAAATCGTGGAATTACTGAAAGCTTTTCAAATCCAGATACAGGCGGGGGGCAGAACCAAGTTGTCCATAGTATATACAGTCTATGGGTTTAACATGATGGTGATGGTTTTAACCCAATCACTGCAGACGAAATGACTTCATAGCAAAATCAGACCCTGTGTTCAGATTTGACTGAAGTCCTGAAGCCCCACTCTGCTCATCATCTGATGATCATTCCTGACTCAGCCTAGGACTAATATATAAATATATATAATAAAAACACAGAAAATTGCTTTCATACACTCCTCCGGGTTTCACATTATTTATTTCTGAATGATTTTCTGTTTATCTGTTTGTGATAGACCAACAGTTCCTTCTTCACTGACCTCTCAAAACCGCTGCAGGGTGTCCCCAAGATGTCAGATTTCTGTGTGATCTGCAGAGAGAGTGAATATCAGCTGGCGCAGATCATTTCTGACAGATGCTGAAAAAGAAGAGATGGAATGATGTATATCCATTTGAAGAGCTATACTGAATAATTCTAAGCTGGTCTCTCTGGATCAACACAAAGGTCAAAGGTTTCTCCTCCCTCTCACCAGTGTGTGTGCGTGTATGTGTGTGTGTATGTGTGTGTTTGCAGTCAGACTGAGTAGCAGCAAGGTGTCTCCAGTATTACTGAGCACAGTGGAAGTCAACATCTCCTATGCAAACTAAAGATCCAGCTCCCTGCCTGCAGAGACCGCAGACTCAGCAGTGGTTTTAGGGGCTCTGAATAAATCTGATGGCTGGTGTGTTCATTTCTGGTGTTTTGTGGAGAGCAGGAGTCAGACACAGCAGTCACTCATGTCCTGTTTTTTGTTTTTTTTTTTTTACAGTATTTTGAAGTGTACTCTAAATGAATTATTGTAAAGAAATGCATATATATGGATGGTATATAATCATATTTATTGTTTCCATACATTTATGAATAATGCCCATGTTCTGAGCTTTCCTCTGCCTTAACTCTTGTAGCTAAAGAAAGAGACCTCTGTCAGGCGTCACTCCCTACTCTCTCCTGTATGTCAGAGTTCTCCTCTTTCTTTGTATATCCACATGTAATCATGTTTAGTAGCTGAATGTGTTACTGCTGCCTCAGTGTACAGCACCATGAAGGTGAGATTACTTGTCGGGGTCTCTTTCGCTGTCCTCTGTATTCAGCTCTGTCCCCATCACTGTCTCTACAGGAATGATATAGCTCCACCTCTTTTTTATGTGGATGGTGCCTTTTTTATGTCACTCACCGTCTGAGGATTTCATGGGAATTTGTTCAGGAGTTTTATACCTTTTTATTTCATTCAGTGTTTTTGATTTTTTATCATAGAGTGTGTATAAGAAGTGGACATAGCAGGTGATCTCACCTATTACTTTGTTGACGATGCTGTCAGAGCTTATATGTCTTTTCTGGATCTATCATGTTCGACTGCAACAGAAAAATAACGAAGAGTCACGATCCTGTGTAAAATTTTATCAGTTAGGAAATCGTTTCAAATTTATATTTAAATGAAAATATGCAGAGACTACACACCATGTTGTTGTAATTCACACAGAATGTGGTTTGTCATTGTTTTGCTGAAATATGAAGGTCTTCCCTGAAAAAGTCATTGTCTGGGTGGCAGCATTGTATGTTGCTCCAAAACCTGTTCAGATTGTTCAGATTTAAAGGGATATTCTGGCGTAAAATTAATTTAGGGTCAAACACGCTGTAACACCAAGTTAGACACCCCCTTGAGAGATGAATGTTGCCGACCACTTGCCTCTCTAGTTATACCAACATGAGCAATGACCAAATGATAGCAATACACAGCGGTCTACGTCTCCACATGCAAACCCCAACCAAAAGCCACTCTATAGCCACAAATAATGCTCAGAACAGCACCTAACATCATCAACAGCACATACAGCACAACAGCCATAGTACTAGCCACCAAACATCTTTTTAGTTTTGACTAATTTCTTCAGCAAAGAGACTAAACACAACTCACCCACTCTCCTCCAGCAGCCGCTTGTTTGTACAGAGACCTTGGACGAGTCCATCAATGGCTAGTTCTATGGTTGGGACCCTATATGTACTGTTGATGAAGTTAGGTGCTGTTCTGAGCATTATTTGTGGCAATAGAGTGGCTTTTTGGTTGAGGTGTGCAAGTGGCTCCTGAGACCACTGTGTATTGCTATCACGTGGTCGTTACTTAAGTTGGTATAACTAGAGAAGCAAGCAGTCGGCAACAACTAACTGTGTTAATGTGTGTTTGACCATAACTTAAATTTACGCTGGAATATCCAGACATGGAAGATACCCATGCCATGGACACTTATGATCCCCATTCCATCAGAAATGCTGGCTTTGAGCTGTGAGTCGATAACAAGCTGAATGGTCCCTCTTCTCTTTAGGGCAGGGGGACACAACATCCATCATTTCCAAAAAGTAATTCATATTTAGACACTGCCCCTTCATTAGAGCAGGGGATCTGATATCAATGATTCCCAAAAAGGCCGTCAAATTTGGATTAGTCAGACCACAGCATAGTTTTCCACTTCCCCTCAGTCCATCTTGAATGGGATCAGCGACCTCTGGTGTTTTTGGATCATGTTTCTCTCTGGTTTCCTCTTTGCATTGTTCACATTTAACCTGTATTTGTGGATGCAGTAATGAGCCGTGTTCACAGACAGTGGTTTTTGAGTCCATGCAGTGATTTCCACTACAGAATTTGTCTTTTAACGCAGTGCTGCCTGAGGGCCCGAAGATCAGAGCCACCCAGTATTGGTTTAGTCCTTGAAGAGAGATGTCTCCAGATTCTCTGAATCTTTTAATATTATATACTGTAGATGATGAAATCCACTAATTATTGGACACATAACACTCAGGAACATTATTCTGAAATGATTGAATTGTTTGCTCACAGTCTGTAACAGAGTGTTGTACCTCCCATCCTTCCTTCTTAAAGACTCGACCTCTTAGAAAGTCTTTTTTGTACCTGGTTCCTGTAAGTGCTTTTTACCTCTTTGGTTTTTCCTTTCTCAACATTTGACCTCTTTGGTTGTCCCTCTCACAACTTTTAGACCTGTTTGGTGGTTGCACTAATAACTTTTTACCTGTAAGGTTGTTTCTGTTACAGCTTTTTACCTGTTTGTTTCAGGAATGGGCATTTTTAGTTATCCCCATGTTCAAATAATTGTACTTTGTAAACACTTTGCAAAAGAGCCCTTCACCCTGCTATGCTTTTCTCATACATTTTCCACTCATCACTGCAGACCAACACCATCAGTTCACTCTTCCACTAAACTTTATGAGGGCATATCTCCTCTCACATTTGTTTTAATTTGCAGGCTAATCGTCTTTGCTCTGGTGTCATCACATTGGCATATGGTAACAGGGCAAGCAAATGCTATGATGCGAGACGGCCTATCATCTGTCTCTGCCATCTCTTCCCTGTGCTTTATGCACATGTGGTTAGGTGTCGGACATGTAATTACAGGATATAAAAATTTAACACTGCATGTTGCACAGCACATTACTGTCATCCTTTTTGACTAAACACTTCCACTTTTACTACTCCCAGCTGATATGATGCATGTACTTGTAAGATAACTGAACTGCCAACCAATGTACGAGTAGTGTAACAATACTTGAGTAATAAAAATTACCAGAAGTTTTCAATTACTTCAGTATTTGTCCCCATCACTAGTTTGGTTTTTCCTGTAAAAATTTTACCTGTTTGGGTGTCCCTTTAACCTTTTTTTTCCTCTTACAACTTTTTACAAACATGTTGCTGGCATCAAAGTTTAAAAATACAGCAATTTTTCAGGGAATAATAACATTTCAATTGATGTGTTGTCTTTGCACATGAGTCTGTTTAATGAAAGTAACGATGATTTCTCTAATACTCAAATATCTTCCCCATTCCTAGTTTAGTTGTTCCTGTTACCACATATCCCTTTACAATTTTTACCTGTTAAGTTGTCAGCCAAAGTTCTTTTTTTTTTTTTTTTTTACGAACATGTTATTTAAAATATGCAGACATTTTTCAGGGAAAAGTAACATATATTAGTCTCAACATTTGATGTGTTGTTTTAGCACATGTCAGTTGAATGAAAGTAACCATGTGTTCTCTATTGCTCGAGTATTCTTCCCCACTCCAGGTTTGGTTGTTCTTGTAACAAATTTATACCTGTTTGGGTACCCCTGTAACAATTTTTTAACAGGTTAGGGTGTTCCTGTAACTACTTTTAAACTGTTTGGTTGCTCCTAAAACAACTTTTTACAGATATGTTGCCGACATCAAATTTAAAATATGCAGATATTTTTCAGGGAATAACGACATATTTCAGTTACAGCATTTGATATGTTGTCTTTCTGTCCAAATAAAATATTTTCCATAGGTTGCTGACTTTCATTTAAAAAATCAATTTTTCTGTCAGTGAAAACAACTTTTTCATCTTTTTGAGTCTATATTGGACTAACATGAACCTGATGAACTTTAAACTAGCTACAGAGGTCCTAAAATAATCAGATTATCTGAGGTGATTAAGGAGGTGAGGAGATGTGTCCTTTTCTTAGTCTGCCTTTACTGTACATCTAAGCGGTGAGCTCACCCCTGCTGGCCATCAAAGGGACTGCAGTTTTCAGACTGTGGGGCTGTTTCCACTTCTTATATACAGTTTGTGATTGTGATGGCCACTTTGTGTTTTGGGTCTTTTTGTCATCACTGTGTAGCATTTTGTTGTTTTTCTTTTTTTTTTTTTTTCATGACCTGGAAACTAGCAGCTAAAATCTAGGTGTTTATTTCAGTGTGTGGACTTTACAGACTGTCCTAATAGAGGATGATCTCTTTCTCTCTATTAGGAACTTTCCTCACTCATTACTAAACATGTTTGAAATGTTGTACATAAAAAACACGTTTTAAGAATTTCTCTTTGAGATAAAATAATTGTCTTTAATGCACTGTTGTTGCTCAGATATTTAGTGGAAATAAACTATTTAATGTTTCTACTGTCTCGCTTTGTACTCCACTTCTGTCAATGCAGCAGATACTCCTCTGTGTATGTTTGTGTGTGAGTGTGCAGCGAAACACTGACATGGAGTTTGCCATAGATGAGTTTGTGACCGTCTTGGGGCGAATCAACAAATGTACAAAAGCTGATTTGTTTATTGTTGCAACGTTTTATGATGTCCTTGTTGCCTACAACATGGACATCATAAAACGAGGTTGTAATATTCCAGTTTTGTATATTGTATTTCGTGTTTTTCTCTGGCCTGGCTGTGTCTGGTGGATGTGTGGTGCATTGATGTCTATATGAAAGGCATATATATATATATATATATATATATATATATATATAGTGTGTCCAGGTTTCTTTGTTTTACTGCTGTCTGATCAGCAGGACTGTTAGTCTTTTTCACCATCAGGGGTCACCAGAGTGTAAAGACTCCCTGACGTGCAAACACTAACCAACTGCAGTCAAACCGCAGATCCCAGTCATACAACTGATCCCAGTTTAACCAGTAAAGATCTGTCCTGTAAGTTCTGCATCATCATCAGCCCACTCTTCATCCCTGGATGAATCCAGTGAGGCTAAGGTTTATGAGGTATTTCGGCATGTTTTTATAACAGCAGCATAAACTGAATTCTGATAAACTGAACCTGATTTTATCAAAGTCTTTGTGTGTTCAGCAGTTTGATTTATATCTGTGAGTTCTGCACTCAGAGTTCCTAATTGGATGGTGAATTGACAGGTGAGAGCTCAGACAGGCAGAGACTTGGCATGGTGCTCATGAGTCCTGAAGGCAGCGATCATGAATGGATCAGCCTAAGGAGCTGCTGCTGCTGCTGCTGGAAACATCTGACAGCTCACAGCAGATCATCACTTCCTCCAGGAGCTGTTCCTGCTTGTCAGTGCCCGATCTTTAACCGGAAAAACATGATCCGTGCCATATTGCTTTTCATATCACATGAAATTAAACTCAGTGAACAAACCCTGAGCTAGACATCAGGGCTAAAAAAATTAAACTTGAGTCCAATCAGAGCTGATTTATGAATGTGTTCGGCTGTTTTACTTTACAGGGCTCAGACTGACTTAACATGTAGCTACAAACACAAATCACAACATGACAGGACATGAACACTGACTGACAGTGTAGAGCATGTCAGAGAAATGCCTACACTCTAACTTTAACCAAACTGTGTTCAATACAGAGCTCCGATTGACCCAAACCCCAAAACAACACAAAATGAGTCTCAAAGACAAGAAAACCTAAGTACACGTGCCAAGGAATAGCGCAATAAAGGGACTATGCAATAACATTTCCCCTCTGCCTGTTGACACTGTGGTTAAAACAGTGTCTCAGGCTAGTCTTCAGAATGGGGAAATGATGACAGATGTGAAGGCAGCCTGACGCACAGCTCCATACCTCACATACAGAAGTGGAGCAACTATCCTGTCCTGCAGAGCAAACAAGAGCATCTCAAAGTTACTCAAATCATATGTGCTAGGTGATTTAAATTGATATTATCCAGTGGCCGATGGCTTTCAGGAACAATGTGACTCTTAGTATTTCTTTGATTGTGGATAAGCCAACTCGGCCCAATCTGAAATGTGCTCAAACCTGGCCTGGTTCCTACTAATGTTCTCTATGAATTTTCTCCTTTTTCCATCTTTGTGAATTACTTGAGTTATCACCGTGCTATTGCCACAGTTTGAAATAACAAAATGTTCACCTGTTGTTTACCTGCTGTCAGATGGAAAAACAGGTCAGTGATGAGTTTCTGTTTCTGTCTGAGATATCAGCTGGTTCAGAGACTCAGGTCAGAGACTTTCAGTGTGTCAGCCTCTTACCCTGCTTTCTGCTGCTGTTTGGGGAGAAAACATAATCAGTGCACACATTGACTTTCGAAAGAATCAAAGAAATAAGCCAACTCTGAATATTTTTTTTAATTATTTTTACAAATAATTTATCTGTTACAAAGACAGTTTTCCCAGCTAAAATCAAAAAAAAAAAAAAAAAAAAAAAACACTTTAAGATCCATTTTTTTTCCTTTAACAAAACATGAATAAACTGCCTCTTCACACCAAGGTGCAGATCAAACTGAAAAAAGAAAGAAAACTTATCTTTGGGTTTGAAAAAAGGAAAAAGTTTGGCATAAGTGCTTAAGAGACAATATCATAGATTTTAAAATAAGTTTAAACTACAGTTAAATTTGGCTTTAAAATGGCACTTGGATGTGACAGAGGAGGTCATCAATACAAATTCAGTCTTAGTTTAAGGCACTGATGCATGGCAGTGTTTCACAATGTGGAAAAAAAAGATAGGAACTTGTCCACAGTTAAGAAAGAGAAGTAAACGTTAGAAACACCATTACAGAGTAAAGCTGGGGACAATGAACCTCCAGCCAAATCCAAAAACACCAGGAGAACAGACAGGCCGTGCTTTGATTGGCTGTAACCTGTTTTTTTTTTATCTGTTTATAGTGCTGTAACAGTTTAGAGCATGTATACGTTTCATCTTTGGTACCTCACGTTAGGAATCAGCGCGAGTGATTTGCAGAATCATAGTGATTGTCTCCAAGAGGGAGTGTCCTCAAACATCAAACCTACATTCCAGTTGTCAGAAAACATGGCAGTCTGTGATTTCTCTTTATCAACTGTTCCTGTGGTGTCCTGACACACCTTTTCCCCTCACTCGTTTCCTTGCTGACTCTGCAGGTTGTACACAAAAACAGCGTTCCTGAAGCCTTGTACGCAGCATGCCTTAAATGCAGAGTGCCATGAATTCACTGTGCCTTGAATGCACCATCCCCTGAGTGCATTGTGCCCTAAACGCACTGTGCTTTGAGCCGCCGTGCCTTGAATAGACCGTGCCATAAATGCATCGTGCCATGAAGCTCCCAGTGGCTTGAATGCACCGTGGCTTGAATATACTGCGCCTTGAGCTCACCGTGCCGTCAAATTATGGTGTTAAATGGACTGTGCCTTAAAGCACCATGTTACAAGCACGCTATGCCATGAACGCACCGTGGGCTTGAATGCACAGAGGCTTCAGCGCACTGTGCCTAAAAATCATGATGCCTTGAATGCGGTGTGCCGTAAAGCACCATTCCATGAGCACGCGTGTCATGAACGTACAGTGCCATGAACTCACCATGGCTTGAACGCACCGTGACTTAAATGCACCGTGCCTTCAGTGCATTGTGCCACGACAGCACATTTCCTTGAATGCACCATGCCTTAAAGCACCATGCAGTAGCTTGATTTGAGGACCTTTCCCTATCTGGTGCTCCGCTCAGACTCTCATTGTCATGGAGTAAAGAGCTCAGAAAGGATGAGGGAACTGTGTGGTTTACACAGAAAAACTAAAGACAGAGGTGAATACAATCTATGAAGCTATACTTACAGAAATACAGGTGATTCATAGAGTGAGGAAAGGCTTCAGGGCTCATACTAACATTATGTACAGGTTAAGCTCCACCCCCATGTTCTAGACACAAAGCATGCAACTTGATTCATGAACCTGCGTTCAGGAAGGGGGAGGAGAAACACCGCTTCTTCTCGTTGGTGTTTTGTGAAACAGCAAACAAACAGAGTCCATGCCAGTCTGAGAGTTCCCATCAGACGCAGAGTGGTGGCCTGGCACTCTTCCTGAATCCAACACCACGCTGCCACACCAGAAGAAAAACATCAACATCAGACCAGCCACAGGTACAGCAGCACCTGTGTGTGTGTGTGTGTGTGTGTATGTGTGTGTATGTGTGTATGTGTGTATGTGTGTATGCGTGTGCATGTGTGCTGTCACACTGCGAGGCCACACTTGTAATACTGCAGCGGGAACAGTGAGGTATCACCGGGGTCAAAGGTCACTCGTCCAGCAAACACAAAGAGGAAGGTGACCCCACGCCTCTGCCACTCTGAGGTGAGGTATCAACTGCCGAGCCTTCAGTGGATGCCATCTACAGCCCAGAGAGGTGGAGAAGAAAAGACAGGAAACAGGAAGTAGGATGTGAGAAGACCACTCCCCTCTTTCAGTTCAGACACCAGAGTGAAAAGCAGAGAGGAAGCTCTCTGATAGGATGTGGAGGGCAGGGAGGGAGCAGAGCCCTGCAGCCTGGTTGGTCAGAAGTGCCGCGGGAACTCGCACTGTTCACAACGGTTCAGGGCTGGATGGTTGAGGAAGGTGCACGCCGTGCAGCTCCACTGCGTCCCCTCATCCTCTTCAAGGTCAGCAGCGCCAGGCTTCACTACCTTACTGCCCACATCTGTGGAAGGGGGGAGAAAAGAGGTCACTGTGGGGAATATGTGCAAATCATTCTTACATGAAGTTGAAGTCCACCCTCCTGCAGACTCAACATGAGGTAAGACGGGTTTAACAAACTGACAGAAGAACCCAGAAACAGTTTCATAACATCTGTCTGAATGCAGAGTGATGGATGATGAAATAAACAGATAGAGGGATAGAATAAAAGGAGGGAGAGAGAGAAATCAAGGGATAGAAGGATAACATAAAGAAAGTGGAGGGATGGATGAGTAAACGGAGCACGAAGAGCAGAGAATGGAAAATAAGGAGACAATAGGAGACAATAAATTTTACAAATGATGAGTGTGGGATTAAACAGCAGGACAGTAACCCTGAATTTCCACCGCATCCTGAACGGCTCCAATCCAGATGCGATTTTCGCCGTCAGCCAATTCCTACCAGATCTGTTTGTGAGGCGAATTTTGTGGTGGATTACGGACAGCGGGAATCGTGAGAACTCACAGGAATCCGCGGATTAACGTGCAGTAACGAGTTGTCTCTATGGCCACATAACTATATATGCAGTAGATTGTGTCCTTCCAGAGGAGGAAATCTACTTCTAGACTTTTAGAATCTGCATCTCCTCATCCATGGTGTAAACAGGGTGAAATGCTGTCAAAAAACTTGTTGGTCCCGATCCTTTGCATGGTGTGGAATATGATCTGCCTGAAACACGTAGTGTTTTATTTTGAAAAGAAGCCGGATGTCTTATTTTGTGTCTGTGCTCAACTTCCTTTCCAGCACAGGTTAATCTGTGCTGAATTTATCTGGCATGCTCCGGCGTCCCGAAAAAACAAAACAAAACCTTGGAATCAGCTGTTGAGTCCGGTGATCTGCAGCTGAACGGAAAGAATCCGGTGGAAATTGACACATTAACTTGAATGGTTACGATCAGCTACGATCAGTGAATACGGCCTTTTAGTAGCCGTTCCGGTTTGTTGTAGGTGTCCCCCTTGTATATAATATCATAATGCTACGAGTAATGATTATTTGAAATCTCTGAAGAGTCTCATCTTAATGTACACACCCCGGCACGAGCCCCTGTGGCCCTTTCAAAATTGTGGAAGTAATTTGAAGGCTGTTAGCAGATTAGTCTGTGAGTTCTGAACAGGTTTATAAAGTCTGTAGGACAGGTTCGTCTGTGAGTTATAAACAGGTTATAAAGAAGTTGAAAGCAGGATAGTTTCTAAGTCACTGACAGGTTTCTGGATGCTGTAGGGGCGTCAATTTGTAATGTGTTAACAGGTATATGAAAGCTGTGGACAGGTTGGCATTTGAATCATGAAGAGCTTTTCAGGGATGTAGTCTGAAAGTCATTTACAAGTTTGAAAGCCTGTAGTGAGGTTAGTCTGTCTATCAGATATTAAATGGTTTATATATACTCCCACACTGTAGGCAGGTGACCACCTGTTCATAAGGACAGTACATGTTAGTGTGAGTTATGAACTGGTCTATAAAAGCTGCAGGCAGGTTAGTCTGGGAGTTTGAACAGGTTTAGAAATATTGCAGGTTAGATCTTTCAAACTTGATTACGGATAAAATACCTTTGGGTTTGGGAGGGACAGGACCAAGGAATCCAATGTTGTCATAAAAATTATGAATGGCGCTGGGATTAAAGTGTGGTCCTGTAAATGACAGACATTACAATGATTCACTTTTTAAATATAACACACTAAAAAAATCTCACAGCAAATCTGACCGCACCAGTAAAGCACAAGCTTTATACCAGTTAGACTTCAGAAAAGGGTTGATTTAAGATTTATTGACAGCTTTATTTCAAGCCTGTAACATACAAATTGACAAAATGTTGCTTGTGGAAATTGAAGAATTAAAGACTTCTATCTCATAGTTCATGGCTGATGACATTAGGAACAATTCAATCTGCTACTGTTGGTTTTTAAGCAGCACTGATCTTTTTTTTTTCAGTATTAAAATGTTTTCATTAACCTTTTTTATAATGACACAATAAAAAACAACAGAAAAAGCCCACAACCCCCAAATCCCGTGGATAAATAAAATAAAAAAATAAAGACAGGAAACAAATGCTTCAAGAAGGGACCCCATGATTCTTCCTATTCTTTCAAAATCTTCTTTTCTACAACCATGCCCATGAAAAGAGCTGTTTGGCTGTGTTAAGGGAGCAGGAGAGTGTCCTCTGAAGCTCCAAAGAGAGACAAGTTTCTGTCAGGAGAGTGAGAGAAACCTCTGATACATCCCAGAGAAAAAGAAAAACTTCTCATCCAGAACTGATAAAATAATGGACAATCCCACAATAAACGCAGTAAAGTACCACCTTTTGAATGACATTTATGACCTAATAGAACTGAATTAACCTGTGTCTACAATTGACTGAAAAACTATGAATACAGGACAGTGCCGTCCTCCATCTTTTATCAGACAACACAGCATTAATCTCTTTCCTACAACTTCTTATCACAATTAGCTGAATCCTCAAAGAAATATTTCACAAATTTAGTGATAAGTTTTCTTCTAACTCTCTGGTGAAAGAGAGAAAAATTCCATCAGAGGGTGTCTCTCACAGGTTGACTCAAAGTTAGGTGTGTTTTCTTTCACCAGTTGCAGAAGTTGCACATAGTAAAATAAATGTGAATGAGGTCGATTGTACTCTAAACTAAGTTGCACAAAGGATGCAGACATGTTGTCCAAATAGAAACCTCCTACACACTTTGATCGTTTCTCACACCACAAAGCAAAGTTATTGTCCATGGTTCTGGTTATGGCAGACTGGTGTGTGTCTTGAGATGACTTTTTCTTAATTTGGTTCAGACAACAGGACTTTGACTGGTGAAAGGTTGGGACAGAGTAAGGAGGATGATGACATAGAGTACATGGTTGTATCAGGGATGAAAGTTCTCATTTTAACCACAGGGGGGCAGAGTTTAGTGATGCATGGTCTGGAGATTCCCATTGCCAGAATGCCATTGCCCTGGCATTGGCAGCCCAATAGTGATCTTTAAATATTAGAAGACCTAAACCCCCATCCTGGGTTGACCTGAATATATATGTATATATACATATTGTATAACGTTTATTGTGGACATACTTACAAACAAGCCAAGTAATCATAATTCATTTGTCTATTCTTCATCTCACATCCTTTTTTACTTTGACTTATAAATAGTAGATGAGATGAGATTCCAGACAAACATATATTTTCCTTGAGGATCAATAGTTTTTGTATTGTATCCTTAGAAAATGGAATTTTGTATATATCTGTCTAATATTCAGATCTGTTTGATGATCTGAAACATCTAAGTGTGCAAAAAAAAAAACAGAGGAAATCTGTTGGGGGCACTCCCGCCCCCCTGACACTGTATTTAAATATGAAGCCTGAACTGAGCTCATTATGAACAGTTTATCTACAGGTTTTACTCTTAGTTAAAACCTGTACATGCCTGCAGTTTGAGGCACACTAAGTGAACTGGCCATCTGAGAATCCTTTGAACACAACAAGCTGCCAGGAGGGCCATAAAAGCCTGTTATTAACCAGCAGCAGGATGTCATTCAGGAAGGAGTGATTGTTAACGGCACAATGTCAGCAGCCGACTGACAGGATGTGAGCTGGATTAACCCTGTATCAGATCTGACCCCCAGACTTGCATGGATATAAACTGTGTTTCACAATATCAGCCAGCACAGAGAACTGTGATAACAGACTGTATTGAATATCAGACAGTCCTACCTCGGGTCTGGATGAGATCGATCTCCTTGGTGAGGCAGTCAATGTCGATCTGCAGCAACCTGTTTTTACAACGTAACTGCTTCATCTCCTCGATCTAAAAGAAACAGACAGACAACAGTCAGTCTACAAGACAGAAAATCTGATAAAGATGAACATAAAACCATTATACAAACTCGGAGTGGGAATCACTTGTGGCCCCATGACACGGTATTATCACAATGCTTGGGCTACGATACAATATTATTGTGGTTTTTCACATTTTGCAATAAAGTGAGTATTGCGATACAATATATTGTGATTTGTACATTTTTTTTAACTGTTAAGCTAATTTAGCATTTGTCTTTCCTTTATGTTTCTCTTACTTATGCTGTATTTTATTTTCATGTAGCACATGATGTCTTGCAAGCCTAATATGTCAGGTCCATCTCATTTGTGCCCTGTTTGCATTCCTAATGTCTTTCCTCCGCTGCTGCTCGACTCCTCTCTGGCAAGAAAGAGCACGACCACGTAACACCTATTTTAGTGACCCTTCATAAGCTCCCAGTCTGTTTCCGCGTTGATTTTAAAATTCTTTTAATCGTTTTTAAAGCCCTCAATGGTCTTGTCCCTCCTTACCTGTCCAAGCTCCTGTATCACCACTCCCCAGCCAGAGCCTTAAGGTCCTCTGACCAGTTACTGCTGAACAGACTCAAGTCTAGAGAAAACCAGACTCAAGTCGAGAGGTGACAGGGCCTTTTCAGCGGTTGCCCCTAGACTGTGGAACAGTTTACCTGGCCATATTAGAGCCTCTCAGACCTTAGAGTCTTTTAAATCATCTTTAAAGACCCACCTTTTCTCCCTTGCTTTTGATAAATGAGCACACAGGAATCAGAGACACTGTAGCTTTTATTCTTTTACTGTCTGTATTTTATTATACTGTTTTAATTTGATTTTTTATTATCCATCTATTTATTTACTTCTTTTATTTATCCATGTACAGCACTTTGTTTGACTGCTGTCTTTTAAAGGTGCTTTATAAATAAATATTGACTTGACTTTCCTCAGGTGCTGCTATATTTGTTTTAGTAACTTTCTCCTGCTCTATGATGTCACCTCTACCAACCTCACTGGACAAACAGTTGATTTTAATTTTCCATTATCATAGATTTGACTTCATAGTAACAGTTAATATGAAAAAATCGACACTTGGTAAATGAGACGATATGATATATCACCAGACAAAATATCACAATACTATGCTGTATCGATTTTTTCTCCCACCCCTAATACAAACTAGTGCTGTCAGTGTGTCAGTGATAAAGTGATGAATCAAAACATTATTTATGTGACCTCTCTGTTTCAGAAGATAATTTAGCCTCCTTCAGCTAAAAAACATCAAATGATAATGGAGCAGGGGATAACAGAGGCTGGGTGGTTTAAGCGCCCCACATACAGAGACCATTAAGACTTGAGCTTTCATAAGCTTGACCTGTTCAGCTTTAACATGAAAAAGAGACTTCATGGCGATAAATACATGTTTCAAATGACTGCATTGTCTTCACTGTAACAGAATAATACTTTAGAAATGAAGTTCACAGCAACATATCAACTCATCAGTGAATCTGACTGTAATATCTTATAAATGAAGCTTACCTGACTGTTTATATGTTATAAATGATTGTCAGTAACTGTAATGGTTAATAACACATCTGTATGTTATGAGTCAAACCCACTCTGACATATGACCATGAATGAAGTAGATGGTAACATATTGGTATAATAATGATAATAAATGTGTGCATTTGTCTTCCTGTGTATAACTCACTGAGGGGATCTGGGAGACAGAACTAGATCTCTCCAGCCGTCTCCTCGTCAGGTCGTTCTCCATCTCATTCACTTCCTCTTTTAGCTTCTCCAGCTTCTTCTTTTTTAGCTCCAGCTCATGCCACAGCCGGTCCATGCGGGCCTTCTGATGGACCAACAGTGCTGGACACAGCACAAACACACAAACAAAGAGAAAGAAAGTAAATGAATAACCTTCAAACACGGAAATAAAATCAGGGGAGTGATTTTTGGCTCTGACACTAACTAGTCTCTGCAGACACTAGTCAAACCAGTTTAATCTTCATCGCTGCATGTTTAAATCGGACATCCTGCTCTCTGTGCTGCATGTATCTGTTGACACAAACAGCAGAATAATCCCATAAGGAACGTGCTGCAGGCTAACACTGAGCACAGGACCTGCTGCAGCGTGTTTCTCATAATTCAACATCACTCCTGTATCTCTTGACAGGTTTCAACACCTCCCATGACCCACCCCGTCTTTACGACTCACAGTGAAAAACCCAGCACACTGGATGACGGCTCAACCTATAGAGCCGTCATCATCTCCCTGTAAATATCTGAAGACAAAAACATGATGTTACTGAGAACATCTGAGGATGGAGGCGTTCTGGCTTCAAATGAGGCTGAGCTGGTGCCTGTTGTTGTTGTATGGAAACAGCAGCTCTGGATCAACTCAGCACTTTCTATAAGCCTCGTGCTTTTGGGGATTTAAAGAACTGTACAATGAGAGAGAGGACAGCATCACATAAAAGTTTCAAATACGCATGTGTAGGGGAAGGAAGCTCTCAGAACAGAGACATACCACCAAATATGACTTACTGCATGAAATAGCAATGATCTTCGACTAAAGTTGCCCTGGCTGGACTGAGTTAGCAGTTTCTGAAGATGATGCAGGTCAGTTTGAGTTCTGACAACTATCTGACAGAACAGTCTGCAGGTACATAATATCAAAAAGGTTTGATGAGTGTCGTTACAGTCAGAGCTGCTACACAAGCCCTCAGTCCTCTTTACAGGTTGACATCCACATCTGTACCAGTTACTGAAGAAGCTTAACCCAGCTTAGCTTGCAGAAACAGTGAGCACTAACACACAATATTTACAGGGCAAGTTCAGTACATATAAAAATGATGCTGGTGGTTCCAGGTTTAAAGGGATATTCCGGCGTAAAATTAACAATCATCATATGAATCAGTTTGCACTGCAGTTCTTCTGCCTTAGCGTCTTAGTCTGATCGCATTTCCATGAAGTAATGATCACAAATGTTCTTCCTTGACCTGCGAAACTCCGCTGCACTCGGTGATCGACTCGTCAGGGCTCCCCCACAACCAAGCGGCTGCTGGAGGAGAGTAGGTGAGTTGTGTTTGGTCTCTTTGCTAAAGAAATTAGGCAAAGCTAAAAAGATGTTCGATGGCTAGTACTAATGCTGGGACCCTATATGTACTGTTGATGAAGTTAGGTGCTGTTCTGAGCATTATTTGTGGCTATAGAGTGGCTGTGGAGACGTAGGCCGCTGTGTATTACTATCATGCGGTTGTTACTAAAGTTGGTTTAACTAGAGAAGCAAACAGTCAGCCACATTCACCTCTGGAGGGGGTGTCTAACTCTGTGTTATGGTGTGTTTGACCCTAACTTAATTTTACGCCAGAATATCCCTTTAAGTTTTTCCAAGTTTGAAAGGTGTAACAGTATGTATTATGTTCAGTATATGGCAAGATGTTTTAATCCAGAGCAGATTCAACAGTGGGACAGGGGGTGTATGTAGTGACTGCCATCACTATATTCTTGCCATCTATCTCAACTTCAGAGCAAATGTCAAGATATTAAAACTTTTAAGTAACAAGGTACTAGTTGAAAATTGACCAGAATAAAATCACAAACATCAAAGATTGACGATATAAGTTAAGAAAAAAGTCACATATGTACAAGAACAAAGTCATGATATTAAAGAATGAAATCACATAAAAAACAAGTCATAATCCCAATCTGAAAACCTTCAAAGTAAATAAACCATGTAAGTAAATTTATACCTCAATTAAGCATTAAGGACTCTGTTCGTAGTTTGTGGGCACGAAATCTTCAAATAAAATTCAAGAGGAGGTATTATGCATTTTTTTCTGATCCTCCTTTTCTTCTTGTGTTCTTGTCTTGTCTCCTGCCCAGCATATTCCAATCCCGTGTGCATGGTCAATTTCAACCTAGAGGAGGATTAATGCCCAGAGGTGGAGGTGCTGAGATGAATTTGCTCAAGAAAGCACTCATGCCGTTTTTCTCCACTCCAGTATCCCATCAAATCAAAGGTAATTGCATCTAGCACTATCTTCAGCTGAAGCCAGCCTGTCCATCAGACATACTGTGTGTCTGTTTTGGTCACTAAAAAATTAATTTTCTTGCTAGCTTGCTTGTCCTTGAGCTTACTTACTCCCCTTTTTCACTTTAGTAATACAAATAATGAGGGACGTTAGCTTTGTATCGACCAAACACATAGTTTGGCAGATTTCTTTCAGGTCTGCAGTGTCCCCCAGAAGTTTTAGTCTGAGCCATCTCTGTGAAGCAATCCATGGACTTCCTTGTTGCTGTGTCTTTACTAACTGTTGCTGCCTCGTCTCTTGGCATGTGGAGCTGAGTTTGAATAATTGTAATTTTTTTGTTGCATGGCGTCTATTAAGTTTTATATTCTTCAGACAAATTTTGGTTTCACTTAACCTGTGTGTAATATAATTTGATATCCAAACATTTTTGAGGATTAATGAAGGAAATTAACCCAAAGTGAATGAGAGCTGAAGTCCTGGGCTGCCATCACTTTCCCCTGCATCACAACTCCCACACTTTGAAGATTAAAGTTGCTGAAAGCTTTTGATTGTGTCAACCGCTAGATAGGTTTCACCATTAAAAAATAATTAGTTTTTAGCTCAGCCATGCATACTTGAACCTGATCCAAATGCACCACACATATTGAAAAGTCAAGTAGTAAACAAATTTGTATGGCAATACTTCAACTTTATCATGGCACCCTCCAGTGGCAGCAGGAAATGTACTTAACTCCACAAGATGTGAGTCCAAAACCAATGGACATACCTACACCCTTTTTTGCTCAGGTTAACCTTGCATGCTTACCTCGATGTGTGTGAAAAACTTTGAAACTGCCTTCCGCATACTGTTGTCAAATACAGTATGTGACAATGGCCGACTGGCAGCCATAATTTCAGAAACAGAACCGAAATCATTAAAAGTGAAACCATGCCGAACCCTACTTCTAAGAGGTCCCAGTCTGAGCACATCCATCTTTGGATCCATCCGAAGTTCCGAAAGCCTTTATATCTAAAGGCTTTTGTACAAAAGTTGAACACGGTATTTTGTTGTTGATTTTTACACCAAACATTTCTTTATCCAAGCTCATCACATGCTTTTGTTTGTTTGCAGTCTGTTTCAAGGCACTCCTCAGTGTCTCTTTAAAGGATGATTTTCTCTGTCATTTAACTCTGGTGCTCTTAAAAAGTTTCATTTAAATTTGAATCACTACTGCACTTAATCATGAAGTGATACTCATATTGGGGCTGGTTTGTCTGTTACTGTTGCCATAAAGGATGATATCAAGTGTCCACACATGTTGCTTCTCTGGTTTTCCTACTTTCCCTTCAGTCCTCCTCTGTCCAGACAGTATTACGGCCTGTGGGCATGTGTGACTCAAAAGGAATCTAAGTTTGATCAGAGCAGAATATTGTTTGACAGCTTTCAAGTGTGTGACAGGTCAAGTGTGCTCACCGACATGTGTAGGTACGGCTGGGCAATAAGGGAAAAAGTTTATCACAATATATTTTTTTCATATCAGTCGATATTGATATGTATCACGATATGAAAAAAACAATCTCAAATGTGCTCTATTACTCTTAAATGAAATGTAACATGTACTCAACATAATTTGCAGTGCACATTACTCTGCTTCATGTCCGACCTCAAAAACAAAATACCTCCACACCACCCATGTTTCGTGCCAGTGTCGTCGACAATGTCATCATCTGTTGAGCCTTCATCTGCATTTCTGCGAGGGGTAGCACTCATTTCTTTTTTTTTCTCACCGACAGTGCTGTCGGCTTCACGTGCTAAAGTGCTATGGTTGCGTGAAGCTGCAGCCTGCTACTACACAGTTGTTTGCTACTTGGTTCTAATTCAGCACATGATTGGTTCAGCCAACCCAGAGCAACTCCCCTTTTCATTGGCTATTTGTATAGTCTAACAAAACATGGCAGAATGCTGACTAACAAAAAGCATATTGATCATGTTATCGGTTTTATCGCCCAGCCCTATATGTAGTACGAAAATTGTAGCTACAAAACCATTTTCATTGCCCATATTTTCTTAAAACCACCAAAGAGATGATCACTTCTACAGGTAATGTTCTCAGCTCACTCATCATGTTAGCAGAGTGGACCTGTCAGTTCAGAGATCATTACCTTTACAGGTGTGGTACTGGGGTCACTCACCTGTACAGTTGTGGTTCTGGGGACCCACACCTTGAAAGTAAAGGGGATTACCTGTGGAAGAGTGGTTCTGGGGTCTCTCACCTTACAGGTTGAGAGGGAATACTTGTACATGTGTGGTTTGGGGGTCTTTAAACTTGTAGGTAAGGGGAACCTGTGCAGCTAGGTTCTGGGGTCACTCACCTTGCGTGTAGGCAGCATCGTCGGTGCCCATACTGAGCCTGCGGGGCTCGCTTTGCCTCTCGTGGTGTGGGGACAGCGGGTCTGAGAGGTGCAGGGGGTCTGGCTCCACGTAGTGGTGGTCTGAGGGCAGGCTAAGGAGATTGTTGGGCTCAAACGTGGGGGACACCACTCCAGGGGACACGGCGGGGGGCTTATTGGGGGACACTGTGATTTTAAAAGTATATTTGGTATTTGGCTGAGTCACCACCACACGCGGGGACAACGCCGTGCTCGCCCCACCCACAGAAGAGCGAGACTTGGGAGGGTGGTGGTGGATGTAGGCAGGGCCCATGCTGACCTGTGCCCCCGTGTTTCGGCCCCCCGAGGGCCCCTGCAGGGGAGGGTTGGCTGAGATGTAGACTGTGGGAGGGTTCCTGCCCCCGCCGTCGTCTCCAGAGGTGTTTGCAGAAATGTAAAACTTTTGCTGGGAACGGGAGCCGACTGAGGTTATGGCGGCCTCCTCAGAGGGCGCAGTAGCAGCAGTGGGTGGGCTAGGGGAGATGTAAACGGTGGGTTGGCTGCGGCTCAGGCCTGGGCCTCCAATAGAGAGAGGAGTGGTGGGGACTGGGACCACTCCGGTGGAAGTCGAGGAGGACGGGCAGGAGGAGGATGTGGAGGAGGAGCGGGGCCCACTGCTGGTCCGCAACGTGGCCGTTGTGGTCGTGGAGTTGTTCCTCTGAGGAGATTCGAGTTTGATCTCAATCTGGTTCTTGCGAGGGCCGGTGGAGATGTTCTGGATGTTGTACTGACTGATGCCGGACAAAGCCGAGGGCATGATGGAGGAGGCCGAAGACGAGGAGGTACAGGAGGAGATGCCAGAGGAGCTGGCTTGGCTTCCAGTTGGGAGGATGGAGGGGGCCTGGGGGTTTGTAGGGGAGCTGATGGGCATATAAACGTGGGAGGTCTGGTGACCCTGGGTCTGTGAGGTATGTGAAGAGGAGGCATGCTGGGGGCCGGACCAGGAGCTGGACAGGCAGGGCGGGTGTGAGATCTGGTAGATCTGCTGCTGGGGCTGGGAGGTGGGGCTGTACTGGGCCCGGCTACCCTGCTGCTGGTTCTGCCGGCTGGTACCAGACTGGCTGACATAGGGCCTGATATAGATGGAGTTCCCCTGAGGGCTGCTGTGGCCCGACTGTGGCCCGCCGTGTATGTGCAAAGACGTTGGGGTGTTGCGGCCGGTCTGGATGTTGGGGGCCAATGTCACAGTGATGGGGTTGAAGCGTGGCGCCTGCCCTTTGATGCCCAGAGGGTACAGTCCAAGGTGCTGTGGAGGCTGGGGTCTGCGAGTGGGCTCCATCACGCCAAAGACATTGAGGTTGGAAGGCACCTGCACAGGAGCTGACTGCGGCTCCTGCTGGAAGAAGTTGCTGTCTGGGGCAGGGCTGGTCGGCAGGGGCCCGTCACTCAGACTGTGTGCGAGAGTCCGACTGCCGTTCATCCTCACGCTGCCTCGAGCCGGGGCCACGTGCACATTCTGAGACTGCAGGCCCAGGTTCAGCTGGGTCATGTGATTACGCAGCTGAGCGTAGCTGGGGTCGTCAGAAAAGCTGAGGTTCCCTTCTTCAGTGTACGGGTAACCCGGACTCACCTTGGACAGGTACTCACAGCAGGCGTCCAAGTTGTTGTTGTTCTGAAAAGAGAAAAGAGAATCAAAGTGAATCTGGGAGAGTTTGCAGTGTCTCGTATCTGAACAGCTTCAAAGCGGAGTCTGTCTTGACCATGCTAAGGGTTTACTGTTAGTGACATTCATCCGTGTGTGGTAAAAAATATCATATTGCTGACGGCTGTGAAAGACCTTTGCCTCTCCTCAGCATGTGTGAAACAGAGTCTATATTATTCAGAGTACGACCGTAAGGGTAGCCCTCAGCTGAAAAAATAAAGGATCCGTACTGAGCGTGCTCCGTCATCATCGCCCACAGGATGCGTATTTGGAGCGTAGCAGCAGCGTAGTGTAGCCCTGGTCAACTGGGCTCAGTATAGAGGAAACAACATGCTCACATCAGGTTGTTTTTCCATTCTGTGGTCGATTTCCTGCTAATTTGGATATAATTCAGTGACTGTTGAACCTTTACTGTATGTAAAAAAGCAACATGATTTGAAAGTTTCATTTTTTGCAAGTTGACTCGTGTTTAATAAAGTAAACTATGTTCCTTTATGCTGTGCTGTTACCTTCAGACAGAGTTAGCAGTTAAAAGTCCTGTTGGGGTCCACATGGATCAGGTATTGACCGTCGGATTGTTCTGTTTTACTGATAAATCCATAACCAGGAAGTATTTCTCATCTACACAAACTGATACACAGTCGGGAGCCCGCATTTGGTTTTATTTTGAAATACCGAATGACATACGCGGTGCACGACATCCTGTCTGGAACGATCTTCTCTGTGTAGATTGACGCCTTTTGGAAGCATTGAGCAAAGAAAATAGACTCGGTGTGTGTCTTTAGCAGTGCTGCACTTGATACGATTCTGATGCGGAGCTGTGTAGGATCTGATGCCTGTCCTAAGTGCGATGCTGCATTGATTAGAGTGGCATGATGCATGATACGCAACGCTGACATAATGCGCTCAATACGGATCCTGTATGTTTTAGTGTTTAGAGATGAACAGATATAAAGAATAATCTTAAGATCACCAAAAAAAAATTAACACTATCTACCAAAAGACAGAAGGACACTTCATTTCAGGTATAGAATCTAAAAACTTTGGTGCTGTGCACAGGAAAATGACCAAACTCTGCTATATCACTTAATGTCACTTAATGATATTGAGTGCTGTAATGATGTAAAGGACATTGGGGCAACACAGAAAGGCAGCACAATATCATCACAATATGATTGGGGGGCCCAAAAGTGTAATCACAATTAATATCTAATTAATCGCCTCATAGCCCAGTATTAACTGTAACGCAGTCTCACCTGTAACACACACTGGGAGACCACACCCTCTGGGACTTCAGGGAACTTCTGGCGCAGGTCGTGTAAAACCTGAATGTCAATCTGGTGGCTTCCCTGGGCCATTCGTCTGTTGCCAGGTGAGGACTCGTCTTCTTCAGGTTGCTGGGCGTCAGTAGAGGCAGCAAACTGCCGTCAACCTGAACATGGTCTGATTGAAAAACAGAGGAAACACAAACATCAGAACATCAGTTTCTTTGTACATGAAAACAGACTGACAGGAAACCAACGGGACAGACAGAGAGAGTACAGGAGCTACAGGAGATGTTGCTGGGTCTGAGGATGTGAATGTCAGAGGTGAGAGGACAGAAATCAGCCCTGCAAACACCCTTAAGAGGGTGATCACAGGAGGAGTACCAGGGTCTGCACAGATGGGTCATTTTCAGAGTTACCAAAGTCACTTTGATTATTCAAAGTCGCATGTGGTTATTAATTCCCAAAGAGCAATGATCATTGGACAGCTGGAGGAGAAAAAAAAACATTCTGATGGGACAAACGTCAGATTCTGAGAGCTGCCAGTGCAAAAAACATTGTTTGTGGACTCAGGCCAAAGGAAAAGAAAATGTTTCAATGCTCAGATATTACACTGCTAAAGCATAAGAACTGACAACACATCAACTCATGAACATGACCTGGTTATTTTCTGTGTGACCCGCTGGTACCAGTTGAGAAATCTCAGACACCATGTCAACAAAATCTGCTGTTTGGTTTTACTTCCCCCACAAAAGTGTGATGATCAGCAAAGAGAGTACCTGAATTCAGAGCAGAGGAGGTGGATTTCATATTACAATGAAGTGAATTACTGTCCACGTCCCCTCTGCAGGTTAAATCTGCTGAAAATGAAGCCTTTGCAGTGTTCAACTGTAAGCACTGCTGCAGACCATAAACATGATCAGTTTGACCTGCAGGGCTAGCATACATGCTAAAAGCAGCTGTTCCTGCACAGAGCAGCAGTTCATTGTTCAACCGCACAAACGCTGTGGGAAAGGAAATTCACAGTTTGGCAGCAAACCAACGAGCAGGTCACTAGTGTGGTAGAATTGTTTCCTGGACTCAAAAAGGAAAAGTCCAGCCGCAGGGTTGGTATGGGGGTCAAATCAGCCTCTCTCTATGAACCCTCCTAAAATGCCCACATTAGTTAGAGACAGGAAACATGAGGACAAACAATCAACAAGAGCCTTTCAAAGAAACATTAACCCAGCACCTGAAGTCCAGGCTGCTACTAGAGCCTTCAAACAATTACTAGAGTTATACAAAGAGGCTAAGTCACAGCTCTTCTGTTTTTAGGAGTTGGCATCTTTAAAGACCTACTCTGATGAAAATCATGTTTTTCTTGTTGTCCGCATGTTCATGTGGCATTTTTCTGATGCAACAGGACATATCATGAGAAAAATAAGTGTGAAATTGCATTTCTGAGTATTTCTGCATCTAGATTGCTGTCAATCTCTGGCAGACCCAAACAGCAGGTTCAGATTCAGTGAGAGTCCAAACGCCACCCGCCACAGCCCCACAATGCAAGCCAGGCTCAGAGAAGTAGAGAAGACGATCGTGGAAAAAGCGTGTGCATTAGCGGATTGCAATGCTCGCACGAAAACTAATTATGATCTTAACTTTAATCATGTCCCTAAACACATTAGTGTTAGAGAGCTAAACAGCTCCTATGTTACCTGCCACTTCTACTACACCGGCAATGTTAGGTTACAAGCTAGCATGAAGAGGAGTGTGCAGAGCAGCGCCGTCTCTGCCCACGACTCAGAGGCGGATTGCTGATGAGCTACTGGAGCTCTGCAGGAGAAAAGCTCTTAAAATGACACAGGTAACATGATTTTGGCTAAAAACTTCAAAATCACAACTTGAAGACCACTGAGAACACTTTAAGCAGTAAAAAAAAAAAAAAAAGGGACTTTGCGTCCCTGCAGTTATGAGGGTGCATTTTTAAGTCTTTGTAGCTTTCAGTCTCTGTAGCCTGAAGTCACAGCTCTGATGCCTCAAGTTTCTGTTGCTTCAAGCCTCGTCAGTTTTATGTCTCTGCAGCTTAAAGTCACAGCTCTGCATGCAGCTCTAAGTCTCTGTAGCATTAAGTCTCAGCTCTGTAGCTTATAGTCTCTGCAATTTTAAGCTTCAGCTGTGCAGCTTCAAGTCTCTGCAGTTTTAATTTACTGTAAAGTTAGATGGTTACCATCCTCTATCTGCTTCAATAACAGAGAAACTTTCTTACCTCCTCAGAGCAGATCAGCTGAATAACCTCCAACTGTTTTCATTTCCTGCTGACAACAGGAGCCTGCTCTTCGGAGCAAGACATGAAGCTCACCTTGTTTGGTACAATAATAATAATAAAAAGAGTACAACTGCGCAGACTGATGGTAGATCAGACCTGAGCTGATTTCTATTTTGGTGTTCTCATCTCTCAATGTGGTGTCTGTCAGGCTTGATGAATTAAAGCGAACAGTAGTGTAAGGCCCTGTCTTGGTCTCTGTCAAATCTATCCCTCATTCTTTCTGAGCTACTCATTTATAGGCTGCTGCTTGTTCCTCAAGAGCACAACCTGATTCATACATGTCTTTTGATTCTGATCCAGTGACTGTGCAAGCAATATGGTGCCTCCACTACAGAGCAGGAACACTAAACTCTGCATGGAAACTTCACAGAGAGGACCAGTCTCAACAAAAGAGCTCTTAGAGACATCACAGAAGCTGTGAGGGACTGAATCACAGTGATTCCTGACCATCAGGTCAGGTGACTGTACTGAACTCGAGATAAACTGTAACAGAGTCATCAGTGGAAACCTGAATCAGCTCTTCAACAAGAGTGTCTCAAAGATCCTGGAGGGGCCTTCATCAAGGGTTGAGCTGAGAGCTAAATCTGTTAGCTTTTTCAGCTGCATGTTGACTGAGAGACTTTCACTAGTAAATACAGACAATAATACATTCATTTACTGCCAGAACATTTTTTAAACCTGCATGAACTCACCAGACTGAATCAAACATGTCACATTACAAATAAATAAATAAAAACAATACAAACATTAATGTAATATAATGACTCAGTTAGATCTGCTTAAACTCATTAGACTGAGGAGAGAGAGAGAGAGAGAGAGAGAGAGAGATACATTATTCATCTCCAAGAGAAATTTTTTTTTTATCTTCTAGTGGTGGTGGAGGCTGGCTGGAGGTGGTTGAGGGTATCTACAGCCCAAGTTCTTCAACACATTTTCAGACATCATCAAACCTAACAATGAAACATATGCCCTTCCTTATGTTCACGCTTGTACAGAGGCAGACGGCCAATTACCTTTTTTAAAGTTCTTCAAAAAACACACATGGCTTAACTTTTTTTTAATTTTAACTGAAGTTTCTCCTGTTTTACTTTTTTTAATCAACTGTTACATTACAAGAAAATAACCTAAATCAGTGCAAGTCTATTGATCAACCCCTTTATAGGATAACAAATGTAAACATTTCTATATCTACTCATATTCTGTATCACAAGGCAAATCCACTCTGTATAAAAACTAAAGTTAATTACTAAAGTTTCTAAATTTCTGTGGTCCTGGCAGAGCACACATCATCCAAAATATAAAACAAGTTTTATATTCAACATAAATATTACAATTTCAAGTGTCCGAAAATGTTTACGTATGTAACTTTCAACACGGTCTCGATGGTTAAAATATTTCAGAAAACTATATAGTAAGAACATGAACTCTTTAAGATACAGAGCTACACGTGACTAAGACAATTTCTGACAATGGCCAGTAGATGGCAGAGAAGCACCACAAACAAATGCAAATAATAAAACAATCTCCCTCCATATTTTAACGTACATCACTTTGGAACATTTTAACTGAAAACTTTAAGACAACATATAAATTAATTTGTATAATGAGTAATTAATGAGTCTGATGACTTATTTATGTTTTTATTTGCTGTAAAGGGAACCCCATCTATTGTCATGGTGCTAATGTCTACGGCTTAATTTTCATCTTGAAAATATTAAAATACATGCGATTAAGAATCTGTCTGTTAGCAGAAAAAACTTCATTTTAATTGTCATCATTTATCAATGATCGAATAATGATGCAGTTATTGTAAAATGGTCCTGTGACTAAAAATAAAAATTGCTTTGAGTTTATATTCAATAAATATTTAATATAATAATAAATATGAGCCAACACAAAAAATAGCTTTTGAAGCTCAGTGACATTTGAGTCAGCAGTGATCAGCTGAAGAAGCCATCATATCTAAAGGATGTCCCAAAGGAAAGGCAAGGAAAGGATGGTCTTATGCTTGTTTTAATATTTTTATTTTGGTCCCCTCTCGCCCTGCTGCCACGTCTGTGCGTGTGTGGTGGTAGAAACTAAGATGCCAATAGAAAATGCAAGGGATGATGCATAAAAACAACCAAAGAGATAAACCATGGATGAATCGTTTGTCATCTTCTGAACCATCTCAAAACAAGACTTCTTGCCTCTTACAAGTTTTGGGGAAAAAAAAATGCAGTAAATGCAATATGAAGTTTTCAGACCAAAATTCTACTAGTATGTGTGAATTAAAGGAGGATTTCTGTTTTATGACATGACGTCAATCCAACAAGCCTACAGAGTAATACCCAGTTAGTTTTGTGTACAAGGTGAAGACAGTTAAGCTTGTTAACTGTGTTAATGTAGGACTGAGCCAAAGCAATTGAAAATTTCATAGTTTTCATATTTACAAAGTTTTCATAGTTTAATTGAAATCAATATTCACTGCACTGTGCTGACTACACCGCCCGACAAAAAGTTTTTGGCAGAAATGAAGAGAAAAAAATTCACACGGTTATCTTTTTTCGGGATCATGTTGGGTGGGTCAGGCTGCCTCCGTTTGCTCGGCACTGCCACTAACTCACCACGTCCACCATGATGACCGCTGTCAGTGAAGCTGTTTCTTCTTCGTCAAAACTATGCCAAGCAGTTTGCTGGACATGCTGGTGACTATGGGGAGCGCACCCAAACCTGACCAGCTAACTAACTGCATGACACACTGGTGAATATACGGAAATGCACCCAAACGGACACGCTCCAGCTTTCCTGGTAGTGAGCGCAGACAGCTACACACTGACTTAGAGATGCAGCAGACCTCTGCTCTCTCTCTCCGGTATAAACGGTACAGGAAAATTTCTACCAGTCAACACTGTAATACCGTCAAACGGTATATACCATAATACCGCCCAACACTATTCTGAGAGTACACCTTACCAGGGTTAGGCTGGCAAGCATAAACCTTAATGCAGACCCCACATGCCCTCGCTGTCACATGCCACATGTTTCGGTCCTGTCCTCAACTGACCACTTTTTGGTCTAGTGTTTTTGATGCATACTCTAAGATGATAAAAAAAAAGAAAACCATCAAATTAGGCAGAAATGCTTTCGTCTAAAAAAAGTAGGCTAACCATTATTTTCCCAGTTATTGTTTTTTTTTTTAAAGCTTTTAATGTTTAAAGAGGTTCTAGGTTGCATGAATGCGGGTGATGCAGATGTTATTTCTAATAATCCTCCTGATATCAATTTCAGTCCAAGTATTCATGAATGTGAGTTTTTCTCCACCTCAGGCTGATCTCTATGTGGGCACCGTAGGAACAGGATGAGGTAAATTAATATGATGATTGCAAATTTCCCATCAGCCCTTGTTGGCCGGGTAATAAGGTGCCTGCAAATGATGGGAGGGTGGGACACAGAGCTGATTCTGCTCAGACTGACAACAACAGGTGTGCCCTGGAGGTTGCCCCCCACACACACACGCACACACACACACACACACACACACACACACACACACACACACACACACACACACACACACACACACACACACACACACACACACACACACACACGCACACACACACACACAGCAGAACTCCAACAGCACATTCCTCTGTGGGATAGCACAGCTGAGTGGGTCTATTATGACATCCTCAACTAGGAGCTGAAGCAGGGTAGTGGGTTTGGGAGGCCAAAGGGCAGCATGCAGGGTGGGAGAGGGGGAGAGAAGAGGGAGGTGGACTTAACCACCTCAGAGATATGAGGTTCCACTTCCTGTCTTTAATCTGATGGACAGCCAAGGTTCCTGCAGCCACAGCGCTGACTTTAAAGTACACATTCATCAATATGAAGGTTCAATCTGGTTTTCTAGAGTTTAACGTAGTGAAGAGACGATTTATATACATCGTCACATTTGTTCTGCTGATTCTGGTCCTACAATCTCTGAGAGGCAGAAGATTCACACTATGAAATTTTGTATGGAAGGCGACTGTGAACATTATGATGATATTCCTCAGAGATTTCAAATAATCAATACTACTAGCATTGTGATATGATACACAAGGAGCACATCTACAAAAAACTCCCTTTTTTAAGTATTTACTTAAACAGAAAAAAACAGAAAAACAGAGCCAGAGCGGTAGACATTTGAAATTGTATGAGAATTGAATAGTTTGAATTGAGGGAGAGGGAGTGTGTAAAAGTTAAAGCATGCATTATATACTAGAGCTGTGTCATAAAAATCAATAGTTTGATTGAAAATGATTCTCACTTTAATGATAAGATATTAATTCATAAAGTCCTGAAAATCTATCTATCCCAGTCCACAGCTGGACTTGCCTCACATCACGACTGACGTAGTGAGCAGATGGGATAGAACACTGGATAAGGATGGGCGATAAATTATCATTCACCGTATATCGTCAGAATAATCCTCCATGATAAATACTTGCCATCTCATGATAAACGCGATAAATGCAAGTTGACGACGTAAGCGCGAGCGACAGACTCGCAGCTGTAGCCCACACAGATCAGAATAACAAACAAACATGGTGAAGGTGGCGAAGAAGACGTTTCTGAGCAGCTCGCTACTGAACGAGGCTCCACATGAGGGATTTCCTTCAAGACTGGGGTTTAGATGAGTGAAATCAGGTATGCCTGACATTTGACTGTGGATCTGCTGCTTCTGTTCACTCTGTGCAAAAAGAGTTTTAACACATGTTGAAAATATTTTCACATTTCAGACTTGTTTGATGTCTTTAGTTTTCTCCATAGCCTACTACTTGTACTTGTGGTTAAGTATCTTATTTGACTATTCCAACTGCTGTTCTCAAGGCAAAATTAGTCAAAAATATAGATTGGAATTGTAATATTTTTTATCGGGACTTTTATCGTTATCACCAGAATGGCAGATCTTCTTGTGATAAAATCTTTTGCCCATATCATCCGTCCCTAGCACTGGCAATGCTAGAGCACTCCAGCCATCTCAGCAGCTTTGTTGTCACCTTAAGTGCAGAGAGGAAAGTGATCTCTGCACCTTGACAGAGGCTGGCATTACTGTTGCAGAGGATGTGGTGAAAGCCCTCCAGCCCTGGTGTCATCTACTGCTTGTTGCAGACAAACCTCATATTCACAGTCACATATTTTGCAAGTATCATAACTCGAGTACCTATTAATCAGCATGCATGGTCATGCTGTATCCCCCAAAAAGGGTGCAACGAAATCATGTGCCTTTCAGATATTTGACCCCGAGGACAAATTATGTGTAACTTACTGTCCAGCTCTTCGGCGTCTCGAGTGGGGCAAACACCAAATTGAGACTCAGGCACGCACAATTCTGAAAATCCATCCTCCGTGTCCAACACAAGACACCAAATGATGAATTCAGATCAGAATTAAGATGATTTTTACTTCCTGATAAATTTTAAAAGAGAGCGTTTAAGTTTTTTAACCATTCAAAATAAAGCAAGCCAGATACGCTCAACAACACAACCCTCACCTCCAGGGTGGCTGTTGAGAGCTGTCCCCCCAGACAGCTAGTCCTGGGACTCCAGCCACAAACTTTCACTCATTTAGACTGAACCAATTCATAAAACAAATGAAAAGAAAAGTACCTAACTCAACAAAAAGAATCAACCAAGAACCAGAGTAAACTGGGTGTTATCTGCTCTTGAATGGAGATTTCACAGTGGCAGAATACCTGAGCGCTGTGACTGATCCAAAACTGAGGAAATCTTTGACTACGTACAGACTCAGTGAGCACAGCCTGGCCATTGAGAGGGGACACCACAGCTAGACTCGGCTTCTTAAAGTAGACTTGCTCTGCACTCACTGCACCCAGCAGGCGGTGGAGACAGAGCTACTCTTCTTTACCAGCTGCCAACTGTGCTAGGACATCAGAGATACATACTTCGCTCTGATCACCAACACCCAGACAGAATTCAACTCCCTGACCGATGAGCAAAAACTGCTCTACCTGCTGGGTGAGGTACAGCAGTGTGCCAACACAGCAGCTTGATTTGTGAACTATTACGACAGAAAGAGTGTCCAACACCAAAAAAACACTCTGGATAATACCTAGACTGGTCACCTGCAAAGACACCTCATACAGACTGTACCCTAACTAAAGACACATCTGTATATACGGCATGTGCATAGACTGAAAAAATGCATCTGTAAGACAACGAAGAAAAAAAAATAGTGTTCCAACTTCAGTTAGAACAGTCAACAAGAATTCACAGTCTACTTACAAACAGCCAGAGTCTGTCTGTCTGTAGACCGGCATCCAGAGTCTGTGTTTTAACAAACATTTATTGTCAGTCTGTCTGTCCACGAGCATGGAGATTCAGGCTGTCTGTAAAAAAGCATCAAGAGTCTGAATATTCTAGCATCCAGAATCAATCTGTCAAGAACGATTTGCAGACATACTTTGAACAAACATCCAGTGTCTGTCTATCAAGAAGTATCAAGAGTTTGCCTTTTTGTTTGTCACCAAGCACCCAGAGTGGGCCTGGAGATAAGAATCCAAAGACTGTCTGTCAAAATTCATCCAAAGTCTGTCAACAAGCATCTAATGTCTGTCCATCCGTCACAAACATCTAGTCTTGTTGCCAAAAAGCATCAAGTGTCTGACAGTCTTTTTACAAGCATCCAGAGTCTGTCTACAAAGAAGCATTTAGACTCTGTCAATAGACAGTGAGAGTTCATCAGCAGACATCCAGAGTCAGTCCATCCACACGCATCCACAGCTTTGGCCTGTCTGTCAAAAAGCATCCAGAGTCTGTGCCAGACAACAAGCATCAAGTGAATATCTTTCAACAAGCAGTCTGTCTGTAAACAAGCAATCGCTGTCAGTCTGTGTATATAGTTTTGTTGTTAAGAAGAATTAAATGTCTGACCGTCTTCTTACAAGCACCCAGAGTCTATCTGTAAACAGGCTTTCGGACAGAGTCTGTGTGTCAATTAGCATCAAAAGCCTGTCTATAATCTACCTTCCAGAGTCTGTCTTTTGACATGCATCCAGAGTCTGCCTGTCACTCTGTCAAAAGGTAGCCATTGTCTGCTGTTAACAAGCATAGAGTTTCTGTCATTAAGCATGGCTGTCAGACTCTGTTAAAGATGCATCCAGAGTCTGTCTGTCAAATTTCCTCCAGAGTCTGTCTACCCGTGAACAAGCATCAAAAGTCTGTCTGTCAAATTTAATCTAGTGTCTCTCTGTCAAATTTCATCCAGAGTCTGTCCACCTGTCAACAAGCATCCAAAGTCTGTCTGTCACCCCACCTCCATAATCTGTTGTTCAGTTAACAAGCATCCAGCATCTGTCAGTGGAAAGGCAGACAGAGTATGTCTTTCTACAAGCATCTAGAGTCTGCCCACCTGTCAACATGCATCCAGTGCCTCTACATCTGTCAACAAGCATCTACAGTCAGTAAGTTTGTCAACAACCATCTAGTGCCTGTCTGTCATCTAGCATCATGAGTCTGATTTTCAACAATCATTCAGTCTGCCAGTCAACAAGCCTCTAATGTCGGTCCGTCAGTCAAGAAGCAACAAGTGTCTGTCAACAAGCATCCCAAGTCTGCCACCCCATCAACAGGCAACCATTCTCTGTCTGTAAACAAGTATATAAAGTGTTTGTCAAGAAGCATCCACAGTCTGTAGTGAGGCTGAACGATTATTTGCATTTACAATAATATGGTGATATGATGAAAAGAGATTTTCTAACCACAAAGGCTGCGATTTGATTGGTCACGTGGCTTACAAGAGGAGAACAGAGCAGAGCAGGAAGAGGTCAACGCTGCACTCTGTTGCACGATGGTCTCAGGTTTGACAGAAGCTGGTACTGCAGAAAGTTTAGTACCTAAAAAAAGTTAAGAACCTCTAAAGTTATCAAAACTTCACATCACAAATGTTTAGATAAGGACAGTGGGTCTAGTTGAATGTGATAACATTTTGAAGTTGGCAGTGGCATAACTATTGGTTTCCATTTGGGGTGACCGCTGACTAAGATGAGGGATGAGATTAAATAGATCCTGGATCTAAGCCTGGTCTGGAGCAGTCTAGCTCCACAGGGTAAATCTCCATGGTAACTTATGCCGTAACATATCCCGCTTTCCACTATCCTGCTTTAGTGCAACTGGATCACGGATAAATTGACCCAACCAAGATAACCCAACTTAATTCCTCATACTAGTTTTGTGCAACAGGCCCCAGAGCCTGCTCTTTGTCAACTAACATCCAGAGTCTGTCTATCAACAAACACCCAATGTCCGTCTGTCAGTTGATCCTGCTAGTCTGGACAATGGATGTCTTTCACACAGAGCGCCCTGGTTTCTTACAGCTCCAACTCTCAATGAGGAGCTGTAGACTTGCAAAGCTCTCTTGCAGCATGTTTGCCCAGCCTTAGCACACATGGTTTCTGTTAGGGCTCTGCACCTATAAACAGGCGACTGTGGCAGCTTATTGGTCAGGAATTATAGCACTGACTGCAAGTCAGAACAGGCCGAGTCTGCTTATGACTGATTTGCTGTCTGACAGGTTAGATCAGAACTGTTTACAAGCAGACAGGGGCTGAGTTTACCCTCTGACAGGGCTGCAGATTCACTCAGCTGATTCAGAGCACTCAACAGAAACAGCCTGCAAACCTCAGCACAGTCACCTGATCATAAAACATGGCCGTACCTGTCAGCCATATTGATGAATGCAGACAGTAGGAGTAGGAGTATGTAAGAGCAGAAGCAAACCACATTTTAGTTTAGAGTCAATTTATAAAAGTTGATTTGAGTTTAATTGACTTTATTCTGGTTAATCACTGTTTATCAAAGTTTATTATACTAAATTCAACTTAATTTTAAGTTTAAGTTTGTTCAAGTTTATTGAAGTTAATTGTTACACAAAGATAATTGTTTTTTTTAAAGATCATTTAGTTCATTGAAGTTGAAGTTTTATTTGCTTTGTTTTAGTTCATCACAGTTCATTACAGTTTTTTCAGTTTAAGTTTTTTAAGGCTTCTGCCAGATTCCTGTACCAGCCCCTGCCTGTTCGTGGATCTCCAGCTTTCTGACTGAAAGGAGGTAGAAGGTGAAGGTTGAAGAACATCATATCCAGAACCTGGACGATCAGCACTGGTGATCAGATTGTCTGTTTGTGGAGAGGATGAGACCTCAGCAGATTAAAAATTATAAACAGTCAAGCATGACTAAGCTGAAACAGCTCAGCAGCTCGGCTTTGAGTCACTTCTGAGGTCTGTGATAGCCACATCATAACAAACACTAATGTTTAAAATTGTTAGAAGCACTGTAAACCCCCTCCTGCTATATTCTCAGATTCACTTATCTATGCAGTGACTTTTCGTACATACAGTTTTACTCCTGATGTATTTTTTCTAATGTAAACATGTGCAATATTTTATTTTCATTATAGCTTTAAAAATCTAATTAAATCAATGGCTAAAACGAACTCAGGTCAATGGAAATGGAAAAATAAAATTGACTGTTTGTCCAGTGAGGTCAGTTGAGGTGACATCATAGAGCAGGAGAAAAGGAGAAAGTACAACAAACATGGCAGCACCTGGGGAAGGACATTAGGAATGCAAGCACGGCACAAATGAGATGGACCTGACACATAAGGTTTGCAAGATGTGCCACATGAAAATAAAATACTGTGTAAATAAGACAAACATAATGGGAAAATGCTAAATTGGCTAAACAGTTGAAAAAAATTGTATAAATTGCCATATTGCAATTGGATATTATTCTGTGACCGTTGTGCTTTCTTCTCTTTGATAAGACAAGCAATGTAATTTCAAAGTTTGGACTTTATCAGGTTTACTCAAGATAATTAAAGTCAACTATTTTCCTTTATGCTGTGCTGCTACCTTCAGACAGAGTTAGCAGCTAAAAGTCCTGTTGTGGTCCACATGGTTAAGGGATTTGCCCTGAGGTTGTTCTGTGTTATTGATAAATCCATAACTAGAAAATATTTCTCATCTATATGATCTGAAATACAGTCAGGAGTCCACATGCGGTGTCTTATTTTGAAATTTACTGAATGACACGCGCCTCTCCCATGCTTGACATCCTGCCGAGAACAATGTTCTCTGTTGAGATTGACGCATGCTCGGCGTGTGCACCGTTGAAAATAAACTCAGCGCAGGTCTTTAGCAGAGCAGTGCATGGAGATGTTTCTAGGAAGGAACTGAGACATGCTGTGACACTTCCTGTGTGCGATACTGCATTGATTAAAATGGGAACATATTTATTTACTGCGTAGCATGTGACGCTGACGAAACGCACCCAGCACGCATCCTGTGGGTTTTAGGCTTTAGACAGCAGCTCTAATAAAAACCACAGAGAGCTGAATTCTGATTTCCACAGTGATATAAACTAAAAATCCTTTTAGTCACCTCTCTATATTACCTTACATTGATTGGAGGCAAGCTTATGACAAAGAGTCAGCATTGGTTAGTATTGATGTAAAGTCTCAAAAGACCAACTGATTGGCTAATTAACTGGACTAATTGTTGTCATTTTTAGTAACTGGCATCATATCCACATTGGCTTCACAAGGCCAATGTCATTATTTAATGCTACCAATTAAATACCACATCTGAAAATGGAACAATTTATGACACGTTTACAAGAGCGCCAGCGGAAAAGGCCGCTGCATTGAAGCAAGTAACTGTGGACTAAAAAGAAAGGGCAAGTATCCTGACAGATTATCAAATGGTGGTTAAATTCACCATCTTAGACTGCCATGTCAGAGAGGACCCATCCCGACACTCACGTCCGACACTATGGAGCTGTACAGCAGAGTTTGTGACAGTAAAGTGGATTTAGAGCTTGATATGACTGCTGTACATTTTGCAGCACTGATGAGCTGAGAGCGCTGATGTTTGTCCCATCATGCCACTGTTCAGTCTCACTGCTCAACAGAGTAGTTTCTCTACCTCCAACTGAAAGTGATCCAGTTCAGTTGATGTTGTAATCTAAGGTTTTGAAAAAACAGAAATAACTAAAGGGAAAAAATAAAGGTAGCGAGCAGCATAAAGTTTAATCATTTCATCCTTGCTCTTAAAGCTTGGTGTCGACATTGTTAATCTCAAACTGTCGTGTGAAAGTCACAGCAGCATTGCCTTGATGCATGCTTTAAGACATGCACGTCCTTTAACAGCAGAGCATGTAAATCAGATGATGTGTGACTTTTACAAGACCAAGTAAGAAGACATGAGCTGCATATACCTTTTAACTAATTTATGAACTTCTGTTATTTTAGTAGAAAACGACAACAAAAGCAGTAAATTGCAGCTTACTATCCAGGCATATATTATCCCGACAGAGGGTCTGATTGAGACCTGATCAGAAATTAAATCATTAAAATTTCTCATTTGTTATTATGATTTTAAAAAAATAAAAATAACGTGTATGTGCACATCAGGCCAAAACTCTGATACGGAGAACAGAGGAGAATTGTAAATGTGTGACCATACAGAGACAGAATTCACATGCTATCAGGTAACTATGATCAAAATAACATAAAGCATTTTAGTTTGTTAAATAAAAAGACAAGGTATAGGCCTTTTCTATAGGAAAGGTGTCCTTAAATGACTTCTATTGTAATCTGGTGCTACATGGAAATTAAAAGGAAATACAATTAACTTATACCCCTTATAACATGGTAGGGGAAACACTGTTGACCATCAGCTAACATGCTTTTTCATAATCTATATCAGCTATAAGGGGTTGACCTCTAATAAGCTTTCATGACATCTGACAGAGAAACACAGCTCCATCACACACATAAAGAGGTTACTCTGCACAGATCAACACAAACAGTTTAAGTAACCATATCACACACTGCAGCAGAAAATCAAATTCTGCTCATCAAACATTTGTAGACATGTTTAATTTGTTTGGAATCATGGAGATTTTATCTGTCAGAAAACAACCAATGAGAAGAATTGCACAAATTTATCACTCTGAATAGCAGCAACATCATAGCTCACTCTTTCTGTCACACCAACTACGGGGAAATAACTTCCAACCAAGACTGAGTACAGCCTCTCAGGAGAAATATCCATCGACAAGAACATTAAAAAAGAACCAACAACAGACAAGAACAAAAACTGGCACAACTGCAACAATAAAAGCAACAACAAAATCTACCACAATGGCAACAACAACATAAACAACAAGCACAACAACAACAACAACAGGGGGAGGGACTTGTCCCTAAAATATGAGGCACCACTCAGGCTTGAGCTTTTGGACTTGTGGATAATTTTAATATTTTGTATTTGTCTCAATAACATCAGGAGCTCAGTATTGTTCCTTCCTGTCATGTGTTTATTCTAGTGGCTGAACGGCCTTATCACATCACCTGCTGCTGCAAAGACAAAGTGTTTCTACACATAGATTCAAACTAGAAGGGCCACTAAAGGATAACAAAGTTTTAGCTGTATATTATTGAGTCATTGTTTTATCCCCTATGAGACTTCTACAATCTCTAAGTGAACAATCACCACTCACTCCTTACCTCTGTGTATGTTGTTGATGGCGATCTAATCTAAGGAGTGTCCCTCTCAAAAAATCAGTTTTGAAGGAGACACCCCTTATCATTTTAAGGGACATCAGCGTAAATTTAAGTTAGGGTCAATCACACCATAACACCAAGTTAGACACCCCTTCAAGAGATGAATGTTGCCGACTGCTTGCTCCTCTTGCTATCGTATATTAACTAAAGTTGGTATAACTATACACAGCGGTCTACCTCTCCACGCGCTCAACCAAAAAGCCACTCTATAGCCACAAATAATGCTCGGAACAGCACCTAACTACATCAACAGTACATATAGGGTCCCAGCCATAGTACTAGCCATCAAACATCTTTCTAGCTTTGCCTGGTTTCTTTAACAAAGAGACTAAACACAATTCACCCACTCTCTTCCAGCAGCTGCTTGTTTGTGGGGGATCCCTAACGAATCGATCACCGACTGCAGTGGAGTTTCGCAGCTCAAGGAAAAACATTTATGATTATTACTTCATGGAAATACAATCAGACCGAGACACTAAGGCAGAAGAACTACCATGTCTGCAGGGTAAAACAATTATTATGAGGATTATTACTTCAAGGAAATGATTCGCTGCACTCAGTGATTGACTCGTCAGAGCTCCCCCACAAATAAGCGGTTGCTGGAGGAGAGTGGGTTTTTTGTTGTTATTTACAGACACTATGTAGGGCTTGGCTGGACTCATTGCCAAAGACTCAAGTCTTGACTTGGACTTGTAAAAAGTGACTTGTGCCCATCTCTAATATTAGGTTACAAATAGAGTTTATAACCAGACATTAACCACTTGGGAGGGGCTTGCCTACACTTTATGATTTCCCTGCTCAGTGGTGAGTTATTGTCACACCAGAAAAACAGTGTCAGAAACACCTTCACTAATGGATTTAACAGTAAACAGTAATTAACATCTACATAATATTAGGCCTAAATATATGGGTCCCTTCACACCTATCCAGGTACAGTAATTAGAGATGATGTTATCACAGAATGAGTTTCCTCTTTGCTGCAGAAAACCATCAAACATTTATGTATACTCAGTTATAAAGTTATCAGAACCAGAATCAGCTTTATTGGCCAAGCATGGGTGCATATACAAGGAATCTGACTACAACACAGGAAGCTTCATTATTTACTGACATAAACTAACTGTGATGATTTTCAAACCCTGACTAATACAGGGATCAAACCTCAAACACCAGCCATAATGCTGAAGGTCCTTTATGTAAGACAGCTGTCACAGACTCGAGAGAGTCTGTGTACCACAGTCAGAGTTCACAGAGTTATTTTAACTGTTTGGGGTGTGTATTATGGTCAATTATCTCCACAGTGATTTAGCTCCCAGTCAATTACAAATGTTAAACAATGTCATGTTGATACATGATTAATGCTGCTCTGAAATCTGTTGTCATGTTTAATAATTGTGTGTTTATTACAGTTTGTGAGTTTGAAACTGGAAGCATCAGGCGCCTTTAGCTGGCCGAGTACAATGGGAGAGAATGAGTGTAGGCCTAGATGAGGGATTCCAGGTAAACAGGAGCAGTTTTGGTGACTGTAATGATTAGAGTTTTGAATTTGATGCAAGCTAGTAAATTAATGGTTAAATGTTTCTGCGACTGAAAAACTACTCGTAAGTCATAAATACAGTGGAAAACCCTGATTTGATTGTAGACGTGTGTAAGTTAATGATAGTTCATGAATGCCAAACGATTGTAAAGTAACAGAGTGCTCCCAATTGCCACTAATCCGCATAAATCTTTGCCATGAATAGCCAATGATGACACCATATCTGGAGGTGTGGACGTGTTTCCTGTAGACTGCAGGGGAATGAAGAGAGAGGAGGAGCAAGAAAATACTTTCAGATGCAGAAGGAGAAGTTATTCTAAATGTAGCGGTATTAAGAAAAAAAATAAATAAATCGCCTGAGTGCTGGTGTGACACTCTCCTTTACAAGAGCTAAATCCAGACCGAAGGATGTTATTTTGATAAAAACAAAATTATGGTTGAAAAAGTTAAATTTGAAACCGAAATAAAAATATGACTATGGAAGTTTTTTTTAAACTTACTTAAAGTTATGGTTTGGCTCAGGAATTCTTTTGATCACACTTTTTTCATTTTTCACTTTTAAAGATTTTTTTTTTTTTAATTTAAGTCTTATTTTTTTGGTTGTGGGTTTAATTTTTTTAGACTAGGATCCTTTTTTAGATTTAAAACATGTTTTTGGGTTGAGACTTCAAAACTTTTTTCACTTTCAGATCATATTTTTTCAGTTTCAAACTTTTGCCCATGTTCTAAAGTGGGGGACATGGCATCGACTGTTAAGGGCGTGGGATTATGAGTGACAGCATAGCAAAGAACACTCAGGGCCTTCCCTGGTTATGTTGCCTTCAAGAAAAGTATTTAAGAGTGAAAAATGAAAAAAAAAAAAAAAAGATTTGATCAAAAGAGTTCCTGAGCTGCATCAAAACTTTAACTTGAAAGAACTTTCACACACTTATTTTTGGTTCTGCTTCAAATTTTATTTTTTCTATGTACTCTTTTTTTCAGATTAACAAAACTTTTGGCCTGGATTTTACTCCATACTCCTTCAGGTTAGTGCTCTAACCCGGTATTGGGTGTCATGAAAGGCAGCTTCAACTGTGTATGTGGTGGGTGAGCCAAGTCAATAGCCTCAGCTTCAGTTGGTAACCCTGTATCCTATGGCTAGGTAAAACATATAGATAAAGCAAAAAATAAATAAATGCAAATTGGTGGGTATGGATAATAATTTGCGTGCACATTTTTCCAATGCATGTGCACAGCTTTTTTTCTGTCTGGCACCTTAAGGGCTCGGTACAAAAACAATGATATAAACAAGTTTTTACTGACAAACCAGCAGTTTCTCACAGCTCCCTGTTCCAATCAAGGAGACCAATTCCTTTCCTGCAATCCCACCTGATGAAATAAATCTGCCTCATAACTTTATCATTTTAAAAATACCAACTACAGAAATTGTGTTGCATTGAAATACAAAGAATTATTTGAAAACCAAGTCCCACCTTCGACTAGGCAAGTAGCTTACCATACGGAAGGATTTCAGAGTAGGCAGGTACACCCCACCCCCCACCCCAACACACACACACCGGCCGCCTGTCTTGGACGCGCCCCTGGTAGCAGAGTAGAAACACAGAGCCTAGCTTACTTGCTAGGACACCACAGAAACTTCTACAAAGACTGTGTACATGATATATCTGGGGCTTGGCTGTTGGTAGCAGTTAGTTCATGTTAAACTGCTCTTTTTCAAAGTTTGTTAAAGGCCAAATAGTCGGGCTGATAGACTAATTGAGCCACAGTTTGATGATTGAACATTTCCATCCACGGCTGATTCGCGTCGTTTCAAAGAGCTCAATGGAAAAAGTAGCCTGACATGAGCTAGCAAACATGTAGCGCCAGCCACCGTCCAGCTCCGATAGAAACACTATTTTTTTAAATAATTTAAGACAGAAATATGAGTGCAGAGTCGGTGCCGTGGTTATAGAGTGTGTTTTATTGGATCTAGGGCCGATTTTTTTCACTCAGCAGGAAGACAGATTCAGACAACTCAGCTCAGCTAGCTTAGCTGTGGACAACAAAACTTTTCCATTTCTGAAAACTTTACTCTCTATTTTCCCAACATACTGAGGCCAACCGCTCCCACATTAGGTTTAACTAACTTTTTTGGCTCGTATTAAGTCATTTAAACCTGTATCCTGACCACAGTTTGTCCCCGCTAACAGACCGAGTGAACTCACACAAGAAACTCACCGATCAATCTGCGCTCCCGGGCCGCCTACAACACACGACACCGCCACCAGACCTCCAGAGGACCGCCGAGCTCGTAGCAGAGCCGAAAGGGGTCCAGCTGCTACCAGGGAGACGAAGAGGCAGTTGAGCCGAGGCCCCGGGCCTGCTGTGCACTCCAACCAGCGTTAGGGGAGGGAAACCGAGCGGACCTCCTCCGTCTGACAGAGACTCGAGAAAGGCTTTCTGACAGCTCCTGATCTGTAGCCCCCCCTCCCCTAGACAGCTTCTCTTTTCTCTTTTTCCTCTCTTCAGCACATACGAATCAAAATACTCACTCAGAATATGGCGGTGGCTGAAGAGCTGCTATCGCGAGAGGACCAGCTGTTTTTCTTTTTTTCCAACTTTCCTAAATTGTTCAAGGGGAGGGAGTAGGGGGGAGGACAAGAAGGAGGGGGGAGGAGGGATTGCAAAATGGACTAAGCAGACTCCGACTGCTGCAAGAAGTGCAGACAAAGACAAGACTGCAGTGTTAGGTTAAAATCTAGTATCTTTTTTCTGTCAAGAAACGAAACAAAAAAACAGGCAACAGTCTGAATGCTGACAAATCAGTTACACTGGGCTCTGCAAATATTTTAAGCCCCAGTCCAAACACTTAAAAAAATAATCAGACATGATTAAGATGTCTAAATTTGTACAATCTAGACAACCCTTAGTTTATTTTCTTATTGATTTAAACTTTTAATATTTCCAGTGTCCTTGTTTTTGTTAAAACTTGTTTGTAGAGATGGGCGATATGGGAAAAGGTTTATCACAATATATATTTTCTCATATCAGTCATTTCGATATATATATATATCACAATATAAAAAATGAAATGTAACAGTGCTTATTGGTAACATGTCTTTTGCAATACAATACGCTACTGCATCTGTGAGGTCTTTGTGTCTCTTCAATGTAATGAGGTTGCGCAAGAGAAAGCGGACTGAATGGTCGGCTGTTTCAGCTGCACAGGCCGTCATGGGCTCCTGACTCCGCTCAAGGTTTGTAACCTTTTGAACTGTGCGTGCTCTACCGTGTGGCACTACTTCAGGTGGTGAAAAAGATTTGAGGTATACCTCAACTTTGCGAGGACATGAACTTGACATAATTTACAGTGCACATGACTCTGCTTCATGTACGACCTCAAAAAAAAAAAAAAAACACCTCCACACCACCGTTATTGTGCCAGTGTCATTGACGATGTCATCGTCTGTTGAGCCTTCATCTGCATTTCTGCCAGGGGTAGCACTCATTTTCTTTTTTTCTAACTGAGTGCTGTCGGCTTCACGTGTTAAACTGCTATGGTTGTGTGTAGCTGCTGTCTGCTACTTCGCAGTTGTTTACATCTTGGTTCTAATTCAGCACGATTGGTTCAGTGCAGCACGACCCACAGCAACTCCCCTTTTCGTTGGCTACTCGTATAGTCTACCAAAACATGGCAGACCGCCGGTTATTGTAAAGCATATTGACCATATTTTATATCGATATCGAGAGAAATTAATTTTCGATATACATCGTTATGGTTTTATTGCCCAGCCCTACTTGTTTGTAATCCATTTTTTTCTCTTGCCCCCTCACCTCTTCATTTATGAACTGCATGTTTTATACTTTTGCTTTTACGCACCAATACCCTTAAACCCTCACCAATTATTTGTTTGAAACTGCCTGCTTGTATTTGTATCTGCTTTATTGTCATCTGTACTTCGGCAAGTAAGGTTTCCACCTCAATGTGTTTTTACTGAGAACTTAAATTAAATAATAATATAACAGTAATAATAATAATACACTATTTGGTTAATAACAACAAAAAAGGTAATGGTGTTAGGCTTCAATCAAAGTCCTGATAACGCTGTCAGGACAAAAGCCTACAAACGGACTCCATCATAAAGATGGAAACAGTGAGGTTAGTGCCACTGAGTACCATACTTATCCTAATATGTGTGTTTTCCTTGTAAAATTCACAAAGGCCAGAGGTCATGTGGAGCAGCAGCCTGATGAAAGTTTTTCATTTGCCGCTGATATTTTTCATATTGACAAAACGCATCTTTTCTTGTCCTGAAAGTAAATAATTCACATATTTAATGAGGTGAGGAATCGACCTTTCAGTGCTCAGTAACCTGTTATTTCTCAAAAGCATAATGTTGCCATCACAATTAAAGGTCCAGTGTGTAGAAACTGGAATATAATAGTGATAACTAGCAGTCAGATTATGAAAGTAAAACGCTCCCTTGCTCACCCCTCCTGTTGGTGAATCTGTGTGGCCTTGAAGAACAAGAAGCTCTTGTGATGCAATTTTTTTTAATCCATCAGTACAATTTCTTTAAAGCAGATGAACACCCCCTTTCTTCTTCGTTTTCCAGTCTGTGTATTTTACAGTTACTCACAAATAAATGGTATGCCTCTAGTTCATCTGTTGTGTTGCTGTAGAAATATGGTAAGATGGCATTCTCTGTAGAAGGGGACCCTCTCAGTTGAGGGGCAGGTGTCAAAAAAGTGGTTACTTCAGATTTGAGAAACAGTGTTATTTTTTTAAGTGACATAACTAACTGTGAGTGGCAGCAGGACAACTTTTCAGATAAAACAAACACTACTTACAAATACACAAGACACAGAGCTTAGTGATGAACTACTACTAGATCCACATACAGTGCAAACATCAACAGCAACTGGAAGTTCATTACAGGAGCTTTAACCAAAAAAACTCTTGGAGGGACTTCATAAATGAGGATAGTACATTTGTTCTTCAGGATGGAAACAAATGGCTTGTTGTGTGTCAGCTTTGTGCAGTGACTCATATAGGCTACACACACAGACAGTCACACACACACACGCACACACCTTGTTGGTATGGTTTTGTGCAGTCACTGAGGTCTGAGCTCCCTGTTGTGCCTCTGTCCCTGTGCTGCTGGTGGTCAAGGGCTGCTCATCAAGCCCTGCTATATCCCTGCCCCTTGTGCTGTTACATGAAGTTACAGGCTCCCTGCTTGGTCCTTCCACCACTGTCCCTGATTCTGTGCATTCTGCCCCCTAAAATTGAAATAAGTTATTTTCCAAACCAACAACTACCCAAAACACAAAATATAATTATTATTATTTTTTTTAACAGTCTAAATAAGAGGGTTCTCCTTATTTCATAACACCACACAAAAGCAACAAAGTTACTCTATGTCTCTGCTCGACTGGCTCTGTCTCTGTGCCCAGCTCTGTATTTTTGCTGTGCCTAATGAAACCATTACTAAACATTTCCATAAGCATCTCATTTCTTGATATGGATATTTTTTAAACAGACTTCAATATTATAAGGATCTTTCTACTTATTAGCTGTTTCAGTGCACTAAAAATGACAGAATGTCTTTCATTTTTCTTTTCTCCATTTCGGCGATAAACTACAACAAATAGTACTGGTTTCTCATGGTTTTTGAGGCCAAATAAAAAACAAATAGAAATATCACAGGATAAGCATTCTTGTTTATTCATGAAGCAATACATTAATTGTAGCCATGTTTTAGTGAAATTCAGCACAACTTTTCAATAGGACTTGTGTCTGCTTTGTTTGACATGCTATACTGCACCTGATGCCTTACGAAGTAGCCATCCTCCAGTCAGTGAATGCATGTTGGGGGATTCTGCCTCAACTAAAGTGCCCAACTGCAGAGAGGAAAGAACATAACAGAACAAGGAGAATGCACACAGTTCATATATTGCAGGGGTTCACAGTCTTGCTGTGCGAATCCACACAGGAGAGTGGCACAACTGGGAGGTAAAGAACAAAAGTTTGAATTAAACATCGGCAAATTGTCAAAGTTTGTGTCTTTACTCACTTCAGAATGTGTCACGTCCATAGAAATTGCAATGGTACACTTGCCCAATCCAGCCCGAAGCAACTCTAGCTTGTCTGCCGGCGAGATTGACATGTTTGTGTTTTGACTTAGAGGCCTTTTGCTTTCACTGTCTACTTACCAAGATGTTACTTTCACATGCATTGGTGACTTATCATTTTTCTGTTTGGATATAACCTACCTGAACAGTCCGGGAAATGATCTGCAAGCAATAAGAACAAAAGTAAAGAACTCAATTTTACCGTAGCAATAAAAACACAGACGAGAGCTCGGCTTTACGTCTCTGTGCCGAAAAGACAAAGACAAAGCACGGTGTCAACTCATAATGCCCTTTTAACCCTCTTACTAATAATAAGAAGGCCCCCTGAACATCAGGAAATTACATCTTAACCTTTAGACCAGGTTTTTGATGGTCTGAGGTGCAGAAACATAACTGCTGCAAATACCTGGGAAGTTGTGGTCAGAACTCTGGTTGTTGTGTATCTTTGCACATTTTCTAGTGGGTATAAGGAAATTTGTGTACTTTTCTGGTACACACTCACTTTTCCTGAAACAGATTCCCCCTTGGTGGGGGATAAGGTGCAAGGCGAGCCCTTGTAATTTGGCCTCCCTGTCCGTTGAGCCTGACTGAGCCACATGTACACAATGCTTGGTCCCTTTGTGCTTATTCTGATTAAGTCCTAAACAGTGTCTACATGTAGTGACCCCCTGACATCTGACTTGATGCTCTTCTGACAAGAAAATCCTCTTTTGCACACAGCAGAGGACACTGGGAAGGCAAGAACTCTGATTTAATGTGGTTAAACAATATTCCTGTTCACATCTCAACCTTACCTGAGGCAAAATACTATCATTTTTTTGAGAAAAAGGCTGAATTTGCTGATGGCCTCAAACAAGTCAGCCAAGTGGTGACAGAATCCCACAAAGCTCCCATCTTCCATCATCTTTGTGACTTGCTAGACATTACCAATCAGTTACCACTATCAATATCAGTAATTTATATATATCACAAATTTAATATAGTTAAAATTAAGTACAGACCTTTTTTGCTCTCCCAGCAATGTCAGTATTGGTTAATGATGCAGTCAAATGGTTCATGTGGGAGTAGACTGCTGTGAACTGGTCAGGATTCTGCAGGTGTCTGTCCTTTCCTCCTGGTTTCAGTAGGGTTTGCAGGACTTGGTTTACATATGCATGCCAGTGTTTTCCACTGACACTACCTAGTACATTGACATGCACACCCAGCTCCTCTCCAAGTGCTCACATTTCTCTCATAGACTTGCTTCTGTAGTGGTAGGTCTTCCAAACCATGTTGAGGAGACCGTAGACATGATCTACCATGGGAATTTTCCTTTGCACTGATAGCATTGCCGGCTCCGGTCTACTATTAAAATGGACTCAACTTAAATTCAAACATTCTTTGCTTATTATTCCATCTTTAGCCTGATCCCGATGTTCACCTGACCTACATATGCAATGAAACAGGACAA